ATGAATAGCTTCTTTAATCCATAAAATCCTAAATTTCAAGTCTGCTAGTGCATTTGAATTATTAACAGTATGATTACTTCTAGACAGTGTACTAATTAAAGGTGGTAAAGTATCTGATAATGTTCTTGCAATGCCAAGTAGAACTGGATGACTAATAGGTAATGGCTCATTATCTAACCATATGCATGGATCAAATTTACAAGCTAAATACATAACCCAACTTCCACAATTAGGTGATGACTGTGCCATATCACCTGTTGATAAATTGGCCTGATCTGTAGATATCGCAATTGCAAAAGCCTTATCATATTGTTGCAAATAGAGACAATCTTCAATTTGTCTAGACACATCACCAAAAGAAGATATTTTTGGAGGTGTATCTCTAGTAGTTGATGTAGTTACATAATAAGTATTAAAATTTGAATTTTTGTGTTCAATTCTGGTTATACTTTCCTGTAATTGAGTTACAGTATTTGTCAAAGTTCCAAAAGAATCTGCAATCACTTGAGCTAAATCATCCAGCGGGGCTGCTCTTGCAGCTTCGCTTGATCTCTTTAGTATTGACAATTGCTCTGAACAATTATTTGAGAAATCAATCAAAGTATTCAGATTTCTTTCAGAATTTTGAACTATAACTGATATTTTGTCACCATACTCTATAGTTAATGTTTCTACTTGTCTTAGCATATTAGATAACTTCTTGCTATCCTCCTTCACAGTTTTCTCAAGAGAGTTCACCTTTGTTAAAATAGTCTTTATCTCCTTCTCCATTATACCATATATTTCCTTTATAGAAGAATTAATCAAATATTTAAATTCAGTATTAATACATTTTACTAAGGATTTCTGAATTCCATCCTCTATAGCTGTATTTATTTGAACAATTGCAGATGTATCTAATATTGGTCCATTATTTACTGGGGTTGAGCTGCTTTCAATTTGAGGACTAATTGATCCATGTTCTAAATTTAGAGCCCCAAACAAGGAAGACAAAATATCTGAACGATCTGAAGGAAGAGTTGTCATATTGCCATGTTGCAATGATACTGATCCAGGTTTTATCCCAGAATTTTGCATAATTGCAGCATAATAATCAGCAGTTATATCTCTAGTTGTATCACTAGATGTCGTATTGGAAGTAATATTGCATAAAAACAGATCTTGTGGTGTAGTACCATTGTCATATTGTGTATTTGTTAACTTATCTACATCTTCAATTGGTGGTAATATTATAGATTCTAGTCCACCAAAAATATTTGATATAAATAACTCTAAAAAAAGTCTATTTGGTATATCCTTAGATAGATTTTTTTGATTTTTTATATCAATCCATGTGGTATAAGGTGGTGGGCGTATCGCTGCTGCATCTAATAGTCGTGATGGAAGTAAATACATAGCTTTTATTGGTTTTTGTGAGCTCAAATAACAAAGAATGAGCTGATTAGATATCTGAATTCCAATAAAGTCACCCCAAAATGGACCTACAAATCGAAGCTTTGTAGAATTATTCAGAGGTTCTGTAGAGTGTAAAGTAATATTTTGTATTAATTCCAAATCTTCTTCTGGGTTAGCAGGATCTATTGGTAACTTCCATATATTTATATGAATTATGTTCCCAGTTAATGATAAGGTCAAAACTATAAATGCATCTAAAGCCAAAGTATACTTTATATTCTCACGAATAGGAGTTACAGTAGCATCAGCCAACTTAGAATTTATTGATAATAAACTATTCCTCCGGAAACTACGATAATATTCCCCAGGACTAAGCCCTGCTGAAAAAATATCAAAGTGTCCAGTTGTTGTAGTTACAATTACATAATCTACAAGAAAGTAAGCATAACATATCTCACTTGGATCAGTGTAACGAATAATAATTGAATTAGATATATAATTTGAATTATTTGATGTACTTAAACCTGTAGATTCATATTGTAACATATGAGAATCACAAGAAGCTTTATTCCATAATAAAACTACATTATCATTCCAAGCTATAAAGCACCTATCATCCAAAGGGTTCATAGATACATATTTCCATTGAATTCCACCTGAATATAATGTGTTGAAACTATCAGTTTGAATATTTGAAATGGTTAAATCTTTGCCCCTTGAATATATAATATTATTAGATGAAGGTGACAAAGATAGCTTAGTAATGCCAAGTCCTGACAGTCTACTACTGCATTTCGAGCCATTACTCATATCTTCTTGTTTAATGATACCTGAATCCAACATAACAACTCTTGGAGCATCAGAAAACATGTGGACAATGTATTCTCTATTGCATTGAATACAAGATGAGGTTACTTGTGCTGCAGAAAATGAATGCCAATCTGGCAGCTGAAATACAGAATTAACATCCGTTATTTGTTGCCAAGTTTTTGTTTTTAGTATTATTATTCCTGACATCCTCAAAGTTGCAACTCTCAAGTTCTTATAAATGACAAAATACAACCTTAATAGCAAAACACCACTTTGCCAAACAGGATAGCCCGCTTTGTACCTCAGCCAATTATTATTTAAGAGTCCTTAACAATACAGATGCATCTCCTTAACAATTATATTTAAAATTTCTCAATTAATATTAAATTAAACTCTCAATAAGAACTTAGTTCTTAATATAAATGCAATATATAATGCATCAATATTAAGTTATATCCAGACTTTATAAAGAAATATGGCTTTAACATGAAGTAATAAAGATAATAAAAAATAAAATAAAATAAAAAAAATAAAATCACTAGATCTATAATATAAAAAAAGTATTAAAAGTATTAATTTTTTCCTACTTTTATGTAGTATATTCTTATTTATAATCCTGCCTCGTTATATCCAAAGCCTTTAGCTTTGCCTCCTCAATATTACCAACCATATAAAATGCCATTTCTGGCAAGTCATCATAATTACCATTTAATAGTTCTTTAAACCCTTTTACTGTATCTTCTAATTCAACAAACCTACCTTCTTTCCCTGTAAATACTTCTGACATGAAAAAAGGTTGAGACAGAAATTTTTGTACCTTCCTAGCACGGGTTACTGTTTGTCTATCTTCATCATTAAGTTCATCTATACCTAATATAGCAATTATATCCTGAAGGGATTTATAATCTTGTAATAATTTTTGCACTTCTCTTGCAACATGGTAATGTTCATAGTCTATAATAGAGGGATCTAACATCCTTGAAGTACTATCCAAAGGGTCTACTGCAGGATAAATACCAAACTCAGCAATTTTTCTTGATAATACAGTTGTAGCATCTAAATGAGCAAATGTTGCAGCTGATGCTGGATCTGTTAAATCATCAGCTGGTACATATACTGCTTGTACAGATGTTATAGATCCCTTCTTAGTTGTTGTAATCCGTTCTTGTAAAGATCCTAAGTCAGTTGCTAGAGTTGGTTGATATCCTACTGCTGAAGGCATTCGACCTAAAAAAATAAAATAAAATAAAATAAAATAGAAATAATACACCTCTTTAAAATATACCATATCAGTCGGTAATTCCAGCTTTTATAGTTTCCATTTATTTCAGCATTGTATAAATACTTTGCTTTAAATGGAAATATACATCATATATAGAAACATTATAAAGAGGATATATTAAATATTTTCTTTAAAACCTACCAAGTAGTGCAGATACTTCACTACCAGCCTGAGTAAATCGATATATATTATCTATAAATAGTAAGACATCCTGACCCTTTTCATCCCTAAAATACTCTGCAACAGTTAAACCTGTTAGAGCAACCCTGGCACGCGCACCAGGGGGTTCATTCATTTGACCATATACAAGCGCTGTTTTAGAACCCGTAAAATCACACTTAGTGTACTTATTACCTTTATAGTCCAATTCCATAGAAATAAATTTCTTCTTATTTACACCAGTTATTAACATCTCATGATATAAATCATTACCTTCTCTTGTTCTCTCCCCTACACCTGCAAATACTGAATAACCTCCGTGTCTCTTTGCTACATTATTAATTAATTCCATTATAAGTACTGTTTTACCTACACCAGCACCACCAAAAAGACCAATCTTTCCACCTTTTGCATATGGAGCTAATAAGTCAACTACTTTAATACCTGTTATTAATATTGATGGATCCGTACCTTGTTCAGTATATTCTGGAGCTTTTCTATGTATAGGTAATCTAATTGTAGATTCTATTGGACCACATTCATCAACTGGTTCCCCAATGACATTCATTATACGACCTAATGTAGCATCTCCTACTGGTACAGATATTGGATTTCCAGTATCTAATACTGCTTGACCACGCATTAAACCTTCAGTTACATCCATTGCAATTGTACGTACACAATTATCCCCTAAATGCTGAGCTACTTCTAGTACAAGTTTATTTGGATGATCTTGTACCTCTAAAGCATTTAAAACTGATGGTAATATATGATCAAACTTAACATCTACTACAGCTCCAATAATCTGTGATATATATCCTTTTAGAGGTATTTTAGAATCAGTTTTATATGTCGAAATATTTCTATTTTTATACTTATATAAGTAAAGATTATCCATATTATACCGATTTTGATCATAATAAGAAAAACTTCTACCTAAATATAAACTTGTAGGAATAAAATAACTTCTAAAATAGCTTGACTTGTTAAATATTGAATAAGTAATTTGATATTTATTAATAAATAAGTTGACCATCTTGATCTGTACTATAAAAGATAATTATAATAAATTAACACCTAAAATATGCTATAGATAATTATCCAAATAATTTACTACTAAGGTTTATGTAGTTAATGATTATTCAAATTATAACCATCAATTAATGTTATAAACTATTTTGTGTTTTTTTTTTTATAAAAGCGCTAATGTACTTTGTAATAATTACTTGTAATAATTGTGACATTATTTAACATTATACTCTAGGGTAAACTTTAAATAATTTAAACTTACTAAGACATTTATTAATAGAAATCTATTTATAATTATTTAGAAGCAAAAATTATGTTATGAATTTATTCAAGATAACTAAATTTCTTAGATTTGTAGGCAAGAGTAATATTGCTACAATCAATAATACTGGCTCATTATTACTGACACTATGTTCAACTTATGATTCATACTTTATCAAGACTCCAGTACATACAGTTACTCTACCAGGAAAAGAAGGAGATTTTACTATTAGTTATAATCATTCTCCAACAATTATTCAGTTATCAAGTGGACCTATTATTGTAAGACGAAATTTAAGCGAAAATCCTCATTCATTCTTCATATCTGATGGTTTTCTTTTATATAAGAGGTAAGATCTATTTATAATATATTTAAGATATCAATTAAAAGAGACAGGGTACTTTATATATTTATAACATGTTTGGAATAAAAAAAATAAAAAAGTGAATATATAATTAGAAATTCAGATTTATATTTTATACTTGACTATTACTTATTAGTATTGTATATTTTTATAGACATAATGAAAATTTTATTGCAGAAGTTATAGGTATTGAGATATTTCCATTAGAGTATTTTGATAAGAGTTGTGTGAATACATTAATAAAGGATATTGAGAAACAATCTAGAAGTACTCCTTGGGAAATTACAAAATTTCATCTAGGGTAAGCTATATTAAGAAGAAAAAAAGGAGTTATTTTAATAAAAAAAAATTTGAATTGGATTTTTAGGCTTCAATTATGTAGAAGGTTATTAAATTGTCTAGTTTAAGTTTTAGTTGTTCATTTATTTTATTTTTTATTATTATCTTTAAATATATTGCCTATATTATTACTTAGCAATATTATTAGGAAACCTAAATTATATTATTGGATAAAAGAAGAAAAGAAAAAATCTAAATAGAGATTAAGAACGGTAACAGAAATAATTTTAGGCGGGTTTTTCTTTGTTTAATTTGTAGGGGGATAATTTAATACGTTCTGCTGCAAAGATTGTTATATTCTTAGATTTTTGCAATCAATAGAAAATGACTGCAATAGAAAATACAGATAATTGGTCAGCTGAGGAAGCTGTAGAGAGTGTAAAGATGCTGACTGTTAATGAGTTACAATCACGTATAAGACTTCTAGATGGTGAAGTAAAATTGATGAAGAGTGAGAATAATCGCCTACAACATGAATTAAACCAAATGAATGAGAGAATACGAAGTAATATTGAAAAGATTAAACTAAATCGTCAATTACCATATCTAGTTGCAAATGTTGTGGAGTCTTTAGAATTTAATGACGATGACAATAATGAAGGAGAAGGAGTTGATTTTGATGGTGATAAAAATGGTAAATGTATGGTTATAAAGACATCTTCTAGACAGACTGTATTTTTACCAGTAATAGGATTAGTTCCAGAGGATGAACTTAAACCAGGAGATTTAGTTGGAGTTAATAAGGATAGTTATTTAATTCTTGATAAATTACCTCCAGAATATGATTCTCGAGTAAAAGCAATGGAAGTTGATGAGAGACCTACAGAAGAATATTCAGATGTTGGAGGTCTAGATAAGCAAATACAAGAGTTAGTAGAGGCAATAGTTTTACCTATGACACATAAGGACCGTTTTGATAAGATTGGTATCAAACCTCCAAAAGGAGTACTAATGTATGGTCCTCCAGGAACAGGTAAAACTTTATTAGCTAGGGCATGTGCAGCACAGACAAAAGCTACATTTTTAAAACTTGCAGGGCCTCAATTAGTACAAATGTTTATTGGTGATGGAGCAAAGATGGTTCGTGATGCATTTCAGATAGCTCGTGAGAAAGCTCCTGCAATAATTTTTATAGATGAATTAGATGCTATTGGAATGAAAAGATTTGACAGTGAACATAGTGGAGATAGAGAGGTACAAAGAACTATGCTTGAATTGTTAAATCAGTTGGATGGATTTAGTTCAGATGATAGAGTAAAAGTTATTGCAGCTACAAATCGTCCAGATACTCTAGATCCTGCTCTACTTAGATCTGGAAGATTAGATCGTAAAGTTGAATTACCACATCCTAATGAAGATGCAAGAGCTCACATTTTACAGATTCATAGCAGAAAGATGAATGTAGATAAAAATGATGTAAATTTTCAAGAATTAGCTCGTTCTACAGATGACTTTAATGGAGCTCAATTAAAGGCTGTTTGTGTAGAGGCAGGAATGACTGCACTTAGGAGAGGAGCTACTATTTTATGTCATGAAGATTTTGTAGAGGGTATTGCAGCTGTATTATCAAAGAAGAAATCACCTCTGACATATTTTTCTTAAGACTCAAATATAGAGGTTTATTTTATTTTAATATGGTTACAAATAATCTGTTTCTAAACTAGTGAGCCCTAGAATAAGGATATTACATCTTGTTTTTTTTTCTTTATAAACATAGAAACTATCAATAAATTGTGCATTTATTGGACATAATGTAATTCAATACAGTTAATTTATACTAATGAATTATATTATTTAAATATTAGATTTTTAATATAAAAGATAATATTGGTAATATATAACAAATTATCCAATAAGGGTATAGAGAATTATTAGTTTAGAAGAGGGTAAATGAAATTATCCTTTAGAATACTAATGCTCTGGAATGAGGAATCTAAGGCTTTTATTGAAGTCAAATACTAATATATGATATGATTGAAATATCTACAAATCTAGATCTCAAGAATTATGAAAATACAACTAAGGTACCACTGTACATATTTACATATAATTCTTAATCTCTATGCCTTTTTTTTTCATAATTACATGTATATACAAATGATACTTTTTTCTCTTGACTTGATATAATTTTGAGTATTTAATATATTTTCGTATTAACTTCAGATTCTGGCTTTGTATATATATATATTCTTCTTTTAGAGGAAGTAGGAATGATGAAAAAAAAAAAAAAGCACTAAATATTCTATATATACAATATCTAGAAAGTATGTAATTATTATAAATTTTCCATTAAATCCTCTTTTCTCTATTGAAACTCTACTTTGGAGTTAGTAATAATTTTTCTCATCATCTCCAAAATAAGGGTATGAGTCCCAATTTGGATGTTTTTCAATAATAGAATGTTTCATATTTACTTCTAATATCTCAAAAAAAATCTTTTCAAAATGTTCTTCATTCCATTGAACAGGTATTGGTTTCTTATTTCTATCCAATAGTAACCAAGTCACATTTTGAGGAGCTAATTTAAGTAGTAATTGTCTACGATATGCAGTATTTCTAACTGTCCCATTTATTCCCGATTTAGTAAAAGTAGAATTCAAAGTGTTATCATTCCCTCCCAAAATAGAAGATTCATAATTTTGGTTAATAGATTTAGAATCCTTAATTTTAGATTTTCTCTTATTGGGTTTCCACCATTTACTTTTTATAATATCATCACTAAAATAACTTCCAGCTGAAGAATCACTATTCGTAAAAGATGAAGAATCAAATTCTAAATTGAAATTTTCAGTGGAGATATCTAAATCTAAAGAACCAGTACCATTATCCTCTCGTGCACTTGAAATTCCATCTGAATTTGCTTTAGGTGAAACTTCTTGACATCTTGAAATTCGACCCTTAACTGCTGTAGATGTAGTTGCAAGATCAATATGTATATGTCCAAGTCTATTAGATGATACTAGGGCAGTAGCATCCAAAGTTCTATAAGCTTGTTGTAAACTAATTTGTATTAGCTGCTCCATTGATGATGGAATCTCTAAATCCTCACGGCACAAAAATTGTGCAATCTGATGAAGATTTAAATGCATTGAAGAGGCTAATTTAAGCCATCTAACAGATACACGCATACTTCGAAGGCATTCGTCTCTAATCAAAAGCTTTCTTTTAAGTCTCTCTGCATCTGCATCAGGATCCATATATTTTATTATACGTAATTCTGTCTTACTAAATGGAATATTTGAATGAGGCCAATCATACCAAACCCAATCAAATTGGGCTACATCTAATACATCTGGTAAACATAGACCATGATCAATCGGAACTAATTTATACTTTGTTTTCCTACCATCAGGTGTACTTAAAGGGCTTTCATAAGAGGCTACAGAAATATCACCAAAATGTGTTGTAATAGGTAATTTCATTGTATAATTAGATTGTAAAGGTATAACTAGTATGTTACTGTCATTCCTATCCAAATTAAAAAGACAAATATCTAAAATACCAATTCTATGAACATCTCTAATACTAAATACACATGAATCAAAATTTCCTACTGTCTCACTTGTGACAATATACTCTTGAAATGCTCCTAATTTCCATCCTATTTCATAAGAATTAGATTTTAATTTGGGTAAAGCTGGCTCAGGATCAAAAATATCACCCATTTGTAAAGTAAATTTGTTCCAACTATTATAATTAAAAGCAGTATGAGAAGCTTCTAATAATGTAGTCTCAGGTACACCAGCAAATCCATGATAGTAACCATCCCAAATTGCAGTTGCAACTTCACGACTTGCTCCTTCACCTGAAAGTACTCCAGATCTAAATCCTTGTTGCCCAAGTTTTCCTTGATAACCTCTAGGATTATTAGGAGCAAATGCCTCTTCATCTAATGGTTTAAACATTGCTACAACTTGTCCCATTGCATTATACATCCTATATGTTGCACCAGTTCCATCAAGGGTTAATTTAGGGTGTACATTACGACTCAAAGCTAATTGTACTTCAGCTAAAATCTTTTGTATCTTTGTAGATAATTTCAATCCTGTACTTCTTAATCCAAAATCTGTCTTACTCATACGTAAAGAATAGTGTAATGGTCGTCTCTGTTTCTCAAATATTTGCATTAGTCTATTATTTGGTATTTCTACTCCCCTATAAAATAATTGAATATCACGAACCCCTGTACTCTTAGGAAGATCTAAATATTTAATAACTAAACGTTTTACCATTTGACAATCATAGAAAGGGTATATAGAAAGAAAAATACGTTTAGATCCATCTAATTCATCTATACACAAGGAAAATTTCTGCATATCATTTATCCCAGCTCTTAAAGCATTATGAGTTGAAAAGTATACCTGTTGAGCTACTGGATAATTCCCTGTAGATATCATCTTTGCCAAATAATGCTATATAACCTAAATTACTTAGTTTACATCTCAATATAGACCAATTGTACATTCAAAATCAACATTTCCTTGATATAGTTGTTGGCTAATAAACCTCCAATATTCCCGCCTAAACCTAAATAACTTAATACTACTTTATAAATGCAGTATCTAAATAGATTTATCACAACAATCCCAAACTTGTGGAAAGAATAGCCTATCAGATTTTAATAGACGTATCTCTTTATTATCTATTGGATCATTATAAGAATCTACAATCTATAATACAAAATAAAGTCAATTATTCAAGATATGTTTATCTTATTTATATTACAAAAGACTTACATGAATAATCCCGTCAGTTATAACTTTTGATAGGATATCTAAGTAATCATTAATTAATGATTCCTTTTGTTTATTATCTATTTCTTGTGTCTAAATGATCAAATTTACATTATATTTAACCTATTATATGGGGATAATATAGAAAGTTTACTAATATCCCCATTTATCTTATAATATAAACTTACTAGAATAAATCTCCCAATATACCATTCAATTAGTGATATATCACTTTGAGGTTGATTCCATTGAGATTCTAATTGTTTAAGTCTATAACTTATATTTATGCTAAAATGTATATATTTATTCCAAGATATTCGCTTCTAAAGAAAAATAAATATATTTAGAATTCTATAATTGATTAAAAATATGTAATTACTTTACCTCTGTATTATTATTAATATTAGTAGTTCTCATTTTTTTTTTTCTCTTCTTTTATTTAGAGCCTAAAGTTTATAATACCATTCTATTAAGATTTCAAAGAGTTTTAACCCAGGCGCATGTGGGTAAGAGAAAGATGTTATTTTAAATAAAATCCTGTCTATATAACAAAATTTTACTTCTTATTAAAAAAAAAAAAATAAAATATGTATATACTACTATAATTATGTTAATATAATCACAGTATAATATATCTCTAATATAATCTTGATATCCCTTAATTTGTAAGCTCTCTAAAAATTAAAATAAAAAAATCCAAACTAATTAAAATTATCTTATATATATCATAATATTAATAAGATAAGAATATTCAGTAATATAAATTAAAAATATCAAAATAAATGAGATTATATAAAGTTCAAGAAATATTAGATTTGATATTTACCCGCCTTAAAAAAATATTACCGCTTATTATATTCGTCTTGAGATTTGTCTATTTAGTAGTATACTAATTGTTATCTTTACCATTATTCACTGTTACTATTACTATTACTTAATAAATAGACAATAAAATAAATTATGATTACTAAATTCTAATAATTAACTTAAATTTACCAATTTGAGAGGCTAGTATGAGTTAATCTTATATCAACCTAGAATGGCTATAATTAGAATTTTTGTTACTTTAAATTTGGACGAAATATTCACTAAATGTGCTTGATACAAGTTTTATAAGTTGAAATATTTATAGTTTATAAATTTAATATTACATAATAACTATCAAGTAGAATTTTTATAAGTATAATCTAATATATATTTGTGATCATTGATATTCAGTATTTTCTGGAATTTTATACTTTGATATTATTAAGATTTTAGATTTAGGTTTTTTTTTAGTGGTTTTCAGTGTTAGGTAATTCCTTTTGGAGTGGTTTGTTTTAATGGATTAACAATTTATATGTTTAGTATACCATTTAATGTATAATTCTTTTGTATAATAAAGTGATATTACCAATTTATAATTTCACTATAGATTAGAGATGGATTTACACTTTCTTATATTGGGAATAGTTGGAAATATTTATAAAGTATTCCCTTTATATAGGGGAAATATATATCTAAAAGATTTTATTGAGTCTATACTATTAAGCACCTGTTAATTATGCAATAATATTGCTTGCAATTGGAATAATTTATATATTACATTGGATAAATACCAAAATATAGATAATTATATAGCAAATATTGAATAAATTAGATAAGTTAAATGACCTATAAATATATTTATTACTATTATGATATTAGATAATATTGGACATGAGCTTAAATTTTAGTAGGTATAAATAGAAGAAACTGATATTATAGGATTATTTAAGTGAGAATTATGATTATATTAGAAATATGACTTCATTAAAGTGTATAAGATAACTTTTTTTAATTTTTATAAAATCACTTAGATTTATATATATCATACAAGTTCCCCTGATATTATTTAGTAATATTATTGAATAGAATTTTTTCCTTTCTTTTCTCTCTTTATTTTTATTATATTATCAGAAAAGAAAAAAGTAAGAGTATTATTCATTCTATTATATTCCAATAAACAATATAAAATATTAAGATCTATCGTATTATTTAGTATTTAGATATGATAAAATCTTCCCCTATTCCTAACTGAATCACATATTTTCTTGAATTAATAATAATAATGATAGAAATCTTCTACTATTAAACTTATAATATTGTTGTTATAATAGATGCCTTCTATGCTTTAGTATTTTGTAGTACCGTTTTATCCGCCTGATTATTCACATTATCACGCTTACATGAAAGCGCCTCAAATTCTTGTATTATTTCAATCTGTCTCTGAGAAAGTGGTAAATTTGGTAATACTAATTTAAAATTAATTATAAGATCACCATAACCTACACCATTTATTTTTGGTGGGCCTTTAGTTTTAAGAATTTTCTGTGTACCTGGTTTAGTACCTGGTAATATAGACATCTTAATATACCCTAAATTATCTAAGGAAGGAACTTTAACTTCATCCCCTAGAAGACATTGTTTTATTGTTAATGGTACATCAACATGAATATCATCACCAATCCATTTAAATTTAGGATGAGCTCTAATTAATATTGTTATAAATAAATTTCCTGATTTTCCACCTCTATTTCCAGCATGCCCTTGATTTAATATTCTTAATTCCATTCCATGACGTATACCCTTAGGAATATCTATTTGTACTTTTTTTGTTTGAAATTGAACTCCTGTCCCATCACATTCTTTACAAGGGTGTGTAATTATATTACCATATCCATTACATTCTTGACAATGAATTTTAAATACAAATGAACCCCTTTCAAAATCTTTGGTACCTGTTCCATTACAATTTTTACATGTTGATACTAATTTACCATGATCAGACCCACTACCATTACAATTTTTACAATTACATTTTGCTTTTAAATCTATTGTTTTAGAGACTCCATTAATAGATTCCATCAGATTTATTGGTAAATCAATATAAATATTATCTCCACGAAATTGTTTAGTACCAAATACAGAACTAAAGTGAATATTATCTGTTGAATTATCTGCCATATTCCCCAAAATATCTGTAAAATCTGTAAAAGACCACATTCTACTATTAAATCCATTAATTCCAGATTGTTGTTGAGACCATGCTGAAGCAGCAGCTGGATCATCTGGTAAATAACCAGTAGTATCAAAAAATGAACGTTTTTTTGGATCACATAAAAGTTCATATGCACTAAAGAAAGAAGAAAAAAAAATATATGGATAATTTTGTTTATGAAACTAAATAATATTTAGATAATACCTACCTTGTAATTTCTGCCATTTTATTTTTAGCTTCAGGAGTTGGATTTATATCAGGATGAAATTTCTTTGCTAATTCTCGAAATTTCTTTTTTATTTCATTAGTGGATGCTGTTTTAGATATTCCCAAAACTTTATATGGGTTAGAAAATGATTTTGATTTATTAGATGAAAAAAAATTAAGAGGAGTTCTTATATAGAACTTAATTAAAGGTTTCAACATAGTTGAAGTTATATGTCTTCTTATACTCCTAGATAGATATGTTGGGATATATGAACGTATTTGAAGACATATTGGAGATATCATTATCTTCTTAAGAGAGCTATATTATCATCAATAATACTATCAAGGAGTATTTGACAAAATCCATTTAGGTACAATTTATTTCTATTATAAGCGAGCGAAATAAGGCTAAAAGCGCTTCTAATCTATGACATGGAGACCATAGTCATAACTGGATTATTCTTCCTTATATTATTAGTTAAAATTTTGCTATAATATCAATAAACTGATAGATTTGCTTATTTTTCCTCAATTTATTTAAAAATTATTGGGATTATTACTTGTTTTACCTATAAATTTAAAGAGACTGAGTTTTTTTTTTATCTAGTAATATTATCCTTAAATTACTTAAGAAAATTTATTAGATCTATTAATATCAAACTTTATTTACTATAAAAGTATATTCCTTTGTAATCTTATATATTTTTGTAATAAATAATGTCTAGATAATGCCATTTAAATATAAATTTTTATTATTATTATTTTCTTTTTTTTTATTTTTAATATTTACAATACTTTTTTCTGAAAATCTACTTTATTTTTGGCGCCTTATAGCGCCAAATGAGTTAGAGGAATATTATTTTCTAATAATAATAGAATTTGAGAGAATAAAAAAAAAGGTAAATAAGGAAGATATGCTTGAAGACAAAAGAGATCATTTTGAAGATATATCACTTACAGGCAAATCTGGAACTCAAATTCCATATGGCTTAAATCGTTATGTATTACTTATAATTTATTGTCTATTTTGTGCATTAACAACATCAGCAATTCAGCAAAATATTTGTATAAGACTAATTCTAGTTAAATTGGGTGCTTATGAATGGTTATGTGATCCAAATTCTATTGAAAATTTACCTACTGGTGCAAAATGTAGATTACAAGATAACCGTTTAACTACTTGTTGGACAGCAGGTATAATGGCTCCTAATTTGGTTTTATCTGTTTTAGGATTTGGTAGATTATTTGATTATATAGGTCCAAAATATACTGGAATAACTGGCCAAGTGATGTTTATGTTAGGTATACTTATATTCTGTATTAGTAATGTAAATTTACCACTTTATCCATTAGGATTTATTTTAATTGGAATCCCTCAAGGTCCAATATTTAATAGTGTAATATCAATAGCAAATCTTTTTCCAAATCATAGTAATCAAATAATTTCACTATTAAGTACTATGGGAGATTTATCAGCCTCTGTTTTTTATTGTATTTATTATATTCATGAATATTCAAAAGCAAATCTAAAAGGTATACTTATATTTTATGCATTATTTGTATGTGGATCATTAACTTTAGTTGCAATATTTTTAATTCCTAAGATTTCTTTTGAAAGATATATTGATAATAATGAGAATATAATGGATAATGAATCTCATAGATTATCTATTGAAACAGATAGTTCATCAGAATCAAACAAATCATCTATTAAACCTTATTTACATTCTGCATCATTTAAAACGCAATTAATATCATCATATTTTTTATTATTATTACCATATTTTACTCTTACAGTATTCCGATCTGATTCAATAAAAGCTTGTTTAGATGCATTTCTTTTAGAATCAAATCCTGAAAATATTAATGAAGTTCGTTATCATATGTCAATATTTTCAACTATTCAATGTTTTTCTTTTATATTCTCATTGGCTAATGGTTTTGTTATGGATTTTATTGGAGTTGCAAAAGGTTTAATTTTACAGAATACATTTGGAGTTATTGTTTCACTTTTTTTTACATTTCCAAATGGAAGTACTCGTATTTTATCATTCTTTATTTATTTTGCATATAGTAGTTGTATATATGCAGCTGCATATTGTTATTTGGCAAAATGTTTTGGATTCTCTAATATTAATTTTTTAATGGCATTGATTACAGGACCTGTAGGGTTCTTATACATTGTCATACCTCTAATGTATAGCCATTTGGATTCATCTAATTATTTCTATTTTCATTTATTTTATGTTGGAATTTCCATATTAATGTATATAACTCCTATTAATATGTTAATTAATAAACCTGAGAATTATAAACCTAAAGTATTAATGACAGATACCAAGTCAGTGTTAATTTCAGTTAATAGAAATAATGATGAGACTGAGCAATGTAACGTTTAGAAAAATTAAATATATTTATTTTAATATTATTAAATCTTCATTATAGAATGTGTTATTTTACTTATCATTTTAAAGTTAATATTTAATTAAATAATCAAATTTTGAAATAAAATTAAAAAAATTATTAGGTAATGAACATATTTACTATTTATTCATACTATAGCCTTAAAAAACATTGAAAGAAATACAAATGAGATAAAACATTGTAAGAAGAAATAAAACACTTCAAATGCAAGTATAAATGAAAATATAAAGGCTATTGAACTTCCCGTTATTAATGCTAAAGCAATCTTAACTGCTTCTCCTAATACTGAAAAGGCCAATAAAGGACGAATTGCTTGAAAACTCATTCTTGCTAATAAAGTGATATATTCCCTTAAATTTGTAAATATTGAAGATGTAAAATTTAAAATATCAGTAAAGTATATAAATCTTAAAGGTAATATTATGATATTAAGATTTTCATGATGTTTTAAGAATCCGGTACTTTTATATTCTGTATTAAGTAACTTTTCATATTTATTTAATTTATCTGTATTGTTGTTGTATTCTGTTATTTTATCTTTATATTCTTTATTACTTAGATTTTGCTCTCTACTTTTTAAGTAAAAACTGGAGAATTTCTCTATATTTCCAAACTTTGGTATAAAAGTATGAACCCAAACTTTGTTATAACAAAGAATTGGGACATATTCATTTGATCTAAGTGGGAATTTACAATTATTTAATCTATTTGAATATAATCTAAGAAATTTCATTGAAATCTTTTGCATTAATAAATAAAGAAAACTATTAAGATTACATTTAAAACATCAAAATTAAATATTCCCTTTTAGCGGGAGATTTTAGCCGCCAAAAAAAAATATGACTATTGTAAGTTTTTGGATTGCTTATCCTGAATATATTGGATATGGTATTTAAGGGTACCTTCCATTGTATTATTATCAAAATAGTATATATACTACAAGTAATAATAATATTTTATAGGAGAAAAATTGAAATGATATTAGATGATCATATTAAGAAATTTTTGTTAGATGTTATTTCTAAATGTTTGACTTAGCAAAATTGATCAATAGAATATCTATTTGCTTACCAAATATTATTAAGAAAAAAGTATATTTTCATACTTTTAATAAGATACCTCAAAAAGAAAAAAGAGAAAAAGAAAAATCTAGTATTAATGCCCTAGGGTAGGGTATTATTTTCCCGCCTAGTCTGGACAAGACTCTTACAGCATGTATTGAATTTTTCCTTTGTATTTTATTGTAACATATAAAGTTTTTATTTCGCCTATAGACTTTAGTGTTGTATACTTGGAGTATTAATAAATTAGTCTCTTCTATCTCCATAAAGAGATATTCTTATCAGGGAAGTAGAAAATTTTGAATATTGGTGAGTTACAATATATCTTCACGTACTAATATTTCTAAAATGACAAATCCTGTAGCAATTAATACACATGACTATGATAAAGGAAATAATAATGAGGAAAAAGAACTTCAGATGGAACAGGAGCATAGTGAAGATAATGGATATCATAGTGATAAAAAACATGATACAACAGATTTGATATACGCAGCTATGTGTACTAAGTGTGCTGGAGAGTTAGAACATGAGAAAAATCCTGAGAAATCTTATTGTAGCCCGAGGAGAATTAGTGGTATTGAACAAGTCTCTAGAGGTTTAATAATTGAAAGTAAATCATTTCTTGATGCTAATAGATGTATGGCTAAATGTTTAGATAAAAGTGGACAAGATAGTTCAGATTTATGTTCAAGCCCAGAAGAAAAAACTAAAAATAGTGAATATACTAAGGAAATAGGATATTCTTTAAAAAATAATGATATTTTACATACTAATCATTGTTTATTTGATAGGACCTGCCTAATCCAGGAACACGCCCTAAAAAATCGTAATATTAATGATTATTATGACTTAAATTTAGGAAATCTTGGTAGAGGATCTTATGGATCAGTTGTTAAAGCTATTGACAAACAATCTGGGGCTTGTAGAGCTGTAAAAGTCATTTTTAAACCAAAATTAGAGAATATAAATAGATTAAAAAGAGAAATTTTAATAATGAAACGTTTAGATCACCCAAATATTATCAAATTATTTGAAGTTTTTGAGGATACAAATTATCTATACTTTGTAATGGAAATTTGTACTGGAGGTGAATTATTTGACCGTATAATAAAAAGAGGACATTTTTCAGAACGTTATGCAGCTATAATAATGAAGCAAGTATTTAGTGCTATAGCCTATTGCCATGCTAATGAATTTATGCATAGAGATTTAAAACCTGAAAATCTTTTATTTGCCGATTCATCATCAAATTCACTTTTAAAAGTTATTGATTGGGGTTTTGCAGCTAAATGTCCAAAATCACACAAATTTACATCAATTGTTGGAACCCCATATTATGTAGCTCCTGAGGTATTATCCGGAAGTTATAGTAAATTATGCGATTTATGGAGTGCTGGTGTTATTTTATATATTTTATTGTGTGGTTATCCTCCATTTCATGGTAAAGATAATACTGAAATTTTAAAGAGAGTAAAGACTGGAAAATATTCTTTTGATCATAATAGTTGGAAATACATATCAGACTTAGCAAAAGATTTAATAAAACGTCTTTTAATGTTGGATCCAAATTGTCGTATTACTGCTCAGGATGCTTTATGTCATCCTTGGTTAAAAACACTCATTTCTAAGCCTGTATCAATAGAATCAGGATATTTTACAAGTGATATTTGTAATTTATTATTAAAAAGATTTAGAGATTTTCAAAGGCAGAATAAGTTAAAAAAATTAGCTTTGACATGTGTAGCTTATCATCTTAGTGATGCAGATATTGGAGCTTTGCAGAATTTATTTAGCACACTTGATCGGAATGGTGATGGTGTTTTATCAATTAGTGAAATGAGAAGTGCTTTACATAAAATACAACATGTAGCTCAATTTGGAGATGATATTGATGCTTTACTACTAGAATTAGATACTGATGGTAATGGAAGAATTGATTATACTGAATTTCTTGCTGCATCTATTGATCATAAGTTGTATGAACAAGAATCACTTTGTAAAGCTGCATTTAAAGTTTTTGATTTAGATATGGATGGACGTATTAGTCCATCTGAATTACACAGAGTACTTAATAGTACTTTTGTGCAGGAGGCCTTTGAAAGATCTACTATACAATCTCTTTTAGAAGAAGTAGATACAAATCAAGATGGATATATAGACTTTAGTGAATTTATGGATATGATGATAGGAGAAAAAGATAGGCATATAAATGGAGTTATAAAGTCACAAGAATCTCCTAATGTACGAGTAAATAGTTCAACTATTACAAAACACAGCTTCTTTTCTGGCCTTTTAGATATTGCAGATATTCTAAAAAGTAAATTTGATACTTCTAACTAATAAGAATAAAATTTGGATCTTCTATTTTCCCTTTTTTTTCGATATAACTTTAGATATTTTATTAGGTACTTGATTACTATTAGTTACTTTAGGTACTAATATAAAGTTGATTTTAAATAAAAATAAAAAGAAGTCCAAATGAAAAGACCTCTATATAAAAATTTGATCATATCCGTAAATATATAGGCCTTAAATATGATGGATTCAAGTTTCTATATTATAATTCTAAATCCACAATACTATAATGTCTGGTGTATTAGGCGCCCAAATGTGATGCATTACATGGGAATTTTTAATTTAACCACCAGGGGCTTGAGGGGAATAATAGGCTTATAACCTAATATAAAAAATCTTGAACTTTTAGAATAAGAATTGATTAAATTAGATATTTAGAAATGTTGTATACCAATTTAAAATTCTTACTTATTTTGGGTGAGGTTTTATTAAGTTTACTGTTGGTTAAGATAACACAAGCTTCATTTGTTCATAATAATACTGAAGTTATATCAAATAATCATACATCATGGTTTAATTTACCAATGTCAAATGAATTTTTGAACTATGAAATTAACTCTATGGATTTGAACTCTGAACTCAATGATATTTCTAAGATAATAAGACTGGCACCATCTACAAACTTAAAAGATTCTAACTGGATTCCATTTAATATAGAAGACTTTATTTCTATCTTTAAATCAAAACTTCAAAGTACTAAAGCAGAAAATAATTCAACTATACAAAATAAATATAATGCCATTGTAACATATTTAGAATCTATAAACCCTCTACACAATAAGGTAAAAAGTGATACAATAAACTCAGATAAAAAAAGTCAATGGAATGAATATTTTAATTTTCCTATGGGTATTTTTAATAAAACTAATAAGAACAAAAATCAAAATATGCCAATAACTGAAAACATAAGTATTACAAAGACAAATAATCAAAATTTAAATAAAGCAAAAATAAAAAATGAACAAAATGCAGATCTATTAGAGAAAAAAAATAAAATAGATATTTGCAATATTTCTATAGTTACTACATATAAAGATTGTATTGAGGAGTGTAAAAGGAAATTGAAGAAATCTCAAAGAGATACAGGAGGAATTACTCCACTGCATATTTCAGAGCTCAATACTTGCTTTCAAGGCTGTAAATATAATGTTGAACATTCAGTAGATTGTGAGCTATCAGCTGAGACTATTAAATTAATAAATGAAGAAATTCAACTTCCTGTTCCAACAATACGTCGTAATATTAAAAAAGAAAAGAATAAGCATGGAATATTATATAGATATATATTTGGGCCACTTATAAGATTGTGTATTTCCATATTATTTTGTTTAGTAGGAATAATTGGTATACTGTATTATTTCAGACAATACAAGCTATATCCACGATTTGCAGATACAATTACAAGAATAATTGAGTCATATTACACTGAAGAGGAAAAAAGAAGAGCTATTTTCGAAGGGAATAATTTCCCTCAAAAACCAAGTGTAGATTGGAAAAGATCTCTTATTTATATTATACGTTTAAATTTTTTACCAAATTTTTTTGCTACTAATTTATCTTGGTTAGTTCCCCAGAGAAGAGATATCAATCAACCCATTGACTCATCTAATTATATACAGATGAGCTGAGAATTTAAAATATTTACTAATGTATTTATTTTTTTGAAGAGATTAATAGAGGATTTGATTATTAGTTTATTTCAAATTACAAACTTGAGTGGATTTTATAAGAGATCCTTACTAATATTTCATTTTACTTAATTTTTTAGTAAATTGAAAATATTGAAGCTACTGTTTAAACAAATGATTATTAATATTATAAAATGAAATTTATTAACATCTATTGATTATTTTTTTTATCAAATCACTGTACTATTTGTGTGATAACAAATAATATAGTGAAATATATACTTTTGTTTTAAAATCAGCAAAATATTGGAGAATTACTACTCGAAACTATACATTAAAAATAAGGAATTTTCCATAAATGGTTAGTATTAGGAGCTATGAAAGGTGATTTACTAAGATTAACCTAAGGCTTCTTTTTATCTAATAAGTTTGATTAATAATCACAACTGATCTAATAATAATTAGTGCTTTAAAATTTATTAAAATGGATTTTGTTTGATCTATCAGGAAAATTTACTACTTAGTTTGATATAATATTTTAAGTATTTACTTTTTCTAAAAGGTTGAAAAAAAAAATCTATTATACTTATTTCGAAGTTTATGTTTGAAGTTTTGTAACTTTTTTTTTGTTAGAAATAAGTTAAATATATTACTCAGTAATTCTGTCTATCTTAGAAGGTTTAATTATACTAAAAAAAACTAAATCTAGATTAACGTGTAACTTTTTAAGTAAATTATAATATTTATATAAAAGTATCACTTAAATATTAATTTTTTTACTTTTTACTTTTTTTAGTAGGATTAATAAAATAATCGATTATTAAACACAAATAAGATTTACTATTAAAGTACAGATTTGAACAAAAAAAAACTTTAAGTGAATAGAACAATTGGGACAAAATATTGTAGACTAATAGAAGCAAGAAAGTTACTTATATGATAGTTCAATTATATTAGGATCATACTAATTGTAGTTAATTAGCAAATTAATTTTAAAGAGGATTAAAAAGTGTTAACAAAACACTAATTTTGCTATAAGCTAGTCTAAATGTAGAACTTTAATATGAAAAAAAAGTATATTTTTAGTATATGCTTATTAAATCTATTAAATAAGTGTATTGATGAAAATAAGAAATAATTCTATAATCAATTTTAAACTAACTTTTTTTAACTTCAATATTTCTTAAAAAAATATATAAGGTATGAGAATAATATTAGATTTTATTAAATATATATTAAAAAGTTTTGCTATTATAAATCTCTTCTAAATAAGCTTATAAATTATACTTAGGAAATACTTGAATATAAGTGGATTATAAATTAAATGATCGATATATATATGTTGTGAATATCTTAGAATTTGTACTATTCACACTTAAAGTCTAAGTAATTTAATATTCACTTCTCTCATGTAATAATATACCCAAATATCTTGTATTTCATCAAGTTATATATTATTTAAACTTACTCATTTAAACAAAGTTTTGAGAAGAGAATATGAACAAATTGAATAGATTAGTACTGCAATGAGATGTGCTGCTCTCCTCTTTGGGAATTTATAGAAAGGTATTACTTCAAAAATATCAATCCATATTAATAACTTTTTATTCTGATATTATATCTTCTGAGGATTGTGAATATTTCTGAGATGAATATGGGATATCATCTATTTCAGTTTGATCTTGCTTCAATTGTTCAATTGCAGCTTTATATTCATCACTGGAAACTAATGGGTTAAAACCGTCCATAATTTTCCATAATAAAAAAAATCCAGCATCTCTACTTCTCCAATAGTTAGTGTGGGACTGAAGAAATGCAAGAGAGGAAATATAGTGTTCAGTAATACCTTCTTGTAACTGGTAATCAAATCTTATAGGACAATTTGGAATTTCTTCTTGTTTCAACATTGAAAAATTTTCATTAGTTTCTTCAATGCTTGTGTATTCTATAGGGCTTCTATTTGTAGTTGGGGAGACACTTTTTATTGAATCATAATTTCGAATTGAGTTTAGACCTCTTCCTGCTGATATTTGACTTTTAAAGCGAGATATAACAGATTCATCATATAAATTCTTAACTTTTTGTTCACTTGAAACTACATTTACTTCAAGAGTGGACTTGAGCTCTTCACTATCATTTCCCCAACCCAGTATTCCACCCAATACTACATTTGATATAGATGATGTGATTCCACTAATTCCATCATAAAATGCTCTTCTTGCATTTTCCATGTCCTTGTCCCACTGATGATATGTACGTTTAGCTAAATTTCTCCAATATGGTAATACTACAGGTTCTGGTAAAGGGCTTACTCCGGGATAAAGTAAAGGTTCCAATCTATATGCTACAGGATCGTATGGATGAAAAATATTATATACTTTTAAATTAGAAATTTTCTTTAAAATAGATGTATCATTATTTTGATTCTGTTGTACTGGGCCTAAATCTTTTGGAAAAGCAAGTCCAGACTTCAAATATTCAGGAAAAATCATTACTAATAGAGCTGGTAGAGGAGAACCCCATAGAAACAAATGATCAACAACAAATTCTAATTCTGGAATAGGAGATCTAGTCACACGAGTTTGTTGTCTAGCTGCTAATTCATATGCTATTATACTTCCCAAAGAATGTCCAATAAGAACAACATTTGGTTCCTCCTTTGTTCTAAATCTATATTCCCTAATCTTTGAGTTTAATTGTTTGGCAACTTCAGCTACAATAAAGTCACCATATCTTGGAACCATGAAATATAATAAGTCCCCAAAAGCTCTATTTAAAAACATACGATTATCTCTTTTATTTTGCAGAGTTATTTTATCAAACATGTTATCTTGAAATGCTACAAGTGGACTTTTCCAATCAACTGTATCAACTGTTATGTCAATATCTACTTCCCAAAACCAATGAGCCTTAATAGATTCAAGTTGATAAACAAATTCTTCTCTATTTTTTGCAATTGTATTTTCATTACTTCCAATACCATGTACTAAAAGTATTACATGAGGTGGACGTTTACACTTTCTTGGTAAAAATGGACCATAACCTTCTATAACTGGTGCTTTTTTTTCTAATAACTCATTAGAGTTACAATTATTACTTTTTAAAGTTAGATTTGTGGGTCGATCTATTGTATATTCTCTTGACATTGTATCTGTAGCAGATGAAGTTTTTGAGATTGTAGATGGTACTCTTGTAAAAGGATATTTGTGCTTTTTGTTATCATTTAAACTCCCTTCAAAGCTATTCATATTTAAGGAGTTTGTCTCACTTGACGCATTATTTAAATTTCTTCTCAATATTTTAAGATTCGAACCTATTCCAAGATGAATAGATGATTCATATTTAGAGCTGAATTCATCATTTTCACCAATAATATCCATACTCTGCTCATTTACCAATTTTTCTGCAATATTATTATCAGAATTAATATTACTAGAAATATTATATTTGTATTTACTAGTACTAGAGGTGGAGTTGTATTTCCTATCATTCCTTATTAAAGGATATTTAAAATTTGCATAGCTTTCAGTTATATTCCTCTTATGAAATACACTTATTGACTCTATATCTTTGTATCCAGTTACACAACATTCTCCCTTATACGTTTCATAATTTGAGTTAGATCCTGGAGGCAAATGGTGAATAGAACTTTTGTAATTATCAGTATTCAATATTACAGAAGTAATAGATACATAACTTTCCAGAAAGTTCCCAGATTCATTAACCTCAATTTCTTCATCAGTCTGTAAATCTTCAAAATCTTGTAGGCTAAATCCAATAGAGACTTCACTCCTTTTAGACTCAGTATCCCCACTCCTCGGCTCTTCTGATACTATGCTCATTCAAAAGAGCTTAATAAGCCTAATATATTATCTAAATTCTAAATATTCTAAGTAAATATTTCGGCATTACAGTTATATAAAAAAAAATTATATTAAGGTTCAAGAAAATTTTCTAAAGTACCTTAACATGGGATATTCTACTATCAGGATTAACAGTTAACTCACTTGTTGCCGCCTTATTACTTTATTGAAGGGGGGGCTTATAGTGTTGCTGTAGTTTAGTGGCAGAATTTGTTGCATGCAAATGCAACAAAATTTACATACTCTCTCGTCCAGTACAATTTTGTTTGAAAAAAAGAAAAAAGTACTAAATTCTAATTTAAAATATGACTAGACAGGATGTAAGTTTAAACATTTTGGAAAATGAGGTAAATAGAGATGGTAAAGCGGAATTAAATAACAATGAAAGTCAAAAAATAGATAAGGGAGAATTTTCAGGTTTTTCAGTTTTTCCTATTACAACAAGGGTTCATTCTCTACTTAGAAATAATGATCAGTATATATTTTTAAGGCATATAATAAAATTAGTGAGCTTGGATAATCTTTTAAAAAGTGGTCCAAATAGGATAAATATTGGCACAAAAATAAGACAGCTAATTGGAAAATTCATAAGTCATCCTATAGTAAGAGTATGGTTTGCTCTTTTAACTTTGGTTGTAATGATTTTAAATGAGATTAGGCTGTTATTTACTGAGTCATATACTGATGAGGCCTTTAAAGGTATCTTTGGTTTCATTATAGGTAATAGGATAATTGAGATTATACTGTATATTATCGCCATGGATGGATATTTATACGTATATTTTATATTTGATCTGTTCTCTTTGGCATTATTACTAGTTAACTTAAGTTATTGTTTTTTATCATCTTTTACACCCGTTGATGTACTTAATAATAACATTGATAATTATTACATATTTTCTCAAATTAGAAATTTTGGACCAAATGCACAAATTTCTCTTATCACTTCTATAACTCAAGCTTTTAGATTTATTTTATTATTTGAAGGTGATAATATATATAACTTTATTACAAACTATAATTCATATAAGGGAATTATCATTGCACAAGATTCTAATAATGCATATGAAAGAAAATCTTATTTTATGTGTAATTACAATGAGATGAATAATGGTTTAGTAGATAATTTAGAACATGTGACAAATAAAAATAACTGTAATCGAGGAAATTTTAAGTTATCAAAGATTATAGAGAAAAAAATTGCGTTATTTGCATTATTTGCAGTGATAGTATATCCACTATTTGTACCTGCAGTTTGGATTTCTATAAATACAGCAGCATTTTCTGGAGTTCAAGATTTGGGCCAATGGTCTAATCTTAGAAATCAAAATCCAGGCGATGAGACATGGCCAAATGCATATATGATTAGTCTTGCATACTATACATATAGAAATAGTATTGGTACCCCATCTAAATGGATGAAATTAGTTGCTATTCAGGCACCATTTCCATTAAATAACAATCCTACATGTCATGGATGCCCAAAATCAAGTTTAGAGGTAATAACGAATGCTATTTCTATTATAACAAGCTCTGATATACCCTCTTGGTTTATTCAAATATTGTCCCTACCAACAATATCTCAAGGTATATCACTCATACCATTGGAAAATTTCAAGAGTATTAGAAATTTCGCATTAAGACAATATCAAATGCAAATATGCATGAGAACTGGACTAAATGCTATTGTAAGCCCAGAACTGAAATGTCCGGAAGATTTGATTGCAAATATTACTGCTGTTTTTGATATAACAAATATGATTCAAATGGGGGCTGGACTAACTTTAGGAGTTGTCTTTATCAGTTTTTTTGCATTTTTGATCTTTACTATTGTTATACAAAAAGTACTTGATACGCAAGTCTATAGCATAGTGAACAAAATTAACAGAACATTAATGGCTATATCAAATAATCCCCTTCTTGCTATGAATATTTCAAGTATGAATAAATTTTATTATGAAGATAATCATTTATATAATAAAATGACTAACAAAACTACTAAAATACAATTAAACAAACAATTCAAGAAATTTGGTTCAAAGAAAAATGAAGATATAGATAAATTTTCAACCAATATACTAGAGAATACATTTACTAAATTGGGAACTCTTTTAGCTGTAGGATTAGGATCTGCTGGGGCAAATATAATAGCTCAAAATTTAAAAGATGATAGAGTTAATATCAAAATTCCTGGGAAGGAAATTACGGCTATTTATGGATTTTGTGATATTAGAAATTTTACAGATGCAACAGAGGTTCTTGGAGAAAAAGTAATGCCATTTGTTAATCAAGTAGCTGAAGTAGTCCATGGAATTGTTCATGAATTTGGAGGGGCAGCAAATAAAAATGTTGGTGATGCATTTTTATTTGTTTGGAAGTCAGAGTCCAAATGGGTTGATATGAAAAACTTACAGGCTGATATGGCAGTCATGTCATTTATACAAGTAATCATTGAGATTGCAACATGTAAGAAATTTATTAAATATTCGTCAAATAGATTACTTCAAGAACGTCTACCAAATTATAAGGTCACATTGGGGTTTGGACTGCACTTTGGGTGGGCTATTGAAGGTGCTATTGGATCTGAGCTTAAAATTGATGCATCATATTTATCACCAAATGTTAACTTGGCCTCAAGACTTGAGGAAGCAACTAAACATTATAAAGTACATTTATTATTTTCTCAGCAAGTATTTGAACAGTTATCTATTTCAATGAAATGCTACTGTCGTCTTGTAGATTGTGTAACTCTTAAAGGAAGCATTACTCCATTGTATCTTTATACGATAGATATTGATACAGATCTATATACAGATATTAGTTCAGATAACAATTTCGAAAATATAGAAGATAATGATGAAAGTATATTTGAAAGAACAAGAAGACATGAAATGATGCAGCAAGCAGATTTTAGAATTCACAGCTTATTTCATACAAGTGTTATATTAAAACAAATGAGAGCTCACCTTTTTGAAGATTTTCAGCAAATATATGAAAAAGGGATTCAATATTATTTATCAGGAGAATGGGATAAATCAAGAGAAATATTGCAATATCTCGATAATGAATGTATGAAAAGGTGGAATAAACCTGATGGTCCTACTCAAACCATCTTAAAATATATGGAATCTTATCAGTATATTGCACCATGTGATTGGAAAGGTTTCCGAAAGTGGGATGAGAAATAATAGTAAGCCAAATGAAAATTCAATTATATTTTGTCATAACTGGTGTTTAAAAAAAACTATATATAATTTAGTAAGCTCTTTAAATTTATATAACTTGAAATTTGTTCAATATTTGAAGTAATCTTGGCAGGATCACTATCAAATCCTAAGTTATGAAATAAAGGTAGAGTATGAATTAATTTAGTATTCCAAAATAGTATATCAGTGGAGTATTGTTGAATAATTCCCTTTGGATCTAGTATATTAGCTGCATGTGTATCATTGCCATCTTTGACAAGTTTTTGTATGGACGCCAGTTGTTGTTTTGCTGTAGTGATTTGGTTTTCGCAAATATTGTATATACCTTGATAAATAAGTTCCATACTATCGTAAATAACGGAAGTAAAAAATTCTTGTATTTTATGGAGAATAAAGTCATTAATATTCTCTATAACTGAACTTAATACATTATCGGAAAATTTAAGAAATACTTGCAAAGGTTTTGTAGCATTATCAACAAAACTACTTGGTTGAAGACTAGTTTTTTCTTCTTCATTACAATTATTCATATCTAAAATTTGTTTTGAGTTACCTGATATTCTATATAAACAAGTACTAGCTCTTATTCCAGGGCTAAATATGTTCATTGTTTGTTTATATAAATATTCCCCTATAACAGGTTTTATATTATTTACAACATTAATATCTATATGGTAATATAGTCCATTTTCAAGAATATCTTGACTAATTTTCTGTTTCAATACCTCTATATTAATTATATTTGGTACTTTTTTCCATTTAAATTGACCTATTCCCATACTCAAGTATTCACTATGTAATATATTCATATGATGAAATAGTTCCTTTATGAACATATTTCTAATCCAGTTTGTAAATGTAAACATATCTAGAAGAATAAATATAATATGTTCAGGTTTCGTATTATTATCCCAGACTAATTCGTTCGTCTGTGAAGATTCCTTAAGGTAATTTTCATCACCTCCATTCTCTAAAATTCTAGGTGTATAATTAGAGTTTGCTACTCCTGGGTTGCTATCCTTAATAAAATCACTTATTTTCAAAAATGACAAAATATAAGATGCATAATCATAAAATAGTGTAACACATGCATATAAACAACGAGAAAACAAAGGAACCATACACCTAGAAGGGGGCAAAGGTGTATCTGGCTGAATTGTTGCAACTCCTAGTATCCATCTTACTTGTTTAGTTACTTCAACCGTATATTTGAGCCAATATTTAGTTTTCTCATGAATATAAACTTTATTAAATTCAACTTTTTCATTTTTAATAATCATTCTCCTACTTAACAAATTTCTGTATATTAAGTTCCAATATGTTCCGAATTTCCACCTTTTCGTGTATACATTGGCATCTTGGTTTTCTCTAAATGCAATAATTAGTTGTAAATTTAAACATGGTAAATAGTTTTGTACATAATTTTTCGAATTAACCAAAATTTGTTCACATGACTCGATAAAACTTACAATAGAAATAATTTGATGTAAATATAGATCCATAGGAGCAGCTGGACTTGCCAATGATGAGTTCATTATTGTTTCAACTTTACTAAGGCAATAAATAAGAATTCCTTTTACAAACCAATCTGTGCAAATTTTGACATTTTTTTTACAAGGCATCATAAGGATACTTGCAGCAATAGTTTGAATAGTCATTTTTAAAGATTCGCTTAAAAGTAAATTTTCTACATGTTTGATTGCTGATAAAAATGGAATTTTGTCATTAAAAAATTTTGAAAAGTCGGAATTTGAAAATATTTCTGTATCTAATTTCTTATGAGTCAACTTAATGAATTCTTCATGCAAATTTAGAATAGTCAAAGAATGGCATATAAGTCTTCCATTAGAAGTGAGCAGATTAGTATTATCAGATTTTACCAAGTTTGAGAAATCTTTATCAAGTCTAATAAACACTTTTGATGCTTCTAAAATATAAGATTTGAGGTCTAAAATGAATTCATCGCAGAATTTCAGGCACTTCTTAATGTAATATCCAGATTTCCTATTATATTTATCGGGTAGCTCCAAAACAGACTTTTTGCTTGAGTCTTGGATTTTTACAACTTCTTGCATTATACTATCTGAAATTTTTCTAAGCTTAGTAGTCTTTTTAATAGTGAAGTAAATAACCACCACTAATATGAAAGAAATTTTGCCTAAGCTTACTGCTTTATTTAATGCAAAACAATCTACTATGCTTTGTAATTTTGTCCTTAGAGTTTTTGAGTATTGTTCACATGACTTATAAAATGATAATTCTAGTTTACAAAATTTAAAATAATCATATTCAAAAACTAACTTGTTCAGACGTTTTTCATAGTGCTGGAGTATATCTGATATCTGATTTAAGGTGCTGTACACTTCACTTTCATAAGGTTGTAAACTAGGTACAAGACTATCAATTAAAGGTTGCATCTCAGTAGCTATATCCATATAGTCTCCATAAGCAGTATTAAGTAGTTGTGCTATATTTTCATCTTCTTCTTTTAGGTGTGATGAAAGTGCATCACGTAGTCTTTTGATATCCATTTCATGGCGATAATTCTCTACCAATGCTTCTGGAGTAGCAAAATTATCAATTTTAATGGTTGAGCTTAAGTTATCATAATTACGATTTTCATAATATGATTCCATAATTGAGAATCCTAGTTATAAAATTGCCAATTTTCCACTTCTTCATTATGTTCTTAAAGCGTGTAATTTAGCGCCCAAAGTATATAAGATTGTGAACTTCAAAAAATATTACTTTTTAAACTTAAAAAAGTAAAATGATCATTTCAGATATCCTGAATTTGTTTAAACTAGCTTTTAATAGGGATGGAATTTATTAGGTCATCTATATATACTGAAGAGATAACAGATCATGGTATTTTGCACAATGAAGTAAATATTAAATCTTCCAAAGAAGAGAGACTGGAAGAAATTCAGTCAAGCCTTCCAGAATACTCACGTGGTAAGTATTAATTATAGATTCTTTTTATATCCTAATTGGAATCTTCTATATTATTTTTTAATATTGTCTTTTTCTTTATTTAGTTGACATAAGATGGTAAGTTCTAACTGGATTTCGTTATATGTAAATAATTGGAAATAACTATTGGAAATAAACACTTTAATATTTATAATTATAGGGGTAAGGATAATAATGAAATATCTACTAAAGATGGGGAGGATACCTATACTGGTTTGTTGGTAACTGAAGATGACCTTGAGTATTACAATAGTATGTATGAATCACGAAGACACCAGGAAGAACAGAGATTGAGAGAAGAAGAAGAAATTAGAAGGAATTTTGAGCAATTTCGTAGGAGAAGAAGTAAGATGATATCAAAGGAATTTCTAACTATGGGAGATTTCAACTTCGAACAAGATACTGAAATTAAAATTTCTAATGCTAAGGGATACAACACAGATATACAAGCACCTCATGCAATAAAAATTAAAAACAAACTTAAAACTAACAATACAAGTGGTCAAGTTCTAAAATCACTCTTTGCTGGATATAGTGATGAAGATACCGAGTAATTTACATAATTTCGTACATAATGTAGACAAATACCAAATGGTTTGTAAATTATCACATTAGAAAGTGAGTTGTATTATGTTTAAACAAAGTATGGTGAGGGTAATATCTATAAATAAACATCTTCATCTATTTCTTATCAAAGTCTATAATTTTATTAAATTCCTAATCGGGTAAAGATAATTAGATAATAAGATTTGAAAATTATGTATATAAAATTCCACACTTGCCGCTAGATAGCATCTTATTGTTCACTACTTACCTATCGTGGTACCGCGTTTGTTACTTGCGCCTACATTATTGATGCCGCCCCCCACAAAACACTTATTTGTAGGTACTTGCAGCTGCTTACTAAAAGAAGATACTACAGATTACACTGAAAAGAATATTGAAACATGCAAGATGGTAATAGTATGACCTCAAGTAGAGATCCCCAATTTGAGAACTTCAGTGTGAGTATAGGTAATGATACTTTTTCTCAGGCTGGAGTAAGCTCAGTAGGTGTACCTAGCCTAAGAACTATCCTTAGTTCTCAAAAATTGGGTAGAGGCGATTTAGGAGATATAGGTCGTATAAGAACCAGTCGTATTGAGTCATCATGTGGAGCATCATCTGTAAATCACCTGGACTCTATAGGGGAAGCAGAAATAAGATTAGAAGGGGAAGCTGAATTTAAAGATCTATTCTTGACCTTTTTAAGAACGTTTGTAGCTCAAGAAGGTGATGTAATTAGTCATTATAGTCGTTCAAGGAGTTCTTCAACTCAAATAGAAGGCTACCATTCTACCTATATGGGATTACTAAGGAAGTTGTTGGAAACTCAACTAACAGTTGAAGCAAATCAAGATGATAACAAATGTATGAACGGCTTGAATAGCTATAGTTTTGATATAAGCTTAAGGCATTTAAAGGAATTTAGTCAGAGCCTATTTGTTAACACTATATCATCTCCTAGCGATGCTATTGTGTATATGGATGAAGTTTTGGAGAGTGAAATTGAAAATTTGCTTGGAGAGGAATATTTAAAGGAATTTTTGCTCCCAAAAGTTAGAGTATTTGATAATCCAAAAATTTCAAATGCAAGAGAGATTAATCCTTCAGATATTGAGCAGTTAATAAGTATTAGAGGGATTATAATCCGTTGTTCCGATATAATTCCGGAGATGCAAAAAGCTACATTTAGATGTACAAGTAATTATGATGTTAATGGGACTAGTACAACTTGTCAACATAGAGAATATAGATTACTAGTTGGAGGGGAAATTGATGAACCGATTATTTGTCCTGTATGTAATAACAAGTACTCTTTTGAATTATTACATAACTCTTGTCAATTTTCGAATAAGCAAATTTTGAAGATTCAAGAGCTTCCAGATATGATACCTCCTGGAGAGACTCCTCATACAGTTCTTGCTTATGTATATGATGAAATGGTTGATAGATCACGACCAGGGGATCGAGTGGAAATTACAGGAATTGTGAAAGCTTCCGGAGTGAGGTTAGTATCTAGAATGAGATTACTTAAGTCAGTATTTCGCACATATATTGATATTCTTCATATTCACAAGAATATTTCGAGTAATCTATATTCTATTGCTGGAAATAATTTTTTAGGAACTATGAACGATGTTGATCATGACTCTGGAAGAGTATATCTGAGTCAATTTGAGGATGAGGAAAAAAGGGCCTTTGAAAATGCAGATTTCAATAACTTAAGTAAAGATAAAGATGGGGATAATGGAAGTATTAGTATTGAATTAAATACAAAAAAGGGTCATAATACTTTATATACAAAAGAGATGGTGGCAGAATTTAAGGAAATGGCAAAAGATCCACAATTGTATGAGAAGTTGGCAAATTCAATTGCTCCAAGTATTTGGGAAAATGAAGATATTAAAAAGGGATTATTGTGCCAACTATTCGGTGGAAGTAAGAAAAACTTGTTAAATACAGCTACAAATATTGTAACGAATTCACTAAATAATTTCCAAAATAATGACTCAGGTCTTAGTCGCCAAGAGATAAATATTTTGCTCTGTGGTGATCCAAGTACTGCTAAATCCCAACTACTGCAATATATTCATAAGTTAAGCCCTAGAGGATATTATATTAGTGGAAAAGGTAGCTCAGCTGTAGGATTAACAGCTTATATTACAAAAGATCCTGAAACTAAAGAGCTAGTTCTAGAAAGTGGAGCTTTAGTTTTGAGCGATCGTGGGATTTGTTGTATAGATGAATTTGACAAAATGGACGATTCTTCTAGGAGTATACTTCATGAAGCAATGGAACAACAGACGGTTAGTATTGCAAAGGCTGGTATTATCTGCTCTTTAAATGCTAGGGTTGCAATTTTAGCGTCAGCTAACCCTATTGCAAGTCGTTACGATCCATATAGAAATGTAGTGGAAAATTTAAATTTACCTCCATCTCTGATGTCTAGATTTGACCTCATATATTTAGTGCTTGATAATCATAGTGAAGAATCAGATAGAAAGCTTGCTCAACATTTATGTTCATTATACACTATACAACCAAGAGAATTAAATACTTCAAGTTCTGGAGTCCCTCTCAACACTTTTTCTAAAGAAAAGATTAGTCGTTATATAAGTTATTGCAAGCAATATTGCAACCCTAAGCTATCTACAGAAGCTTGTCATCAACTAATACAGAATTATATATCAATGAGGCGACAAGGGGTGAGTGGTGAGACAGGTCGTTATAATAAGACTGTAACGGCAACTCCAAGACAACTTGAAAGTCTGATTAGGATATCTGAAGCCTTGGCAAAAATGCAACTTAGTGATTGGGTTGAAAAATTACATGTTGATGAGGCTACACGTCTTATGAAGGTGGCTACTTATAGTGCTTTAGTAGACCCTATAACAGGGTTGATCGATATGGAACAGTTAACTATAGGGTATGCTGGTAGAGAAAGGGAGTTACAAGAGAAAATAATGCAGATAATTCTAGACTCTCTTAGTGATCACCATGATGGGGCCACAATGGATGGTTTGGTAGCTTTGACACAAGATATATTATCTTCAAATAAAAAGGATTTTACATATAACTCAAGTATTTATGATCTTAGGAAAGATATATCAAGAAGTATAGATCTGTTGATAGCTAATGGGAATATTAGGAAAGTTTCAGCTGGAAAATATAAATTGGCTCCAACAAAAGGATAGAATGTGATTAAAGGACAAATATATATTTAATTAAAATTTTGGAGTATATAATTTAATGTTTACATATCTAAGAAGTGATCCTTATAACCTTACAGAAATTTTGTTCTGACATTCTAATCTCAAAATATATACTTGTTTTTCAATGACTTAGAGTAACTATTGTGATTCATGAAATAGATTCTAGCTTCATACTAACAGATTATAGGATATTTTGTTATTTTTAATTGTTTAATATATATTTTATTGATATTGTATTGTATTTGACTTCTACATTATACAATATATAAGTTTTCAAGGGTAAATTTCCTTATAATATATAACAAGACCTATTGAAATTTTATACAGCCAGATTACCAAGAGTATAATTGCTTGCTCTTTTATGAGAAGGGAATGATACCCAAGATTCGCACTTTTTAGATGGTACATTTGCCTCTATAGTACTCTTATCTAAAACTCTGTTAGTCTGAATATCCCCTTTTTTATCTAAATTATTAAGTACAGAGTAAATAAGTTGGATAATTTGACTTTTTTCGTGATCTTTTATACTAAGAAACTCTTTAAGTAGATTCAGAATATCTACAGTCTTCTCATTTGTTGAAAATAGTATATTGTGTTTTTGTTGTCTTTTTTGAAATTGTTCATCTAACAAATTTAAAATATCCTGTTTATAACTACTTTTTTCTTGTTTAAGAATTCCCATATAATTTTGAATGGTCCTATCATCTCCCCTATTTATCAAAGTACTGACTTCTGCTTGAGTCTTTCCTAAATTTAAATTTTCTTGGATAGATTTCAGTATTTTCAAGTCATTTTCTTCGAAACTTAGATGATTTCTAAGTACTAAATTTAAATTATTGAAATAATCAATATCTTTTTTCAATTCATCAATATATATATTATTGTCAACTAACTTTGTCTGCTGATACTCCAAACAAGCAATTAGTTGTTCATTTTCTTTAGTTAGTTTATCACGTTGTTTTCTAAGGTTAGTTAGCCTCATGTTAGTTTCTTGTATCTGGTTACTGTATGTTTCATGTTGCTTTGAGTGATTACTAATAATATCTTTTAAATCTTGAATTTCTTTCTTCATTTCATCAAGCTGAAATTCACTGCACATATTTGGAGCTTTTGAAGCAAATATAGGATTACCTGAAGTTGAATCTTTTGGAGATGAGGTACTGCAGTAAGTATATATCTCAACTGATTTATTCGTCTCCTTTTCCTCGTTAGAATGTATATAATAATTATTATTAACATCTTTATTGCCACTCCTTGCGGTATTATTAAATTTCATTTTATTAGCTGTTTCCTCTATATTTCGGTTTTCCAGTATATTTTGAATTTTGATCATCTCATTAGATATATGAAGCAAAACCTTTGCAGACAGTGGCTTATATACAACTTCATTTTTTTGGAGTTTTAGTTCAATATAAGCCATTGCAATGAGAAATTCCAGCATGCTAAGTTTTCCATCTGCATCAGTGTCTGCAAGATCCCAAATCTTCAATAAATCTGGACGAGGAATTTGAGATTTTACTAAAAAATTAAAAACATCGTCACGCTCAATGAGTCCATCTGAGTTTTTATCTAAATTTCTAAATATTCTAATGTAATTCTCAATCTGAATCTTTGTTAATAACAAAGGATTAGGTTTGTATGTTGTGGTATTCCCATTATTTTGTAAATCATTATAAGTACTTTCTAGCCTAGATTCCAAGTTTTTTAAGTTCCATAGTGAGGAAATATCAAAAAATGGTAATTTTAAGGGAATTTTATTATAAATTGAAGAATTTGGATACTTTTGTTCGTATTGGTAAAGTGCAATAAGCCTACAAGCAACTCCAAACTCATTAAAGTTCAAAATACCATGATTATGAATATCAACGATACTCCAAATTTGGCGAAGAATTTCCCTAGATAAACCAGATGTACGGAAGAATCTTGCAGTCATCATACCTACAGGAGGTATCTCACAAATTGCAGAATCCCTTAAGGATGTATGTGTTTTTTCTTCAAGCTCGCTAAATCTTTGAATCATTAAATACCAAGTCTCATAGCAAACAATTTCCTCGGATGAAAACTCTATATCTTGAAAATCTTCTAAATCTATTTCACTACAGAAATCATTAGAGTACTCTGGAATATTTGCTTGATCATTTAAATAGGTCCTATTGTTGCCTTGGTTAGCTAAATTGCTATTCATATCTTTTTCATTACTGAAATATTATTTAGAATCCTAAAATATATCTGTTCTCACTTGCAGTTTAAATTGTGGCCCACTATATCTACAGTGCTCAAACACAAAGATGTAAATATCCCGCTAATAACTGGTTGTATACTAAAACTGCACACCTATGTTGAAATTCGCGAGATTAAGGTAGTAGATGATATATACCTAGATAATAAAATTTTGAAAATTTTGTGGAGTTGGCAATTCTAAATACTTCATTTATACTGACATTTTATTTAAGAAATATGATCAAGTATCCAGATAGAACTTAATTATAGCTGAACTATATATGAAGAGAATACTTAGAAGAGCAAATAATAGTAGTAATAGTATACTAAATAACTACTTACAAATTACTTCCAAGTCTTTCACAACTTCTCTACTTAAATTTATCACTTTTTTTAAAAACTCTGATACCTGTAGTAGTATGCATGCATGTAACACACAGATTAGCTGCAGATCTTGAACACGTTTTAACTAAAAGATCTCATGCGTCTAAAGTATTTATATGTAGTTTGCCTATATAAAACTAATATAGAGCAATGGAAGAGAGCAAAGATTAGCTTTATAATAGCACTTAGACAGCATGTAATACAGGCTAAGTATACCCAAGGATAGTTAGAGAGTAGAGTATATTGAAGCTTCCAAGATAATTCAAAATTTTGGGTATACTCCAAAAAATTATTCATATTATTACTCAATAAGGTTAAAGATCCAATTACAAAGGCATAGAATGATGATAAACTACATGTAAATAGAAATAATAAAAATTTTGACAAGTTATGTTTACTTACACAATTTCCAATCCATAAACAATGGTGATCAAAATCAGGTATACAAGTACTGCAAATCTCGCAGTGTCTAAATTCATTATTATATATATAAATATGACATACAGAACAATAGGATCTATGTTTTAATGTTTCTTGCTCAGTTATTTCATTACAAAGTTCTAGCTTAGTAGATAATTTTTGTAATTTAGTATCACCAGGGTTACTAAAAACAGCTATTAAAAAAGTGATAAAAGAAGCTGGAGCAGCAACAGCTAAAATAATGTACTTATGGAATTCAGGGACAAAGTTGTTGGGTATAAATGGGAATATTTGAATCACAAATATAGTCAGAATTATATTGTACAAAATAAACCATATGTATTTAGTTGAGTTAAGAAATATATAATGAAGAAGTTCGAGTATATTAATAATTATCAATACAACTCCTTTACCAAGTAATATTTGAGTCCACTTTATCATGATCTTTGTTGGGATATATACGAATGTGTTATGTAGTTTATCAATAAGTAAAGGACCTTTAGGTTTTCCAAAGATTACTATAATAAACCAAAAACTCCATAAAAAGCACAAGATTATTGTAATCAAGTTAAGAAGCATATTGATTGTTGATATAGGAGAATTTTATATTGCATCTCAGACCCCTATTTGACTAAACTAGCGAGGGTTTAATTATGTTGCGGTAAAGACTACAGTACCTGTTTGCTGTAATGACTTATTTTAAAGATATATATCTTGTAAATGAAGCTTTTGTCGGATTTATTTATAGTTTTATTCAATTTCTAACATGTCTAGTTGTGTATCTATTGAACTTTCAAATTCATCATCTGTCTCTGCATCAAAATTACTTATCTTGTTCCATTCCTTTAAGCTAAAATCTACATGTTGAATAGAACTAATAGCAGCTGCTCTTTCAGCCCTAAGCTGAATTATTTGAGAAACTTCTTTAAAAAAAACACAACGATCTTTAGAGAATATTTTAGCCCAAAAGTCATTTAACTTATGTTGTTCAGATCCCATCCAACCACAAATTTCGTAATATGGTGATGCTATAAATCTACGGCGAGTAACAGTAGTCCAATTATAAGAAGGAACATCTGTTATTATTGCAAAACAACCAATTAGTTGAATACCTATATTATATAAATTTTCAAGTTCATACTCAGACACTTCAACACCATTTGCCATATTTGTAAGCACAGCTTGACAACTCCGCTTAAATAGATCATTGAAGAAATTGAGAAACTGACTCAGTGCACTCTCTATAGCCTCATATAGTGTTATAGATTTTTTTATATTTTTAGATTTAGAATCACTTGTAGTACTTATATTTTTTTGCATAATATGTCTTAAGTATAAAGGAATTGATAGTGAAAGTATAAGTTTCAATTCTTCCAGTAATTTTGTAATTGAATCTGTAGATAGTGATAAATTATCAATTTCTTCAGTTATTGTATTCCAATTTATAAGTAATTTTCTTAATATTAATTCATAAGTTGGACAGATTAACTCTAGTATATTCTGTATTACTTTTATATCATTTCCATTACTATATATTGGAAAGTTTACCTGTTGTAAAAGAATTGAAGTAATACCATTTATAATATATTTCGTATCATCTGTACAAGTTAGTATTTCTATAAATTCCTTGTCAAATTTAGTAGAATTTTTAGGGCTTTCAGCTAGTGACACTTCATTATTCTTTGATGATGTTTCGCAACATCTACTTTGCTCACTTTGCAAAAATCTAATTGAATTTTCATCTCTCTCATCTCCATTGTATACTGTAAATTCTTTAGTATCACTTTTATCATTTGATTTATCTGTTGATATCAGATTATTATTAATGCAAAGATACTCTCTATCATTGCATTTTAGAATATTCAAAGAGCTCTCATTAATTGAATTTTCCGAACTGCCTGTTATAACTCTCTTAACAAAACAAGAATTGTTTGAGTTGTTTGATTCTAAAGTTTTGGTTGAACGTGGAATCATCTGCATCAACTGTGCAATTATTAATTTTAATTTATCAAATGTGATTTGCCAGCTTGTAAACATGAGCATATTAATGAAAATTTGCACATTAGACATCTCTGACAGTACAAAAGATGTCTGTTTATCTTTTAATAAGAAATTATCTGAAGATATTGTACCTTGAATACAATTTAAAGCTTTGCATAAAATATTTAAACCATTGTTTTCGTTAAAAGTGGGAACAAGCCTCTGAATCAATGGAATAGATTTTACTATCATCATATCTTCTTTAGTTCTACATAATTTTTGTATTTTTCTATATCTTTCACAGTTTGAACATGGGCAGCGAGTGATTACTGATCCTCCATACTGAGACAAAAGTAGTTTTTGTATTCCAATATGATAAATTGAAGGAACAATATGATATTGAAGTGCTGGACTTGTTCCAATAATTGGAATAAAAGAAATTATTCTATATAAAACATTTAAACATTGTATATATACTTTTAAAACCTCATAATTCCCCTCTTTTATATCTAGCATTTTTGCAGATATTTCAAAAATACTAGATATCATATGATTAACTGAAAAGCTAAGAGTGTCCCAAGTAGATTGATCAATCAAAACTTCCAGTGTGTTAGGCGTTATTCTATGAGGTGGAAATCCTCGAATAGCAATATCAATATTTTTCAAAGTTATTAACAGTAAGGAAGGAGATTCTGAAAAATTTTTAGATTTGTCTTCTATGATAGATATCAAGTATGTAAAGTGAGATTTAAGAAATAAGCCCATATAAGTTAATTCATGAGATTTCCAATGTATATCAATGTAATACCTATGTCTTTCTGTAAGAAAATAAATAAGCATTGATATCTCCCCAATTTCCTCATCATATGACTGAATCTGCAAAGATGATAGTAAAGAAAATTGTTCTATTATTAAATTTAAAGATCCTAAATCTTGTTCATCATCAGTACCTTTGCTCATCAAACCTCTTACTGTCAATAACTCACAACAGCATTCAAATATACCACTATAAAAAAATTCTTCTATTAGCTCAAAATCATTGCATAAAGTCAACAAAGGTTGACTTACTACATTGAATGCTTCTTTCCATTGCTTGTTTTTCATAAAAGAATTGCAGCATTCAGCTACAGTTACCATATGATCATATCTCGGACCTCGACATTGTTTTTCGTAAACTCCTGGCATTTCTAAATTACTTTTAACAATCTTTTTAAAATATTAAAATGGGGGGGGGGGAACTATATCACGAAAATTTTACGAAATAAAAGTATTATGTTACTGAGAGATTGTGCTTGCCAGTATGCACAAAATGCGCATAACAAACTTTCTAGTATCATCTATGTATAATACTTAAATATTTTTCATATGGCTAATGATACCTGGACGGAACTTAAGAGACATCGCGGTAAGCTGATGTAGCTTGAATAATGCTTTCAAGAAATTATTCTGTGAACTTTAGGGAATAAATAGGACTATTATATTATGAATAGTACGTCAAAAAACATTAATTATGATGGAAATAGATTAAGTGGTTGTGAATACAGCATTTGAGACTCTCCTTTAATAGTAAGGAGTTGCAGACAACTAGTTTATATTGGAAAATATATTTAATATGCAATCTAGAAACAATTATATAGGATGTTTTGATGCTTTCGTGATATCAGGGATTAATTCAGATAGCTTTGTAAAGCTTGTCGAGTCGATAGATTTATCTTACACAGATGATGTTACTAGGAGGAGTTTAATAATGAGCATTTGGCCTACTAGTGTAATACATAGCTATACAAAATATGAACATTTCGGGGTAAAAGTAAATGAGGTAACAGAAGACTCCTCTACAATTAAAAATATAGATATTTTAAAACATCACATAAAGGATTGTGTAACATTTTGTTTTACAAATGGTGGTGCAAGAGTGCTACACCCTAAAAATAATGAATATCCCTCAACTCAATTTCATACGTTTGTATTGACTGGATATAAAGGAGAAAGGCGTTTTGGGGGCACCTTAGTTATTTGGGAGCGACTTAATAAATACATTACATTAGTAGATGGCCTTCAGAATATTCAAAGCCTCCCAGATTGGTTTGATTATAACGAATATTCTAACTATTATGTTCCATTATCTATTTGTCTATTATCATCTGCGCCCATATTCAGCACTATTTATAATGTCTTAAAATATAAATTTTTGAATACTTGGGTTGATATTAGGGAAATTTTTAAAACTAATTATACTAGAAATAACAATATGAAGTATTTTCTAAAGGAATGGTCGTATTTAGGGATTCAAGCTATAGCAAATATTAAGGAAGAGTTATTGTTTCATTCTATACTACCTCCAAAAGGTGTTTATCATGTAAACTGGGAACTATCTAAATCAGTCGTTCACTTATTATTTCAGCCACCACCTAATAGTCAATTACCATTATGTCAGGTCCCTGTTTTGTCTTTGTTTAACTTTATGACAGTTAATTCTATGCTCAGCTTGTATATAGCTTTGATTAAAGAAATGAGTGTTATATTTTTATCAAGATCTCCTTGTTTACTCTCAATAGTATGTGAATCATTTAGATGCTTACTATTTCCTCTTGATATATGCATGATATATATTCCTTTGCTCCCATTTCATATGGTTGAACTATCGGCTAGTCCAACTCCATTCCTAATTGGTTTGCTAATTCCAGATGAACTGGAAGATCACTTAACTTTAATTTATGAAACTTTGAATGAATACTGTCCAAATGCAAATATATATAATTTGGATTTGTATGATGGGGTTAGTCCTTGTCATGTTATGACCGTATCACAGACTTTAATAAAATACTTTTCTAATAGTGACGTTCATTCTACAAGCACTCTAAATCATCCAAATAACGCTGATGATGCGAATTTTTCAATCCATCTTCATCCTGCAAATCTAAATATTAACAACTATAATGCTTTAAATGATTCTAACCATCTTCAGACAGGTCAAAATTTTCAAATAGTAACTTCTTCATCTAATATAAGTAGTCATAACCAGGCTATACTTGAAATACCATCTAGGCTTAGGAAAAAGATTGAGTCTCGTCTGATTGTAATATTGGACGAGTACAAGCTTAATTACTTGCTTATAAATTCAACAAAAAGGTCACTTGGTGATAAGACTATATCTACTCCTTCAATAAATGAGAAGTTTTCTTTCTGTACATCAAGTACATCTATAGTATATGAAACTGATAAGATGAATATATCAGATAATAATAATTCAAATGATTACATATCTATAGATTTACTAGGAAAATTGGAAATAAACTCAAACAATAATTCTAAAGTTGCGATTACTTCAAACATGCCTACAAAACCAGTATCAGCCAGGACTCATAGGAATTGTAAAGCTTCTACTGAGTCTAATGTAATGCAATTTGCCAGCTTAGAGAAAACTATAGATAAAACAACAGTGGGCAAAGAAATGAATTCTTATTTTGAAATTTCAAAATTACAATTAAACTATCTGGAGAATAATGTTACATCACAAGAGTTCCTTAAGGATAATTTAAATTGCACCACTTTAGAGAATAAATATCCAAAGACATATCCATCATCTCCTATTTCAAAGCATTATAGATGTGAATATGATTACCTTCCATATGATTTAAATACTAAACTGAGATTTGGATTTCCATTTGTAGATCTAGAAACACGACCAAACTCACCCAGTAAAGTGGAAGAATGCCAGAATTTGTCAAATACAAGATTTAATGAGTTTAATGAGACAATATATTGGACTATTACACCGAAGGAATTTGATATTGTTGGGGAGAATCACATTTTAGATAATTATGCACATTTATGGACTTTTAATATTGACAAACAAAGTGAAAAATTAAGTGAGGGTGATATGGACTTAAATATTCCTTGTATTCCAATAGAAGAAGAATTAGATGATCCTAAAAGGAAGATATATTTACAAATTCAAAATAAATTTAGAAAGTCCTTTTTGGAGTTTTTTTTCATAATTTTTAGAGGAATTATATTCCAAGACTTTAAAAGTCCATTTGACTCTACAATATTTAGAAATAACCTATTACATGAAGTCCATGAATCTTTAAAGCCATTATTATTGAGTGTTCTAGAGACACAGGCATTTAGTGACCTTCTAGGTGCTCTATCTACGTCAGTGTATCCTGAAGGATCTCATAATTGTGTCGAAAAACTTTACAGAATGATGTTACTAAGAGAAATGGTTCTCGACAGGAAGAACAAGTCCAAATTATTACCTCTAAGCAAAACATATCCTACACCTTTTCTTTCTAGTAAATTGTGGTATCATAATAAAGATAAAGTTATTTGGATAAAATATAAAAAATTAGGTAATAAAAAAGATCAATCTAAAGTAGACCTCAGCATTGATAATGAATCTTTACCTGAGAGCTTATCTACTGAAGAGTCGTTGAAATGTACTTTTAGTAATGAAATGAATTCTTTAAGTCAGTCTTTTTTTGGTAATATAGAAGATATAGAACTTAATTATGGTCTACCAACTTATTCTATATATCTCAGTAATATAAAAAGTATTTTCGTCTTGGAAATTCCTTCAATAATACCCTTTATTAAAGCTACTTTCCCAAGTATAATATTCAGTGAATCTTTGCAATCTTCAAAGATATCTTCTACTGATGAAGTCTTTGTGATTGATAAAAGTGTCTCTAATGATATTTACAATGTTGATCAAGATGATACATTTACTAAAGGACTGAGTATTATGGAACAACATAAATATAGTCAGGTAATTCTAATACGTCAATACTGGGGACATATTTGGAAATTTATAGATAAACTTTTTTCCTGTATGCAGTCAAACAATATGGCAGATGGAAGTGAACAGTTATATAAATTAAGTTGTACCTCTGTTTTTACTTCAATAGTAGGATTAAGTACAAGTATAAAGTTGAAAGTCTTGTGGATAATGTTAGTATTAATTCAACTTGAAAATTTGAAAAGTGATTCTGTTTTAGAAGGTATGGCATATTTAGAAATTTTACTGTCTGTTTTTTCTGACATTATTTATCAATTTAAGTCTAGTACAAAAGTATTGAAGAGTGATATATCTTCTTTTGTTATTAAAATACTACGGCCTATTGTATACCTGTATAATAAAAATCAACCATTATATATTTCTTACATTTGTTTACGCCTAATTAGATGGTTGCACACTAATACAAGTGATTTATATACTTCTTTGGAACCTTTGAATAATTCCAACAAATCTCTGAATATTTCTAATCAGAATGATTATACTAATTCATATACTTTTTATGATCCTGAGGAACAATCTCTTTTCCCAGAAGAAAAGAATCAATGGAGTGAAATTTTTGGATTAGATGATTTCGAAGTACTTGAATATATATACTATAAAGCTGTAAATGCTACTGACAGCATAAATATAGATAGCTCAAAAACGAAAATAAATCAAAGGGATTTTGATTTATTTTTATCTCTTTTTATCCTAAAGCCTTCTTTAAATAACAAAAGAAGTAAGAAGCGTTCACCTGAGAACTCAGTTACTTACAAACTAGCACTGAACAAGCACACACTAAATATAGATGATAAGACAATTAACATTCAAATTATGAGAGCTAAGAATATAATTTCAACCTTTATATTTATGCAGTGTAATTGGCATGTTTTGAATAGGAAACCAATAAAAGTTAGGTATAAGAAGAGAATTCTATTAAGTGGGATGCCTGTAGTTATTTTACAAACTAATTATGAACAAGTAACTACACTGCATGAGGATTCTTTATCCAAAAAAGAGTTTAATAACACTATTAGGGAGAATTTTACAGGACAAGGGAAATTAGATAATGATATAGAAGACTGTGAAGAGCATATGAGTAATTTTTGCATAAATAACTACAGTACTTATATAGAGAGCTCTAAAGAGCCCTCAATAAAACATATAGATTGTAACTACTTCGATATTCCCTTGTATTCAAGTAGTTCAATTATACTTCAACCAATGGTTATTTGTAAATCTTGTCTGGATGAAGATTTTAGCAATGAGTTTAGCGAAATATATAGTTTTGTACTCAAATATAAATTTCTTTGCAAATTTATATTTACTGAAGAATATACTTCCCTTAACCAGGTAATTGATGAACAAACTCTTGTATGTTGTCCTATTCATAAAAATGAAGCTCAAATGCTCCCTTTTTTACTAATGAAGGAACATAAAAGCGAAGGCAGCAATACTAGTACTGGATATCAAGATGATAAAATTTTACTTAATTTAATCCTACCAAGTACTCTTTTCAGTATTTACTTGAATAGCTCTATATTTAAGACAAAAAGAGTGTCAAGTCTTTTGACAAGACAAAATATTGATACAAGTGGAAATAATAGTAAACAAGTATGTTGTGGATACTCTATTGTGAGTAGCTACAATTTTACTTTATACTGTAATACTTTATTTTACTTTCGTCTATGTAATTTGTATATAGATCCATTTATTCCTACAGATGATGATTTCTCAGAAATCCTTTTCTTTTCAGCTTTTAAGGATCTTTATAATAGTAGAAATATAAAGGATGCTGAGGTGCAAGTGAATTATTCCACTAATATTGGACATATTGAAGTTGAGTATGCGCATAATCATGACTATAATATAGAAGATATATATATTAAAACTGATCATCAATTTCCAAGTTCAACTAAACTAGGAAATGATATCTCAACTCCTGAAAATATTTATATTCAAGATCATTTTAATGTGAAGAGTAATTATTTATACAATCAGGATTCTAAATCTAAACAGATATATAACATTTCCACTATGAGAAAGTTGGAAAGATCAAATTTCGAGGTCCATATCTTTAATGAAAACTTGGAATACAAATTCTTAGAAGATAATAAATTCTTTGAAACCACCATCAAAGATTTTTTTCAAAAGTTTGATATTATTGAATTATTTCGTATATATCAAATCAAATGTCTTTTAATTGAAGATATTCTTTCTAGAGAACTAAATATCTATACAAATACTGACTATAGCTCATATACATGCAGGAGTGAAAGTAATACTTTACAAGGCTTTCTAAATGATCATAGTGAATGCTATATAACTTTAGAAGAATTTACGAGCATATATACTGATAGCTCCAATATAACTCTTAAAGAGTTAACAAGTATTAATCCAGAACAAGGTATAATAAAAAATAAGCCTATTTATGATTATAAAATATTCAATAATATAACATATAAGAGTGAAGTAGAACGAAGAAAATCAATATAGTTTAATTTTATAATAAAATAGGTCTTGAATTATCTACATCTTAACTTTTACTAAAAAAACTTTATAAAAGAAATCTTTAAAACTTAATTTCTAAGTTGATGAAATAGTTCTTATATGTTCTTTTGATAAATTTGAAAGCTATTCCTTAGGATTTTTTGCATATAAAGTTAACTTCATAATATTAAGTTTCACCTGAATGTTCAATATTTTATAAACCTTTCTAAATACTAATGATATATCTTCAGTCTTGCCAATACTTTTGGTTCTCAATAATGCTTTAGGAATTTCCTTGGAATTTTCTAAACCACCTAGTATATTTGTGTCTATTTTGATTAAAAAGTTTCTTATTTTCAGTTGCTTCATTATTATGCACATTAAACTCATCTTTCAAATGCAATATTTGGTGCATTTCACGGTATAGAGATCTTAGCTCCTGGTCGAGCTGACCAAGAGTCCATCTTTGAGAAGGGTTGAAATTCAAACAACCCCATAAAAGTCGCTGAACCCTAGAAGACCATCCATGTGAATCATCTACAAATATTCCCTTATTTGGGATAATATCTAATACTGAACAATTTCTCCTTCCAGTTAAACAATTTATTATATATTTTTCATTAACGCGACCTAAATTAGGAACTATATCGCCACAGGCATTCCATTCACACATGCAATCAATAGCATGAATATCATCATTATCACAAGCTTCCAATATATCTTTACCACCAAGTAGTTTAGAAAGTGCAATTCCAAGGCAAAATACAATAGAAGGTATTCCCATCTTTATAGAAAAGTGCAATTTTTCTACAACACTTTTAAAAGTTGAATAATCTTTCTCAAGATCATCACAATTTTCCAATTCCTTTGTTTGTTTTGATAAGCTTGTAAATTTATCTATTATTCCCTTCCACTCCATACTCATTGTACTTATACCTGAAATCTTCGTAATTTTCAAATCTCCTGAAAATATTAAAGAGCACCATCTATTTGATATCCTCTCATATAGACTTGAATATATTGAAGTATCATCAAATTTGCTATATATATTACTCTCATGAGTAACTTTTTCAATTTTTAATTGTTCATAATGCAAATTAGTATGCATTACCTTCTCGAATAAACTTTTTAAATAAAAAGAAATAGCTAGTTCAGGACTTATATATTTATTATCAACAGAAAAATCGTTAATTGGGTGTGCATCATCTATTTTGTAGCCAAATAGATCTTCATTATCTCCATTAATTTGAAACCAAATATTGTCTCCTTTTACAAATTCCCCTATATTACTAAATATAACATTCTTAACATTTAATATTCCAGTATCTGAAGATCTCTCAAAATTTATCAAAATACATTCTGGTGAGAAATATAGTGGAAGATATCCAAGGTTAATGACACTTCGAAAAGCGGATACCAGCTTAACAGCGATATCCATTAAGGTTAGAGGATGAGTATAAATTTGACTATATGAACTTTTATGTTGATCATAACCTAATACTAGGCTTAATCTACGACTTGAGCATAGGCTTGCAGCAATAATATGTACTGTTACGTTATTGTACTCAATATTAGTACCCTTGCTATACCAATAGTATTTTAGAAAAGGTAAATTTTTCGAATTAGATATTTTCTCGGATGCTGTATCACTTATTTGAATTGTATGATTTATATTGCTAGTGTAATCATCATAAATTTCACTATTTGTAATTTCCATTGTACTATCCACTTTATTCATTTCTCTAAATATCAACCCAAGTGAATTTAAAATATCTATTTCTCTATATATCATCTTTATAGGAGTCACTCTGCCTAATATATTGATCTCTTCAAGATCATTTCTTTTTGAAACGGCTATTTTTGTTAAAAATGGATCAGATGTATATTTTAATTTTATTGAAGATAAAACTGCTTGTATTCCACTTTGAGGATTTAAATCAAATTTACCAGTAATCCTGCATTCTCTAGCTTCCCAACACTCAAGAGATGTATTTCTAAAATAACAGTTATCAAAGGAGTTCAATCTCGTAAGTAAAATTATGTAACTAGATGGAATTGCATCAACTCTCAGTAGCTGTGCATCAGGGTATAAATCCCTAGAATTTTTTAATGCTTGAGCTTCAATTTCATCCTTTAATCTAACTCCTTCTAGCATTATTTTTCAGCTTGACATTTTACCACCATAAGCTGTTTACCTCATAATACACGCTGCAGCGGTCAAGATCTATAGAAGTGCAACACTCGAAAAAAAAGATGGTTACCTTGTAGAATAGGATTTCTCTTATCCTATATTATTTATATTTCCATTTCCTAACAAAAATTTAGATAAAAAGGTTATTAATGGCCATTCTAAACAGGATTTATTTAATTTATTGTGTAGAACAAATCCATTTAATAGATCAATCGTCAGTATAAAAAAGTTTGGATCTAATATACCCTCAGAATCTCCTCTAGTCAAAACTAAATTATTTGATGAACAAAAGAATTTTATATCTTTGCTTTCATTTAAAATACTATAAATATCAATAAATATCAGTACTTCACATGCAGGCCTAATACCACATACTTTAGTGCATTTATAACCTTTTAAATAGCTAACTAATAAGTCAATATTTGTATATTCGTTATTTGTCATCTTAATTTCAAAGTCTGGTCTAGATGGTTCTATTTCAAGTTTACTCAGAGGAATAAAGTGAATATGTTGACGGTTACCTATTCTCTTTAATCCACTATTAAATATCAATTCCCAATTTTTGATATATGTACCATGAACAATTATTCTATCCTGGAAAGATTTTAATTGTGAAATTAGTATTGGACTTAATAAGAGATCATCTTGGATGAAATTTAAGGAATGTCCCTGGTTTGCTCTAATATATAAAATATCTCCAATTTTACATACAGAATATCGTTGCTTACAATCATCTTTGACTATTTGTAAAATATCTTCTAGTTCTAAGCCTTTAATAAACCTTAAAATATCTTTAATATCGACATATCCATCAGGACGAAATATTAGGTTGGTAATTTTCGGGTCCCCGTGCCTAAGAAGCCAACTTAGTCGTCTAGATATCCAAGGCCCCCTATTTGACATCTATAATTATACAACCATTAATTTCTAAATAATCTAAATAAGTTGAATTAAACATTCCTTAAGCTAATAGTCTGATATAAAGGGTGCATTATATATAATTTAAGTAGGTAAATTCGGCGCCACGTAGTGCTTGAAATGAGAATATTGAAAATTATGTATAAGTGATCCATATATTATTCTTAACTAAATGTATTAAGAAACAACAGCTCGTATACTTCTCTTGTATAGATAATGATGACTCATAATGAAAAGACTTGCTAAGTCTTTTTTTTAGAAAAATATTGAGAAAATTTTAACAGGCGGTACACTATTAAGACAGTTCATTAGGTAAAATTTAACGGTAACTCACTGGACAAAAAAAAGTCGAATAAAGCTTATGCGGGATCTCTAAGCTATGATGTCCACACAAAGTAACTAGGGCACTATAGATTCAAAAAGTCCAGATATTTTACATTTTAAAATAGGATCTGATAATAGGGAGTTTTACTAAAGGAAAAGTCTTAATGTCATCAGATAATGACCTCAATGATGGTCCTACTATGCGTCTTTATATAAAAAAACGCAATGGGAAGCACTTAGCAGTAATAGACATTCCAAAACAAGCCACTGTATCTGATTTGAAGTGGCAATTTTATAATGACTTTCACTATTATCCTGAAAGGCAGTGGTTTAATATAGATAGTCCTCATGGTGAAGTTCTGAAGGAAGGTCTACTTTCTTTATATGGAGTAGATAATGGTACGTCTTTATATTTTAAGGACTTGGGCGTTCAAATATCATGGAGGCTTGTTTTTTTTATTGAATACTTGGGACCAATTATTATATTTCCTTTCTTTTACTTCTTTCCTTCCTTGATATATAACGAATTAGCTCCAAAAAAGTGTCTAGCTCAAAAATTAGCTCTAGCGTTAACACTATTTCACTATATTAAAAGAGAAATAGAGACATGTTTTATTCATAGGTTTTCAATTGCTACTATGCCAATTATCAGACTACCTATTAATTGCTTCCATTATTGGATATTATTTGGTATAGGTGTTGGATACTTTGTCTACCACCCTCGTTATATAGCACCTCAATACCCACCTATTGTATTTTATATTTTGACAGCTTTAATGTGTATCTTTGAATTTCTTAATTTTAATTCGCACTTGGTTCTAAGAAAACTTAGGGACCGTGGGACAAAGAAACGTGGTACTCCTCATGGCTGGGGATTTAATTATATTTCATGTGCAAACTACTTCTGGGAAACTTTGGCATGGGTATCTTTTTGTTTTATTGTAAATTGTGCAACTTGTTGGTTTTATACAATGGTCGCATTTGGACAAATGACACAATGGGCTTTAAAGAAACATAGGAATTATCAACGTGAATTCCCAGATTATCCAAAAACTCGGAAGGCTATTATTCCATTCATTTTATAAATTACTTTGGAAAATAATAATATACATACTTATTTTACTAAATACTAGCTACAGTCATATAAACTCGGATTAATAGCTGTTAAACTTACTATAGGACCCAGTTTACCAGATTAATGAAATTTCATTGTGAACACAAGCATACCTCCTAAAAAAATTAGAAGTTGCACTACTAAGAAGTGATCTAGTCTCATAATGTATGTCTAACTTTTATTTAAAATCATCAAGTTCCGAATTACTTGAATTATATATAGATTTGTATATCTTTAATATTAGAGTATCTAAACACCTTCAACCACTTAGCTTGAAGATGGCTGAATTGTTTGCAGCAATTGCTCCTCAGATAAGAATATCAGGAAGTCTTCACTTCCAGGTGGAGATTTAGGTGATAAATTTCTAGTAGAACTCATTGAATCTGTTGGGGAAAGTTGAATATCATGTGTGTCACTTTCCACTAGTAAATGCCTGATATTATGTCTTTGCTCTGGATCTAGTGACACTTTTTTATCAGACACTTTGACTCCAGAATATTTCTTAGGCATCAAAGGGTCTATTCGTGCAGTTCTTGGTAGTAGTTCAGTATTATGTCTTACTACTATCCTATTGATGTATCTTTCTTCAAATCCCCCAGAGTATTCCACCTGCTGAGGACTGCTATCTACACAGCTTTTCTTGGCTGCATAAGAGTTCATCTACTTCTTATAGCCAAGCCAGCTTCCTAGTATTTAAGAACTTTCCACTTTTTCTTTGTTAAAAGCACATAAAAGGTACACAGTATAGTCTGCAAGAGCTATTGTTAGCGCCTAAACATCTCTTCTACGATATATTACCGCTTTAGGGCGGTAAGATGGAAGGTGCAAAAGTTTTTAGTTTGATACTCTAGAATAAAAGTGGTTGGATAATAGAGTCAAAGACCAGGTACTTTATATAGTTAATATATTTTGCGTTACATTGAAGTTTTATGTTTATCAAAATATAACATAAAATTTCGTGTTGTACCAATGTTTTAATTTTATTGGGCTTTTTTCAGATATGCCTGACCTTCATGAATTTTATATGAAAAGTGAGCCCAGTATAAATTCAAATCCTTGTGATAGAATAATGTTTGTTTTTGGTGAACCTGTTATAGGTTTTAGACCCCAAGAATTTGAAATTCTACCTAAAATAGGGATTTTAGAAGGAACTATTCAAAAATGGCTTTCACTATTTAGTGGGATTGGCAAATCTGAAGTCTTCAAAAAGCTAAATATCAATAATAATTCAGCACAAGGAATAATTAGTAGAAGTATAATTATTTTTGAAAGGACTGTAAGGTTACCATTGAAATATTCCAACATGCCTAATTCAATTATTTCAACAACTGATCCTAATATCTTATATTGCATAGCAATGTGTTTTCCATCTACTCCTCTAAGCAAGTCATTAACATTAAGTAATAATAAAAAATTGGAAATATGTTTGGATAATATTGAAAAATTCAAAAGATGTGAAGAAATGAAATTGTATAAAATCACATCAAGTAACACGAAAAGTTCAGTAGTTAGTGAAAGAAGAATTACAGCCTTTTCAAAAAGAGTCGGTAGAGAGTATTCAATATTTCAGAAATTTAATGAAGGAATTATATTGGATCGAAATGCAATATTTGACGCAACTCCTGAAGTTTTAGCACAGCATATTGCTAGACGTCTTCGTGGATGTACCGTGTTAGACGCATGTTGTGGAGTTGGAGGAAATACTATTCCATTATCTCAGCACTGTGAATTAGTTGTATCTGTGGAGTTGGTACATGAAAGACTTGAGATAGTCAAACATAATGCAACTATATATGGTCTATATGGAAAATCAAAGGGAAGTGTAAAGATAGACGACTTAGACATTGTTAGAGAAGAAGGATCTCCTAATTTATCTTGCCATACAAGATATAAATTACCTGATTCAGATAACCTTTATACTTTTTACGATACACAAAGCAATATTGTATTTATTTGTGGTGATATTTTGGAGTTTTGTAGATGGTATAGGAGCAAGCAGATGAAAAAGGCAAATTTCGATGAGAAATGTGTGATTAATAATGGAAATATTCAATATTGTAAAAAACGGAGGAGATATATAGAAGGGGAGGATAAAGTAATATATAACAAACTAGAAAATTGCAATGGTTTACCACAAGTTTTCATTGATTTACCAGAATTTGATTGGTGTTTTGCATCACCTCCTTGGGGAGGAAAGAAGTATAGTGAACTTGAAAAATTCAGTTTAAATTATGTAGAAGAGATAAACTATTCAGATTTTTTTATATCGGTCTCTACTATATCTAGAAATCTAGCTCTTTTCTTACCAAGAAATACGGACATAGCTGAATTTTGTGCTTTATTGTCGTTGTTAGACTTTGAAGCTATGGAAATAGAAAATATCATGGACACTCGCTATGAGTATATTGTAGGAATAGTTATATACTGTGTACGCAGTGATATGAAAAGAGACTGGTATTTTTTTGGAATAGGTTTGGATAAGATAACTGAGGCTATTAAGCAACAGGTAAAATTTATTTTTGAAAAATTCTGTGATGATATAGCTCTAATTAAGACCAATATTGCTATTAGCAAGTCTTTTGAAGACATCATCGAGGTATTAATAAAAAGTTATGGAATTAGTATTTCCAAGTATTTTGGGTTACTATATGAGAGACTAAAATATAGTCATTTCGACTATACAAAAAAAACCTTCAAAAGATTAGCGAGATTTACAGTTACAAAAGATTTCAATGGGCTTATTGCTATTAATTTGAGAAAAGATCTACCCCTAATAAATAAAATTTTGGACTGTATACATTTTCATTAAAGTTAGTTTTGGAAGATAAAGAGTTGTTAAAGTTATATTTAGTAATAGTCTAATATTATTAATTATATGAATATTTTCAATAGTAATAATTTCTCTGGAAGATATTTTGGAACTAAGCATGTCTATGAAGCTTGCAATAGCCATTGCATACACCCTAAAGGACTGGCAAAAAATAAATACAGGAATATTTAGAATATCTAATACTCATTGCATCTGGATGATCTAAAATTTTGTTTTTAGAAATGTCTTATTTTCTGTAAACCTATATCTTTACATGCAATTGAAGTAATATATAATTGTGTAATATATCATTGAAAAACCCTTTCAATCAACTACTGGGTATAATCTAACATACCAAGGTCTAATTTAGTTTAGAACTTGATCATATGTCTTATTAATTAGAAATCTATAAGATATATTTATAAAAGTTTAACTATAGTACTTTTCTAATAATACTCGAGAGTGTGTACTTGTCTATATCAAAAAGTACACTTAATTCTTATTCTTCATAGTTTTCTACCTTCATATAGCTAATTCCCAGTTCTTCATCTTGCTCAGGAGTTCTAGTATATATTTCAAAGCTCAATTGTTCATCCGTATCACATATTGTTCCATTGATAATCCGCTTACCAATAAAACTATGATCTGCTGCATCATCTAATATTAGTGTAAATGGTGTTTGATTTTGGACAAGATTTTCAAGTTGCTCAATGAGTTCCTTAAAAGCTACCTTCTGTTTTTCTTCTGTTGAATCCCCTTGAAATTGATAGCAGTTCTCAAGAGAATCTATAATTTTCATTATAAGACCTTCAACAGTAGTAAATACAGATCCCAAAGAACCGAGGCTTATCTCAAATTCCAATTCTGGAATTTTCAAAGCTGCTGTATCACTCTTTAGTACATCTCTATTTAAATCTAGAGAATCCTGAATTTTCAAAGTCCTATAAGAAAATATATTTAACAAATAATTAAGAATATTAGTGGATCAGAAAATTCAAAACTTACCATTTCTTTGCAAATTCTCCATATGGACCAGCAGGTTTTAGCTCACTTGTCTTAGCTCCACAATAGTCACAGACAAATGCCATAATTAAGCAGCGTCTAAAGCCTGGAATATCAACTTCACAAACATTACTTTCACCATCTTGTCCACAATGAGGGCAGGAAACATTAAATTTAATTCTTTCACCATCATCTGTGATCTTATTTTGGTCTTCTATACTTTTATTTAAGTCTAAGAAGTGAGGAACTAAGTGATCTGGTATGTCTGCTCCTTTTTTGTATAAATTAGGATTATCAATCACTTTTGGTTGGTTAGTTGTAATAAAGTTATTATCATTTGACTTAATATCTTGATCTTCCTTATCAGTATTTAATAAACCATAATATCCCATATTATGAAGCTGCTCACTTGTCCTTTCATAAAGTCTAATCTTAATTTGAGGATCTTTAGCAGGAGCAAATAAACTCTGAATAAAGCTATTACCACTTGGATCATCTAATCTTACTTTAAAAGGAAAATAATTTCCAGTATAATATGAATTTAGAGATGATATGACTTCTTGGATCTTTAAACCTAATTTTAGATCAGATGCTAATCTTTCAGATTGGTTTAAACCCAGTTCACTAGCAGCTTTAGATATTATACCTTCTACAGTTGATATAACACCCTTCTGAGTATTTGGGGGTATATCAAATTCTAGATCTACTATTGTAAAAGTAGCAAATTCAGATTTTACAACTTGTCTGTTAAGATCGCTCCGATTTTTAACTTCAAGTTCTATGCAGTGACCCTTATCTTGTAAGGCCGAACCAGATTGTACCTCATTATTCTTCCAGCCACAGTGCGAGCACTCAAAAGACATTAATATTATCTCACGGAACTGTGGAATGCATGTCAAAAGTAACTTTGTCTCACCATTATCGCCACAATTCATACAAAGTGTCTCGATTACAGTAACTTCTGTTTGAGCATTTTCATAGTTATTTACAACCCCATCAGCCATATTTGATAATTTTATTTATAATAAACAGTTCAAAATCCAATCCGAGCTAATATAATAAATATAACTTGCAAACTTTCCACTAACCTCATAGTACAGCTAATTCTACTTTTAAAATTTTAGCGCTATATACTTAAGATTTGCAGAGACATTAGCTGAATGCAGGATTCTTAGATTTAAGCAATTTAGAGTTTCATCACTACTACTTTAAGAGCCCAATTTTGAATATTGGGTATCTTTACCATGTCTAGGTTTGGAAATGCTCTTAATCTTATTTACTTTTTGCGAGACAAAAATAGGTTGCTATTTCCAGATTCAACTATGGATGGAAAAAGACGTAATAATAGTAAAGTTGTACCTTTAATAACTAAATACCCAATTTTAGACTTTGGAAAGCTATATATGAGCCATAAATCTGCACTATTTACCCAAGGTACTCATGAATATAACAGAATCATGGTGGACAGGTACACTAATCTATTAAACACAATAAATGTGGTAGTTTTTTCACTTTGGCGTTACGCTATTAATTCAAATTTGAGTATGCTCAAATTTTTAGAAAGAAATTTTACCTGTAATATATCAGATAGTAGTTATAGTTTTCAAAAAAAGATATATACACCTTTAACGAGTGGTGTAAGCCATATCACACTGTCACATCTGCTCAGTAATCTTTGGGCTCTCAATACAATTATTAATTCTTTAAAAAGAGATAATAGTATTAAAGGCAAAGATATTATTTTACTTTATGCTGCTGGATCTATTAGTGGAGCAATAGCTCATTCAATGATAACGAAGACTGTAGTTGTTGGAGCATCTGGAGCTGTGATGTCTCTTTTAACTGCTGAGGCTATAATTAGGCCAAGAGATACATTTACTTTGATGTTTCCTATTCCTGGTATAACACTGAGTTCGGCCCAACTATTAGATGTTACTATTGTAACGAATTTTATAATGGCAATACATAGTTTAATTTCAGTAAATGATAAATCTAGAATTGCTTGGTTTGGTCATATATTTGGAGCTCTATCAGGCTTTATTTTATTACCAATTATAAAAAAATCAAATTACAATAATAAGTGTAAAAATATATTTTCAACTTACAAGCTAATGTGGAAAAACCATCGAAAAATTTCTAATCAAGGGTGGCTTTTGACCTTAAAGGATTTGTGGGACATCATTGAACTAAGTGATAACACTATAGGAATGGAAATATCAAAACAAAGGAGTCTTAAAAGATGGAGATCCTTTTCTTCAGGCTGGAGGTAACAATAATAGAAAAGTTTTCTATGACACAACATAAAATCAAATAACTCACCCTGCTTGCACTATCATAAATGAGTCATTCTGTAATTTATTAAATAGGAGTTCATGTATATTCTAATGCATTTTTATAATAATATACTTACTAATTCAAGTAATTTAAGGTAAATATCTTGAAAATTTATTTTGTTATTTTATCAGATTTAAGTTCAAAAAATTTACAATGAATAGTTAGCTTTACTGGTATACTTTAAGAACAATTTTCAATATTAAAATTTCAGAGTTCGAATATTTATTTAGTAAATTTAAAGGTATCAAATTTATTTGAATTCTTAAATAGCTACAATAATAAAGATTAAGATAAAATATCTCTTTATATTATATATTATACCTACAAATTCTTTGATCAAGCCTGTCTTATATTTAGTTTTATATTGATATGACATTTTTGATTCATTTTAGGAAATATTATTTGATATTATATTATATTATAAAGTGCAAACTTTCTAAAATAGGGTATATTTTATTGTACCTTTGAGGATCATACAAAAAGTACACTATTGAATTATTTTAATTAACGATATATCTTAGTTTATCATTAAAATAAATTTTTTTTTTTGAATTTATAGTATAATATTAAATGTAGCTATTTTTTAACATGTTCCATATATTATTGAATGATTATTAACAAGTAATTATATACTACTATTTGGATAGTGGATAGTTGTTTATATAAGAATATTGGTAATAGTTCCGGATAAATCTTAAATCTATCAAATTATTATGTACTTTTGTGACAAAAGTATTACTTTATAATTTTATTTTGGTTCCAAAAAGATATGAACTATATTAGTTACTAGTATTATAATATGGTGGTTTACTATTCTCGAAATTTCAATAGTAACAAGATTACAGTATTGAATATATAATGCTCTTTTTGGTAATAAAATCATCTAATAGTATTGATAAGGTTATATCTCATTGGTAATAATATATATGAAGTTTCGAAACGATTATTACATTTGGCAGGTCTGTTCAGTACTTAACAAATTAATATTCATATTATTTTTATATAATTATGAATAGTTTTTTACACTTTAAAAAAATTACTTGTCATCTGTATTCTAATAAAAATTTGTTCGTCTTCAATATATCTATTATTATAAAAAGGAGACTTCGAATAATAATACAATAATAAATCCACTTATTTATATTCAATAACTTCATAAAAATTTATTTACATATTGAAATTCACTATTTTTATATCTCATTAAAATTACATATATTTAGCACAAACAGACATATAAGTTATTTAAATAATCTGTAAGAAGATCTTTTTTTATAAAGAGATTTCACTCTCGCTTATTAATCTTTTCACTTTTTAGTTCCCAGGTAAAAAAAGTTTACTTTTCTAATTAACTAGACCTATAGTTTATCCATCTCAGTGTTATATAATCTAATTCTATATCTACTAAATCTGCTATAAATTTATAATTTGATCTTTCATAATTACTTAGTTTTGCATCAGCGTGGCAGCATGCAATAATTAACACTACCCACCTATTTAATATTTCATCTAGATCTTTTCTTTTTATTATATCACAAAAAAGATAAGCTACAGATTTCAAGTTAAATAGGGGGTTAAAATTTTAATATTTATTTGGTTAGATTTGATTATGTTGCAATTCTACAATTAACAACATGTTTTGGATAAAGTCAGTTTATTGTAACATTTTCCCTCCAGGAAATCTGTATGAGTACAAGGAATACCGCCTCATTTTTTGTTTTGAATTAATTTTGTGTCTACAGCTAATAGGAGGAAGCTAGAAACTGTTGTTAGTCTTGTATGACATTAAGTTAACTATAGAAAGGTAATTATAAAATGTCTTTCAGAATAGTTCCAGATCCATTGGAAGATGTAGAAGATGATGTAGTTAATACGGCAGTAGCAGTAGCAGTGGCATCAAATAGAAATGTTCTAATGGAAATAGAAGCAAATGAAGATGAAGAGAGTGACTTGCAAATTTCTTATTCAACAACTGAGGAACTTAACACAATACCAATATCTAATATACCAGAAGCAGCAATACCAGATGATGTTCAATCATTTTTACTAAACTTATCTGATGCATTAAATGAAAATGATGTAGAGAAAATACGCCATTTATATGAGATTTCATTTCATTCACTGACTTATCGTTATTATATGAAATCTCATTGGCCCTCAATATCTTCAGTAGAATCTATACTTGAAAATATGGGTTCATATTCTGAAATAAGCATTTTACTGTATTCTGAGCTATACTATCGTCATGTATTTGCAAAGTTCCCTAATCAAGTTAAATGGCAGGATAGAGTGGCATCTTGGAAAAATTATGTAAAATTGTTTGGATTTTTATTACTTAAAGAATTTTCCAAATCCAATAGTCAACCTATCAAAATTACGAACTCCTTAGCAGCAACATTTGAACAGTATGGAGTTAAACTTCAAGATAATTCATTACCTAATGATAGAATTTTACTTCCTAGTGAGTGGATATATGGAATAATGGATGAATTTGTATATCAGTTGCAGGATACATGTCGCTATACAGTGAGAGCAACTCATGCTTCAAATGAGTACTCTCAAGATGATAGGGTAAATAAAATAGATCAAAATATATGGAGATGCGACATAACTTTACAGCTATTCCAAACAATAATAGATGAGAGTAAAATTCGAAGTATACTTAGTGGTAGTGAGGAAACTCAAGTAGAGACAGCTTTACTATCTCAAACACAAGACACAATTCCGTTACGTTATCAGCTTGGGTATTTCTCGATGTTGTGCCTTGTACGCATTCATGTGTTATTAGGTGACTATTATACTGCTATTGAAGTGGCAGATTTCATTGATTCTCAATTGTTGAGAACCTTATTATGGAAGGTTCCAACAGCATATGTTTCATACTTGTACTATCTGGGATTTGCTTATATGATGTTGCAAAGATATATAGACGCTATTAGGATTTTCCAGCAGAGTACAGTGAGTTTTGCATCTTCAACAGTTGGTTCATCCTCTCTACCAGGTAACCAAGGACCTTCATCATATCAGCATGATGCAATTGGAAAGTGTGTAGATAGGATGTCTTGGTTAATGTTATTTTGCCAATTACTATCTTATGGAAGCAATTCTTCCAATATAAATAGGTTAGAAGAGACTCTGTCACATCAAGGTGATAGAAAATTAGCGTCAACTTTTGTATCTATTAGTTCTGATATAAGTAATTGGAAGGAATTGCTGTTAAAAGTATCACCAAGATTCATATCATCTTGTATTCCCCAATTTTTACATGAAGAGGATTCCAATAAAATTGACTTTAATGAATCTCAAAATAGGCAAATGACTGTATTTACACCCTCTGTCCAAATATACGAGTTAAGTTGTATGATTCGTTCTTTTACTAAGTTATACAATAACCTAAATGTTGAGACATTAGCCAGCTTGATGCATGTAGCAAAAAAAGGTGTAAATCAAAAGTCTCGTTCTGTGATTAAAGAGTGTGATGAGAAGCTAGATAGTAAAACTAACACTACAAATGTAGTGGAAGGAAATGCAATAAATGATGATTTAAAGCCTCATAATCCTGCAGATATTGCAAGGTCTCAAATTATGTCTATTAAGAATAGATCTGGTAGACAAATAATCTGGAAGCCTGGTACTAGTTTGCTTGGAGGTGAAATAGTTTCTATATCTGGAGATTTTGATTTATTATTAGATGTAGATACAATTCATATTATGGAGGGAAAGCAAGTAGATAAGTTTTTTGGAGATGTCTTTGCAAAACAGATTATAAAGGCACAAAACCTTCTTCGTCATATTAGCTCTTTAAGCACAGTTAAGAATTCGGCTGATTTTTGTAAAAAGGACAAGTAAGATGAGAATCTTTGGTAATTATGAAGATATGTGGATAATTAGAATATTTATATGGTTGATGAAATACTATGTTACTTTAAGGTACCTCCACAGCTAATAAATAATACTGAGATATTAAAATAATATGAATAATATGAATACACTGCACATAAACAAGCCTAATCACACTACCTTAATATTTTAATATATTTTACTCTAAGATTAATCTAATTACTACGCAGGATACTAATATGCTATCTGAATCCTAATATCTCTACGTATGGTTACGTTTTATTAGGGCATTATCTATTCTATTAATGAGTTCATTACACATCTTTTTCTCTACTCTAGAATTAATTAGTTTAATAGTTATGATAGCGAAGTATTAGATAGGAGGCGTTTTAGATTTTCTAAATAATAAATTTTAGTATTTATAATCCTTAGCGATAATCTCCAAATATTATCCTGTACATCTATGCTTCTTTGATTATGCACTCTTACTATATGTTTATAATAGTATCCAATTTAGAAATGTCTGTATTTAGTTTCATAAAATCTCTGGCTACAATTATCCAAAGTGTAAGAAATTGTCCTCTACTATTCACTAAATCTTATAGATTCATTAGATATTTAAGCCTTAAAGTAGTTTAGTAAGTAATAAGGCATTCTATAAGGACCTATTATTTGGTTTCTTAATATAGTTCTGTTTAGTATAATATTAAGGAAATCTCCATTACTAATATTAGTATTATTATAAAAACTACTTTCCTTTAAATAGAAATTTTGCAACATGAAGCAAGGTAAATTAGAAAGGTATAGCATCAACATATAAAGGTGGGTAATGAGGAGTACTAGATATAGTCAAGTCGCTATGAGGTTCATCTATTGCTGTAATACCACTGCAGTGACCATTTATCATGTCGTCATCCTGAAATTCGGGATGACTATTCTTCATATGACGAATATAAGGTGTTCTATATCCATACTTCTTAGGACATAAATGACACTCATAAGGTTTGCTATTACAATGGGACACTTGAATGTGTTTCCTTACATTACTTTTTGAGCTGTAGAATCGACCACATTCAGGATAAGGGCATCTATATGAGCAGTCACCATCACTTTCTTTAGTATCCTGAATTGTATTTGGTATTAATGAGTCATTTTCATTGTGACTAGTGACATGACTATTATCATTTGGCATTGAGTAGATACATTGACTTGATACTGTTTCATTATCCATTATGCACTGGCTTTGGGTTTGCATCATCTGTGAATTCTCGTTAGTTGAGGACCAATGTTTAGATTTTATATGACGTACTAATCCAGGATATGAAAGAAAAGCTGCTGAGCACATCATAGGGTCAGCTCTACACACATACCAGCATTGTTTACTATTGTCTTCTGTACGATTAGGAAATGGAATCTCAGCAGTTAAGTGCTGTTTTAATGTATGACGTTGCAAAGATGTCGCTGAGGGAAATAAATTACCACATACTTCACATATATAAGGAGTATCATGTGATCTCTTGATATGTCTCCTTAAAGATGTTGGGCTCATGAACACACTATTACATGATGAGCAAGGGTAACTTGCTTTTTCCTCTATTGAACTATGTACTAACATCATATGCCGTCGTAAATGGTCACTTCTACCAAATGCTTTTGAGCATTCTTGACATTTGAAGAGCTTTATTCCTGTATGTGTTTGAGCATGGCGTTCTAAGTGGGAGCGTCTCTTAAAGGATGCATGACAACCTGGGTAGTCACAAGCGAATAATCTTGTAGATTTCGCATCTAATCCTTCCGAAGACATTACTGTCCATATAGTAATAATAAATATTTGATATTACCTCTTTGTGAAGTTTTCAAAGCTCTGAATAGTACCGCAATTATTGAGACTCGGTACTAGCGGTGGACCTTCTGAGTATAAATAGGCGGCACAATATACGGGTACCACTACTCCAGTATATAGCTAATAATGTCATTTATTCATTTTACTAAAATATTCTTATAAACTATTTGTTGACTATAATTCATAGTATTATATATAGTAACACACAACCTAGATTCTTTAAAGAACGTGGTATTTTGAAAGGGTCACGATCTGAGTCAGAACTAATGACTCTACTTGGACTAAAGTGTCTGTTTCAAAAACTTGAATTTTTACTTGAAAATACTGTAGAATATCTAATTAATTTGATATATACTGTCTCAAGTTATAGAATTTTGTAGGTAAGTGATAATTTATAAATAAGTAACCCCATAAGTAGTTAAATACTTAGTATTCCTACTTGTAAAATTTGTACTGTTCAAAGCGCTAGCTGCATGGATCCTAACTCCATATAACGTAGTCCTAATAAAAATATCAACTACATAGAAACGAATTTTTTTTAAAACTAATATAATTCAATGTAATGATAGATTTGCTTGGAGATTTACATGAATATACGAGATCTAGATACCCAGATATTCAACTTTCTAGTTATATAGATTTGGAGAAAGGAAATACAGCTAGTGGTGAACACAAAGACTTGGATGATGCTGGATCAGAAACCTCTGATGGAATGATGTCAAAATATTATTATGAAATACAATCTATAGGAGAGTCCTTAGCATCTATTCAAAGTAAAATTGATGAGATAAGACATTTAAAACAAGAAGCACTAATAACTACAAATTCACAGAAGGATGAAGAAATATCTCAAAGATTAACAACTATATTGGATCAAGCCCATGAAAATACGTTGGAACTTAAAAATTACATTGAGAAACTACGTCAACAAAATGAACAATATAAAAAAAGTGCAGGTAGGAAAGAAACATCGGAAATTAGAATAAGGGAAAATTTACTGCAAGCTATTACTAAACGTTTTAGAGAAACTTTGACTGATTTTCAAACGGTTCAAATGGATTATAAAGCCGAAATGAAAAATAAAATGGCAAGGCAGATTAAAATTGTTTATCCGGATGCATCAAGAAGTACTTTAGATAACATATTAGAAGATAATGAAGATATTGATACTAGCAGCTAATTAAAATGAAACTAAGTGGCTCTCATGAAACATTAAATCATGCAATAGCTGATCTACAAGATAAATACCGAGATATACGAAGACTAGAAAGAAGTGTAGAAGAACTTCATCAACTATTTATTGAATTAGCCTCACTAATAAATACTCAAGGGGAACTGTTAGATCATATAGAATTTTCAGTATCAAATGCAAAAGAATATACAGAAAAAGTAGAAATTGAACTTATTCAAGCTAGAAAGTATCAAAAAAGTTACAGAAAAAAGATGATGTGGATTATTATATGCATTTGTATATTAATTACTGTAATTATTCTTCCAATAGTTCTTGGAGTTACATTAACTGTACATAAAGATGTTAGCAACCATTGATGCACAATTTTCTATGTATATTTATTTACAAATACAATTTTTGTGTACTAAAGTGGCACCGTATAATTGTGGATCTAAAAGCTACCTTTAGCGCTATATGATCAATAGGCATTTCATTTCAAAATATAAACTTGACTGTTTATATGGAACGTGAAATAAAAGTAGTTAGTATATCTATAGAATCAGAAATAGAAAATTATATATCTTTTACTTCAAAAAATGAAAATAAACTTGATTCGGAATACTACTTTATATATGGATTTGAGATGTTGAAAAAACCTCCCTTATATGTTGTAAACTGTATAAACAAGCATTTATCTAAAATTAATGTTGTCAATAAACTTTTGGAATTGCTAAATACTTACTGTAATAAGCTCTTGATGTTTTTGACAAATTTAAATATCTTGGACAATATCTGTTTACAATCATTTAGTATATACAATAGGCGATGCACAACAACAAAATATTGGACTCTTGTCTACTGTATATTTAAGAATATAATAAACAGGTGTAATATAGAAGAGTTATCCTTTAGTAATGAATTAAATGAATATCTAATTGGCTGTGGTGGATCTTACTTATATGATGAAGAATCTCCAATTTATCTTATTATAACCATACTTGTTCTTATTCATATGGATAATGAAGAAAATATAAGTGATTATACTTTATACAATAATATAATAAATATCGCAAAAAATTACAAAGCTGAGATTTCTACAATATCTAGTAACTTCATATCTAACATCAATTATAAGCTATTTAATTTATATATCAAAAAATCTTTGTTGGCTAATAAGGAGTATTTAGAACTAGGGCATAACAATATAATTGAAGAATTAAATAGTATAAACTTATCAATTAATTATCAGGAGGATGAGAAACAAATAGATATATGTAGTGGAAAAGTGCATAATTCTGATGTGCAAGGTATTAATTGGCATGATGGGATAAGTTTGAATAACGAAAATGACTTAGATAATGATGATATAGGGTTTGAATACAATGGATTTCAAATTTTTGAACATATAATGTCACTAGAAACTTTAGAATTACGTTTAGGAGCACTTTTAAATGTAGTTACAAGCAAAATATCTAAGAAAGCTGAGGATTTTGTTATAGAATCAGATAATCACTTTGATACAACTTCAACTGAAAGTAAATCCCTAAGGCAATGCTTTGTAAAAATTTGGAGAGAGCACTTGACACTTGGAAAAGAATATATAATAATCAAAAGGATTATTTGTGATGAATATATACCTTGTTCAGAGTTTAGAGGTCAATTATTATATTATTTAATTGATGATATAAGTGAAGAGATTGTATTTATAAGTACAGTGACTCTTATCTTTCATCTTTGTAGAGATAAATTCGATATTTTATATAATTTTGAAAATTTTTGGTATAAAAGCCTTACTAATAACTTTAATATGCTTCATAAAGATACAGATAAGAAATATATACATATACTAAACTTTTATATGAAGTATAGGCAAATGGCTTGGAATAATTATATATTGCCAAATATCAAAAATCCTTCTCTGAATAATTCCATTGAGTGTGTAAACAGTATTTTGATGTCTATATGCTTAGTAAATAGCCAAGATCAAGACTTTGGAGTACTAATAAATAATGAGATCGATTTTATATCAACTGTTGTATCTAATATCTGTTACTATTTAGCAGTAGGGATATTTAAATTTAGCCTAAATTTAGAGAGATGTGTAATTCCAATTTTTCAGAATCAGAATAAGGAGTTTGAGATTGCAAACCCATGTAGATTGTTAAAAACAATTAGAAGAATAGCTGGGGATAATCGGACTAAGACTCTGGTATTATTTACACACTTAGCAACTCAATTTGTCCATCTTAATTTCATTAAAACAAATTTGAATTCTAGAATGTCAAAGGAAGCTCAATTTAGATGGGAAAATATGGAAAAATTATTATATGGAAAGATCATAAATACTCAGACTTGGAATAATCTATTCAATTACTCTTTACTATATGGTACACTTCCTATTTGGAATATTTTATTTTATAAAGACAATGAATCAACTTATTGTAACTTGGAGTATAATGAATACATAAAAAGTTTTATTTCAGTATTAAAAGCAGATGCAATATATCTAAGTTTTCTAGACTTTATACCACGATTAAGTTTATGGTTGAAAGATAAACCAGTAAATGAAAATTTACTAAAGTGGAGAAGCTACTATTTTAACTTTACTAAGTATATAGTCAATATTTGTCATATTATTGATTATTTAAATAAACTTCAAGATTACCATTCAATTCAAACTTTATATTACCAGTTCATTGATGTAACCAAAATTATATATAACCAATGTAAAAATCCTAGCAAAGATTTTAATGAAAATATTCCTTGCTTAATCTATTTAATTGCTTATATGCTTCTAAAAACTTGCACAAAATATATAATAGATTATCAGGAAATAGAAAGGATTGTAAACCAGCTAAGAAGACCTGAAACATTAAATAGCAGCAATATTTATTTTACATGCCTTAAAGATAAGTAACTTAATGGTACTCATTCTAATATTAGTCAAGTTCAAAAGTAAAATACCACCTGTAAACAAATCATATAAAATATAAACTATTCATATACTCTATAAAAATAAAAATCACATGTATACAAATTTTCTAATTAATATAATTTTTCAATTATTAAAATACTTAAATTTTGTAGTTGAACATAATCTTAAATTTATTATTGTAAAGTAGTTTTGAATTATTTTATATTTAATTAATTCCATGTAATATTGTAGTTTAATTTAGAAATCTGGAAAGCTTGGTAAAATCTCATTCTTTATAGCCTTTATTCCTCCAGCAATGTAATATATTTTGTAAATACTATGAATCTCAAGCTTCTTAAAACATTGTTGAAGTATACTTGTAACAAAATAAGATCTCACACCATTCCAACAAATAATTATATTAGTAAATCCCTGTTCCTCTATACTAAGAATAGAATTTATGTAACTCTTCAAAGCGTCCTTATTATCATCTTCATAATCAGTAATCTTCGCTGTTTTACTATCAACTTGAATTCCATACTTTGAAAGTTTAAGTACAAATTCCTCTTCTGGAATATTCTTCGAATTTCTCAAATGAGCCATTTCAAATATATTACTAGGTCTAACATCTATAATATTTAGTTTCTTATTTCTTCTATTTCCTAAAAGAGATCTTGTTTGTTCAATATTAAGTATATATTGGTTATCTATAAATGGAAAATAAAAATTATTCACTATATCCATTCCTTGATAAATCTTGTAATCATTACAATCCTTTATAAAAAATGGAATACTATCTTTACCACATGTCTTACAATTAATATCACTTCCTTTTAAAGTTGCTATTCTTGTCATCTGACTAGTGTTTAAAGCATCATATATAAGCATCTTACCTGAAAGTGTATCTAAATCAATTTCCATAGTTTCACTATTTATATTTCTCCCCATATTTAAAGCAAGTTTTATAACTTCTACACTCTGTATACAACCAATAACTCCAACAACACTACCTAGTACTCCAAAAGATTCTGCACCACCTGGGGTACCATCTATTCCACCATTATCATCTCTAGGAGCTATACAACGATAGCAAGGCCCATTTTTATAATTATATACTGTTACATGGCCTTGCCATCTTAAAGCAGCTCCAGAGACAATTGGTTTCTCAAAGTATACAGCTGCATCATTAATAAGATATCTACTCCTGCAATTATCAGTTGCATCTATTATGATATCATATAGAGGAAATAATTCCATAGCTAATTCAATAGATAAAGTATTTGGATATACCAAAACACGACAATTCGGGTTTATAGATGCACAAGATTCCCTTGCACTATAACCTTTATTCATCCCTTTACGAGTACAAGTATGTATAACTTGACGGTGTAAATTACTAATAGAAACTGTGTCTGAATCAATTACACCAATTACACCAATACCTGCAGCACTCAGATACAAAGCTAAAGGACTTCCTAAACCCCCTACACCAACTATCAAAACTTTTGTATTATTTAATATATTTTGACCTTGAACTCCTACTTGTTTCAGGGCAATCTGTCTAGAGTAACGAATAGTGTTCTCTTCAGAAATTAAAGGAGTCTCTATAACATCAATAACATCTCTATACGTAGACATATTATTATCACATTTCCACAATAAAAATATACAAGTAGACAACAGACCTATAATAAATGATGTAATAACTAGTCCAAAAGTACGCAAGTCAATTTCTAAATACATAGTCATATTTATTATATATAATTATTATATTATTCAATTACAATAGTAATATCCTAGTAGTTCTTCTTTATATTTTATTAAAATTATAATCCCAGTTATTAAAGATAATTTCTTAGTAGTATATCTTTACTGCCTTATTATAATAAATCCCCAAAAATATACGAAGAAAAAAAAAATCACAAGTTCTAACCTTTAATTAGCCTCCAATTAGTAATATAAAATCCCTTTTATTAATATTAAATATTGAAATTAGAAGTTATCATATACTTTCCAAGTTTAAAGGTATGACCTTATAAATCTACCAAAAATAGTAAAAAAAGACGGTCTATTAAAAATACCAAGCGGGTTACCTCTTTTAAGGTATTTATATATATTCTCATACCATTCTCTATTAAGATTTTCTTGTATTTCTTTATTGCCATTTGTCAATAAAAGGAAAGAACATTCTAAATCACGACTCTCACCCCTATGATTATAATTAGAACTACCTAAATAATTGGCAAATATTCTCCTTCCATAATATTTTGTGAAATCATCAGTTTCGTCATCTTCATTTCTTATACTATTTGAAATGAGCTCTTTTCTATATTTATAAAAATAAATCCCTTTTGCATGAAAGGTCCATTCATCTCTTTCATATTCTCCGAATTCAACTTGTCTTTGTTTATGATTTGAATTGTAAATAATGTCTTTTATGAATTCTGAATTAATACTGGAATATAATGGTATAACTAATGTCTTTATATAGTCCAAAATATTTAAATAAATTGGTTCTTTTAATTGTGAAAAAGTACTTGATTTACTCCCTGAAGTAACTATTACTAAGGGATTACTGTTAAATTTCATTAAATTAGTCCAATATGTTGACATATTACAATATGGAGTACATATATATAATCCTATATCTTTAATACATGAATTTATTAAATATTTGACTAAATTTTTTTCTGAGTTAATATTCATATATCCTGCCTGTAAAAGAATCCCAAATATAACCTTATCTTTATACTTTTTAATGAAATCTTCATCATGTTGTTTTTCAAAACTATAAATTAGATCTTTCAACCAATTAACATCTTTGTTTAATTTTAGCATATCCTCTCTCATTATATATATATCTTCTTTTTTTGGAAATTGAAGTTTATTATTAGGCTTTAATGTATAAGAATATTCTTGAACTATATCTGAAATTTTACTCAAATAATCACATATTTCAGGAACATCACGTAGTAATATATAACGATCCTGACGTTTTGTTAAGTACTCTTCACTTAGGTTAGCTCCTGTTAATAGTATGTTGTTATCAGCAATATAAAATTTCATATGATATACACCTAGTACTTCTTTTAATAACTTAAGTTTTTCTATAGAACTAAAATATTTAATAATATTATCCCCAATCTTATTGTATATATTGTTTTTTTTATAAGCCATTCTATTTAATTCATGATTATATTTATTAAATATTGGTAATTGAAATAGATAAACTTTAAAGTTATTTGGAAACTTTCTAAGCATATTTTCAAATAAAATTAGCATGTCTTCTTTATTTCTTTGCATTCTATTGAAATCTACAATAATATTTACATGTAAATTATTTACTTTATCATTATTTATAATATATTTTCTATTATTTGTTAAGGTTTGGTCAATTAAGTTAATAATCTATACAATTTTCATAAATAAAAATAACAATAATATTGAATTCAATAATATATAACAAGTATAAAGTGAATAATTTGATTTTTTTTAAAACTTACCTCTTGTTCTAAAGCTCCATTTCCAATGTATAATGAGGAAATTATAATTCGATTCTTAGCTTCAGATAATATAGACCTTATATTCAAATAAAAATCTTTTGGGGATTCTAACAAATGTATTTTCTCTATATCTACTTTAAACAAGCCACCAACATTATCTCTATAGTCTAAATCTTGTATCATTTTTTAAAAATTATTCTATATTGCAATAATTAATATATATAGCGCTAAATTAATGTACAATAGATCACTTATATAATTAATAGAGACTCTTAAGTTCATAAATAGAAATTCCTAGTATTATTTAGATTAATTTATAGAAAAGATTATGATAAAATATTTCAGTATATATAATAAGATAATATAAAAATATTCATCTACTTATAAAATATATAATTTATATATATACCTTTATATATTTAATAGAGAGGAATAATTTCACTTAATAAAATACAAAATAATACTAAAATAAGTTTAGTAATATTATTAGTAAAAGATCTGAGTTGCAATATCTTTATATAATGAAGTTAAAATTATGGAATTTATGATTAGTGAATAATAGAAGGGCAATTCCAGTAGACAAAAGAATGAGGCCTAAAATATGATCATTGCAACACATTACAAAAGCTAATATATATAATATTGGCGGTATAGTAATGCATGTGGGGAGATTATTGAATAATATATTTAGAATTTTGACATAAAAGTAGCTGAATAGCTAATCCATAAAAAATATTGTAAATAATTTTGAATGGGGTTTAGTCGTAAGGATAGGGGTAGAACTGGAATTGATCCTCATAAATCTGATGAGGATGCAGAACGTACTGGTAGAGATATTTCAAGTATATTAATGACAGAGGAGACAAGTAACTATAGCGAAGCTGAAGAAGTTCCAATAGATGAGATTGCATATGAAGAAGAGATAAATGAATCAGAAGAGGAGGTAGGAGAAGATTTATATGCAGATAACTTTCTAGATGATTACCAACCAGATCCTGAATTGGATAGATATGACCCAGATATACTTGATGATACTAATTATGAAGATGATCCAGAAGCAAGGAGAAGAGCTGAGATAGCCTTAGATAGACGTGATATGGCTGAAAGGGGTGAATTAATGACTGGTACAGAACATCGTTTTGGAATTACATCATATTTAGTAGATGAAGAACTTGGAGATACAAGCAAAGATATTGAAAAACGTAGGAAGAGGAGAGAAATGTTTAGAGCAATGGCAGATGAAGCAATGAGAGGCACTGGTTCTTTTGATATAAATGAATTAATACAAGAATTACCTCTAGCAGAACAATCTGAATGGAGTGAGCATATTGAGAATTTAATATGTAGATTATTTAAGATTTTTATTCAAGAATTTAAATTATCTGCATGGCATAAAGCAACTCCAAATGATGAGAATATTAAGTTAATGGAAAAGAATAAGTTTTTATTTGATGAATTATATTATATGAAGAAGATAGAAGAAATGGTACAAGAGGAGAAGACTAGTCTACATATTGATGTACGTCATATTTTCACTTTTTGTTATAAATTATGGGATTATCTAAATATATATCCGACACCAATTATTGAATGTTTTGATAGATGTATTTTGGAAATTATATCATCTTTATTTCCAAATTTATATAATAATAAGACAATAACGACTAGACTAATTGGGTTAGATTATATTGACGAATTACGTGATTTACGTGTTGAATGGCTTAATCAATTAATACGTGTATCCGGAATAATAACAAGACGTACCAATGTATTAACCAAATATAAAACAGTTTACATGGAATGTGTCAAATGTGGATGTGATACACTAGGGCCATATGAAGATTTTGGAACAAATAATAGTAGCTTTGGTAATGGTGAGAATAGTAGTTTAAGAAGTGTAGGAAAATGTACAGATTGCCAAAGTAGAGGACCTTTTATTATTAATAGGGAAAAAACTATTTATGAAAATTACCAGAAATTAGTTATTCAGGAATCACCTGGAAGTGTTCCTGCTGGTCGCATACCTAGATCTAGGGAGATCATTGTTACTGGGGATTTAGTTGATTCTGTATGTCCTGGTGAAGAGGTTATACTAACTGGTATTTATCGTACTTTTAAAGATCGTCAATTAAATATTAAAACTGGATTTCCTATTTTAGGAACACAAATATTTTGCAATAATATTGAGAAAAAACATGATCCATTGCAACAAGATGAATTGACAGATGAAGATTTTAAAAAAATAAGGGAATTATCTAAGGATCCAGATATAAAAGAGAAGATTATATCCTCAATTGCTCCATCAATTTTTGGACATCATCATATAAAAACAGCTATTGCCTGTTCTCTATTTAGTGGAATTAGGAAACAAGTACCTGGTAAACATCATCATATAAGAGGTGATATCAATATCTTAATAGTTGGGGATCCAGGTTTAGCAAAAAGTCAATTCTTAAAATATGTAGAGAAAAGTTTTGATCGTACGATATATACTTCGGGTAAGGGTGCATCAGCTGTTGGTTTGACAGCATCTGTTAGACGTGATCCAATATCAGGGGAGTGGACTTTGGAAGGTGGTGCTTTAGTACTTGCTGATGAAGGCATATGCTTAATAGATGAATTTGATAAAATGAGTGATAAAGATCGTGTATCAATACATGAAGCAATGGAACAACAGAGTATTTCAATTTCAAAAGCTGGAATAGTAACAACTCTACGTGCTCGTTGTAGTGTTATTGCAGCAGCAAATCCCATATTTGGGAGATATGACTCTTGCTTAACTTTTAAAGATAATGTTGATCTTACTGATCCAATTATTTCAAGATTTGATGTATTAGCAGTTTTAAAGGATGAAGTGCATCCCATGAAGGATGAATTACTTGCAAATTTTGTAGTACAATCACATATGAATAGTCAAGGTATATATAACAATACAACTGATGAATTTAATGTAACAAATTTAGATGATGAATCTCAACAATATCAACATATACAACAAATTGATCAAAAATTACTGTGTAAATATATACGCTATGCTAGGAGATATTGTAAACCACAGATCAGAAACGTTGACAAGGAAAAAATTACAACATTTTATGCAAGGATAAGACAGGAAGCAATACAAACTGGAGGAATTTCAATGACAGTACGTCATATAGAAAGTATTATAAGATTGGCAGAAGCTCAAGCAAAAATGCGTTTAAGCCCTATTGTAACAAACAAAGATATTGATGGTGCTATTGGAATAGTTTTGGAGTCATTTATTCAAAGTCAAAAATATGCAGTAGCACAACGATTATCTAAAACATTTTCAAGATACAAAGCCTTAAGTAGTGGTTTTGTAGATATATTAGAAAATTTACTTTTGCAACTTTTTGCCGATAAAATCAACAAAATACAGCTTAGGCAGTGGTCTGATGATAATTTAGGTATGATGCTTGATGAGGTAGATAATGCCATGGTATATTTAGATGAATTCTTAGTATGTGCAGAGAAAATGAAACTGTCACACAATGTTACTTTTTCATATATAAAATCTTCAGCATTTGGAAAACTATTCCTTGTATCCGATCATGTTGATAACAATGGAAATAATATCAAAGTCATTACAAAAAAACACTATAATGATAAATACTCACAAAGTCAGATATCAATGCAAGGAGATTAAATTTTTGAAAGTGATTAATTTATTGTACAAGTATTATCTTTATCAATCTTCAGATTCTATTTAACACATTTCCTTTTTCTAATATTAAGTTAAATATTTAAAAAGATAAACTTTAAGTTGTTAATCAAACTTAATAAGTATCCCATATATATAGGTATAAAGTATAATAACTCCTATCACTACTTCTTTAGCTATATTGTCACTATATTCTGGCTAAAAAAGTAATCAAGTATATATTAGAAATACTAAGTACACTAAATACTATTAATAAAAACTAAAGTAAAATGTAAAGAGAATTAAACTTTAAAATCATTTTATAGGCTCTAAACCCCAATATATTAAATCACCTAAAAGATCTGTTTTTTTGTAAAAAGTCCATATTTAGTGTATATGAAATATTAAGGAATTCTGAAATTGGATAACTATTGAGGTAGTATTCACTATTATTTAGTCTATAAAATCGAAAGTAATGTTAGATAGTATTATACTTTAAAAGTACTGGACTTTTTGAGATGGGGATCTAAATAAAGTGGTACACGTATTGGAGTCTAGAAATACCTAAAAATACCCAATTTACTTCTTTTTTTTTTGTTGAATCTATACGTTGATAAATTATTAAATTTTATACTATAAAGTTCTTATCTTTCCTTTTTCCTAATTCTATTCTGACTCATTTTTGAGCCCTTGTGGATGCATGCATCTATTATGGAAATATACATGTTTAGAAAATACCTCGGATATTGGCAGAATTATAAATTCTAAACAAAAATATTGAATAATCTACACTTTTCATCTATAATATATCTTTTATAAAGATATAGCAGTTTATGAAATAAAGATTACAATAGACACATTAATCTAAATTTATTAAGATTATTTTCCCGCTGTAAATTAAGAACTTAAGCATAAAAGCAAGTATTGGCAATTGAGTTTCAGAGGGAATAAAGAAGATAATACCTAACTATATAAAATACGAAGTATAAACATCTATAAAATTTGCCAAAGTTTAGGAAGCAGGTTAACTTTTGTTTTATAACTATCATAGCTTATAAACCACTTAATATCAGAAATCTATATACTGCTAATTAGTAACAATGGCATCTCTAATAGACCATAGAGGACGGCCATTATATGACTTACCACACAAAATGGCAAGTATAACTATATTAAGTAAGAACTCCTATGATCTAAACTTGAAAGGTTTTTTTAACCTTTTTATCCTCATACTGGTATTTAGCAATATGGGAGTTGTTTTAGAGAATGCCATGAGCTATGGATGTAAAGTAAAAATTCCAACTGGAATCACAGATTTAGTTCAGAATTGGCCAATATTGTGGTGCCTATGCCAAATGATTGTACTATTGACACTTTCATATTTGATAGAAAGATATATATTAATTATTGTGGTACTATCAACTAATGAAGAACCGAATAAAAAGGAAAGGAAGGAAAATAAACTATCTAAAATAATAGGAGTAGAGAATTTGCTGCAATTATTTTCGTTTTTGGCTACTTTAATATCAATTCCACTTATATGCATGAATATGTTAATGATATTGTACTTACCTTATAAGACTGTAAAATTTTATAACCCAGATCCTTTGTCATCTGTTGTCCTTCTATGCTTTTCTTTCGTATGGTTTTTCAAGACATTATCATTTCATCATGTATGCCATGATGCACGTCGCTGTATACTAGAGAATGAAGATTTTCATGAAATTTGTGGTACACTTCCAGAGGCAGAAATAGCCAGTAAATATCCAAAATGTTTATCTATAAAATATTATTTTTGGTATATATTAATACCAACAATGTGTTTCCAATTTTGGTATCCACGTACAAGTGGTATTAAATGGCTAGAAGTAATTAAGCATACAATTGGACTACTTGGTTGCCTACTGTTAATGAAGATAATTGTTGAACAATATGTTGTTGTTACTGCTCATTATACCTTTACTTTGAAAGAGTTACAAAAGATGAATATACACCAATTTATAGTGCATATGACAACTCGGATAATGAAATTATCAATACCATCACTTTATGTTTGGTTACTTGGGTTTGTTGCTTTATTTCACCATTACTTAAATATTCTTGGTGAAATAACTTGTTTTGCTGATCGAGCTTTTTATTTAGATTGGTGGAATGCTGGTAGTTTTGGTGAATATTGGAGGAAATGGAACTTACCTGTCCACTTTTTTTTGACAAGACATATATTTAAACCAATTAGAAAGGCAGGTGTGAATAGTGCTGCTGCCAATTTACTAGTATTTACATTATCCGCTCTTATTCACGAATACCTTGTAGTCATTCCCTTAAATATTGGATGGACTGGATGGGTAGTTTTAGCTTTTGTCTTACAAGTACCATTGTCATTATGGACACAAACAAGTGCAATTCAGAGCAGAGAAACTCTTGGAAATGTAGTATTTTGGATTTGTTTCTGTTTCTGTGGTCAACCGATAGCTGTATTATTATATTACTATTTATGGGCTCTTTCTAAGGGTGAAATAGATCAAATAGACCTACATAAAATTGAAGGTATACCACAAATACCACTGGATAATATATCAGAATATATTTCTAACTTAACAAATGTTTAGGTTTTGTTACAATGATTATAAGTATGTATTATTGAAGTATCATCAAGTTAGCTAACAAATTAGAATATTAATATCTGAAAATTCACCATTGATCTAACAATATTATTGCTGCTTTGATATCTTCCAACAATACCTATATATCCAGTATATATTGTCTTTTACTTTTTAAAAAGTCAATATGATATAAATTCATTGCATAATTAGAATAAACTTTCGAATTCTTTGGAAATATACCTATATTACCCATATATATGGTCTATTAGGTACTAACCTTTACATTTTTCTATATTATCTTAATTTTGCACATAGTTTTTGTTTTTAATTCAAATAATGTAGGACCCCGGTAGAATACTGGGCGCAGTATTTCTTTTTTGAAGAATTGGAATTTTAATAAATGTTTAATTAATTAATTTACAACTTTGTCTAAGGTTATCTCACTAGTTATTAATGGAAATATATGTATCTCTATATTATTTAATATATGATTTTGTAGGTTGGTATATTTCTAGATATGATAAGAATGATATAGGGAACTGTACTAAATACTATATAGAAATATGGAATAGAATAACTGAAGTAATGAAAGGCAAGAATAGATCAGAATACACTGAAATTCAATCTTCTTTAAATATTAGAGTTGTTGAGAATATATTTTCTTGCATTGGTGCACTAGTAGGATATAGTACAAGTGATGAAACTTTGAAATCTATTATTATAAGAACGGAATTGATGCTACTTGGGACACTATTACCTAGCCATTATATAAGAAAAATCGAGGAAGAATTTAATGTAGATATAAGCAAATGTGATATATCTGATTTATACATACATTTAAGTATAATTGATGAAGTATGCAATATCTCAAAGAAGAAGTTTCCTTATATGTTGCGTAACCCTTTAAATGGAAAACATGAACCTGTTAAACTCAAGAATGAAGAATTCAAAGACAGATTATATATGGAAAGTTATAGTTTGGCAATTATTGACTTAATAATGTTGATACTAAAAAGTTATAGTGAAAGCATAAAGGAAACAAGTACAAGTACAATTTGCTGTAACGAAAATTTGAAGCTAAGCTTATACTCTCTTCCACTCATAAATATGACTAGAGCTCCAGATTTATCTAATAGCCAGACTCATATTAAAGTTATAGAAACATTTAACAGCTTTAAGATAAAAGATAGAGAAGATATATTTTGGAAGTGCCTATTATTTTGCAAAATTTATGAAATTATTTCTTCATTACTGGAAACTACAGACAGTAATATAAAGTACCAGACTTTTTTATTAGCTCAAAAATTTATAGAGGAAATATCAGATGTCAATAAAGTAGTTTTAAATAAACACAATTCTCTATTATTTTTGATTTTACAGAGTGAATGGGATACTCTACTTCAATCTCAATTTCCTCACTCTCTAGAGAATAACATATCATTTTTTCAGTCATATTCAAGATTTTTTACCCTAATTCAACTAATTTTTTTACGTGAGATATCTCAAATTAAGGATTATGGAAATCAATTAACTAGTTTATTACATTATTTTGAGAATCAACTTTATGTGAACTATATTGATATGCTTGTATTCCTACTCAATAGAATTTATGTTATAGTATCTACAATGGAGATTCGACAAATTTCAAGTGAGCAGCAGACACTGGATGAAAGAAGAGTAGATGCTAATTGTGATAAAAGTAGTGCATGGAAAATATTGCAAATATTCTTAAAGGAGCTATATCCATTACTACTACCATTACCAGATAATTCTACACTATGTTTGCTTGTATCGGCATCAACGCAGCTAAATTTTGAGTTATGGTTAAAACTTTGTTTTGCATCATTTAATACTCAAATAACTAATTATCTAAAAGAAGATTTAATTCCAACAAACAATACAATTTACAATGGTTTGCGCATACTATATCAATTAATTTTGATATGTGATATAGATATAGTAGCTCCATTTGTAAGTGATATTATCTACCAATTATGGCTATTATTCATTTATATAGAGCTAGATATGCTATTTTCAAAGCATTCATCCGCAAATCTTTGCAATGATACAGAGACAGCTGCAAACCTTTCAGAAAATTTAAATGAATGTATAAAGCTAGACAACTTTGGAGACAGCAGTGAAACTATAGCTATAATTAAGAAGCTACATGCTGAGGTAGCAAATATGTTAGCTAACAAAGTAGAAGCAAGTATCCTCTATCAAATAATTGAAACAATAAACGAAGTCTCAAAGTCAGCAAAACACACAAACAAACGGGCGTACCATTTGCTTAGTTCATTTCGGATGCTATTTAGAGATGAAAATATAATACTGTGACAGTTCGTGCAGATTTAGTTATAGTTATTAAATAACTATTAATCTAAGCCTTTCAGTTCTCTATGCTCTTGTATAGATCATTTGACCATGAGTCTGTTCACCAACTTGACGTATTATACCTCTTATTTCAAAGTCACGTAAAGCTGCCCTTGCTGCACTAGCATTAACTTTCAGTTGGTTTACAATAACTGCAGGAGTTATCATCTTTAATTTCATTATGTCAACACTTAGACGTTCAAGTGTAGTTTTGTCAAAAAGTACGGCATGGTTTGCCTTGTCTTTTTGCTTACCCTTTGACCACTTCTTACGCTTTGCTCTACCACCAGCTGCTGCTGCTGCTGCAATTTGCTCTTTCGTCTTCTTCTCACCCTTTGGTGGCATCTCTCTTAATTATACACCTGAAGATATATCTAAACAAGATAACAAAATTGAAGAAAGTACTTTTTCTTCGTCAATACAACCAGCTTTTCCAGAAACCCTTTTTTTCATTAGTATACTTAGTTGAGACAAACTAGACGTAAGACGTAATTCCGCTAACAGATATCTACTAAATATCACTAGTTACTTTACCTTAGTAAAATAAAGGTACCACTTATTTTGGATAGTAATTAGTATATGTGATGTAGTGGAGACGGGAAATATATGAATAAATTTTATATATGGTAGCCTTTAAAATAAACTGAATATTATAAACTCTAAATAGGTTATCAATGGCGGTATTAAATGCTAATACTAGCGCGTGAGTATTCTATTAAATTTACTATTTGGTTAGTTTGGATCACAATAACTGACGCGGTATAAATAGTCAAAAAATGGATGTTTGCGTGCATCATTAGGACTAAAGAGAAGATACAAGTAGTCTGCACCACTGGTTTGAATGATCAAATAGGTATCACCGTGTAATGGATAATCTGAAATGTGTCTTTAATTCTAGACAATTATTATTAGATAGTGAAAGTATAAATAGTACAGGTAGAGATCGAATAAAAGCTTCAATAGAGAAAAGTAAAGAACCAGAGTGGAGGTTAGTAGGAAATATGACATCTAAAATATTGGTAAGATATGAGTCAGGTTTAGATACATATGAGAACAATTCAAATATTTTTACACCTTGTTCTCAAGAATGCTTCACATTTGAAACTGCAGAGGAAGAAGACCCAACCATATTTGACCTTAACTCACATGAGCTAAATGGGCTAGTGACGTCCATAAAAAAAAATTTTGAAGAAGATGTTCCATCTAGCCAATGCTTTAGCAAAGATAAGAATAATGTAAGTAATTTTGAAGAAAGTGGAACTTTGAATAAAGACAGATATATGATGACAAGTGTTAGACCAGATTCTAAAGTATGTAACAAGGGAGTAAATAAAGGACAAAGTAGTCAAAATATAAAGTATCCAAGCTGTAAAGGACTCAACACTCAACAAAGAAATAGATTAGATCAGAATAGATCTTCCGATTTAGGAAGTTATACGATGGAAGTTAGTCAACATCAAAATATAACTGATAACTCTACCAACTATAATGTGAATAGTATACAATTTAGTGATGTAATTCCTGGAATAAACAATAAAGACAACCAAAGATGTTGCCGTGATTGCAACTATGAAGGCTATAATAACCAAGTAAATAATATTAAGAACAACTTTAGTAAGGCTGGAAACCAGCCTTCAATTCATGGTGCTCATAACTATCACGAAATACCAGAAATATCCAAAATAGAATATATTACTGAAACAAGTTCATTAACCTCACTTGAAGATAGCAATATGGAAGGTATATATGAAAATAGTTGTGATAAAACTGCGTTATACAGTATATATAATAATGAAGATGTAAACAAAGAAATGACTTGTCAAGCTTGTAAATATTCACATGACTGTTACCAAAGATCTCCAGAAGCCTATAACTACCCAAATCTAGATGCGATGTACGTAGGTTCAAAAGTACAAGTTTCCAGTGATATAAATAATTTAGATTTACATGCAAAGTCTTCAACTTTGGATAATTCAGTTGAAAAATCATATTTTTGTGCTGAAAATGAGCATTATAAAGTTCTTTGTAGAGAATATTGTGATTTAGTGAACTATATGTACTGCAATTATAATTTGATCTCGAAGCCCTGTATCAATAGTAAAGTAAATTCTAATTCAGCATCACCTTTATCTTGTAAAGAAAGGAAATCTCCATTATCTTCAAAAAGAAGTTCAGAATGTCCTCTAAAAGAAGGGAAGTTTCGTAGAGATGGACTTATTCCTGCTTGTAAAGGATCTATCTATATTGATTATATTATAGATATGAAGAGTATTGGCAAGGGAACTTATGGTTCAGTTTGTTGTGGTGTAAACCGTCTTACAGGAGTTGTTAGGGCGATCAAATCTATACCTCTTGCAAAGGTAAAAGCTATGGATAGGTTTATGAAGGAGATTAATATTATGAAGAATCTTGATCATCCTAATATAGTCAAACTCTATGAAACTTACCAAGATCACAAGAATATCTATTTAGTTTTAGAATTTTGTAGTGGGGGTGAATTGTTTGATAGAATAATTCAACAAGGTAATTTTGATGAAGCCTATGCAGCTTATTTAATGCGACAAATACTTTCTGCAATATTTTATTGCCATGAGCATGGAATTGTCCATCGTGACTTAAAACCTGAAAATTTTCTTTTTTTAAATAACCAAAACAATGCTCCATTAAAAATTATAGACTTTGGTTTAGCTACAAAATTTAATAAGAATAATACAACGTTAACTACAAGAGCAGGAACTCCATACTATGTAGCTCCTGAAGTTTTAAGTGGTGAATATGACCAGCAGTGTGATTTGTGGAGTTTAGGTGTTATTTTGTACATATTACTATGCGGTTACCCTCCTTTCTATGGAAGTAGTGATAATATAATTTTACAGAAAGTTAAAACAGGACATTTTATTTTTAAAGATAAAGATTGGAAAGACATCTCTCCTTTAGCTAAAGATTTGATTTGTAAGCTATTAACTTACAATCCAAAGGGGCGTATATGTGCAAGAGATGCTCTAAAACATCCCTGGATCACTCATTTTACAAGAAATAACTATAAAATTCCCCTATACTGTCTTATTAATGAAACCCAACTTGAAGGTAATGAAACTGATAAAGAATGTAACCAAGGATTTTCTAGCTTAAACTCTTATAGAACAGGTACTTGTATTTCTTCAGGGATAAATATCTTATCAAACTTTAGGAATTTTCATCAATACAATCGCTTTAAGAAGGTTGCTTTAACTGTAATTGCACAACAGATGACTGAAAGCCAAATAAGTAACCTCAAAGAAGCATTTTTTGCCCTAGATGCCAATGGAGATGGAACTTTGACCCCTCAGGAGATTATTTTAGGTCTTCAGAAGAGTGGTATCAAAGAGTTACCTTCTGATTTGATTCAAATACTACAAGATATTGATAGTGATGGTAGTGGTTCAATAGACTACACTGAATTTATTGCTGCTACTTTAGATAGTAGGCAATGCTTTCAAGAAGATATATGCTGGGCTGCTTTTAGAGTATTTGACTTGGATGGTAATGGAAAAATTACTGCAAGTGAAATTATGAATGTTATTGGATGTCATCATGTACGACATGCTTTACATTTACAGTCATATATTATGTCAACTATTGAAGATATGATACGAGAAGTAGATGTTAATGGTGATGGGGAAATAGACTTTGAAGAATTCCTTGAAATGTTTAGGAGATGTGAAAAAGTGTAAATATAATATATAGAAGTTGATCATTGTAATTGACTCCAGTAATAAATAATTAGCTTATAAAGGTACAGTTGAATATATTCATATTAATAGTTGGGGAGAAAAATATATATTATTTAGAAATATATAAATGATCCTAGTTGATATTGACTTTCTTTTTTTTTACAATTCTGACTCTTTATTATCATATATTACTATTACGGTATACATTCTAAATTATACCTATATACACTTGTATAAAATTTAATTTAGAAATATAAATTGTAATATTCTAAAACCTTGCTGGAACTTACTGGAAGTAACTTGAATTTGTTTGATACAAAAGTATATTCATATATTTTATAGAATTACAGATCTAATAATTTCGAAGTATACACTTTTACAAACAATAATCATATTTAATTATAAGGTACTGATAGTGGTACCTTGATACTCAACTAGTCTTACAGGATCAATATTATATTGCTGCTAGTATACTTATCATTGGCTATAGAGAATATACTATATATATATTACTGATATTCTTCAAATTATTTTAAATTACTACAAAAATATAACTTAAAAAGTACAAAGGCACTATAATTTAAGAGATCTCCATATACTTGTAAGTCGCATATTTTGGAATTTTCAATATAATCACTTATTTTACTGTAATATCTAAATACTATATCTTGGTAACCTAACAAATTACATCTTCTCAATAACCCCAAACTCTGAAACGTTAATTAATAGTTCTTTTAAAATAAACTCATTACAATATTTCTAGAAAATTACAAGTTTCTATATAATATCTACTTTATTTTAATTATTCAGTGTTACTTTACAATATATTATACTGTCCACTTATTCTGAGGTTCACATATTTGGAAATTTGAAAGTATCTTTTTTTAAGTGAATATATTTAAATAGTTCTGCAAATGTAGCCTCTATATCATACTGCACATATATAGTTTTATATATTATAATCTTATAATTCAATTCTATAAGCTAAAGATTTCAACAAACTAGTTTTTATATTAAATAAGTTATATGATCGAATTATCTACAAATTTGTAAATTGAATAGTTCATAATGTATAATACTGTCTCCAAGAAATCCTTATTCCGGTTAGTTCTAATATATATGTATTTTAATTTTATTACATATACCACTACATAGTAAAGTCATATAATTATTCATTAATTATTTATGATATCACCTCGATATCAGTTAATAACAGTACTCTCGTTCTATATATTAACATTTACGCAAAGTATATCTTGTGTACTATCATAATCTGGATATATAAAACAAATATACCATTCTATATAAAAATTGATAAATTAATTTAATTTTTCAAACATTATCAAGCTCTAGTTGGTTTTTATTATTCGCATAATCTATAAGATGTGTAATTATACTCCACATTACTTGAACTACTTCATTACTTTCGGTAGTTGTACATCTATGCTTAAGAATATCATTAATCAAAGCTTTATCTGTTCTATTCTCTTCATTAAAAGTTTTTTCTATGGGTTTATCAATTTCTCCAAAATATTTATTTCCAGTATCCCAGGATATACTTGAAGTATTTTGTATATCTTCTATGTTATTTAAAGGAAAACTGTGTGTAATCTCTGAATTTGATTCAGTTAAGAATTCATTATTAATTGAATTATACGAATTTACTTGATTTTCAGTTGATATATTAGATAATCTGTTATTTAACCTATAGTCCTCTCTAATAGGGACAGAAATAGGATTAAAATTTAAAATTTTTCCATTAGCAATAGATGTTTTAGGGCCCCCAAGTTCAACAACAGGGATAGAATTCACTTCATTACATTTGTTATGGTATTCAGAAAATTCTTTAGATATACTTTTTGGGGGTAAATGAGCCTCTTTATCTACTTGTGAATAATTCATATGATAATGATCTTTATTTATAAGTAATGGGCATTCCAGTACAAATGTTGACTTATCTATATTTGATATAGTTGAAAACATGCATATACAATTTATTTCAGTATAACCCCACTGTTTTCTCTGCGTATTAATTGTTTTTATAAATCTTATCTTCACATGGGATTTTTTCTCAGTACTTCGTGATATTATACACTTTTCAGCTTCTAACATGAGTAGCAAGTCATAGCCCTCAATATCACTATTACTTAATCCCAATATTTTCAATTTAGAAATATCCACATATTTCAAGGTAAAATTACTATTTTTCTTGTAAAATACTAAATCACCTCTTTTACAAACTAATGAGTGTAAATCTCCTCTCTCTATTTCTTTTGACATACCTTCTCCAACAATCTGTTTAGACACTAGTCTATTTTTCAGTATTTCTTCCTCTATATCATCCCTTGCAATACCAAATACTAAACTATGATATTCTGATGGGAGAGTTAAATAATAGTCAACATTTGAATTCTGAGTATCTAAACAATTAATATATAAAGGGTAGATGACGAGCTCAAGTAAATATAAACAAAATAACTTCAGACAAGATATCATTCCAAGTGATTCTATATCTTAAGACTATTGTTGTTCTTTAAAATTGGGTACTTTTCTTAACTCATTATCTCTGATAACTGCGCTAGGAATAATCTAGGTACCATTCTTATTTACCGCCAAAAAATGCATGGGAATGATGTATTTGAGACGTGTCTCTTGAATATAAAATTATTTGTGATAAACTAACATTAGTACAGGAGTAAAATAATAATATATACCACCTTAATAAAGGTTCTAATATATAATATTAAAGTCTCTTCATTAAATAGATGTAAATCTTTATTTGTAATATTTCGTTTACTATATAATTTGCATCTATAAACTTAAATCAATATATAGATCTTTTCTATTTTATTATCTAAAAATGATCAAGAAATATATTTTCTATAGTAAATTAGTAAAAAAAAGAAAATGCTACAGTATATAATAAGAAAAAATAGTTATTTGTAAAAGGAGTCAGAGTAAACTTATTTTCAGGATTATAGTATTTAAGCTACTTAAACCTATATATCTTGAAAACCAATTTTTCAAAATCTCTTATGTCACTATATCTATTAAATAATAAATTTTAGTATTAAATTAGTATTATTTATTCCTAGTATAAACAAAATAAAACAAATTTTGAAAATTAATAACTCCTTTACTATTATATAATGATATCTACTAGATTTATATTCAAGGGACATATTTTAATAAATAACTTACTGTTTCTATAAGCTATAGTAAAGAATTTCACTAAAAAGATAATTAATCATAATAAGATATCTGTAATTTCAAATATTAATATATATTAAAATTTAGTATAAAAAAATCCAATAAACACTAAATTGTATAACTCTTTTATCTTAATGCACTTTTAACTAGTTTCTAAGATTTTAGTAACTAGAAAATATTATAAATATCGTACTTTAGTTACTTAATATATTAATAGAGTATCTACATCTAAGAAAAATTATTTATAGATAGAAAACTACATAATTAGTTTATTCAAAATTTTTACTTTTAAACTATCATTAAATTTTTGGTTACTTGACTACAATAAGCTAAAAATAATCTTAAACTTTTTCTTTGAGCTAAACTAATTTGGACCCAATAAATAGTGACTAAGCTCAAGTAAATTAAAAAAAAAAATCAAAGTTAATTTTCTTTTTTTTTTTTATAGTCTAATATTTTAGAATATTATCACTTATTTTATTAAAGATCTTGATTTATTCTACTTATAGTTGATTATTTGAATCTTCCTAGGGTATGCTAACACTACCTAAGAATTTTTATCAATAGTATTTGCATTAAAGCTCCATACATTATTAGGAATATTATTAAATATTCTGTAGTGGGAACTAATATGAAAAAAAAATTAAAGAAACTAGATCACTCTTTTTTCATTTCTACTAAAAATATTTAAAATAGTGAACTTTGTTTAGGCAATAGGAATCATAAAATACCAATACAATTAATAAATTAGGTATATGTATTGTAAATTAAATTCTTACCAAGATATTAAAGTATAGCATTATATAGTGAAATTATTTAATAGGAGTATATTAAATTTAATAATATTATTATGACTAATAAACCCTTAAAAATTATACAAGTCACAATCTTAGTCATAATGACTAATAATATAACTTATAGTTATCTTTACTATATTATAATATATATAATTTATTTTGTAGAGATATTTATTAGTTACTTAAGGTATTCTATATAATATTATACAATTTATCACTGTTATAATCAGAATAATGTTTCATACCACTTTGAATATTAAAGAATAGGTTACATTGTACATTTATATTTTGTTCCAGGTTATAACAAGTTTATTACCTACTTCTCTTTAAAAAAAAGATTTAGTTTATAATATATTTACATATTATTAGCTAGACAAATGCAAAATAAGTAAATATATACTTCCCTTATTACTTATTTTATGATTCTATACTTGATCACTCCTGCCTTAATCTTACTGTTTTAAAAGTAACATTACTCTATACTTGTTGTAAAAAGCTCACTTAATGAAGTGAATCTATATATATGTAGGTAATTTTAATAAGAAAAAGTGGTAATATATTAAATATACTGTTAAGAAAGTTACTTTTAGTTCAAGGGTAGCACTTAAATTATAGAGAAAGAAGATTCATCACCAAAAAGTCAGTTAATATCTCACAATATATAATTTAAAACCTAAATATTCCATTGAGACAAGTAATATAGTGTAAATTTGGTTTTAGAATATTTCTAAAATCTAAAATAATAGAAAAGTATTAAATAATATCAAACTTGAGCCATAATCCAAAACTTAAGCGGGAAATATTTAGATCAATACTTTGTTATATTCTATACTAAATAGACAAATAATATAAGAAGATTAAAACAAATAATGGAAGAACTTCCCACAATAAACTGTCAAAATCTTAAGGAAAAAAAGTCTTCTGGGAATACTGTAACTCAGTGTCCAGGTCTAATAATATGCAAGGTATCTGGTAAAGAAGATTTAAGGTTGACATGGGGTTCCCATAGGTTACTTTCAAAAACTATTCAGTTTTTAAATTACTCAATTAGAAAATATCTGGATATATTAGAGGATCAGGAATATAAAATTGAGGTATAAACTCAGCTGAAAAGCAATTACAGTATATGTTTTATCTAATTCTTTTTTTTTACTTAGGTTGCTACAGGGGCTGAAGATGGTACCAAGTGGATCCCTACAACTATTCAACAATTAGTTGAAAATTCAGATATATATATAGTGAGAATTAGTAGAATAGAAGAGACAGATAATGATAAAGTTAATGAAGAATCAATCAAAATACATTCAGTGCTAAACTGTGGAAGACATTGTGCTAATCAGATGCGTTATATACAGCTTATGGAACAAAATAAAAAAATAAATTCACTAACATCAAAAGATACAATAATAAAAGTGGAGGAACTAAAAAAACATTGTACTGCTAATGATTGCTGGGTCTCATATAATGGTAAAGTATACGATATTACAAAGTATTTAGATTATCATCCTGGAGGTAAATATAACTCTTCATTTACTTCATAGAAATATTTATTATCTAAATGTTATTTTTTATAGGTAGAGATATCTTAATTGAATTTGCAGGATCTGATATTACTGAAGCTTTTACAAACTTTCATCAATGGGTAAATTGTGAACAAATTCTCCAACATTCCTTTGTAGGATTTTTAGGTTAGGTACCCTAGTTATTTTAATTGAGTAAAGCTCATTAGGCTAATAAAATATTAATTTATATTTGAAAAAGATTATAATTTAAAATAAGAAGTTAGTTTATATTGTTTTTTTTAATAAAGCTTTGGGATTTTTCTATTTTGGAAACTAGTTTAGTTCAAGAAAGTTAATAAGACTTGTCTTCCCCTCAACTACAATAGAACTTTTTTAGGTTTATTTTTAAAATTAATATCACTTCTTTTTTTTTTAAAGTAATTGACTTTAAATCTTCTACTTTAAAGTTCAAAATGACTTCAAATGTTGATGACTGGGAAGTTTGGAACAGAGATATTCCTTTTTGGAAACATGCAATAGCTGGAAGTGCTGCAGGTGTAGTTGAGCACACATCAATATTCCCCTTAGATACCATAAAGACTATTTTGCAAGCTGATCATTTAAAAAAAAAATCTGCTATTTATGATGCAATAAATTATATTAAACTTAGAGGAATTTCAAGTCTTTTCCGTGGTTTCAAAGCTGCTATAATAGGGAATGTCCCTGCTCATGCTGCTATGTTTTCAACATATGAACTTTGCAGAAGAACACTCTCAACGGAGAATCTAGAAGTTAGTGAGAAAAATTACAAGTATATAAATATATTTGACAAACTTATTGCACCAGCTCTTTGTGGAGGTACTGCAGTATTTGTACATGATAGTATAGTTACTCCTATGGATGTTGTGAAACAGAGATTGCAACTAGGATCCTACAAAGGTATATTTGACTGTATAAAACATATGGTTAAAAACGAAGGTCCTATATCATTGTTCAGATCACTGCCAGTCACCCTATTTATGAACATCCCTCAAAATGGTCTATTCGTTGTATTAAATGAAAATATTAATAAACATTTTAGTCACAGAATATTGAATGATAGGGATCCTACTTTGAAATACTTTATATTTGCAGGAATCAGCGGAGCAATTGCTGGATTTATTACAACCCCACTAGATGTTGTGAAGACGAAGATACAAACACAAGCTTGTCACATTCAAAATGATCTTACAAGAGACATAGCGTATAAGAACATTACAGAGACAATTGAGAAAACATGGTTCTATGAGGGATACCGTGGTTTATATAGGGGCGCTCTTTCTAGAGCTACTCTGATTGCCCCTTCTTATGCTTTATGTTGGGGAACATATAGAGCTGTCAAAAATATCCTCAGTACTTAATAAAGTAGCTTATCAGTCAAGTTTGATACAAAAATAACACTGTAAAATCAGTTGTGATAATTAGTTAGAATTCATACTAATAAATTACAAACTCTGGAGCTAAGGATTCAAGCTGTTCTACTAACTTTTGTGTAGAGCTTATCCAATTATCAATTTTAGTTCCTAATAATTGTAAACGTCCTTTATCTAGTATATGTGGGTGGACCCAGTTAATTTCTACAGTACGAGAGGTTTGATCTATGTATCCATTTATAAGTTTCATATTGATTGCCTTCATTACAAGTAGCTCTATTTCTGTAATACTAACTCTACAATGGTCTGCAATTTCTTCAAATTTTAAAATACGTTCATTTTTATCCTTCTTAAATGCTAAATCCATTAGAGCTAGTGTTGTTGTCTTCTTTATAATACATACTTGAGCTTCTGTTGTACATAGTGGACTATTTTTGACATGATCCTTATGTTTTTCAATTGAGAACTTCAGCATGTCAATATCTCCCTCATGCAAGCTAACAAGAATATCTAAAATCCACGAAAATGACTTGATATTACACAATGTCTGCTCATCAATGTCCATTTGTTGTTGATCTACCTGCTTAACCATATTACTAAAATTCTGAATTAGTGGGTGTAAAATTAGTTCACCTAAATTAAAGATATCATCAGATATAATTGCAGCCACAATAATTTCATAAGCTAAACAAGGTTTATTACGTTGGGAAATTTCATCCAATGGAGTATAAGATAAGTATAGTAAAGCATGTTTGTAGAACATGTTAGGCCTATTAATTGTCTTTTCATAAGCTGCACAGCATCTATGATACATTGCAATTAAACAAGGTTCTGCTCCTCTTAGTTTATCAAGTTTCTCAGCAACAAAATCTAGTAACTCGTTACATTGTAGACTCATATCAGCTCTCTTTGTTAGTTCGAAGGCTTTCAAAATTTTATGATATAAATCTGCTTGTATTTCAAATGGAGGTTCTACATTTTTGTGCTGAGTTAAAATAGTACTATTTACTTCACTATTGTCTTTTTCATAATTAATGTCTTGCTTTAATTTTTCTAAAAATGTAATATTATCATCTATAGGTAGTTCATTATTATCTATTACAAAACCTGCCAAAGTAGCGAACCTAAGGGGGTTGAAGTGCTGTCTTAAAGGTACTATAGCACCAACAAAAAATTCGATTTTATCATACTTTTGGAACTCCAATTGTTCATTAGATAAATATTGGTAACAAAGCTCCATATATTGGTGATATAGTTTTTTTTCTAAGTAATTTCTGAGAGTTGCTACTTGATTAGGGTCATTAGATCTCTTCAGTGACTCCTTCTCCAGTTGATCTAAAGGAGTTATGGTCCTAGCAAATAACTCGTTAACTATAGATGATGTACAATTAATATCCATTGCTTTATCACTTTATATTAAAGTATTAGTCCCTCTCTATTTGTCCTTTATCCCAGGAGTGGTCCTACTCACTTGATAATGTGCCCCCAGCATGAAGTATCACGCGCGAGATTTGGCTAAGTACAGGAAGTTACAAATCTATGTACCAAAGATCAAATCTAAAGTCAGTAGAGACTCAATATTAAGAAATCTGCAAAATATTTGTGTCGAAGTTAGTGAAATATAGAGATACTAAGATTATACGACTGTCTAATTATAGTAGAGTACTTCCTAAAACCTGATGTAGGGACATCAGTACATAATACTGTGTTAATACTAACAATATATTATTACTACAACCATACTCTTATATTTAAGTAATTTATAATAAGAGAAATAGAATACAAAATCTCACAATTCATCAATTCTATACACTTATTATACTACTCCAGAATTCGGCATTTCAGCATTCGGCACTTCAGCGCCACAACAACTTGTCTATATTGTATTAAAGACAATACGTAGATAAGTGTCTTACACATCAATTTCTTATTTCCAGTTAAGGCGTCAAGTTCACTTGTCTTCATTTTACCTGAAGACTGCAACGCTGATTATATTGCTATTGCAGCTATGATGTCTTCAGCATCGGTTGAAGATTTAGATCTTCTGTGACCGACAAAATGAGATAGCTGAGCTGTGTAGATCTTCAATATATTAGGACCACACTATAGAATGGTTACTCCTAAACATTACTACATAATAGGGGGACACTTGGTAATTGGTCACTTAGTCGCGAGGAGACCTAATTATTATAGAATCTGCTTTGTCCCAAAGGTATATTATTATTGGCATTTCCACGTCTATTAGGACCACCTCTTTGATTAACTTTGTAGTGACTGGTACCCAACTTCGTCAGCTCAGGTGGAATATCTTGCTTAGCTTCTCTTAACACACGTACGAGATCATTAGCAAGTCGACATTTATCTGCAGTGAAAAATGACAAGGAGACGCCACTTGCTCCTGCACGACCCGTACGCCCAATACGATGAATATAATCTTCCATCTGATTAGGAAAGTCGTAGTTAACAACAAATGTAATATCTTTCACATCAAGACCCCGTGCTGCCACGTCAGTAGCAATCATTATTGGGGAAGTACCATTCCTAAATTCATTTAATACCCAAGTCCTCTCTTCTTGCTTCTTATCACCATGTATACACAATGCTGGCCAGCCTTCCAAGCGTAGTTCTCTAGTGAGTATATCTGCTCCTTTCTTAGTCTCACAAAATATTAGAACTTTAGAAGTAGGACTATTCATAACTTGATTCAAAAACATTCTTAATCTACCCTTCTTTTGGTATTCATCAACTACATCGATATATTGCTTAATATTATGAGAAGCTTTAAGTGTATCAATGGAACCAACATTAATATGAACAGGTTCCTCACGACATAAGTCACGAGCTAGTTTCTGAACCTCTTTTGGCCATGTTGCACTCCATAATAATGTCTGTCTATCTGGTCTAATTTGAGATACCAGTTTACGTATTTGTGGTTCAAATCCCATGTCAAGCATTCTATCAGCCTCATCTAGTACTAGATAAGTTACCCTTGATAAATTTGTACAACCTTCTTCCAGAAAGTCAATTAGTCTCCCTGGGCAAGCAATACATATTTCAACGCCATTTCGCAAGGAAATTTGTTGTGATCTTTTAGGTACACCACCATATACTGCAGTATTTCTTATTCTCAATATATTCCCAAACCTGTTTGCTTGTTCACGAATTTGCTCAACAAGTTCACGTGTAGGAGCTAATATCAAACAAATGGGACCATCCCCATATCTTAATCTTGGTTGAGCACTAATATGTACCATTGATGGTAATAAAAATCCCAATGTCTTACCTGAACCTGTCTCAGCAATACCAATCATATCTCGTCCAGATAGTGCAACTGGCCAACCTTGTACTTGGATAGCAGTTGGTTCTGTAAATCCAGCTCTATATAATGCATCAATAAGAAAATCTGGAAACGATGACTCATCAAAACTAGTTATTGGTTTCGGTACATTACTACCTGCTATTAGAGTAATTCTTTTACTTTTGCGTATTTCATTTGCTTCATCTTCACTCAACTTTGTGATATTCTGATGCTCAAAATAAAAATTCTTCTCAAAAGGTATCAAGTACTGTGACTTCCAGTCAATTCGTGCCAATCTGTCATCCAATTCATGATGTCGGTATATTGAATTATTCCCAGTGTTCCCATTACTAAATCTACTAGGTAACTCTCTATTATTTATGTTATATTGGTTATTCCCATTACCCTTATTACTACTACCCTTTAATCCACCATAATTCCTTCCTTGTTGGTTATTATAATAAGGAAGCCCTTCATTTGTGGTTGTTGGATAAGGTGCTGAATAATGTCCATTATTAACAACTCCTGCCTGTACAGATGCTACTGAACTAGACCAATTACTATGTCGCATCTTTTTTTCGACCAAGTTATCCAACAATTCAGAACCAACCTGAGTATTTTTGCTTCAAATGAATAAAGGTACTATTGTGGTTTCCACAAGTTTCTTTACAATATACAATTGTAAAGTAATAAGATACTACCACTTACTCCACTCAACAGTTACCTAATAGAAGAGTACCGCATTTTTGGTAAATCACGTCTCGATAATGGAGACAAGGGGAACCTCTGAATTTGGCGTGTTTAAAAATAAATGATATCCTCAGTATTTATAGTCAAATATCAATTCAATTAATCACTTCTTACCCTAAATTTCAGTACTGAAGTCTCAGACTTCTAAGGGTTTGTACTTAAGTTGCAGATCAATAACTTACAATATTTATGATTAGCTTTTACTGGCCCAATCTAGTGAGGATCCATAAGTAATCATCATTCATCTATGCTCACATTTGGTTCTCTAATAGCAAATTACATTAAGCCTATTAGGACCTTGATCAATTAGATATTGAATGCAGCGTTTGCATATGTGGAATTTGAGTTGCATGTAAATGCCAGCCAAGCTGAAAATGATCCTTGCCGGTATCTTCCTCATCAATTGTATAGATTGCATGGAATATTTCTTTTTGAGTAAATTGCTTATAAAGAATATTTATAAGCAAATTCTCACTACACAAAACTTGTTTCTACTTAGGTGAAAGAGATTACATTAAGAGTATAGTACAGAAACGTTATTTACAGTAATAATATATCTCGGGAGACTACAGAAGTTGTAATTTAAAAAAAAAAACAAATCCTCCAAACCTAATTTCTAAATCCCGAATTGTCATTTGTAATAGAATAAGATATATTTGGCAAAAGAGGAGAGTACTTTTACCCCACGTGAGACAATTGCGCTAAACTATCTTCCTGTCTCTAGGGGGTTATTTAGCTTATATGACGCATTACAACTATTTGCATGCCTTTAAAGAGCTGAAATATCGGATGTAACTGAAGAATGTATAACGAATATGGATACAAAAGGCTAGCAAGATACTTCTCATCATCTTTTGAACAAGATACAGGTTTACCATATAAACAAGTGGACAGATCTGCAGAATCAGATATCGGGTGGGTAACAAGTGATATAAGATTTAAAGAAGAACTAAATTGGAACTCTTCTACAAGGGATTCATCGAAAATTGAAGTTGGATCATTAATAGACAGATTGGGTAATGGTTCTATTGAACCTAACCCTGATAATAGGCTAAATAACACTTTGAAAGATGCTCCTATAGCAGTAATTCCATGTGGATTATTATATCCGAGAGTATTTATAGGGAATATTCCACCAAATATAAGCTTTGAAGTACTGAAAAACTTGATATTAACAGCAATAGATGATTGTAACAATTCATCTGGTTCTTTGATTTCACTAAATTATCAATCAAGTTATAAGGAATGGAGGACAGCATATGCTAGTTTAACAACTTGGAATAATGCTCAGAAAGTAATCCAGCATCTACATCTTAGACGGCACTTTAAAAATGTGCCATATCATAGACTAGTTGCATGTGTAGCTCCATACCCTCCCCCATCAGTTCTATCATCAAGTTTCGAATCGGCATACGATCCTGGTGAGGCAGAGTCGATTATTTTGGAGTTTCAGGAAATTAACAAGAAACTCTTATTGCATGAACCACGTGGTACCGAAATATGGCTTCCATCATATAATCGTATTGAACGTAGTAGGAACTTTTGCAATATTTGGAATTGCTTTAAAAGAGATGAAATAAATAAAATAAGTACTAAATGGATGCAATACTATAAAGAAAATGGTACCTGTGATTACTGGGATTCGTTATCAGGGCATATGCAGTCACATATGCCAAGTAGTTCATCTATGGAAGATAAACTACACTTGCCTACTACAATAACCTTGCTACGAGATGGACCTGGTGGAGCAAATTTATTTATATATGGGATTCCGAATGATTGGACAGAAGTTACGTTGATGCAACTATGTCAGAAATTTGGTCATATTGTTGGTATCAGATTACCTGCAGCAAATGACAATGATAAGCTAAACCGCTGTTTTGGCTTTATTAGCTATGATAATAAACCGTCTACTTGGGCAGCAATTAGGTCAATATCTGGTATTAAGTTTCTTGGAAAACCTCTGAAGTTGCAACTAAAAGCAGGTGAAGATTCTCTACTACCCCTTACATTAAGACCAATTGTTGAAGGCTCAGCTAGAAACAAAAGTGGTGGTTTCTACGAGTACTCTGGAATTGGGGAATCTAGAAACAGAAATCAACAATACAAAAAGTTCTCATCTCCACATAATCATTCCTCCCAAGTTTGCAAAAACTCTTACAATAATTCACGCAGTTTTTCAAAAAATAAAGAAAGAGGTGATCAGACTCAATTATCTATTGGATCTAATCTTTATCCTACTCATCCACAAACAAGCAAATATATGTCTTGCAATACTCTATCTACACCATCTACAACTACATCATCTCATATTTTCGGTTCATCATCCGCACTGATATTTTCGGACTTTTTCGATATACAGTCAACACCATCCACTCCAAGAGAGAATAATCAGCATAATGTCAGTTACTTTCCAGATGATTCAAATAACTTAAATATTTTACTTAAAAATATTCTCTCACTGGATAATATAGGCAACTGTAAACTTTAGAGGTAATTTAATTTATTGGATACCTCTCATTTGAGTTTAAGCTTTTGACTTTAGTACTTTGAAATGCTAAGTAATATTGAAAGCTTTCTTGAATAATCGCTGTCTAAAAATATACCGCTTCTGACGATAACTTTTTTTAAAAATTATAAATCTATTTTCTTCTTAATTTATTATCTATGCCTCAATGGTTATATTTGAAGCTTTGATATCAAGTAGATATAATAGTTTTTGTAGAAGAGGATGCCTAGTACTTAATGATCATTGTAATGAATATAAAACAGAAGTATGCTTAAGAGACGAGGATACTACAGATAAAGAAATTAACGAGAATAGTAATACTTATCTCACTATTCATACTCCAACAATAAGTGTTCCTACTTTCAAAGGACATCCATTGTATATTTTACCAAAAACGAGAGATAACAAAGAAGTTTGTTCATTATTTAAAGATCTGGACTATTTACTTATTGGATATCCATTAGACTGTAGTGCTTTAAATAATAATAGTAAAGTAGATTATTTAAAATACGAAGATATTTTTTCAATGAAATGTAGATGTAAACAGTTGAAATCACTCAATCTTCTTAAAAGGTCTGATTCACAGCTCTGCAATGGAGGTGAGATATTGTATCAAATGTTTCGTCAACCTCTGTATGACGATGTATCTATGTGGAATTGTGTAAATAACCTTGTTTTGAGGACTGAAAATGGTAGAGTTCAGATAGACTATAGAAACGTTATTGCTAGCATGGAAAAATTTAGACCTGTATTATACACTGCACCAGCAGAGGAATCAATAACAGAAATAAGTGGTAAAAATGCCTCATTTAGAGCAATATCATTAGCTAATGATGAGCTAATTAAATTATTGGAATATCATTTGAATCTTGACCATAAAACTGTTTGTGATTGTTCACACACTTCTGAAACACATCCTGATAACTGTAAATATGGAGAAACTTGCAAAATGGAATTGCCAATAAACTCTAGTAGTTCTTCAGTCTGTGAATCAATTAGACCAAATATTATTGCTAATATTCAGGGAGCACATTTTGAGAATTATAGAGTTGCATCTTCATTAAGTATTTGGGACTTGTGCAAAGGTACTGGTAAAGGTCTAGAGAATGTACAGTTTAACAAAGAACAGGGGACAGTGGAATTAAAGGAAGTACTACTAAGCCCCAGCAAAAAAGCTATGTTGTATGACAAAATTATAGCAGGTGTTACAATTGGTGGATTAGGTTACTCAGAGTCATCTTTTGTTAGGAAGAAGTGTATACATTCTGTAGTAAAGTATGTGCCAGAAGATAAAATCCGATTTTTATCTCTGAACTTAGGAAGTCCTATTGAAATCCTTCAAGCATTCTGGTTAGGTATTGATATAGTAGAGTGTCCTTATATATACAAAAGTTCTCAAAGTGGTATTGCATTGGTATTTAATGTAGATGAATTCTGGTCAACAGAACATGGCATAATACACAATAATGAAGAATTCGAAAATGTTAAGAAATTTTTACTTGAAGAAGATTTCACTTCAAATAATACTGATAACCTATTATTTGGAGGTGCTCGTTATATAAATTTGTCAGATAGGAAGTGTGAAATGGATTTTAGTCTGGTAGCTGAAGATTCACCATTACCATATTCAAGAGCATATCTTCATCACTTAATAAATTCGCGTGAAATGCTAGCATTTACTTCTTTATTTTTACATAATTATTGGAAATATCAAAATCTCTTGCAGTCAATAAGAAGAGCAATTGAATTTGGGTTATATGAACAATTTGTTACCTGGTTTGTTACTACACAAACAGAAAAATATATACACCCAACAAAGCTACCACAATTACCAACAGAAACATACACTGTGGATGATGCGAAGGAAGTCATATTAAGCCACCATCATAAAGTAGGATGCTGAGAATCAATTTAACTTAAGATATTTGTACATTATTAATTTAGTGGTAATATAATCTTGACACTTCTAATATTAAGAATCTAGTTTATAATGAAATCTATAAGTTACTACTATACGTTTATTTTAATTAGTTTATAATAGATTATTAAATTTATTCTAAATCTAGGTATTTATAGTTATTTTACACTACTAGTCTATATGTCACATATCTGCCTGCAGTTTCTGAAGGTCTAATTATCTTCACAACCTGGCTCTTTGCAAGTCCAAAGTATCTTGCAACAGGATCTGCATGCTGTATTCTAGGAAGCTGAGTTTCTTTAACCTTGTATCGTTCTAACAATTGAGATTTTTCCTCATCGCTTAGTAGAACATGTTTTGGGACAAGTTCATGTCTTGTTATGTTTACTAAGAGTTCATTTTCCAAGAAACTCTCAATATAATGTTTAGGTGCAGCATCTAATATTGCAACTTTGGCATGTGCAGTCAATACATTCTGTGATATTAGAATAGCTCGTTGTATATTATGTTCATCCATTTTCTCTACTATATCACGTATTGGTTTAACACCTGTTTTTTTTGATTCATCTGCAAAATAGCATATAATACGCTTGGTCTGATCTTGTTTATGTGATGCTACCATTAACATCCTTGAACGAAGCCTTTGATGTGATTCAAATCGTTCCTTAAACGTAGCAAATTGCTCATCCTTATCCTGACTTGAGACTATGTAACCACGATCTTCTAGCATTTCACATAATGTCCTCCTAGCCCGAAAGAATCGAGTATCCGAATTATCCATGTCTATTAGACTTATATGACCCTAATCTAGACTATTTATATCTAATATATATTCAATACCTTCTTTCTTGAAATATACACATCATTTATTTAAAAGGAAAACAAGAACAAATGCGCCATAATTCTACTTTGTAGTATTACAGCTGTCTACTTTAGCGCAAAAAAGGACACAGAACAGCAATTTCCACCTCTTAAGAGGATCCCCTGTTCTTTACTTAGCAATATACGACTGTATACACCTCTGATATTAAATTAACTAGTATGTGAGACAAAGTCATTAGATTAATTAGGAGTTATTACTCATGACCTTACAAATTGTAGATCTGCAGCTAGTTAGTTCTATTGCAATTTTACTTCTATAGTTACAAATTTAGATATAAATACTATTCATGGAAATATTATTTACTGGAATTACGAGATTCTTTCTTATCCACTTTATATATTAATGAAGAGGTATTGTTGAAGTTTGTAATATACTTGACAAATCTATGGTGAGGTAAAGTACGCACAATTTACTTATTTGCACTTTAAGAGATTTACTCAAGAAATATGGAAAAACTTTTTAATGAGTTGATTCAAGGCTTGAGGAAATTTCAGGATGAAAGTAATAAGAATATTCATTTATATGAAGAAGAGAATTTTATATTTTGGAAGACTACAAATATAAATTATCATACATTACTAAGCTCACTGCCAGATGGATATTTGCTTATTACTAAAAATCCAACTTCTAAGCTACTTGAAATAAATGAACTTAACCCCAATATTTATAGTGGATATATATCAACTGAAGATTATATAAACAAATGTAAACGAGTACTTTCTGATGATTGTAAAAATTTAAATAGGTTATGTCTTTGCGAGGTAATGAGGAATTCAATATCCAAATATTATAGTAAGGTATTAGATACAAATATAATATATGATATTTCCAAGTTTAAGACTTTAGAATCTTATGATAATAATTCAACATATAATAGAGATTTTGATTACTTAATAATTGAACCATACTTACTTCCAATAAAAATAAGCTATGTGAGAAATATAGTATCATATATATCTTTCAAAAATTATGAATTACCATTACCCTTGGTATTTTATGTAGAAGATGATAGAATTCCCCCAGAAGCTACCAAAGGTAAAAAAACTATTTATACAATACTGAAGCCCAATACTAATAGCTACATCAAGTACAGCATATACTCAATATATGAATACTATGGAATACTTACTTCACTACTAAGAAAAGATGAAATAATAATGAATAATAAAGTTGATGATAATACATGTAACTTAGAAAATCGAAAAATAAGTATTAATAAGGAACCCTTAAATAACATCACAATAAGTGAATTTATAACTAATTTAGATTGTAACCTAAACAACAAAGAAATGCCGAATATATGTATTGCATGTTCAAGATATGATATTTACAACAATTCAGCAATATACAAAAGATATGAAGATAACTTCAATGTTTTTTATGACAAGTTTAGCATTGACAAAGTAATTAGAACTATCCCAGGACCATTTATATCTTTATTTGTTAGATGGTCGATAAATCTTAAAGATCAATTATATCCATGTATTCCAAAACCGACTATTAACAACATATATGATGGACTTTTTATAGCAAGGGTAGGCTCAGCTAAACATTCTCTTCTACCCAAATTATTTAAGGATATTGAAATATTGGAGAAATTTATTGAAATCACCTCATTGTACAGTGAATCCAAAGAATATAGCAAAGTTAATAGTATGAGTTTGCATTCGATAGAGTCTAAATACTCAAGTAATGAAAATATAAAGCTAAATGAATCTGAAGAACCTACTTTTTTTTTAAGAGGGGAATCTGTAAATTATGTATCATCTTTTATTAAACAGCTACTATGTATTTGGAGTCACTCTATATTGCATGGTAAGCACAAACTTTCTGAAGTAAAGCAAATAGAAACAGAACAATCAAATTTTAATTCTAATAGAAAATCACTTCTTCCCTTTTCAATAGATAGAATTGACATGGATTTTACTGATCATCTATGGCATTATTTGAAAAGATCTTATTGTATAAAGGATATATATGATACAATCAACTTAATTATTGAAGAACTTGAGGAATCATCCTTTTCTTCAAAAATAACTTCAAGACTATTACCATTTGTTCGTGATGACAATGAAACAATAATTGGTCAAATGAGTAGATTGGCTATACAAATATCTAAGCTTCAGCGTTTTGATAAAAATGAAAATGATGACAAAATAAAAGTGTTGAAAAGCAAATGGAAAAATTACAAACATAACTGGTGCTTAAATATTTCAATGATACCATTTATTATTATACAAATAGGTATTGAATGTATAATTAACGATATGAAGCTTGTAATTAAAAAGGCAGATCCTTCAATAGATGAAACACAATTAGAGTGGTATCTAGACTATATAAGTACAAATATTCTAAACACAGATAGCAAAATAAATAACGAAGTAGCTATATATGAGCATATGAATAAGAACATTACATCACGTATTAAACGACTACTTTGCACTTGCGAACTAGCATCCCTATGTCTACAAATAAAGATACCGTGGGATATTCTTCATAAGATTATGCATACAAGTCTTGAATATTATAAATATTGCAGTGAAATATCTTCACCTCTGTTTGCTTTGCCTATATATAACAAAAATATAATTAAACAATACATATCGTCAAGGAGTCCAAACGATATTGATATATCTGTGAATGACTATTTTAATATAAATTTCCAAAAAATTAATCCAATAGACATACCTGTAATTGGGAATCATCATAAAGAAGAATCACTACAATGGTTTAATACATATCCTGTTAATTTATGGAATGTCTACTCTGAAATTGAGTTAGCTAGCTCACAGAATCAAACTAGTAACAAAATACTTACTCATTATTCAGTACAAATAAAACAGAAAATAATGTAGAAAGCAATTTTAAGTACTATAAAGTAGTAAATAGTAATTTTGAGCTATTGAAATCCTGCTTTGAAGTTACAGTATGACAAGACTAAATTAGAATCTGGTGTTTTCTATTGGGTTTAGCTAATCTACTCATCAAGATTTGAAAATAATGAAATAGCTTATTAATCTTAACATTAATTTCTCAGATAACAAATTATGACAAGGTCAGTATAAATTAATTGTAATTGATATATGGCATACAAATTATTATCCTTAAATAAATAAATACACTTGGACTCTAATTTAATCTTAGCTTTAAATTTTGTTAGGTAAATCTGAATATTATTATAATAATTAATAAAAAGGAAAGAGGTTTTTTGGAAGCAAGAAAATAGGTATTAGCTTTCCCAAAAGCCACTTTTTTTATTTTTAATATCAATACTATTGTTAAAAAGAAATATACCACCTTATTTTAGTGTTTTCTAAATTATATTATTTAATTACTTTTTTGAAATACTATAGGTTCTACATGAGGATACTCTAGTGAGGTTTTAATTGAAATAGTTACTCAAACACATTTGTTACTACAAAATTCTTAGAATCGATGTTATTCTAACTTACTGAATAACTAAATAATTTTATTTATAAATTTATTCACTAAATTGTGATTGTAAAGACATATCTAAATACTTAGTGTAGTAGGCTCGTTCCAAAACAGTTGAATATCGAATATTATCTTTATTCTAACAAAAAAATTCAATCAAACAGATACTTTATAATTGAAAGAATATAAAAAATAGATTGAGACAAACTTTTTATGTTTAGATTTGATCAATTAGATTTCTAGTATTCCTTCAAAAAAACTATTTAATTAAAGATATTTACTACCTCTAATATTTTCAGTGTAAATACATACACCTATTCAATATGAAGTATATATAAATATTAATTATGTAATTTCATTATATAAGTTAGGTTTATACCCTTAGCTTCAAATATATGAATAAGTTCCATACTTTCAGTACAAATGCTTCCATATTTAGTTACATAAAATTTATTTAGAAACTTAATAAATTTTATTTTTTTAGATCCTCATAATTTCTTATAATTTGTGTACTGCCGTCAAAATTTTGAATATACATCGTTCCAGTAGAAAGATCTATACATTGACGTTGTTTAAGCAAATAAAATTTGTTGAGTTGTAAAATTAGTTTCTCATAAGATGAGTGATCAATAGTAGTAGTACACTGAACGATATTTTTCTTTATATAATGGTAGATTACATCTTTGTCAGGTTTCACCCCTTTTATATCTCCATTTGGGTATACTAAAATACACCAGTTTAATCGTTTCCAAATAAGTCTCCTTGTGTTCTTTGGACATTTTGAGGGATTATTATCACCTGTATATGCAATTTCTATAAGTCCGCTTGGATAATAAAATATTATTGCTTGCATGTCATTTTGTGTATCTATTTCGTAAGGTGTTTCAATATTACACCATGGAATATCATTATTTATAGGTAATGGTGGTAATGAATTCAATGAATTCGAGCTATCAAGTAAAAATATAGAACTTAGAAGTCCATAAAGTTCATCTAAATCTTTTTCAAAGTCATGAGATTCAAGGATACTCTGTATAATCTGATCTCGACCCTGTAATGAATATGCATTAGCCGTATATGAATTTTCATATGATTGAAAGTTTTTTTCCTTAACTTTTAATTCATCTATCTTGGAATAGGGTCCTTCTTTCCCCAAGATCTCTTGGTTAGATAAATAATCAGAATGCTCATTATTTTCACTGGATGTCTTTATTGGCTTCGTAGTATTTAATTTTGATTTCTTTAGTTGGTTAATACTATTAATTGTATTACTTTTTTCTTTATTTCTTATCTCTTTAAGTAGACGCTGAATTTCAATATCCTTTCTTTTAATTTCCATCTTTAGCCTTGTTATTAGCTCATTATTCTTTATTTTTTCCCTAACCATTTTCATCTTTTCATCTTCCATTCTTTTTTTTTCATCTTCAAATTCTTTAGTTATTTTTTCATATTTTTTATTAAATTTATTCTCCAAATTTTGTCTAAGAACAACTAATTGTTTTTGTTCCTTCTCAACATCTTTCTTCTTGTTTATCAAGTCTTGATGAGCTTGATGGACACGCTCCATTTGCTTATCTAAAACACTAAGTTTTTCATGAATCATATCATCTAATGTTATCTTACTATCTCCTATTGTATTTTTCCCAAGTTGTGAAGATTTATTTATAGTATTACTTACAATATGTTCATCAATGCTCCCCTTTAATTCAGGCTGCTTAATTTCTCTCGCAATTGAATTATTACTAATTTTTTCATTCTTCTTTCTTGTATTACTAATTACTAATGATTTCCCCTGACCTTTTCTTAAAAATGGTTTTGGTGTTATACAGTTCTTATTAGTATAAGATTCCAAATTTGCCTTAGTATTATCATCTTCTTTATTAGCTTCAAACTTATTACCATAGTAGTCCCAATTATTATTATCATCGGAAATATTGATTGGGGTATTTTCTAATTCAGTAATAAAGTCTGGTTCAAAAAACATACTACTATCCATATCATACTCTGCCCCATGCTCTTCATAGTCCAGATGTTTCATAACTCAAGTTGCAGTAAATCCTAACCTTCTAAAAAAGTTACTTCCAATCTTTTCAAGCTACTATTGGGATTCATTAAATATTTAAATAAAGTATTACGTTCACACACACGAGTTTACTTTTCTCCTAACTCGCTACTATCATTTATAGTATAAGAGATTCAAGGCGCCTTAACTATATACCGCTACTGTAACTATTAAAAATATAATTATACTTTTAGACTCTGCAAAATCCGGAACTTATTCTATTGCTATCAAGTATATTTTCCTTACTAATTTGAAAATAGTCTGATCTTTTCCCTCCACTAAATATAATGAAATATTAAGTATTGGTACTCAAGTATTAATCTTAAAATGAGAATTCCATTTTCAACAGTTCTTATATATAATTATTCAATACTTAAGAATATTAACTCTCCGAAATATTAGTAGGAAAAAGGTTAAAGAAGTAAAAATTCATAAATTAATAACTAGCACGATATTAACCGCCCTAAAATATACCGGGGTTATACAATCCCAATATATAGTCTGTAGATACGTCTCTAACATTAACAATTTCTGGTATCTTTTTATTTAGATAATCTAATAAATATACATTTAATTTAATTTCTCTATGTGATCTATTTGTCACTTCTGAACCATATATATCGCATATTTCAGTTATAGAACATATGAGATATAATTTAATCTGCTGCAGAGACTTTTCTGAATGAGAAATATTTGGTATTAAATTTTTATTAACCCAGTCGACTTCAGAAAAAAACAGCAAAATCCCAAACTCATAATTTGCATATATATATATTATATCTAGTACAATATTAAATAAACCTTGCCTGAAAGTAATAATGGTAGAAAGTGACTCATTATGATTAGTACCTGAAAGAAGCCATGCTATTTGTTCAAGTATTTGCCTTATATTATCTGTAAATACTATATTCATAATATATTCAACTGATATTGGTAGTGCAACGTACTTTTTTAACTTCATCTCCATAAGTTTTAATAGTACATGATAACCTCCATAATAAAATGGGTTACGTAATAGTAAACTAATAACCCATTTATCAAATAATTCATTAATATTGTCTAATTCAAAGCTATAATTTTCAAATATATCAGGATAAAGATCAAATATTAACCATCTAGTAAATCCCCATGCATAGTAATGATGCGGATTATTATCTAATTGACACTGCAGAAAGTTAGAGTGGAAGTTCTTAATCCATTCAACAATAATAATACCATTACTCACAGCATAACTAGTTAATTCATTCATATTAATTATTATACTTAACATATTTTTAGTCAAATATTCTAGATAATCCCATATTTCACTCGATTTAGGTGCTTTATCCAGTGCAACTCTAACAAGAACTACTTCATATTCAAAAAACTGTTTAATTTTACTTGACATATCGGGTTCAAGATTTATTAAATATCTAGTTTGACAATACCTATTACACCATATAGTAGGATTAGAACTATCTAAGAGTATAAGTAAAGAAATCAAATCCCAAAAAATACATCCAAACTTGACCTCAGAAATAATTATATCTGGATATAAAATTGATCTCGTAATATTTTTCTCGTTATAGTTGGAATGCAATAATTTCACACAATATTCTTGAATTGTGATATTCCTTGCTTTATGATCATTTATATATTCAAGTATTTCTGTAATAATTGAATTTCTAAATTGATTACATATAACCAAACACTTCTCAGTTTCAATATATGTAATATTATCAAGGTTATTAGCTCCTATAGTTATGGTATCTATGAAGTCTATCCTATGAAGAAAAATATATTCATTATTGCTTCTTATGATCTCTGATAAATAATCAAGTAAGACCAATGATTTTTCAGGATAATTAGATTTCATGACAGATATGGAAAGTGTTTAAAATATCCATAATCTCACTATAAAGATCAAACTATCGTGATTAACCTTTGTAAAGGTTAAATATATCCCTTTCTGACCCAGCAGTAATATTATATACCGCTTTACTTTTGTTTCAATTACATTATTGATAAGACTAGAGATATAGTTGAAATATTACAAATTTTTACCTTTGTTATTACATACTAAATAAATTATTTAAGAGTTTATATGAAAACGAATATGTTAAATTTAGTAATTCTCTTTCTTTTTATGTTAGATGTTTTAGTTAAATATACTAGTGCAATAAATAATACTACTAATCTAAAAGTACTTTGTATACATAAGATAGAACTAGAAGGTAAATCTAATGTAATGACATATACAAATAGTTTCTATAGATATTCAACAAGATATAAAAGAATATATCTAAGTTTGATTCAAGAAAAGTACACATCATCAAAACGATTAATGATAATACTGTATTAGGATACCCCACTAAAAAGTCTAATACTATTAGTAAAAATGGTAAGAAACATTGGAAATAAAGAACTAAGAAATTCTTTTACATCTGAAGTTAGATTGGGGTGTCAATGTTATTGTAGTTCTTGTTTTAATACCTGTCCATTGAGAAATAGCAAATATGTATGTAAAAATCCATTAATTGTACAAAAAGTAGAATGGGAGCCTAAAGTACTATATAGTCCATTTAGTATAGTCCATTTAGAAATTCACTAGATCCATTTTATCGTATAAAGGGTCCTGGATATATTACACCATGTACTGGGAATTTTAGTCCTATTTGTAGTAATGATAGTAATACTTACCCTAATCCTTGTTTATTTAGAAATACACAATGAGAAGATGAGCAATTAGAATTTTTATATTGGGGAATTTGCAATCAAAATCTTTTCAATATAACTAATATAACTCTTTAAAGTGGTATTTCGTATATAGATAAAATATTAGTCACCTAATAATCCCTAATCCAATAACAATCTATATATAATTATCTAATTTATGATATTAAGTTATAGACTCCTTAGTCCATCCAACAATATTGATAATATTATAGATAGAATACTCAATTTATTTCTATCTGTACTAACTACTTTATATATTTAAATTACCTATAATTTTTATCTTACTAAAAAAAAAAGTGTTTATAATTTTCTCTTCTAGTTTCTAAAAATGTTAATAGTAACGAGAATCCCTTAAAATAATTACATACAATAATAAATATGGGGAATATTTAGATTACCAATCATTTGATTATAAAGAGAAAATTTTCATTATTAATATTAACTTTGCTCCAATATGCTGCTTTAGATGCAGTTCAAGGTAACAGTAACACTATGTACCGCCCTGTTCATAATTAAGTAACGAGTGTGTTTGTGTTTGTGGCTTAAAGCTCGGAGCTTAAATACTTTTTATAGTTCATTTTGTATAACATCTAAATTATTTTTTAACTCTAATGAAAATGAGTATGGCAGGTCTAATAATGCTTTTATTTTATATATTACAGATCTTACTCAAATATACTAATGCAAGGATTGGTGGTAGTAACTTACAAGTAATTTGTCCATATGAGATAAAGCCAGTATGTGGGTCTAACGGCGTGACATATAGAAATATTTGTTATCTAAGCTTGGTAAGATACTTTGATGACTCAGTTGCACTACTTCATCCAGGTATTTGTAATCTAAGAATGCCAATGAAATTTGGCTCACTTGATTTTATTTTAAGTTCAAATAACAACACAATAATTATGTTTAATAATACTTTAGAAAATTATGATGAAGTGAATTCTTTTGTTGAAGAGAATAGATCTATATTTACTTCAGAGACACCTTGTCTTTTCAGAATTATGAGTGATAAACTTGTATTGAAGTACTTACCTAGGAAAGCTGTTATTGAAATAAACATAGAAAGAGATACAAAAAGTAAAGACTGTATCCATGTTTTGACAAATGAACTGAATATATTATGTGCGAGTGATGGCAAAACTTACATTAATATTTGTGAATTTGAAAATGCTAAGTGTAAAGATGAAGATTTATCTATTCTGCATATGGGAGAGTGTAGTTCCGAAGCACTATATGATCCATTTAGAAATCTACTAGGTCCATTTGATCGTATAAGAGGTCCTGATTGTATTAGGCCATGTACTAGGGAATTTAATCCTATTTGTGGTAATGATGGTAATACTTACCCTAATCCTTGTTCATTTAGAAATGCACAATGTGAAAACGAACAATTAGAATTTTTATATTGGGGAACCTGTAGTAATAATATAGCTAATATAGCTAATATAGCTAATACAACTAATACAACTAATAAAACTAAAACTAATATAGCTAATACAACTAATACAACTAATATAACTGATACAACTAATACAACTAATACAACTAATACAACTAATATAACTGATACAACTAATACAACTAATACAACTAATACAACTAATACAACTAATACAACTAATACAACTAATACAACTAATATAACTAATACAACTAATATAACTAATACAACTGAAATAAATAATCAAACTGAATTATATAGAGATCCACCAGGTCCATTTGATCGTGTAAGAGGTCCTGATTGTGTAACACCATTTATTACATTAGATTTAAATTATATATGTGGTACTGATGGAAAAACATATAGTAACCTTTCTGAATTTAGAAATGCACAATGTGAAGATGAACAATTAGAATTTTTATATTGGGGAATCTGTAGTAATAATGTAGTTAATATAACTAATACAACTAAAATAAATAATCAAACTGAATTATATAGAGATCCACCAGGTCCATTTGATCGTATAAGAGGTCCTGATTGTATTAAGCCATGTACTGTGGAATTTAATCCTATTTGTGGTAATGATGGTAATACTTACCCTAATCCTTGTTCATTTAGAAATGCACAATGTGAAAATGAACAATTAGGATTTTTATATTGGGGAATTTGCAATCAAAGTCTTTTTAATATAACGAATACAACTCCTACAATTTCCATAGATAATATTGAGAATATAAATAAAACATTAATTAATAAGTAATTTCCAATGTGTAAAAGTGATATATTTGTTTAATTGATATTGTAAAAAGTTATAATGGAGTCCTTAATCTATCCAATAATAGTGACCATTATTTCAGGGTAATTTTAGTTCATTCATATTGATCAATAAAATTGAAATATTTAGTAAAATATCCTTAGTAATCTTTTATTTTATTCTATCTAGTTATTCTATTAAATTTTCATACTTTTGTGTTTAATGTTTTATATCTTAAAATATTTTTGTGATAATGGAGTCTCTAAACTAATTACACATAAACAGGAATTTGCTCATTTTAGTATATATAACTTTATTAAAGTTTTAATTTTATTGTCTATAAACTTTTTTTATAGAAGAATAAATATTCATTATTCTTCTAATGTTATAAGTCATTGTTATCAAACATTTTTCAAAATAACTAGATATTATAATAAGTACGAAGGATATTTAAACTATCTATAATTTCATCATAAAAATCAGAATATCATTTTTAATGTTTATTTATATAAAATATACTACTTTTAATGCAACAACAAAGTAGTGTATATCGTCTAATACCCGACTCTAGTAATGAGAACACTATTGTTAGATCTGTATGTACAATGTCGAATTACAGTATTCCATATACTTTGTTTTATATATTAATTAAGTTATTTTATCATTTTTATAAAAATAAATATGAGAAATCTAATTATTTCTTTTTTCATCTTGTATTCTAAGGGCCTAATTAAATAATACTAATGCAAAAATTAGTACTATTCACTTATATATATCTTTTCTAAATAAGATAAAATTATGAGTCTGGTGGTATAACAGAAGTATTTGTATCCTGAACTTTGAACAATATCTTGATAAGTTATTTTCACTAATTTATCAAAGTTCTTATAAAAAAAAGTGCTAATGGAATATGACCTCCTTAAATCCATTCTAATATCTTATAAAAATTAACTTATATATATATCTAAAATTTTATTTAAATAAAAATGTTTGTTTTATTAAAAATAATAGATCCATATTCAATTAAAAAACTATATAAACTGTTAGCAATATAAATGATCCTGTGTTAAAATACTATAATCAAAAATATTCTATTGAAACAAAATTTGAAGTATAAAAAATTAAAAACAGGAAATGTATTTATTCTTTCATAAGTGAATTTAAATATTATTATCTAATTAATGAAAATTCTTACACTAATATTTGTTAATTTAGAAATGATAAATGTATAAATAAAAGTTTATAAATTCCACTGATGATAAAATGAAAATATGAATGATTAAATAATCCATCTAAAAATATACTTGATTCACTTAATCATGTAATATATACTATTTATTTGAAATTTACTGCACTAAATATCCACCTTATTCATGCTAACAGTGGTTTAAATTATCAATTACTCGCAATTTAGAAATAGACAATATGAATATGAGCATCTAAGAGTCTGAAGATTAAATAAGTTGTTAATTAAAACCTTGTGTTTCTTATTACTTTTAACCTGTACAAGATATATTTAAACATTAAATGTACAATACAGATAATTCACTAAATATATTTGATTGTATAATAAGAGGTTGTAAATGTACTAAACTATGCACTATAAAATTGAATCCTATTATTTGTAATGATAATAATATTTAATAAAAGAATTTTATTTAGAAGTATACAATTTACAAATGGAAAATTAAAATTCTTATTATTGAAGGGTTTGCAATAATTCACAACGTAGCTATTACTAAAACTTTTAAAAACTTGACTAAGGATATCAAATCACAGCTACTTAAAGATAAGTTTTATTTATCTGATTAATTTGATTGTTTAAGAAATTTTCTGATAATATTATACTGGCTATGTCACTCATTGACTTCTTTTATGATAATATTGACAATCAGGTGTAGTATACATGAGTTTAAAGATTCTTGCTTTTTGCAAAGAAATATAATTGTAGTATAATAATGTGAATCTTATGATAATAAAATCTTGTCACATCTTATTCAAAAAAAGAGGTAAAATTTGTTAGTTTTATATGTTTTAGTTATATATATACTGTAGTTGTAGTTATATATGCTATACTAATAGTATTTTTGGACTCATTATAATGCAGATTAAAGAGCAAGAAATTAATCAATATTTGAGTGTTTCTTAAGTATACTATATATTAATTAAAATTTTCATTTTTATAACCAACTTTTTTTATAATAAAAATATAACCTGGAGTAAAATCTTTAATAAATTAAAACTTTTGAACATTTGCCTTATAATACAAAAGAACAAATTTGGTTTATTGCACTTACAATCTGAGTAGTTATGCAATGAAATAGAATAAAGACGATATCGATCTAGTTGAACAAGTTTAATGTACTTTTTTTCTTAAAAATTCTTGTAAATCACTTGTTAAAGAATAAAGTACCTAATTTATATTGAACTATTATATATACCTTAATTATTAATGAATTATAATAGTACTTTAAGTTGGTAATATTCAAAATAAATATTATTAAATTGATCTTTATAATAAGATATATATAATTCCACTTTTCAATGAGTTAAATTTCTAGATATAGAAATATAATGTAATTAATTTGGAAACTTATACTAATTAGTAAAAGTGCTTAAATTGGTATTTGTAATATTAATAAGATACAACATATGTTTTAACATATATATATACTATAACTTGCAAGAACTATACATAATATGACTCCGCCAAGTAGTAAGTAGCCAAAGATAACCTTTGCAGTTGGGTGTGTTTCTATATGACCTTTGATTGGTATTTGCATCTTAGACTCCTTCACTTCTGACGATAATGACGAGCTGTCACAATCTGACAGCTTGTTTAGCTGAGACTCTTCATTAGAAATAAAATCTGATGAGGGGATCTCATTACTAAGAACTTCACTCATTTGATTAGTATCACAATCATATGAGATAACTTCAGGATCCCATATAAAATTATTATCTTTGTTTCCTGATACTTTACTTTCGTAATTTGCTATATATTTATCTCTATCCAAAAGTTTAAATTTCTTGCTCTCATTTATATTTTGATCTTCCTTAGTTGTTGGATATTCTAATTCTAAATATTTTGAATAACTTTCAGTCTCTGAAGAATCACTTTGCTGTAATGTATTAGGATCTAAAATCTCTTCAATATCAAGCTTTGAGGATTTATCCTTTAATTTGATTATATATCCTTCGTCTGCCTCGCTATTTCCACTATACTCTATTTCATCTTTGAGCATTTGAACTACTTCCTTTTTACTAGATTTAAGAGGAATCAAATAAACTGGTTTAGCTATAAGAGAAGTAGAGTCGGCTTTGGCTTCAGCTAATTTCTCTAGAAAAGATTGATTTTCTAATTTAACTATCTCAGGCTGAAATTCGCTACCTTTTATAATGCTAATTCTCTTCGGGGAAGAATTTCTAGATTCAACAGGAGCTATACTAATACTAGGCTTTAAAAATACTTTAGGAGTATTTTCTTTTTCAAGTAATTCAGCTACAACTGGTGTCTTTATAATATTAGGTCTTTTAATTAAAGTTTTCTTTTCAAATATAAGTGGTTGTTTCCTTTCAACAACCAAATTCTGAACCATAATAGGGTGCTTCTGCAAAATAACTGATTTATTCTCAGTTATAGGTTTCTCTTGCTTTTCTAAAATGGAAGGTTTCTTCTCAATTACAATAGGTTGTTTCTTATCTACTACAATTGCAGGCTTCTTTTCAACTATAATAGGAAGACTTTGTAAAAGTACTAATTTCTTAGTTAAGGCCGTTTTATTAGTGGCAATTGGCTGTTTTTGTATAATCCTTTGTTTCTTAGTCACAGCTTGAATATTGTTAGGTTTCTTATCAACTGTTATAGATTGTTTATTTTGAGTAACATATGGATTTCCTATCAAAACATGTTTATCAGCTACTACTGACAAATTCTTTATAATATTTGGATTATTCTGAGTTACTAATTCTTGTTTAAGAGTTAGTTTAGGTTGCTGTACTATTTGATTATAATTCCTAGCTCCTATTTGCTGTTTATCCAAAAACCCACCAACTTTATAAGTAAATGGCTGTATTTTAACTCCTTTAGAAGATTCCACTCCAATTTTTGACAACTGCTGAGATTGTTTGGGACCTGCATTTATTGTTGAAGAGGCAACTATTAATGAATTATTACCTATAGTTGCTTGATGCATATTATTCTGATTAAAAAATCTCATTTGAGGTTTAGGGGGTGTATTTTGTATTAAATTACCTTGAAAAATTACATTTCCAGTAGCAATGGATTTTGAAATGTAATTTTGTGCACTCTTCTCAGCAGCTTCGAGTATAAGTTCATCTGTTGTAATTGGCCTACACATTACACTAAAGCAAGATATGAAATCTTTAATATTGCAGTTCATTATATCATTATTGCATGTTAATATCACTTGTATTATCTGATTAGGGTGTATTTTTCCAGAGTATCCAAGTTGTATTACATCAGAAGATGAGTACATTGAAGCATGACCCTTACTTAATTGCCAGGTCCTTGGTAATTTTTCAGCACCAAGTGATTTATCCGGAATTTTATATTTATGATATTTATTATGTTTATCATATTCATTCTCACCCAATTCTTCATATTTTGAGTGTTCAGTATTTATAGTAGTGATTCTTACATTTATTGAATCATCAACTAATCCAAACCACTTCCTATGTCTAGGTGTTTCTTTAGTAATACTACCAATATTAGCTAATACAACTACTATTGATAATTCAATTAAAGTCCGCTTATTATCAAATGCACTACATAAACCCAAATTTAGTGTAGTTGTAGCTTTATCATCATAAAATTTCCAGTCACTTGGTATTAACTCTATTGAACTCTTCTTTTTTATAACTCTATTTAATGGTACAGATGCAGAGGCAAGAGTTACCCACCCCTTTGGTGTAACAAATTCACCTCCGTATTGTTCTGGTGTACATATTGACAACCCACCAAATAGAGTCCCCTTTTTTAAAAACCCAGTACAATCTGCGCATTGAACTAGCCTCTCATTACCATTTATACTGTTATACACAAAATTTGGTCTTAAATCCCAAAATCTATACCACTTTGTATGCTTTCTTACTCGGTGACATTGAATACTTAGACACATATTTAAGTAATTATTGCCCCAGGGAGATAATAAACTCATATTCTTATAAATCAATTCATTATCTCCACTTCTTACCCTCTTGCAAAGTATGTAGTTTATACTCTCAATTAAAACTAGAATAAAGGCTAGAATAGAAATTTTTTTAAACAATAAAGTTATCTTCTTCATAATAAACTCTCCTCATTAACCCCATATATGTTTAAACAGATATCAATACTACTAGCTATATGTAAAAATTTATCTCAAAAAAAATCTATCTATAACTAGAAGAAACTTGGACTTTTTACTATTTTGTCACCTTTAGCCCAGTTCCAAAATATTATAGCGCCTAAAATGGTATTATGTTCCAGTATATAGCGTTAAGTGCAGCAGGTACCTGCAGTCTATAAACCGGGTATTTTGAGATATATAAAGGTGGATGGACTCAGCACATTACTACTTAACCAGTACTAATACTATATAAGTTCACTATTTAGTAAATAAACCAATATCAAAGTTCATATTATAACTATGTTGACATTAAATATTATTATACATCAATATTAACGAGCTAAATTGGGCTTTCTAAGAGTTTTTGTATGAATTTTTATTTACACAATGCTGAAATATAACAAGGAAAACTTATAGATAATTATATGGCTAAAAGTTAGATTATTATCGGATTGAGAAATTTAACTTGACATTGTAGTTTGGATATTATAGAATTTACTGTAACTATTCTTCGCTTCATTTAATTAATAAATATATAGTGATGCGAGTATCTGACTGAATTATACTTTATTGAGTATTATATTCTATTATTATAGGGGACTTTTTATATAGAATTTAACTTCTATTCATTTATTTACAATTAATTATTATTAAATTTTGATTATAATAATAACAAAATAGATTAAAGATTTGGAGATCTTTGAAAATTCAGCTTATAAGGAATACTATGAAATTCAACTTTCAGTAAAAGGCTTTAAAGATTCAGAAAATCTAAAAATATATAAATTTTAATAACTTGCATGTATACATATACATATATTATGATTTCTGAATATTATGCAATTTTAGAAAATTAACAAGTGCATATAAAGCTTATTAATTTAAATAGCTACACCCATCTTGTACTTTTTTTTCAATATTTACTAAAATAACAAGCTATTTAGCTATGTATCCAGTATTTCTAGAATTTTATTATAAATGAAAAGTACATTTCAATTTAATGTCAGTATATAGCTGAACTACAATTGCTTGTAAAAAACTATTTTCTGTGAGATGTTATATACAATATCTCAGTAAAAAAATAATGAATTTTTCAAAATTTTTCAATTGACTAGTTTGATAACTTTATCAAGAATTGTGAGACCTAGAGTATAAGGTAGAAATTTGAAACTGAAATGTTAATATTAATAGTAGTATTTATTTAAGTATAATAAAATAGAAAATAACTATTTTTGTATTCACTAATATATATAGACTTTTTTAATTGATGGTGTAAATAATAAATAATATTGTATTTGGTAAGTATCCAACTTAAAGTCTTAATAAGTTGATTAATGAATCTTAGAATCACTTTTGGATAACACTAATATATATTTAGTTAACTTTTTCACCTTATTTCATGATATAAAAGTAGTATATTTGCAATTAATTTGAATAAATCAAGCTAATATAGTTAATAGGATTACTCTTTTTAAGAATATTAAAGATTTTAATTGATTTATACATTTGCTGTAATTCTGATAGACCCCTAAGTCTTTCAACCAAACTATTACAAATCCAAGTATTAAATTATCTATTATTGGTATTCCGGGTGAATTGAATAATAATCAACCATGTCGTAAAAATTCAAAATACCCAATAAAATAAGGCTTTTTAACTTATAAATCTCACTGATTAATTATATAATTTATCTTATGAAGTCTAAATTCATAACTAAAAATTAGTTAAACTATTATTGGATAGTTTAGGGGAAATATTTTTTGACTAGGAAAGATCTTATTAGACTTAAACTATAAAATAACTATAATATCTGAGTTTATGACTTTAATGACTAAACTTACTGTTTAAAATTTTATAAACTTTTTTTATTTTATTGAATATGATTAATTTAAAATAAAAGGTACTTATATTAGTAATGGATTTATAAGCTAATTTACCACTAAGCTTTCAAAATATAGGGTACAAATGTTAGCTATTAAGAGCAAAAGTCAGTTATATAAATAAAACTAAATATAACAATTATTATAATTAGTTATTACTATCCAATTTAATATAAATGAAAGTATTTATGAACTAGTGTATTTTGGGATATCTAACCTTAATTCTATTATTTACAAATATTTGCTACTAAACTTAATACATGATAAACTACAGCTTCAGTTACAAAATAAAAAAAAAAAATACTTTTGTATTAATTAAATAAATTATAAGTATAAAAAGTTTATCTTTAATTTAATTTTTTAGAAAAAGAAATTATTAAGATTTTTAATTTAAACAAGATATTTTAACTTGTCAAACACTATAAAAAGTACTACTTAGAATATAGAGAACTCTTAAATATAATAGAAATAACTAACTACTAAATTTCTCTTCATTAATATTGATCTTAATATTGCATTCAACTTTGTTACATCATTTTTTAGTTATAAACTAAATAGTATATATATGTATTCATGTACAATATACTATAATTATATTGCAAGTGTAATTGTAGTTTAAATAAATCACCAGGAATTATATCACTTTGAAAAAAAACTCTTTTATGTCTAGCTCATTTTTATTATTTGTTTAATAATTTCCAAGTATTTATATCAAAGTACAATTTAGCTTCAGCTTACACCAATAATAAAATACAACTTTAAATTATTAATCTATTGAGTTATTTCTATAATTCAAATATATTAAATACAATTGAATATATAGGCTAATTTCTAATATTTAATATTTAAAAATAACCTAAATAATCAAATATTTCGTCATAATCTTTAGTTAGGTATAAAAGGGAAACCTAATTAGCATTTAAGTTTCTAAGTAATATGAAATTTTATAAGTTTGATAAGTATAAAAATAATTGGGTTTAAAGTAAAAAGTTTGAGAAATATATAAAACAAGGTAAAATTGATAGAATAAACTTTTAGTTATAAAGTAGCAGACTTAGTCTGTAATTAAAACATACTATTAGTACTTTGTTAAGATATAACTGGAAGTAGCTGATATTTTGTTATTTATCCTGAAATAAAGTATAAAATTTTATTTTTCGGAGTAAATTAATGTAACAAACTTATTACAATAATATCAACAGTTTTCTAGATTGCAAATTATCCTCATTCAAAGTTGACTTTCTCATATAGAGATTAACTATATTAATCTTTGTTAAATAGAGTTTGTATATCATTCAAACTTATCAATTTTAAATTATTATATTTATACTTAAAATAATATTCAATTCATAAAAGTTTTGTAATATTAACTATTAAACAATACTAGTGTATTTTAATATCTTTTTTTTTAATATTAAATGAACTTTCAAAATATATTGGTGAATACATTTTATTATTAAAAAATTCCCAAGTATTTAATAAGAAATTGCCTATTTCAAATTATGTTGTGTTTTATAAAGTACTATAATCTAGATAATCAAAACATAGAAAATTTATTAGATTATTTACCTTCTATAATAGACATTTAAAATTTCACAAAAGTTCAGCTATTTATAAAATCCCGAAATATTAAAATATTTGGTATAACTCATACTAAATATTTTTAAGAGGAATTTATATAGATGGAAATTTGTGCTAAAATTAATAGTAATAATCATAATGAGCTTAGAGTCATTGAAATTGGTAGGAACAATACTCAATCCTTATAAGTTTTGGGAATAAAATAAAAATCCGATTGTTTATTCAGTATTCTACAGTTACAAATTTTTAATATTTTTATAATTTGAAGATATTATCAAAAGTTTATTGCCATGTAGTAAAAAGGTAAATTAAACTAAAATCAAGTTATATTTATATCATTCACGATTTAAATAAAAAGATATATTCATGGTATAAATAATAATTGCTGATACTTTTTATTCCTTAATTATTAAATCGAATAATATAATTCCAATTTTATTGTTATTAAAGAGACAAAAAGTAAATATTTTGTTGGGATCAAGACATTCATATGGGTTATTATTGCATCAGTATATTGTATTCTAATTCAAGTAATATTATTAATATTAACTACAACTTATTAGTCCCAAGAACTAGGTAGTTATTTAGTCTGATTTAAAAATATATTGTTCAACTAAAATGATCAAAGTTTAATGGAGTTAAAAGTTTTGATATTTGATAATATATTTTGTAAAAATAAGTGCAATTAAAATTCTGCTATATTTAAAACAATTAATCAGTAACATTGGTTTAGTGGATCTATCATTCTCCTCACTATTAAATATTGATTCTATAGAGTTGCTAAATATAAAGTCTCGAGGAATACAAATACTATCTTTTTCAAGAAACTCTATTCTCAACCATACACGAATCATTTTCGAAGATTTTAATGTTGAATGAAACTTTTTAAAGTCCCTAATACTGATTTTTAAAGATAATGGATGGTATTATTAATTCAATATGAGTTAGAGTTACTACCTAATAATATGGATATATAATATACATCCATTAATTCTTGAGATGGTATATTAATTTTTTTGTATCTTAATATATCTGTTAATTTCCCATAGTTTCAATTGTTCAAATAATTATATATTATTAAAATATGATTTTCTACTAATAGATTCATAATAATATCAAATATCCATTATATAAAGTTTAATAAGTTGAGTTTTTCAATTTAACATCATTACTATCATATCCCATATAAACAATGATATTAGATAATAGAATTGCCTTTTTCAAAAAAAATTCCATAACTACCTTTTAACATTATATCCCCTAGTCCAATATATTGTGAATAAAAGGTATTTCTAAGCATAAATAAAAGTATTCTAGCAATAGATTTTGTTTTATTGTTAAATTTACCTAATTGACAGAATAAAGAAATACTTTCATAAGAAGATGTTCCCATATCTTCTCTAAAAAAATTTTTGTATGTTCTTATGGTACTTGTTAAACTGAGATTATCTTCATTTAAATTAAGTTTTTGATTATTGTATTTATTTGCTTATTCAGTAGTATAACCTTAACGTGAGAATTAGGAATATTTTCTGCCTGATATTTCTCTAGATTAGTAATGATAATTCCTTTTAGATAACATTAAGACATATAAGTTCAATACTATGTTTAAAATGTTCAAACTCTATCAATGAACTTAGTATACTTTTTGAGTACTTTAGATACCCTCAAAATATCATAAATCAAAAAAATTGACTTATTTTTCAATATGTTTCCATTGGTAATATTAGTATATTCTTTATAAGTTAATTACAACAAAGATCTTTTAGGTGTAGAAAATAATTTTAAACTACTAATTTCAGCTGTGACTAATTTTGTTCCTTTCAAATTGAGTAGAATACTCTTTATCTTATCTAGAACTATTATTAAAGAACTATCAAGAGCTAAAATATAAATATTTAAGTTCCCAGTATCTTCAAGAGCTAACTCCACATTTGTAAATGTAGCAAGCACCAATTTTTGATGTAAGCTAAGTATATATCCCCTAACTATAGCCTTACATAAACTTAACAAATCTAATGCTAATGATTGATCCTATCGTTGGGAGTAAGGATTGTTTTAATTACAGCCCTAGTTGAGTAACTCTAAGCTTCTTTTACTAAAAAGAGACACGGTCATTACATAGTTTTTATAAGTTTTCAAGTAGTATAAGCTTTGAATCAATGTAAATAATTGGTCATTTGTTGTTTATATTCCATTTTTCATTAATTACCAATTTCAAATCAAACCTTGGTATGAAGGGATTAGTTTAAATAGGTTCAAAATTGTATCTACTTTATAATTCCTTATCTTCATTTAAAGAGGATATCTAATATTGAAAAATGAGTATTTTAGGAACTTTGAATGATAATATCTAGAAGATTGATTCTTTTGTGGTAAACTACTCCAGTATTAATTTCCTATTGAAAATAGAAGAACAATAAAATTCCATTTTAATATATTCTTATTTAATATCTTTATATCACTCTTTAGAACTCTTTTAACTATTCAGTTTGCCTTAATGGTATCTTCCAAAGCCATTTCACTATTAAGTAACCAATTCCTTACTAATCTCCCAGTCACTGTTGATACATATTGAACAGGTGTCTCCAGAAATATCTAATTAGAAATAACTTTAGACTCAGTAAATAAATCTTTGCAAGAAGTTGCATCTTGTAATATAAAAGGGAAATAATCTTGAATAACATTAACCAAATTCTTAATTATTTTTATTATTAATCCATTTGACATTATAATGAATAAGCATAAAAGTATATGGATAATATATAAGACCTTCTCTATTAACTTCACATTTAGAATTCTTGACTATTTCAGAATTTTTCTTTATAGGTACATTTTAATATATGGTTTATTTAGTGAAAAGTTTCAAATGGAATACCTTTACTAACTGAATGATTACATCAAATATAACAAATTCATCTTTTTTATAATAATTATCTGTTCTATTTGTGTAATAATCGACATAATTGATGTTTAAGTTCCTATTAGGAATATCATTATATTTAGAATCAAATGAAGATAATAAGTCTTGCTAGAATATATTTCCGATCAAATGGATATCTATTATATAACAAATTTCCCTGACTTTTTTATATCACAATTACATGATTTTTTTTACTTAATAGATAAAGAGAATAAATCTTCACCTTTAGTTAAGATATATTTCACAATGGTATCTTGTAATTTATCAAGATTTTGAGAATCTGATATTATTAGTACAAATATTATCTGAGGTATAATAGATATTATAAAAATCAACAGCCTGGTATACAAAATTCTTTTTATTAAACAATTTACTAAAATTCCTAGTTCCTAAAATTCTAGATAATGAAGTCTACCACTAGGAGATAATATTTAACTTAATAAGTTTAATAACTGAAATTTGTGTATATTTCCTTTATTAGAAATCTCCTCAGTTATCTCTTGTTTAATTATATCTAAATTAATATTACAAAAATTAAAATGAGTAAATAATTCTATGAAATCATTAAATATAGAATGTATATATTGAGATAGAACGTTAAAGTAAAAAATACTGTAATCAATGGCCATTCTACTGTAGGAAAATCCATCATATAATTGTAATTTGTTATAAAATTCTCTGATTATCTAAACATTTATATTCAAAATTATGTTCATTGAAAAAGATAGCATTTTCTATAGCTTTTGGGAAGTGGTACAGTTCCCTAGGTGTATGAATACCTACTCCGATCACCAGGCTTAAGACTTCATTTTCTGTACGTTCATTATTTGATATCAATAGTACTTTCATTTTACTAAACAATATCAAAATTCGATAAAGCTTTGGATTAGAGTAAAGTCTTACTATCTCGTCATCTTTTATCTGAAATATCTTCAAAATATTTAACTGATTATTTTGTAGAAAACTCATTGTACAGTGTGAAGTGTTCTTTATTATACAGTATACTAATTAAAAGTACTAACTATGACAAATATATAATTATATAATTCATAATAGGTGTTTATTTTAATTTTATTTATGATATTTATTTTTGTTAAATGTCACACTACGCTATAATGTTAAATAAGCAATAAAGTAGTGTTCAGACCCAGGTTCTAAATATTGCACCTTATTACATCTAATGTTAACATTTTATTTCTTTCTATTTTAGATGTGCAAACTAACAATTCATCTACTAATCTACTACGACTATTATTCCCTATTAGATTTAATTTATCGCATGCATGAATATTTAGAAATTTATTAGATTTCTAACTAGATATATCTCTAGTAATTTGATTAAACAAAAACTAGTAAATTCTTATTTTGTATATCACAACACAGCAATAAAAATGAACTGTAGCTATTTTTTTCCTATTGTTAAATAATCTACTAAAAATCAACTGAAATTAAGTACTAATTACCATTTCTAAATATCAATGTTTCAATTTTACAAGTTACTCTAATATTACCACTTACTTTCTACTATATGAATGTTAATTCACACGAAATAATAACTGAATTATTGAAAAGGTTTTGTTCAATAAGAAAATTAAGGTTATCTAGACCAAAATAGCAATAATATTTCAATTAGATCATTGGTATTGATATTTTAGGAAAAGATTCATCTCTTGATAATTTATAAATAGGTGAAATATGCTTAAAAGAAGGAGGAAGTTTAGTTATCTCAATACCACCTTGTTTCTCTGAATCAACCTGTGATCTTAATTCAACAAGAATACATGGAGAAGTCCAACAGCTATCATAAAAGTTCATAAAGTCATCATATTTGAGTGATTTTAATAAATTGATTTTTACATTTCGATGATCAAATTGAAAAGATTTCTCATTTATTTCTTTAATATATACTGTGATTTCATCATATATACTTTTAGGCCAAGATGAGTACTTTTGAATTTCAGAATCTAAATATGTATTGAATAGTTCCTTTGTAAATTTTTCACGAACTTCACCTGAAATAACCTTATTGAATTGGAAATCTAAAAGTTCTTTCAGAATAAAAGAATTCATATATTCAGATGATTGGATATAATAACCAAAAACTTGAACTGGACAAGTCATCATCTGTAAAGAATTTGCAACATATACAAGTTGCTTTTTAGTTCTTAGTTCATGAAAAACTTCAGAAGATAAAAATGAATCCAAAATATTTATTTTAATTTGTGTCTCATTGCTTGAAGCTCCAATTTGGTAAAGACAAAGCCAAGAACCATTCCTATCGGTCTCATTCTGTAGAATTTGATCAATATAAATATTTTCATTAAGAAGAATAGTACTGAAAGGCTCTACTTTATGACTTTTAATATTACATTCATGAGCTTGTTTATATTTAATAATATTCATATAATTATCCATTACAATCTCAGTAGCCATGTTATCAGTTAAATTTCCCAAAATTAAGCCTTCAAGATTGCTAGATGCTAGAAAATGTTTATACAAAATAATAAATTCTTGGTAAGTAAAAATCTTTAGAATCCCCAGTAGTTCTTTTCTAGAAAATGCAGTTGGAATTATTGCTTCTGAGGCTTTATCTATAGCTAGTGGATATAACTTGGATTGAAGTATCTTATTAGTCCATTGTCTATCTATAATAATGACTGCTTCATTGTATTCTCTCTCTGTAATTATATTTTCATAGAGCAGATTAAGTACTAGATTCATTAAAACATGTACTTTATGAGAAAAACCAGAAACTTGAAGAGCAAGTACATTGTGTCTAGCATTAAAACTACATTTAAAAGAAAGAGATGCAGCTGCAATATCAGATTTATATTGATGCATAGTTCTTCTAATAGTTTCTTCTAAAATATTTCCAAATACTTGAAATACTAAAGTGTATGGGAGATTATCGAACTCAGTGAGAAATTTAGCTTTATCTTCAAGTTCAATACATGCAATATTAGTAGCTAAAATTCTGAAATTAATAACACTTTGAGGTAAACCAAAGACTGTATCTGATTTAAACCATATTTTCGGTGCTGGAAACCCCCGTAATTCAGATTTATATTTGTCAAAATTAAGTAGATAAGGAAGTCTATCAAAATCATTAATTCCAGGAGTCTGTTCATTATATATAGTAAAATCTGTCGATATAAATGGATTTCTCTTTGGTAACTCCAATCCAAGTTGTCTAGCATTTTCTACTGATGCACTATCAATAATATGTTTCATTGAATCATCAAATTCAGTTACCTTATATTTTACATTATAGTGATGCTCAATTTCAAAAAATTCCGGTTCTTTTTCATATTCAGACTTAATATCGGGAGCTATTAAATAAATATAGAAATTCTCCTTATTCATATATTTTAAAATCTCAAAGACATGATTATTATTAAATTCCTCAACAACCCAATTGGTAGTCATTATATCTTTAAGTGCACATCTGTATTTTAAAAGATTTATTGGTATTGAGAATAATGTGGAAACCGGAAGTTTTACAGAATACATAAAATCTGCCTCACATAAATGAATGAATTCTTCAACTAAATCTGGTATAATTGGATTAGCTTTAAATAGTTCAACAAAATTCAAGATAATCTCGACAACAAGACAAATATCTTTATAACCATCCTCAGTCAAAATTACAGTAAATTGAGCCATAGCAAATGCTTCATCATTATCTATTATTAAAAATGACACATTAGTAGCCAAACTCCTATCTCTCAAAGCTGAGAATATACTTCCTTCACCTTGGTTATCTATAATATGGCTAATATAAGAAGCTGCAGAGCTATTACAATAGGGAACTATACTAGGCATTGGAAATATTAAACTTAATTTCCTATCTTGCTTATGGGGAATAACTTTAGCTATCTTACCAATAACTGTATCTTTAGTATAAGGGGGATTTTCATGATATAACTTTATATAATCAATTGTTTTGACCTTTTTATTTTGTATTCCAGAAAAATATTCTACTGCATATTCTTCAAGCTTGTACAGATTCTCATTTCCATATAATAAAGCACACATTATATTACTACTATAATATTTTTCATAAAATTTCAGCAACTCTTCATAAACATTAATGTTTTTGTACTTCGGGATAGTTTCTAATGTTTCCTTATTTCCAGTTGTAAATTTGTGGACGGGATGAGATTCTACAGCAAATTTCCCACTCATATGATATTTCACTCTATCATCATCATAATATTTAAGTTGAAATTCATTTTGAATTGCATTAACTTCCTTTTCAGCCATACTTGGGGAAATAATTGGGCAAATAAAGAAACTAGAGAAACGATCTAAAGCTCCTTTAAAAGCTTCATTCTTTACTTCAAAGTAGTACGTAGTATATCCTCTTGTTGTATAACCTTGCCTATGACCTCCATTTTCAGTTATATAAGTTTTATAATCAGTTGCATCTGGATACTTTTTAGTACCACAGAATAGCATATGTTCTAGGAAGTGAGCTAAACCATCAAGGTTTTCCGGAGATTGCATAGCCCCAGCCTTTACAGATAAGCAACACCCACTCATTTTAGATTCAGGATCTGATACTAGAAAAACTGTTAATTCATTTTTTAAGATTAATCCTCGAAATTTACGATCATCACTTTTAGGAAGTCTAAAATTTGTTTCTCTCTCAATAATTGAAGATTCAATAAGATTTGACATCAGTACCAAAATCACCTTTAAGTATGAAATGTCAAAAGTTAATAATAAATATAGTTAACTAAAATACCACTATACAGAATATTTTTCAAACTAAAAGCTACAGCATATTCTAATTTCTTGTCAACAACTTGCATTATAATAAATAGATGAAAAGGTATATCCCGCTCCACATGTATTTCTAGATCCCACTAATTGATTAGAGAATTATGCCAACCAATTGGAATGTAACACATTCACAAATGATGACCTAGATTCTGGATGTTTACAAAGCATAGAACACAATAGATCCTTAAGCTTAGTTGATATATCACATTTTAGATTCTCTGAGTATAAAGGAATCTCTATATGTTCATCCAAATTACATAATGCTAACTGATATTGTAAAGGTGACTTATTCTTCCAAATATTATATAAAGGAGAGTAACCGAATACTATGGTATGTAATAAACATCCTAAACTCCAAATTTCACGTTTTTCAGCGTTGTATCCGAGTTTACTATTATTTAGAAAACACATAAAACATTCAGGAGGCAAGTTACAATGAGTTCCATATGCATCCTTTAATGTCAAAGAGGTTGATAAAATCTGAGCCTCACCTAAATCAATAAACATAAGCCTTAAATGGTCATCTTTTGACTTATCAAAAGGAAGGAAACATAAGTTCTCTAGTTTGATATCTTTATGTACAAGACGGTACTTTTCATATAAAGTATAGGCTATATATACAGTTTGCTTAAAAATATTTGCAATGTAACTTTCAGTAAAAAACCTTGCAAATATATTATTAGGAATCCACTTGTATGTATGATTATCAAATAACATAAGTGGTCCTTCTAATTTTGGAAATAGTAGACCTATACAGGTATCCAAAGATTCAAATACTTTATTTTCTTTATTAAACTTAACTCCAATAATACAAATGAGTGGTATAATTGAGATATTACAACTAAAATTCTCTTTATGATACTCATCTCCATCAATTATAATAGATGTAATCCACTTTTTATTATTTTGACAATAGTATTCACTAGTCATCCTAATATTGTTGTCACTTTGCACTGTATAATGGATATTTATCGTATAAATTACGCGACTCTCCAATATAGTGTCTGTTTCATTATCTTCAGTATTAAAGTACTCTTCATCATCTTCATCAGGAATACGCAACGCTGCTGCAAAACTATCTAATTCGCTACGCGAGTACCACTTTAATATAAATTCATTGTTCTCATCTTCTTCTAGTTTTGTACACACTAAGTATACCCTTGGAGCTATTTGTTTCTTAATATTTAGCCTCGGAGGTAGATTCATCATCTTAGTAATATGGGACTCCTCATTTAGGGATGCACTCTTTGATGTAGACATTTTCAAGAATGTTTACATTTAATAGGATCTAAAAATGATAAATACAGAAATTCCAGTGACTTAACACCTTAAATCTCCTTTACTATTATACTCACTTAATAATAAGAGAGATTTCTAAATGATTCATGCATACTTTATTATCTTCTTAGCAGAAGTAGAAAATATAAAATAATAGGCGCTTAAATGCGCCAAAATAGGTACCGTGTATTTATTCTAATAGTACTTTATTAACACACCACGTCTCAATCTTGCTCCAACTTTTTAGTGATGTGTGGTAGTAGGGGTTAAAAATATTGAACCTAGATCAACTTGAAAGTTCATAAAAAGACGTTTAGAAACAATAATTAAGGTCAAATGGTAAGTTTTATAATACTAAGGAAGGGGTGAATAATTGCTAATTATAGCTCGATATATTCTAATATAAAGACTGAAGTTACATAAAAATTTATAAATATAATTAATCGACTTATTTATTATTTTTATATATAGTTTCAGGTAAGACCAGGCGTAACAAGTTTGTTAAAGGATGGAAGCAGAGCATTCTCAGGTTTGGATGAAGCTGTATTACGTAATATTGAAGCTTGTATAAATCTTTGTGAAATAACAGAAACTTCTTATGGACCAAGAAGTATGAATAAACTTATTGTTAATCATATTGGGAAACATTTCATTACAAGTGATGTAACTACAATTGTAGAAGAGCTGGAAATTCAACATCCAGCAGTCAAAATGATTGTAATGGCTTGTAAAAGGCAATCTGAGGAATATGGTGATGGGACAAATACAGTTTTGATTTTATGTGGAGAATTACTTAAAAATGCTGCAAAATTACTAACAATAAATGGTTTACATCCAATGGACATAATTAAGGGATATGAAATGGCTTTAGAAAAGGTGACTAAATTTATGGAATCCTTAGTTTGTTTTAAGATAGAGAATTTTAAAGATAAAAGTGAAATATACAAGTCTGTGTTTCCAATTGTAACAACTAAACATCATGGGTATAATGAATTATTATCTGATTTAATTAGTGAAGCTTGTGCAGATGTAATGCCTGATGATACTGAGAGGATTCGTGATTTTCAAGTAGATAATGTTCGTATAGTTAAGCTTCTTGGAGGTTCTCCTATGCAGTCATTCACATTATCTGGTATGATAATTAGTAAAGAACCATCTGGGACAGTAAGATCTATAAATAATCAGTGTAATGTAATGGTCTTAGGTTGTGGATTAGAAATGACAGGAACTGAGGCTAAAGGTACAGTAGTATTAAAGAATGCTGATGAATTACTGAATTTCACAAGAGATGAGGAACAATTGATGGAGAATCTTATTAAAGATATAAAAGTAAGTGGAAATGTAGATGTCATTATTACTGGAGGACCTATTTCTGATATAGCTCAACATTTCTGTAACAAATATAATATATTAACACTAAGAGTCATGTCTAAGTGGGAATTAAGAAGGATTTGTCGTAGTTTAGGAGCTGTTGCAATGGTACGTCTAGGTATACCTCTTCCTGAGGAAGTGGGTAGATCTAAATCTATAAATGTACAAGAAATAGGTTCCAAAAAAGTCACAATAATTAATGCTTTAAATAAAAAAGTTACTTCGATTGTATTACGTGGCTCTACTCAAAGTTTGTTAGATGAAATGGAGAGATGTGTCTTAAATGCTGTTTCTTGTGTTAAATCTAGTACAAAGGACAATAGATTTATCCCTGGAGGTGGTGCTACAGCAATTGAGATATCTAGAAGATTGAGGTTAACAAATATTGATAATGAGAATAATATTAAATTATCACATATTAGCTTGGAGGGGTATGCTATTGAAAAATATGCAGAATCATTAGAAGTATTTCCAAAATTATTGGCCCAAAATACAGGTCTAAGTCCTACTGATATACTAGCTTCACTATATTCCATACATCAAAATGAAACAAATAGTAAAATTGGAATTAATCTCTTGCATTCTAGTGGGACTAGTCCATTGATGGACTGCTTAAATAATAAAGAAAATTGCATTATGATTGATCACTTACAAACAATTGTATCAGCATTCAAACTAGCTACAGATGCTGCCACTACTATATTGAGTATTGATGAAATAATCATAGCTAAACCTGCTGGAGGCCCTAAACCACCCTCATCTACGAATAATAATGATGAAGATTAATATTCAAATTATTACTACCCCTTACTTAGACTCCTTAGAGTTTTATATCTGCTAGAATTCACGCTAATTACTTAACTTTGTTGTTTATTATTTATATACCTATCTAATATGGTTAGATATGGGATCTTTATTAATGTATACATTGGGTTTTAAGATTTAATCTGACCAAATTCAGCCTTGCTAATATTTTAAACTCTTTTCAAATTTTTAGATAAACTACTCTAGTGACACTTCACAAGATTAGGTTCACGTTTATGGCGCCTAAGTGCACTTTGGCGTCTGCAATGGTAGCGATACTAAAAGGTAGAAGTAATTTTTCTAAAGAAAAATCTAAGTTCCTATAGTTGGTAATTTCAAAATATTAATTATTAATAATTATGAAAGGTATCTTCTAAATATATAATGCGGCAGAATAGTCGTGCTTCATATAATAATAATGAATGTGGAGCAGCATTACAGTTACCATTACGTCTCCCATATCCAGGGAACTCAAATAGAATATTCAACTATCAAAAATATGGACCCTATCCAGAATTCCTTTTCTGTATCCCTGCAAGACCACTTATAACTGTCTTTGGATGTGATCTGGATATTTTTGTTCGCTTTGTTAGCGTTTTTTCTATTATTGTATGGATAATGATGCTAATACTAGAGTTCTTACATTTATATAATCGTGGTACTAGTGAGAGTTCATTAACATTAATAATAATTATAAGTATATTAGGTATATTAGGTATACTTTCTGGTATTTTTTGTGGTATCGTTGGTTATATTGGTTGTACTATCTGTAATCCTTCATGCTTATATCCCTTCTTTGTTCATCTAAATTTTCAGACTATTGCTACTTTATATGCTGCAATAGCATCTTACTTTCGTGGATATACTAAATATACAATTATATATCTTTTTTTTTTAGCTGGTGGCTTAATTTCACTATTTCCTACATGGTCTTTATATGTACATGCTTATATCCATGGTATTCCACCAAATTTAACCTTACCTACAGGATTATTGTCAGATGTTTGGAGGGCTAGGGATAAAAAACAAAGAGAGAAGGGAAGAGAGGAATTAGAGAGCCTTTATCCATCTCAACAAAAATCTGAAACTCAATCTTATACTGGTATAATTAAAGATAGTAGTATACGTTTTATAACACCACCTAAATCTCCAGGAAATAATTCAATTCAAAATAATCAAAATTTATCACCTAAAACACCCTCATTTGGTGTAAGAGAATCACTTTCAAAAGATTCTATTCAATATGAAAAGAAACTTATGCAACTATATTTACCAGCTTCTCCAAATTCTTCAAAGATAAATACAGATATTGCTATTAAGAAACTTCTCAGATGGTCAAAACCTAAAAGTGGCAATGGTATCTTTGTTCCGAAGCTAGCAAGAAATTCAAAGAAAGATAATCTAATTATTAACAAAGTTCGAGTATCTAGAACTATAAAGAGATAAACCAATTTATACTAGATTTAGATGAATAAATATTGTAAATATAAATCTTCCTATTTAAATTTATTGCTACTCAATTTCATAGATTATCAGAAGTGAATAGCTAAACTAAGTAGGGATCTCATAAAATATTGCGACTTCTTCAGTTTTACTAAAACTTTAATATACATCATTTCTAAAGTGATCAGAGACTTCATTATATTGTAGAATATATCTTCTTATGCTGAATCCAACTTTATATTAGTAGATATAAACTGTATCTATTGCATACATAAATTCTATCTTAAGGTACTTCTATAGAAATTATTCTGGTATTATCCCCTAAATCTATAAATTTTTTTATGTGAAGATATTTTTAAGTGTTTTTTAAATATATTGGTAGTCTTTGTTATATATACCCTTAAACTTGGAACTCGGTACTTATCTGTATAGTTGCATACATGTGGCGCCTGGAGCATTTTTTTTTGAGGTTTTTTATTTTGGAATTTTAAGAAACTTTAGTTTGTCAACTCATTAAATGCAAAATAGTATTGAATGTATAGAAATACCTGAACTTATAGGAGGAGCTGCTTTTACAAATGGAGGACTTTTGATATATGGTAAGAGTACTCTTTTGTCTACTTTTAACCCAACTAACTTTAAATATAAAAAATATACTTAAAATAATCTATTTCAGAATTTGGTGAGCATTCAATTGTACATGAGACTGCTATTTTATGCTCTGTTATTAATCAAGTAAAGAGTTCCTTGTTAAAGAACTTAGATCAAGAATTATCTATTCATATAGATACAACATTAAGGTATGACTATTTTTGTCTGGAAATCTCAAAGAAAAAATTTAAAATTTTTGTATCTCTTTTTATTACTAAATAATCCTAAATATTAGAGATTTTTTTGTTACTGAATCTGATGGTATTATAGTGACTATATCAAAGAAAAAAGGTAATTCTGACAAACAAATTAAAACATCTGGCACTACTAAAAGTGATGGTAATAATAATAAACAGTAATCGTTATATAATTTATATGAAATATTTAAAAATATGACTAAGCTATAATAATTTAATGGCTTTATCTCATATGATCTAAGTTTTTATCAGCAGACAAAATGAAATCCTTAAATATGCTTGAATTTCTACTTTTTTTTTTTTTCTTAACTTAGTTGAAATTATAAACTAATATTAAGTTCCTAATGTGAATTTCTCAATGTTATATTTAATAATTAGAAATAATGGATTTAAATTATAGAGGTACATAAAAAAATTTAATTGAATGGATATCTTAGCTAAATATAGTATATATATTTAATTCAGTAGTAAAACCTGAAATATATAGATTTGGTCTTCTTTGTAAATATTATTTCAGGATTCCTTATGATTATTTGGTAAATATCTATGAACTTATCTTTGAGGCTTATTGCACAAATTTCTTCCTATAAGATTTCATTTATTATTGATGATAATTCTTTGGATCTTAATAGAAATAATATATCTTTTTGAATTTATAATTCTATTTTTTTATTTTAATAGAAAATTATGGTACTCTAAATAGTGCATTATTAAAAATATCATGGCATTGCAACATAATATAAATAGCAAATGATCCATTCTGTATTATATCATACAAGCTAAATAATATAAAAAGTTTAATGAGAGATTCAATTAATCAGATCATTTGTTATATTCGTTATAATTTGTTATATATTTATATATTGTATACTTAAGGTTCATTTGAATTTTAGAGACATATATAAGAACTATACTTTGGCGGATATAATTAATGTATATATTACTGAATAAGAACATTATCTTTATTATAATCTTAACAGCTGTTAGGTATTAATGATTAATAAACGAAAAAGAGATTCAATAGAATGTCGCAAATCTCCAAAGATAGTTAAAAATAAAGAAGTTACAGCTCTACCACTAGATACAGAGGAGCTGTCACTGTATTACGTTGATCAATTACAAAATACTATAAAAATATATAGAGATATTATAGATAAACTTAATAAGGATATTGATGATTTGACCAATTTAGATGCGGAATCTTACAATTTAGAATTTATAGAGAATCTGAAAGAAGACAAAGAAATAATAAAAGATGACTTTGAGAAAAGTGATGTTGAAGGAAATAATATAGATGGAAATGGTAAATTTAGAATATTAATAAAAAGGCTTCATATATTACTTAAGAAACGTAGTGAAGAATCTGTTGTATTGGAGAATGAGATAAAACGTCTTAAGATGCAGAATGTACTATATAAAACCCGTTACAAAAATATTGATAATACTTGTGAATCTAATATACAATCTATTAATAATTCGAATGTAAATAGTGAAGTATTTACACCTTCAAAAGATAATGAGGTTATAAATATAAATAAGGAAGATATTAATGTAAAGCTAAATATAAAGGATAAAATAATATCAGATCTTCAAAACAAAGTTATTGATTCACAAAATAAACTATGTGAAGCTTATAAAAAACTTTCATTATTAGAGCCTTGTGGAGATTACTCAAATATAGATGAATTGTTATTATCTATAGAAGATAATCCTCAAATAATGACTTTAGATCAAAAGAATGAGATTGAAACATCTACAATATTAAATAATTCTGAAGAAAATGATGAATATGATACTTTAAATAATTTAGATCATTCATATAATTTTTGTAAATGTGTTGATATAATTTTAGTTCGTGTAAATGAACTTCAAGAACAATTAAATAATAAAGAATCTGTTTTAAGAGATATAATTAGGAGTAAAGTATTAAACCAAATAAATAGGAGTATAGAGTTACATGAGGAATGTGAAAAGAAAAGAGAAGCATTATTAAATGAATTAAATGATCTTAAAAATAAAAATAATGAATTAAAACTTTGTATTATTGATAAGGATCGATTATTTAGACTTATGGAGAATAAATACAAAGAATCTGAAAATCGCTTAAGTAGTTTAAAAGATTGTTTTAACAAGTCTCAATTGAAAAGTTGCAATAGTTGCAGAGGTATTTCAAAATTATGTGTAGATACAACTAAAGATATATCAGATGAATATAAAGATCAACTAGAAAATATTATGAATGAATATGAAGAATTAAGTAGTGCATTTGAAGAAAAATTATTAGAATGTGATGAATTAAGATCAAATTTAGAACAGAAGCAGGATGAATTAATCAATATAAATACAAATATTGAAGAACTCAAGAGTACTATTCAAGAAGTAAATACAGTAAGCTTATTGTATAACGAGAAACTTTCATTGATTAGACGTCAATATCAAGCAAGTGTGAGTCCTACAATTTATTCGTCTAATCAAATTAACTCATATAACATAGAAGTCAACAACTTAATTGAAACAATGTGTAAGAATTTGCAAGAATACCTAGAGACAACAATGAATGATGATAAATATTTAGAAAATATAAAGGCACTTGAGACTAAGATTTTAAAATATAGAATTCAAATGAGGAAATTGATTTTACATATTAAATATTATAAAACAGAAAATAACAAGTTAATTGATGAGAAAAAAGAGATTAGTGATATTAATATGAAGAATCAAGAAACAATGAGTATTTTAAGAAGTCGTATACAATATGTAGTGAATAAAGTACGAAAATTGACTAATATTGTGATAAATATTGATGAAACCAATGATAAAGATCTTGATATTGATGATCATGATAAAGTTGTGCAGGAATTGAAGAATGAAAATAAGCAACTTTTAACACTTATGCAGTGCTCTGTTTGTCATGATAAACTAAAAGATATTGTAATCCAGCGTTGTGGGCATCTATTTTGTAAGGATTGTATTGACAAAAGCTTTACATCAAGAAATAGAAAATGCCCCTTGTGCCATACAACATATGACAAATATGATATTAAAAAAATCTTCTTTGATTGACTACTAACATTAGATATAGTTTAATTTATATCATAGAGTTAAGAGCTAATCAAATAATTTGGAATGATGAATGTTTGTCTTTTCTTTCCATCCCCCCTCCTTTTATAAATATTAAAATTATTAATTCATATTAGAAAACCTAAGAACCTAGGTATTGTGGCAATTTAAAAATATAAAATTACATATATGTTCATAAATGATCATAATTAAATATTAAATTAATTACGATATCTACTTCTACTTTTTATGAAACAAAAGAAATAATATTAAGCTGAATTAGTCCTAGCGCCTTCACTGATCTAAATCCTTTTTTCTTTCTAATAAATTGGAATTATTGATATTAATTAAAATTCACCTTGAATTATTGTAGATTATTTTATCTGAAGGACTTTCACTGTAGGGTATGTATATAAATGGGCTATGGAGGGGTGAACCAAAGGGCTATAGAGGCTCGAGAAAGGAAAATGGCAGCTGCTCTTGAAAAAAAGTTGAGAGAGCAAGAAAAACTTGAAGATGAAAAGTGGGCTGATAATGATAAGCACGCCAATCGGAAACTAGAACGGAAAAGGGAAGCAATACAAAAGCATGAAGAAAAGAGCCAAAGGAAGGCAGAACTGAGAAAAATTTATGAAGAAGAAGATTCCAAAGTGATATGCAACAAAGCAACTGTATCTGGCCCCAAAAAGTTAACAAAAGCTGAAATAGCTCAAAGAGCTCTTAAATTTGCAATGCAAAAGTCAAAAAGAGAATATAAAGAATCTGATAATATAGATTTGCTAGTTGAAAATCCAAATCGCGTAGAACGCGATAAGCAAATTGAGGCGAAAGTGAGTGGTATTGATTACATCTCAGCTTCTTCTTTAGATGATGCATTAGCTATACTTACATTGGGAGATAAATCTTATGTTGATAAGCATCCTGAAAAACGTATGAAAGCAGCATGGTTAACCTTTCTTGACAATAATATGCCACAACTAAAGTCTGAGTTTCCAAATTACAAACGTTCACAATTGCTTCAAATACTCCAGAGAAGGTGGAAAAAGGCTCCTGAAAATCCCTGTAATCAATAATTATAATTAGGGACTATATTTTGATTTAATAAGATTATGATATCTCTTAAAGTTAGATTCTATTTTAGCCAACTTTACAATATCAATAGAATTACAACATTGGTAACATCATCTTATTATTTTAAACTTCTTTTTATTATTATTAATATTAACTTACTTTCTCACTTGTTAAATTTGAATTAATTTTGATAATATTTGTCAGATAACATATCAACTATTATCTTAGCTATTAGAGATATCAAGTTATATTAGTTCTATATAATTAAATATTTGTATTAAAGTTCCACTTTATACTTTAATAATAACTTTTTAATTAGCATTCAATGTCTATATTTTGTAGTTTAATTCTATTCTCTTAAAAAAAAAAAAGATATACCCAAATATATAGTTGTCTCCTGATCAAAATAAAGTCAAACTTGAATTCTTAGAAGGTTATCACTTCTAAAAATCATTGTGTTATAATGCATATAAAAAATTTTAAATAAATACTTTTTGTTTTGAGTAGCCAAATATACATGGGATTAATGATGTGAGACTGCATGCAAAAACCGGTATACATAGTATTATATATACCGAAATATTATATATAATCGGTAATATTTATTCTTATTAATAATTTAAACATAGATTCCATTTATAGATAATTCATATAAAGGTAGAAATAAACTTTTAAGTATGAGAATATGCTCCAAGATTTATCCAGAATATATATAGCGGTGAGTGTTTGGAGCGCAAATAATAAACTATCGTGGGGATAAGATGCAGATAATTAACTATTCAATAGCTATATTTTCTAAGTTAAGATTTATTTTTATTGAGCACTTGAAAATGGAAGTAGATGATATTAGCTTTTATAATGATGAAGTAATGACAGGAACAACACTTGTAGCCTTAAAATGTAGAGACGGCTTGATACTAGCTGCAGATTCTCGTACATCTATGGGAAATATGGTTGTAAGTCGTTCAGCCCGTAAAATAACGCGAATAACAGACAAGATTTTTATCTGTAGGTCAGGTTCAGCATCAGATACGCAGACTATTGTACAATATGTAAGGAAACTTACTGCAGATCATGAATTAGAATTGGGTGAAGAAGCAAGAGTTAAATCTGTAGCTTCTTTAGCTCGTATAATATGTTATCAAAATAAGGAATATTTAACTGCTGGTTTAATAGTTGCAGGTGTAGATCCTTATGATGGGTTTAAAATCTTTCAAATTGCTTTAGGAGGTAGTATGATTGAGAAGTCATATGCTCTATCTGGTTCAGGTTCTGCTTATATTTATTCATTGCTTGATGCGACATATCATACTAATATGGATATAGATGAATGTAAAGATTTTGCAAGACGTCTTGTTTCACATGCAATATTTAGAGATTCATCCTCTGGTGGTTTAATTCGTATGGTTATAATTACTAAGGAGGGTTATCAAGAATTAGTTATACCAGGTGAAGAACTTCCAAATTTGTAATATATTTGAAAAAAATAGGAAAATATGAGAACAAATAATATTATATGATTTTATAGAAGTCAATTGTAAAGATATTAATATTCATGTGAAGAATATCTCAAAATTTTATATTTTCAGAAATTTTCAATATAAACTCGTGATATTGTAAAGAAAAATGAAAGGTCATTATGTACTGAAGATAGTATATGACTAGAATTACAGATAAAATATTTTTACATTAAACTAATTTACATTGGATAAAAAATATCTAAGTCAACTAATTATTTAAGTACTAAATTATAACAAACTAATGTGGAGCTTAAAATTGTCATCAACATTACAATCACTAATTATTTTCTTATTAGTACAAATAAACTATGCAGATATTGAAGTTGAAAGTATATTAAGCTTACAGGCTGATATTAATGCCCCAATATCATCTGGTGGGGATCTATCTCCTGATACATCTTATGATGTATATAGGAGGGTTTGGGGTGTCTCTGAACAAGAAATATCTGTTATGCGAAGTCAATCTATGGATTTTTTTAAAAATATTACTGATATTGATATTCTTAATCTTCCATCTTGTTCCCCAGCTGGAGATTTATTAACAAATATGCCAACATTTAAAGTTCCAACACTGTTTGGTGATCTTTTGGGAACCTTTTCTACTCCTTTATGTACAACACGTTCTCTTGATGGTGTAATATATATTTATGACCCAGCTCAACAAAGAAATATTGCTTCTTTCTTTCATGTAAGGAATCCAGATATTGTTGGTTATAAAGTTGTTCAATCTCTTAATCCACCACATGATGCTAGGGAAGATCCCCTTCCAATGTTTGATACAGCTTTTACCCTTAATATCTTGGAAAATGGCTATTTCCCTTGTTCAAAATTTTCACAAGGTTGTGTAAAGGGTGATCGTCTATTGTATGGATGGTATACTATTTTCAATTTGTACAAGAATCGTGAATGGGGTATTATCAGCTATCAAAGTAGAGGCCCACAAAACATACTTGGACATTTGACACCATTAGCATTTGACTTAAATTCATCTCAATGGGGTCAAGGATTAGCTAATGGTTATGTGAGTAGAACATATCAAAGTAACGATGATGTACAACCATGCTTCGAGAGTACTTGCCCATACAGATTACCAAAATTATTGGATACAATTGAAGTATCATTTAGGAACATATTGACATTTACTAAGTGAAGTAAATAGATAAAAAGAAAAAAGAGTAAAATATTCTAAATTTACTAGATAGGGATTATTCATGGATATATGAAATAAATAAATAAAACTTATTCAGCCTATTCAGAAATATTAGAATCGAAGTAATCTAAACTAATCAAGTTTAATATTTAACAAGTCAATTACCATAAAGTATATCACAAACTAGTGGAACTGGTATATCTGCAATAGAAGATATTCCTCTCAAATTGACTTGACCATTCTTATGGCTTCTTTGTAAATAGAATTCACTTGAAGATATCTTTCTATTCCGCAAATATCCCCTTATTGATTCTTTCGAATTACCACAATTGTTGATTTTACTAATTGTATTACTTTCAATCCCTTCATATTCTTCATAAGTACACACTTTTTTGTTACACCTATCCGATATATTATATAAGTTAGTTATCCATTCATGAGTTATAGATCTTGCTTTATCTTTATTTATTGAAGTAGGTGGCAAATTTATTGTTATATCATCTGATATTAGATCATGGGAATCTAATGGTCTTGTATTTAATAAGCATAAAGCATTATAAACTAATATTGACAAAATAATTAGAAATATAAAGTATATTGGGAGTATTATACCCCATATTTTATTTGGGTAATATGTTATACCTAATTTTTTAAATAAATTATCAGGTAGACATATCCAAAATAAATAGCAACCTTCAATAAATATAGAGTATATCAATTTATAATATAAACAAGTAAATAATAGATTATAACATACCTAATGCTAACCAACTTAATATCCAACTCACAAAACTTGATATGTCAGTTTCTGAATAATCCATCCAATTGATTTTTATTCAATTGTAATGATATAATTTGGCCATATTTTCAAAGTAATATATATTTATTATACTTTTTTTTTTTTTTTTTTGAGCTACTATTAAATGTTCTTATAATAAAGATGTATTCCGCCCAATTCTGCAGTACTTTAATTTAGACTTCATACCAGATAGATTCAGTAATAAGTAATTTTAACGAAATGGATCTAGAATTTATGGTTCCAAATCAAAGTGATATCAGTCACTCTGAATTAAAACCTGTAACTAGTAGAAATGCTATGATGAAAGAAGATTTACCAATATCAATGCTCATAAATATAACAAATACACCTGGTAATCCATTTATATGCCTACTTCACATTACATTCAAAATTTTGGCATTATTTACATTCTTATTTGGTCCCATTATATTTAGAATACTTACAAATGATGAATTTATCATTTGTTTTTTTAGTACAATAATACTTTTGTCTCTTGATTTTTGGATAGTAAAAAATGTTACAGGTAGGATACTAGTTGGTATGCGTTGGTGGTATGAAGTTTCAAGTACTGGAGAAACAATATGGATGTTTCAAAGTATACAAAATAATCAGGTATCTAATAGTATAACTAATTTTGATAAGACTGTTTTCTGGACTGGACTTTATTTATGGCCTATACTATGGTTATTTATATTTATTATTGAACTATTAAGATTCCAATTTGAGTGGTTGACTTTATCTATAACTGCTATTGCCTTAGGATGTTCCAATATTATTGGATTCTTAAAGTGCCTTGTACATAATAATACTTCTAAGAATGATTGGATAACTAAACTAACTTTTAAAACTCTTACAAGCAATATAAACAATATTGTTTAGATCTAAATACTTTCTATATATGTCACTGGAATGACAAAATATCATTAATTTATAGAATTACTTTTTGTATATTATCTAGGCTTGATATAAAATTCATATATAGTTATATTCCCTCTTAAGATTCAATATACTACTCTCTATATAAGCTCTATATATTATATTGTTAATTTGTGTTCTAAGTAGTATTTGAGAAAATAAAGATATTGAAATCTTAGGCCTATCTCAAAACAATATATAAGGCATTTCTAATATTAATAATGTATGTACCGCTTGAAATCTCTAACTTTTAGACACCACTCAGGAATTACAAATATAAAAAACAAGAGCGGTAGAACCGGCGGTATTCACACAAAGGACTTTTTTTTTCTTCTTTGATAAATTACTAATATTATATAAAGCTAGAAAGATCAAGGAAGTAATTAATACTAAAAAAGCATCAATTTCATACTATAGAAATTAAAAATGACTTTATCTGTATTTTTTTTTTGTAAAAAAAATAAAAAAAGGTGTATTCGAAGGTGGCGGTCTTACGGACCGCGTCTCCCCCTTCTCATCCCCATATATGGATAAAAGTATAAACATTCGCTATACTTGAATTTCTTGATTTATTTGTATGTCCTCATCTTCAGATACGGTTGGCATTCCCACACCGTTTGTTGTAGACGCATTATCAGACGTTGGAAAGAGTTCTGCAAACTACGTTCACATTAGGAACCAACAACGTAATGGCAAGAAGAGTTTAACAACTGTACAAGGACTAAGTTCGGAGTTTGACTTGAAGCGATTATTAAAGGCATTCAAGAAGAACTTTAGCTGTAATGGAACAATAATTGATGACGCTGAGCATGGTTCAATTTTGCAAATTCAGGGTGACCATCGACAAAACGTTGCAAAGTTCCTAGTTAGTGAAAGTATCGTCAGTTCAGACGAAGTTAAAATACACGGAGCTTAGAAAAGTCTATTTTCGAACATTTTAAAGTGTATTAGTGCACTTATCCTATTCTATTTTCTTTTGATAAACAGTTGACCAAGCAGATAGTATTAGTTAGATTAAAGATGACATTAGCCACTTTAGATCAAACTAACCTATTACATTTCAACGAGTCCCCTTTCCTTTCTTATTTGTTTAGTTCCATTGATTTATCTATATTACTATGGATTACTTGAATATAGTAAGATTAGTAATATTATGAACTTCCTTTGTGAAGAAATGGATTAGCAGGTAAGTTGATTCGGAAACTAGGATGGATAATTCCTTGAATTGTTCTACCATAATACCTTGCTATTTTGACGAGACATTTTAAACGTACTTGATGTTGTATAAAGGCCAAAGTTGTTAAACCACAAAAGAACAGATATATAGAGTCCCCATATTCATTTTCAAATAATCTTAGGGTAAGATACTCCATTATTCTACCTGGGAGTTGAACTATATCTGTAACGTTGTATGGCTGACAATTATTTACTTCAACTTCCAGTGGGCTTGAACAAAAACATCTCAATTTCAGTTGAACCATATTTAAACTGAAATTTCTGTAGAGATACATCAAATTATAGCTGTGGAGTTTTAGTATATTTAACGCTTTATATTAGAATAACCAATAGACTAGGGATGTGTGAGCCAAATCCGTAAGATTATGTGTTAACCGTGTGAATAAACGGACTCTTATAAATAGCAAACTATTATTATCCTACTCAAGAGATAAACTAGATTAACTCACAAAGAAGATTTAGATAGTAAACAGTATAGCTCTTCTTTCCTAGTGACCCTCTAAACCTAATGAGACAACTAACATATAAAATAACTCAATAGAGCCCCTCACCCTTTTTAAAGACTTTCCCACTCTCTTTCCCTCCCCCCCCCCCCCCACTTTCCACACTTTACTTACTTTTTTTCTTTATTTGTGGTGATTTCTATTTATTAGTAGTGGTAATCAGTTTAAAGTATCAAACCTTCCAAATATTACGACCTCAACTTACCGCCTTATCAGAGACGAGACGTGTGAACACACGTATTTATTGATTGAATCTACATGGTTTAGATAAAGGGAAATAAGAATCAATTAAGCTATTACCCAATAATAAAGTAGGAGAATCAATAGGCAACTGAATTTAGCCACAAAATAAAGAATATATTACGACTTTATTTTAAGGATCTGTTTGTTTGTAATAAACCTGAAGAAATATGGCAGAACAACTGACAGAGGAACAAATAGCAGAGTTCAAGGAAGCTTTTTCATTATTTGATAAGGATGGAGATGGGAGTATAACTACAAAGGAATTAGGTACTGTAATGAGATCTTTAGGGCAGAATCCAACTGAGGCTGAATTGCTTGATATGATAAATGAAATAGATGCTGATGGGAATGGAACTATTGACTTTCCTGAATTTCTTAGCTTAATGGCAAGGAAGATGAAAGATACAGATACTGAAGATGAACTTACAGAAGCATTTAGTGTTTTTGATAGGGATGGTAATGGATTCATTTCGGCAGCTGAACTAAGACATGTAATGACAAATTTAGGAGAGAAATTGACTGATGAAGAGGTTGATGAGATGATAAGGGAAGCTGACGTAGATGGTGATGGCCAGATTATGTATGAAGAATTTGTTAAGATGATGCTTGCAAAGTAATCATATAGTAAGATAATAAAGAGAGTCTTCTGTTCTTTTTTTCAGAGTATTTGATACAATATTCTATTCCTATTGTAAATCTTATTAAAAGTAGAAAGATAACTTAAAAATTCTCTTTTGTTTTCTTTTATATACCTTTTAATGCAATAGTAAATAAGAGTTTGATTAATATAAGTTATATACAGTATCTTGACATTGTTAAAATATATTCTAAAGTTATTTTAGACACTAAATTTTTTTTTTCCTAGGAGAAAGTTCCTATTATTTAGTTAGTAATATATATAATTGAAGTATTTCTCAATACTTATACTTATTAAGTTGGATTAATCATCACTAGTAACTTTAGTATCCTTTGTAATATTTTGGTCATTGGAATAGGTGCAGTGTAGTAAACCAAAGAGGAGAATTGCTATTAACCATGGTCCAACTGTCATACATAACATTGATTTTGCAAGAGCTTGTGCATTGTTCTGAAGAAGGTAAATATCTTTAAGATTATCATTACTAATATTTATAATACTTTGAGTATCATTTTTTTGAAAAGATATATAGCCAAAATAATTTTGGGCTAAAATTCCAACAAAAGGAGCTCCAAATAGTGCTGAACCAATAGTTTCAAATAAAGAAAATACAGCAAAAAAAGTACCACGATGTTGAGGTTTAACTATTTCGCATAGTATAGGTCTACTAGCACCGACACCTGGCCATCCAGCCATAAATCCAATTAATATACTAATAATCATATAATATATAAAGGAGTTTCTCCCCCAGGGAATAAAAAGTAATAAGATTACCATTAGTATAATACGTAAAAATATTGCTAATTGTGCCATAAATTGTCTACCATATTTTGGAGATAGAAACTCAGTATAGTCAGCAACTTTACCAACTATAGGGGATATGATAATAGCTGCAATCCAGCTTGATGAGTAGACAATTGTAGACATCAAAGATGACAAACCACAATATTGTAACCACATCATAGTAAAGTTTAAAGAATGTTTAGGTATTCCATTAACTATACTTATAATCAACATAAGCCATGCGCTCTTATTGTATATTATATATGAATATTCTATAAGTGACTCTTTTATATAAGTGATGTTTATAAAGTGCAATTGAAGAAAATTTAGTAAATTATATATTCCAATATCCTCACTAATTTTTATTGTTCTTAATGCACATTTATTTGCTAATATATTATTATAATAGGTAGAGTAGTAAATATCATATATATATATGTAGAAGGCAAATGAAAATGAAATCATTGCAAAAAGTAGCATTGCAAGCCTATAAGTGAAATAATCACCAAGTAAATTGGCAGTTATAAATAGACAAGATATTCTTCCAATATTTTGTGACAAGAACAAATTACCAAAGTATCTACCTCTATTTAGACTACCGAATGTACCAATTATTGATTGGGTAAGAGGTCCCATTAAGGACATGAACATACCAAGACAAAACAACAAAACACACATTTCTGGTAGTGTAGATGCAAATATCATTCCTATCATTATAGATCCCCATCCAATACTTGTTATAATCATGAAGTAGCTTGGCCAAAGGCTCCTAGTTTCTTTATAGAGATTTATATTACTGTCAATATATTCTAAGTTATTATAAGTAGTATTAACAGGTGATCTTATTAATGACTCAAAATCTGTATTCACTTTACTTAAATTTCTAGCCTTTGTTATTTCTTTATCACAAATTATACCACTAAACAGAGTAAAGAAACCTTGAGTAAATTTTTGCACAAATGACATTAAACCCAAAGATTTTGGTGACAAACCAATTGATACTTCAAAGAACTTGTAACTTGTTGGTATTATTTGATCAATACAGCCATGAATTGAAGAATAAATATATAATTCATAAATATTACTAGCATATATGTTTCTATCTGAATTCTTATTTATATTTGGTGAAGAATCTCCCTTTGATATACAAGGAGAAAGTACACGTCTTTTAGAACCTGGATCTGTTGGTGGAGTAGAAGGTATAGTTTCTATTGATGATATCATTAATATTATCTTGTTAAAAAGAAAAAGAAAGTTATATTACTTAAAAGGATAATATTTTATTAATATATATATATATATAACCTCAGACCTGAAATTATTATTACAACCTTAAATCCCTTTGTAGTGAAATATATATATTTCCGGTTTCAATATAATTATATTTCAAAAATGGACACGTACTTTAAAGATTTCTAAGAGTTCCCTTCTCCCTAATAATTTATAAATATCAACACATTCTAAATACCGCCTTATTACTAAGCACACAGTTAATATCTATCTATTGGTACAATATTATGAAAGGTTACAGCATGAGATATTTAAATGCTGGTTAAGTTGCTGAGTATAGGATCTTCAGCTGAAAAAAGAAGAAAATATTTATGCCTCAATTTTTACCTGATTAAGATATTTTATGCAGTCATTTATGAGTTAAGATTTCAATTTGTAATCACTAATTTAAAGACAATTAGGCAACTTTTATAAATTAATTTGAAAAAGAAATATAGACATAATTATGTTTATTTATATAAAATTATTAGTAACCACTTAGATCATATTTATTATAAACTGTGAAGTGTTTACAGATACTCTGTTCATGTAGTTAATTTAACGAGTCAAATATTTGCAGAGTTACTTAAGTACTTTATATTAAATTTACATGAACTGTCATTTCAATCAAAACTAATAGTTAAGTCTGTTTTATCTTCTGACTGTTTATAATTTATTTTTTATTCTATATAATTTTAAAGCTTCTTATATAGTATCCACTAGATTCAGATTGTATACCATTTCTGTTAGATTTCTCAAAATGACTTTGTTCTGGCCCAACTTCAATCTCAATCTCACCACCAGATCCACTACTCAATTTAGATGAATGAATAGCAGCTCTACAAATAGAACTCATTGGTGAATATATATCCATACCATATACTTTAGCATCAGTTTCAAGTGCACAGTCACTAGGGCACAGAACCAACTCTCTTTCCCCAACAGATAATTGGAATATAAAACTTGCATTTTGATAGCAATTTAAGAGTCGTGGTCTGGAGGCAACAGCAGTAATAAATGAACGTGTATGAGAATTAGTATCATCTTTGCTTACAATTCCATTTTTACCAGCCGCACCTATATAATGATGAAGTCCAGGATATAGAGCAACAACAAAATCCCCTCCCGTATTTGTTATAATACCCATTTGCATAGCTGCCTTACATATTGAACTATCTGGAGTATATACTTTAAAACCCTTTACAGGAGTACGTGATTCAAAACATCCAGATGGACACCATACTCTATGTTTACTTGCACTTTTTTTAAATGGAGCCTTATCTAAGGTTGTATCACATGTTAGTTTTATTGAAGGATTTGTTGCATAACTAATACTGCCCACCTTATGTGCAATTGGGTGACCGGATTGGCAGGGTGTTATACATTGCCTGCCATCTACTGTATGCCTTTTATCTCTTAACTCACCACCACCCAAGTTTCCTTTTTGATGCCAAGACTTCTCCATTGCTGCTTTTATCTCTCCAGATGACAAATATTTATCCCAAATATTTAGATTTGCAATTTGTCCTAGGAAATATTCACTATCTGAATCCGAACTGCGTCCAATTATCAACTTCGTTTTCAAATTAAATACGTAGTCGGTTTTTTTATTTGCAACCTCATTACCATTTATGTACATTGTGACTTTCCTATCATTAAAATTATAAGCAACAGCTAAAAAGATCCATTCATTTATTGTCGGGACATATTTAGAAGATACAGTATCAGCATTACATAATTGATCAAAATGTATCGTATTATCACGATCAACATATAGAGATATACCCAAACATTCTGTATGAGCTAAAATTGTTCTCCAAGTACCTTGACCACCACTTATAAGTATTCTAGCTGTTATTGTGAAATCATCTAATGCTTCAATTCTATCCCCACCTGGTAAATTTGTTGCATCAATGTAGTCATTGACACCCCCTCTAAATCCAGGATAATCAGTTGGACAAACCCACGATAATACAGGTGGTCCCAGTATAGGTAGCTCTTCTTGCTCTATTTCATTTGGTAAAGTTAGACTATCTGCCTCATTTAAAGATGATGTCACCTTTGAAATTGTTATTGCACGATGTACTCCCACTTCTGATCCTCTTATTTTAGATTTACCACTAACCCCCTCAAAATTATAGCTATTGATTCCATTTCTATTTAATCCAAAGTATTCTGCTTGTCCCTGAACAAACATAACTAATACATCTCCACCTTTATTGTCATCAATTATACCAGCATGTATTGCAGCCTTACATACAGGGCTATCATCAGTGTATATGAATGTTCCTTTAATATGAGATGCTGCACTTGAGCACTTTACAGGACAAGTAACTACTACACCATCTCCTACTGCCCCTGAAAACCCTGCAACATTATCATTACAAGCAAATTCATATTTTTTGTATGGTATTAATGACATAATTGATGGTGGTTTTTCCATTAAATATGAGCCATTTCCTGTGGGATCTCCATTACCAGCACAACTAACAACAACATCCTCTTCATGAACACAATATATATTTGATGAAGAATAATGCTGACACTCAATTAGTTTCTGTTCATTCCCTTGACATGAAACATCCACCGCTAGTATAGGTTCATCTGGTTTACCACACACATTAACTCCTTCAAACTCTGTACAACTTTTTCTATATGCACCACCATCTTTTATTCCAGAGTATCCCATTTGTGCACAAGCTACCTTTTCTGAACTAGGTGTAAATCCATCACTACATATAGATCCCCATCCATCCATGTATATCTCTAATCTCCCAGATCCACTTCTAGAAGGTGAACCATTAGCATCAACAATCCTTAGTGCCCCTTGTATAACATCTTTAGGTGTAATTGAACTACATTGAACAGCAACAGTAGATAGTGGGTTAACTGATTTAGGCTCTTCAAATATGCACTGAGCAATATCTGTTTCATGTCCATTACACTGTAAACCTGCTACAGACATGGGATAGCCTGGGGGAATACATACATTACCACCATTTACATAACTACATGATGGTAGTACAATACCATGACTATAACCTAACTGTTTGCATGCCAATGTTGCAGCATACTCATTTGTTACTGTTACCTCACCATTAAGTGCAACACCACCCCAAATTCCAGATCTATGTACTTCTAAGCGACCAACTGAAGCTAAATTCCCAGTTGAGTCAACTATCCTTACTTCAGATTCAATGAAGTCAATGGAATTACTCATATAAGTATAGAAACCAAATGTGTCACTACCTGGGGTGGGAAAGAAGTCTTGTGATTCCAATAAGTGAGAGCCTTTACCACCAAAATACTTAGGCATACTGGGGATAACCGTGAGTACTAGTTCTCCACCAGAAGGACTAAGTATATTATCAAAAACTGCTGATTTACATATTGAAGTAGATCCTGGATGAATCCCGGTACCAGCTATTACTGAAAATCGCTCTGCACCGCAGTTTATTGGGCACTTTACCTTGAATGATAATACTGAAGAAGGTGCTTTTGAAAGAATATCCATTGCTCTTGTTTGACAGTCTATGTCCTGAGCAGGTGCATTTACTGAAGCCATTATATTACTCGATAAAGTTACTGTTTGAGAAAATGGTTTCCCAATCCATCTACGAATAGTAAAGTCAGAGCTTGTACCATCTTCAGACTGTATCCTTACAAATTCACAATACCATGGATCATCTTGTGCTGTATTTGTCAATGAAATTTCTCTAACATTCCCAACATCTGCAGCTCTAAAAATAATTCGACGCACAGTTGACGAATAAAAGCCCTGTTTCAGTAAAATTTTATCACTGTGAGCTGACTCACCAACGAGGCTTATCTCAACACCACCTTTAGTACCAGCTTCTCCACTTTTCCCAGTCATAACAGTTGCTATGTATAATTTATTTCCACTTACACCATATGTAAGAGAACGGTGTTTAGGAGATAGTTCACCATTGCATGAGAATACCCAATAGCGATAATCTTTAAAGATAGTTATTTTTAAGCACTTCCACTTACCATCACTTTTCAAGAATATTCCAACTTGTTGAGGCGCACCAATATCATATAAGTGGGCTGTTAGTGACCTTGAAGTTCCTGTTTCAGGAGAAGAAATTTTAACTGGAGCTGTTTGAGATTCATCTCCTCCATATAGCACAATTTCAACTTCACTTCGTAAATCAATTCCAGGACCTATAACTGGGACTACTTCAATTAGATAATCAGCTTCATTGCTTGGAGGCATACATTCACCAAAATCTGCAAACCCGTCGAGTGGAGCTGCTCTACAGAACTCCTTCGTTTCATGATTTGGTGCTAGTTCATTGGATTTTGATGAACTGCTTATACATCTTACTTTTGATGAAAATATAAACGATAATGCAAGTAGTGATATAGCAAATCTAATCTTAAATTTCCATTTCATAATTAATTATATAATTCTGTTTCTTATAAATTATACTGACCACCCTAATTAATGTAGACTATGCCTCATGAGCTCTAGACCTTCATTATCCATATACCCTAATGCTGTTTCTGCAGTGCCGTCACATGCATGCATATATACTTTCACCGGTAAAGTAAGAGTGAGTTGCATGTGGAAATTCCGCATGCAATATAATAATGTAACTTTACAGCTAAATGTACATCCAAATTAAGATTGGTTCTTGTGTAATAGTTACTCAAATAACTTTTCAATTTATAGAGAGGAACTTCAGCATTAGGATATTGAGATAAAAGTCTGAATATAAAAATATTATGAATACTTATTGCTCAACTTTAACAAAAACTTATTAAGTTATTTTCTGGACCTCTTCTTAGCTAATTTGGAAACATGCAATAAATAGGAAATTGGTACTGCTGAGTCTCAGGCGCCATTTATCAACATTTTGGAAATTATGCAGACATGTTTAGCAGAGCTAAATGGTTAAATAAAAGGCTTAAGGTAAAGTAACAGTCATCTAGATTTAGGTGCTGACTACCTAAATAGCTATATTATTTCATATGTCTGTATCTACTAATCCAAAACCACCATATGATGCTTTTCGAGATGACTATTCATTATCTGAGGGCTTATCTTTTGACTCCTTCATAGTCACGAATGATTCGAAATCCAGACGTAAGCCTGAGCCATTCACTAGGATCAGTGACTTAACTCCAATTCAAATTCTTTTAAGGTCTTTTTTACAGTGTTGTATTCCAAGGACAAGATCTCTAAAGAAAATTCAAATTAATGCATCATCTTATTCAGTAACAACTCGAACAAGTGTCGCAATTACTGGAGCTCCCAAGTACTTTGAAAGAGAAGATAAGTACAAATTGGAAGAATCCGAATCAGAATCAGATTTAGATTCTGATCCAAATATTTTGTGGTATATTAATCTACCATATGAGTATGAAATACCCATACTAACTGAATCACAGCGCCTTTTTGCAATACTATTATGGGGAATTCGAATGGAGTTTGGCTCATCTATTACAGAAAGACATATTAGGAAGATAATTGATATTGCTAAGAAACAAAAAGAAGATGTTGATACTTTAAAGGAATATAGAAGAAATCCTGAATTGCAGCTAATGAAATTGTGCAGAAATGGAGTATCAACTACCGCTGATGAATCAATTAATGAAATAATGAACTATTATACAAAGAATAAGTCAATTTTAGGAATTATATGTAAGGCTAGATGCTTTGGATTTTATTGCTATGCTCAAAATAGTGATATATATAAAGATATCACTTTATTTGACTCATCTTCTAAATATGAGTCCGGTCCCAAATTATTAGGGCTTTCTAATATTGACCAAGTAAAGTCATATATTTTGAGTGAATATTCAAATGACAAAGAATCAAGACTGCAAGTTAACAAGAAATTCAGATTTTTTGCCTTCCAGAGTCGTGTCCAGTGGCAGGAGAGTGGAACTTTACCAAGTCCTACACTAAAGAAGAATATACAAGAAGAAAATGATATAATGATACATCTGGGAAGATTAAATGACCCAAAATATGACGGTAAGCTCATATATGGAGAATTAATTAAAGCTACTACAATACCTAGAGATAAAGAATATTATTATACTTATCAGAATAATACAATGTATGTTGACAAAACTTTGCCTCAAGAATGAGACTTTATTAAAATAGCTATCCAAGAATTACTAGTACATCCACCATATATATCTGAAACGTTCAAATTTATCTCAGTAATATAACCACTTATGTTACTATATACTGTGTGCTCACAGTTGTCAGATGTTGATACGGTACATAGAACAGTATTGGGATCTACTTTAATAGGGAATTCTAATATCCCATTTTCCTTAACTTTTGATAATATTACTTCACTATACTTTACTCTTCCTAGTTTATTATGGTTAATTTCTCTTGAGTAAATGGACAATCCTATAATTGATACTCTAAAGTTGAGAAGTAATATTAGAATATTTATTATCAATAATCAAGCCAAATCTGAAACTATACTGACTACTTACCCATTTATATGAGTCATTATAATAGTATTTTTATATTTTCTGCTCTTATAGAAATTCTAAGTACAAATTAAAGCTATATTAAGCCAAATTTCAAAGTTCGCAGTATATTTAATATTTAGCTCCCACCTCTCTTAAATAATTCAAATTACCCACCATAGTAATATAAAGTGGCTAAGATAACAAAAATGATCTTCAAATATTGTCAACATTTAAGTTATAAACTTATATATATTAAGGTGTGACTTTGGAATATTCAAAGCGCTTTACAATATAGCGCTACAGTATTCTGATAATCAGAAAGTTGTGATTTTTCGAGGATACAAGCTAATTATTCATCATTTTCAAAGTCATGGAACATTCAAATGTCATTTCGCTTGATGATTCAGCTAACATAGAAAGTGTAAAGGTTAAATTTGAGGGTCTCAAGCATGTTAGTAAGTTTGTTCTTAGGGGATTAAGTCTTCAATACAAAAGTGTTGATTTTTAAATCTCTTTACTAATTTATCCATAGATTCTTCACATCTTAACTTTTATAATAAAAAATTTGATAATATTAAGGATATGGGGAGTCTACTCCAGGCTGTAAAAGGTGTTCATGAAGGTTTAATTTCAACTGGTATATTTTCGGATGTGATCCCATATATAACAACAGATCCAGAGGTTAAATCAAAAGTCGATGTGAAATTTCATTGTGTAGAAAATAAATTTCATTATACGATAGGGAGCTCTGTAAATAAAAAGGGTAGAATAGGAGTTGAGGCTTCTGCATATATTCCAGGAATATTTGGTAGTTTAAGTACTGCAAAATTAAATTTCGAAGCTTCAGGACAACAATCTGGGGAATGTGGTGCTAGCATATTTACTCCTAATATATTTGGATCAAATTTCAATATGCTATATAATATATATAAAACAATGATTGATCATAGACAAACCTCTTCGTATACTGAGAAATCTTTTGGAGGTATACTCAGAATATCAGACATGTTTGGACGGAATAGTATATGCTTTGAATCAAGAGCTAGAGATACAGTTACAACGAAATCTCCTAGTAACAATGAAGATAATCTTAGCTCATTTGCATCTATATTGAAGATACCAAATCAATCTATCAAAAACAGCATAGGGTATTCATGGAATAGAATTAAACAACATAACCTATCAACAGATCAAGATAATTTGGTCATTGAAAAATCTATAGAACCATTGGAATATATAGAAGACCAACAGGAACCCATCCCCAGTATGACAATAACACAACTTAGTTCAGAATATGCAGGATTAAATGGAGATGTAACATTTCTAAAACTCCAAGGATTCCATAAATGGAGAGGTTCATTTGCAAAATATATAGATGCTAAATTCGTGAGAAATTTAAATTTTGAATTTAATATGGCATTTGGAATTTTATTACCAAATATTTTTAGTTCAGACTATCCTCTAGTTTCAACAATTCATGATCGTTTCTTTGTAGGTGGAAATTTTGGTTATCACAACTGTTTAAGAGGTTTTGCAGCTCGTGGTATAGGTCCATGTGAGCTACGATATGGTAGTAATCAAGAACAAATAGATACATCAAAACCTATCTATGATTATTTGGGAGGAGAAGGTTTTAGTTTAGCAGAATTTCAAATATCATACCCTTTAAAGTTGGACTTTCTAAAGTTTGGAATGAGACCCCATTTAACAGGTTTCATAAGTGCAGCTTCTATTATAGAGAAAACGAAAGACTTTATCAAACCTAAATGTGATGTAGATAGGTGTACAATTTTATTACAAGGTTTGAGAGCTTCCACAGGGATTGGTCTCATGTTCCCAATAAATTCTGCAAATTTATCTGTTACATTATCGACGCCTTTGAAATATTGTCATACAGATTTACTTGAAAATGTACAATTAGGTATTAGGTTGGCTTATTCACCAATTTAGTTCCTAAATACTACAAAGTAACTAGGTCAAATCAATTTGATTATTTTCTATTTGTTGCTTTATACTAATATTTGATCTTGCAAGGTTTTTTTTGATTATAGTCAAAAAATGAACCCTCCAATCATCTATAGGATAAATATTGTTGTATTCTTCTAATATCTTGGAGAAATCATTTAATATCTTCTCATTAGTATCTTCATCTTCACTCATAGATGTATTTTGTTTCCTTTTAATCAACTTCAGTATTGCTTCTAAAAATTGACCTTGAGGTGTTACACAGAAGGACGGGTCTACACCACAATACTTGTCCCACTTTATCTCTGCATCTACTAAGTCATTCATTGACAGAACAATTAGAAATGCCTTAAACAAATATTCCTTGCTATTATATTTTATCAAAGAGTTCTGTAGAGCCTTCTTAGCTTCCGATTCATAGATAGTTATGGCTTCATAAATATATTTCATAGAATCCCCATTTTCAGATACTTCCCTCATAGATCCACTACATGAATTATCATAGCTTAAGCTGACAAGATCTGCATACTTCAATATACATGCAGAGTATGCAGACTTACTATATTCATCCATATCATACATCTCAGCAGCCTTCTTATAATACTCTAAACTTTCTTTATATATAAAGTCCATCTCAAAAGCTTCAGCTATTACTTTATATAATTTTCCGCTTTGACTAAATCTACCACTCTTATTATACAAATCTATAGCCTTAGTATAATATTCAATACTATTTCCAATGTTTTCTTTCTTAGTTATGTTGCCACACTCCATATAATAGTTTGCAGCAGATCCCGTATCTCCTTGCTTAATGGACAGATCTCCTGCTTTATTGAAACATTCTACCCCTTTTGACCACATCTTAAGTATCTTAAATTGATTTGCAGCTTGTACATATAGTTGTATAGCTTCATCATAATCAGGGCCTCCAGATATAAAAGACCAAAAGCCCGAAGATCCTTTACAAACTTTCTCTGCCCTTTTATATAAATCTAGAGCTTCAGATGCCATTTTAAGTCATATCAAGTAATTTTAGAATATCTTTTAAACCGTAATAAATCTATTTGTAAAATTTAGGTCAGAATCAAGTACAAATGTATTATAAGCTAGAGCCTTCTCCTTTTAGCAAAATCCTTTCTGAAAGTTAATAGTATTTGGCGCGATTTTACAAGTAGTGGAAGTATACTAACTTAATTCTATTTAAAAAAATACTGCTGTAGATTCTATATGTAAAGAATTAGGTTATTATCGATAAGATGCAAGCTTTTTTTTTGAGAGAGTGCTGTACTGAACCAATAAGTAGTATTGACTGTTCTGAAAGCTCTACAGAAGATATACACAAATTATTAATATCATTAACATCATGGGATAAGACATTCCGAATATTTGATACAAATTTATATAATAACTCTTCATATTCTAAGGATGAAGTTACTAGAACACCAGCGCATCATAATTATACAGTAAACCCTTCATCAACTGAATATATTCAATGCAAACCTACTGGTAAATGTTTAGCTCAGTATTGCAGTGAAAATGTATATTTGGACTGTCGTTTTTATAATTCATCTAAATTATTTGCTGGAAGTCTTGGAAATACATTAGAATGTATTTCAATTGACCAAGCAACAATAAACTGTAATATAATAGATAAGCATCAAGCTCCTATTAGGTGTATCTCTATATTGAAAAATAAGTCAATTATTGTTAGTGGAAGTTGGGATGGATCAATTCATTTTAATGATATTCGTCAACAAGATAGTATTGAGTCTATCTGTAAACACCAAGTAGCAGGAAAAGTTTTCTGTATGGATCATTCTCATGATGAAGAGTGGATATTAATTGGAGATTCTTTTAAAAATCTAAATATATTAAATATTAAAAAGTTATCAAGTAATTTAGCAAATAAGAGTGCTATATTAACTATTCCAAATTATATGAAGTACCAAATGAGACAAGTTAAAGCTTCAAAGTATAATGAATATTTTGCAACAAGCTCTATAGAAGGACGGGTTCAAATTAATACACTTAATAATGTAATTAGTCAAGAACCGAATAGTGAGTATTCTTATACATTTAAATGTCATAGATTTAAGGATATGAATACAATGAACGAAATTATTTATCCAATTAATAGTTTATGTTATCATACTAAATATACAGATATCTTGGCTACTGGAGGTAGTGACGGAAATGTATTCATATGGGATACTATTGCAAAAAAAAGACTCTGGAAGAGTCCAACAATTGATATTATTGAAAATGAATCATCTATAATTAATAATTATAGAGAAAGCATAGCTCATATGAGTTTTGATACAATAGGGGAATTCCTTATTGTTGCAGCTAGTGACACTTTTGATCAAGGTACAAAGGTACAAGATATAAAAGATTTAACCCCAACAAAATCTCAAGTATTGTTCTATTCAGTAAATAATGTGAAACCATTCAAACAAACAAATATATAAACAAAATATTAAGAGATTAGTAACTATAAACTATGAAGCTGCATATCAAGTAATATAGCAAAATGATTATTTACAACTTTGCCGGTAATAATCCCATAAAGACTTGTATCATATAATAGAGTAGGTAATCTACTTATCAAGTTCTTAGTGTTTAATTCATTAGTTCCAGTTTATAATTACTTTAACCTGACTTGAACAATAAAACTGCCACTTGACCCATATAAAAGTAGATAAAGTGTCTTGTTTCGTGAGTTACATAGGATCCGAAATTGCGTCCAACTACACAGTGCCAAGTAGGGTTATATTTCCTATCAAACTCCTTCTTAATATAGGCAGCAATATCCTTTTCAACATTATGTCTTTCTAATGCAGCTGCAGCACATGATATAGCATCTTGTTGCATATCATCAGACATATCTGCATTTTTTATTACTGCTTTTTTATCACTCATCTCTCTTTAGAATATAGGAAGGAAAAAAAAAAAAAAAAAAGAAGTGATGAACCCTACGAGTGTCAAGCCCAAGTTTTTACCTTTTCTCTAGAAGCTGGAAAAGATCTATTCTACATACGTACAGTGGGGAAATAATTGGCGGCTATTATGAAAATTTATACCGCAAAAATTTGGTATAAACTGCAAGAGTAAAAATAAAAGTATTAGTCATTTTAAGAGAAATACCTGAAATATTTTTATATTGAATAATTTAAACTTTTTTGTTATGATTTTTGAACTAGCTCTTCAGTTATTATAAAGTATTTATTTTCTTATAAAAGTATAGTTATATACAGTCTTCTTATTTATTTACTTTGCATTTAAACATATTTTGTTTATATGAGACAATTTTTATATCATAATTTGCGTAATAAAGTCACTAATTAATTTAATTTTTTTCATTTTATAAAAATAATAAAAGATATATGCAATAATGTTCTTGAGGTATTGTTACCCGCTCATTTTTTGTCTCATTTGTAGTATTTTAAAATAAATAGGAAATGACTATACATACTGTAACAAGTACATCAAGTTATTTTCACATTGGCATAAAATATCCCCAATGTGGTATTGTAGCTATTGAAATTCCAGGTCAAATTAATAATCCTGAGAATGCTATTAAGGCACTTGGTGGATTAGATGACATTAAACAAAGTATTAAAGATAAGGTACCAATTAAACTTACATTTTGTGATGAAGACCCATTTAGTCGTACAATAAATTCCAGTATAATTTATAGAACAGGTTTGTTATATAGGAAACTGAGGTATAAAAATGGAAGAGTAGAAATAATACCCTATGGATTAGTTAAAGTCCTGCATAGATATAATCAAATGGCTGACTATTACTTCATACCCCCAGAAGGTTATCGTATAAAGAGAACTATTCAGGATGAAATTGATGAAAATAGAACAGATGCTGTATTTATTCCACCAGCAATTTTTTCCAAGGTAGTAACTCCTGTATCAATTCGTTGGATGAATCCCAATTTACAGAATGAAGATGAAGAAGTTCAAGAAGATTATACATCTCCGCAAAATAATTATGAAGCAAGTACTGATATTGATACATTAAAAAGATCTGAGGGTTATCAATATTGGAATGTTGTAAGCCGCTACTCAGATGAAGTTGTACCATCAACTCCACTAAAGATATCTTCAAGCATAAAAATTGATCAAGATACTCTTAAAAAATTAAAATATTTATTTGATAAACAACCATTATGGTTACGCCCAGTAATTGAATCAGAATTACCAACAAATATATCGGCATGGAAGCGAAAATTATTATATACACAGGTATGCTACAATATTAGTGATGGCCCATGGAGAGCTTGTTTGTGTCGTTTAGGATATGATCCTAGAAAAGACAACTCCTCAAGAATGTATCAAACCGTAGATTTCAGAGATCCATATTTACGTGGACTAATGAAAGAAAAAAGAGTAGGTAAGAGTATGAAAAATGATGAAGAGGAATCAGAAGAAACAGTTATGGATTGGCAATTCAAGATACCTCCAACTAGAGCATCTCAACTATACCAATTATGTAATATTGCAGATGATCACATACAGGAAATGTTAAATAAGGCTATTCCATTGAAAGAATGTACTAGAGAATCTGGATGGTTCCAAAAATCTACTATAGAACAAGTTAGACAATTGTTATCATTGAAATGTAAGCAAATGAGACAGGTGTTTAAAGAATAGAATTACTGAGACATTTCGAAACGAATGAAACTAATTGAACTAGATTAAATTAATAACAAAAATTTCTTTGGACCCCTCGTCAACAATTAATAATTTCCAATATTCTCTGTACTTTGTGATTTGTTATGCTGTCTTCTACTAGCAAATTCTACTCCTCCAAAACTAGAAAATTCAGATCTTTTTAAATTCACATTCATTTGAAGCTCAGAACTGTTTTTTGAAAGAGGAGTATTACAACTTCCACTAACTACTACAGGTTTTGTTTGTATTGTACATTGGGATTGGGATTGGGATTGGGATTGGGGTTGAGATTGAGATTGAGATTGAGATTGGGGTTGAGATTGAGATTGAGATTGGGGTTGAGATTGAGATTGAGATTGAGATTGAGATTGAGATTGAGATTGAGATTGAGATTGAGATTGAGATTGAGATTGAGATTGAGATTGAGATTGGGGTTGAGATGGAAATTGAAGTGCATAAGGAGATACATTTGAGTCTTGTATTTCATCATTGGGTACCATTATATGATTTGTAGGGGTCTCATTTACTGTAGAATGTTCATAATGAGTAAAAATATATGAATAGTAACTTCCCAATGCATATGTATATTTATTGAGTATATTTATTGCTGTATCATGCTTCTTAGTAAGAAATAATTGAAGCTCTTGCTGTACATCATCATCTATTCTTGTAAATTCATCCAAAGCATCTCCACATTTCCTTTGAGTACGATCTAACTTTGCATTGTCAGTAGGAGTTGCACTCTTATTTTTATAAATTTTCTTCTGTCTTTTTCGAAGTTTTCTCTCATAATGTAATCTCTCTGAGTAGGCTACTCTTCTTAAATTCAGTCTTTTCTGGATATTGTTTACACCAGATACTACCTCTTGAATCATTGATTTAATCTGCTCACAGTCACTAACAAGATTTTCTCGAGCTGTAGGAATGCCTCCTAAGCAATCAATACTATTAACTAAACTACCATGTTCTATCGCTTCAGAAGGGAATAATACATCAATACTTTTTAGGGTTATGTCTCTGGAAGCACTCATATACTGTGCACCACTCAAACTCTTATCAACAGAAATCTGAATCTTTTTTGTAAACTTTAATATTTGGTCCAACTCTCCTATTAAGGGATCCAGTGGATCATTTTCAATTTTTTTTGGGGGAAGTAACTAAAAACATGAAAGGTGACCTAAAATAAATCTCTAAATATTCTTCAGTAAAACCAACCTTTCTAAGAAACTTCATTTCTATAAAAGAATTAATGAAATCCTTATAATAAATTTCTTACAATTTCTAAATAACTTGAAAAGGGGAAAAAAAAGATACTAAGAAAATACTAAGAAGTACCCTTATGATAATATAACTAAGTTATTGCGCCAATATACTTTATTAAAGTGTGGCAAAAAATAATATAAGGAAACTATACATTTAGAAAAAATTAAGCTGATCCTGCTAATAGATTCTATTATTTGTAGATGAGGAAATATAAGAATTCGGAGTTACAACTCCAGATTGTGTTGTTACTGTAGCTTTTGTATCTTGCCTACTATATAGTCTATTTTGTAAATCTGGTGAGTTAATATTTGAGCAAGTTGATACGAGTGTATTAAAAACATGTGTCAAATGATCAACAGCTCTATCTATACTATCACCTGCTTTACAGACAAGATCTGGGAGTGATCTTACATAATTTGGAATAGTACCAACCTCTAATATCTGACAAAACTCATCTGCAAAATTTAGACAATTTCTTCGGAAAATATTATATTCTGACCCAGGCCATTTATATTTCAATCTTGTGATTAGTAATTTTACTTCATTTCTAGTGTACTTTGTTCTACCCATTGTTATACTTTCTCTGTATATATGAGTAGGATGTTGTCGGGGCATATTTACTGTTAATCCACTACTCCCATCTGTTGTCAAACCATAACAGTATTCTATTCCATATACTTCAACTCCTGCATGAAAAGCACCAAGTTCAAATATTCTTGTTAAGCGATTAAAACTACCGCTAATACTATCTAAATCATAAACATTCAAAATTACTGTATTATTAGATATTTCATTTTCATTAGACTCATCTAGAACTTTAGAAAGTTGATAGTTCCTTCTAGCATCTTGAACATTATCTGAACAATTTTGTATATAGGAAATCCTATCTATATTATTTCTGGTATTTGATAATATTTGTAGCCTTGCATCCTTAATTTTAGATATCATCTTTAGTTATATTAAATCGTATCAGAGGGTTATATATCATCTATTCCCTCTTTAATAATAATATACCCTTCAACTATTAATATTCCAATTCATAGCAATACAATATTCAATTCTTAAATCTAGATAAAAGGTTTCTCCAATTTGGAATTAGCTGCATGAGGAAAGTAACCCACTTGGCGCTAATATTTTATTACATATATTGGCGCTCTTATTTATAGGTAAATTTACCTTGTACAGAAACTGCGATTATGATGCTTCAAAAATGAGATATCTATTGACTATATGTATATAAAGGAAGATGCTTCACAAGTTAAAGAAGGATGATCAAGAGAAGTTATCTAGTCAACAAGTAATTACTGAACTTAAAGATTGTATTAAAGAATTGATTGAGAATTCACTGGATGCAGAAAGTTCAAATATTATTATAAATTTGGGTGATAATGGATCATCATATATTGAAGTTATAGATAATGGTAGTGGGATTATAGATTTAGATAAAATAGGAGGGCGTGGTAATACATCAAAACTAGAAAATTTTGAGTCTTTAAATGAATCTTTAAATACTCTAGGATTTAGAGGCGAAGGACTTAATTCTATAATAAATTCTTGTAAATCTGTAGTGATTGAGACATGTATAAAAGAAGATAAAGGAATTACAAGGAGTATTTATTTTGATAAGGCAAACATTAGTGAGAATAGAAACACTATAAATAATCATTCATGGATAATTGGAGAAAGTGGGACAAAAGTTTTAGTTACAGGTTTTTTTTATCTCTACATAGCTCGTAGAAAACTATTTTTACAACAAAATAAATTACAGCTAAAGAATTTAATTACTCTTATTGAAGAATATGCTATTTGTTATCCTAAAGTAAGATTTCTTCTTACCAATACAATGTTGACAAATGAACAACGAACTAAAATGGGACTTGTAAATGATTATAATTATAGTAAATATATTGAAGGTAATTTGGCTAATAATAAAAATAATAGTACTGCAACCTTAATTATGACATCTGGTTCTCATACAACAACAGAATTAAAAGTAGCTAAATATTTATGGGGGGACTCTTTGTTAGAAGATGCTATAGAAATTGATATTCATGGTGAATTATCTATTCCTAAATATAGATATAATAAGAATGTGGATAACTATAATAATAGCCCTGATATAATTGGTGGGAATTGGAGTATAACAGGCTTTATATCTTCTATAGATAAAGGTCGTCCTTCTTCAGATTATCAAATATATATTGTTAATAATCGCCCAGTTAGTACTCTACGTACATTTTCTCGAGCTATTACTTCTATTCATAGAACTCTTTCATCATATATTAATAAGAAATGGTACCCTGTTTTTGTTTTAAAAATATCACTTCCTTCTTGTTTACTTGATATTAATGTAACTCCTGATAAACGGATAATATTACTTCCAAATAATGTTGAAATACTATTAATAGATAAATTGCAATCTTTTTTAGTGGACAAACTTCAAAATACAATTCCAATGAAGAAATCTAACATTAAGGTATCTAGGAAAAATAACACTAGTCAAGAGAATGGAAAAGAGCCAATAAATATACAAAACTGTAGAGATAATGAAGGGAAATCATCTTGTATTACTACATGTGAATTAAAAAATAAGGATAATAATATAAATAGTGATATTGATTATAAAGATTCTCCAAATAATGAGACTACTGATAAAAATATCAAAGATAATGTAAATTTAAGTCAAAGTTATATGTCTCAAGGTCTAAAAAAGAGAAGACAATTATTTGAAGTACAAGATGAAAAATTAAGTGAAGATCAACACTATAATAATACAAAAAAGTCTATTATATATGAATGGAGTTCTTATGATACTCATGAAATTATTACTAATAATAAAACTTTCCAGATTAAAAAAAATAGTTATTTACCTCAAAGTACAATTATTGAATACAATTATAACTGGTCTATAATCCGTAATAGATGGCAATCTATATACTTGAATGATGAAAAAAGTGCAGATGAAAATATAACTAAACATACATCATATACTCCAAATATTAATTTAAAAAATTGTATAAATATATCTGAAAAAAATTTTTTAGATGAACATAATAATGAATGTGTTGAATTATCTCCAGAAGTAATTGATTATTCAGAGTCTCAAATTCAAAATATGAATTATATTACAAATAATAAGACTCACAAAGGTAATTCATGTAATAAATCAATAAATAAGACATTAAATAAATGTTTTCAGTTTCAAAAACATTTATTTAATGATTTGAAAATTGTTGGACAATTTAATAAAGGTTTTATACTTGCAACTCTTTTTCAACCTGAAGTATCCTCATTTCATTTATTTATCATTGATCAACATGCAGCAGATGAGAAGACTAAATTTGAGAAGTATAATAATGACTTAAGAAATATACAAACTCAAAAACTTTTAAGTCCTCTTCCAATGACTCTAACACCTGCTCAAGAACAGACTGCCCTTACATATAAAGATATTTTTGAATCAAATGGATTCAAGTATGTCTTTAATACAAATTCTACTATTGGAAAGCGTATACAATTAACTCAAATCCCTATTATAATGGGGTCACCTTTACAACAATTTGACTTTTTAGATCTGCTAACTCAAATTACTAAATATAAGTTACAAGTTAATTTTACTTCCCATGATAGTATAAATATAGGTTTAGTCAATGTCAGTAAACAAATTAAAAATTCTTGTACTGACACTAATATTACTAGTAGTCAAGGTATAAAAAATCTAGAAGATACAGAAAGTGATGATGAAGAAGATGTAGTAATTGTTATCAATCAAGGAGCTAATACTAAATCTACATTATGGTGCCCAACTAATCGTCTTCCTAGACCACAAAGATTATGGTCAATCTTAGCATCCAAGTAAGTTTATTGAAATGCTCAATAAATCTCCACTTTTTATTCCTTTAATGTTTGTTTCTAGAGCATGTCGTAGAGCAGTTATGGTTGGTGATGATCTAAATCTCACTCAAATGTCTAAAATTATATATAATATGTCAACCTTAAAGTCTCCATGGAACTGCCCACACGGCAGACCTTCTATTAGACATTTAGGAAATCTAACAGATATATAACGTTTATAATATAAAATTAATTTATTCTTAAGATAAGGAATTATATCACGAGTTAGATAAATTATTTTATTATTTAGTCACTCTAGGCAATATTCCCGCTGAAGGGGATATTAGAAAAAAAGTTACCCGGTACCGGTTTAAAAAATTTTAAATTACTTTTGTCTAATTGAGACTTGGCGTAGGAGGAATTTGTACAGTCAAATAATTTCAATAGAATAATACTTGAATTTATTAAATAGATATTGTAGAATTTTCTGGAATGGAAAATTAGGCACTATAGGCTAAGGATAAATAACAGCAGCTTGATACTAATATATATTTATACAGAGTGCTATAAGTATATAGTTTAGTCTATCAGTGTTGTTCCTTATGCAAAGAATTTCTCAACGAAATTATTATAGGTAAGTATAAGTATTTATCTCACCTTTTTTTTGTTTAATATCTAGGGGTACTTTTTGAGGGAATTATTAAGGGATAAAACATAAATATACACTTTAAGAGGATGGATATTGTAAAATTTTCAAAGGGAGTACAAATTCAGGCTAGAAATAATAGAGGAACAAGATACTTAAATTACAAATTATTGATAAGGAAGATTAGGTGGGTTGCTGAACAAGAGGAGAAAGAGAATTGGTCTGAAGCTCAAAGATATGATTTGATATTTAAGGATATACTCTTTAGAGATATGAATCGAATGGATACAATGTACTCTAGAGATATTACATATATACGTGATATTATGTGTATTCTAACACGTAGTTTATGGAGTCTATCTTGTTCCAATTCAGAAAAAAATGGACTGAATATGAGTGAATTTAATGAAGTTACTCAGCTACCTGTAGTATTTTTGTCAAATTTATTAGCCTTTTTAAATCCCTATATTGATTACAACAACAAATTGCAGGAAAGAAAAGTTATGGAATGGCTTTACAATCTCTTAGAATGCTATGGGAAGTTAATTAGATTAAGGTCATATATAATATGGAATAGTATAGCTGTAATAAAAGTTTTAAAGAAGCGTCATGCAAAGATATCTCCGAAAAGACGTGCAGTAAATCCTTTAGATTGTTATGCATTATTAAGTAGTCATGAATTTTATAATGGAAAAACTTTAGGTTATTTGAATGATATGATTCGAGATTTGGTTATCAAAGTATTTAAAGTTGACTTAACAACTGAAACTTGTCGCAAATGTTTCAAGACTACGAGTGAGCCAATAAAAACTATTTGTAATCACATAGTTTGTTGGAAATGTGTGATTAATATTGGAGAAATATCTTATCCTAAAATTAAAAACTTATATTACCAACCTATGGAGTTTCATAACATGATTAATAATCAAATAATCTATTACAAACCATTCAAAAATTGTCCTGTGTGTTTTACTTCTTGGAATAGAAATCCAGAAAGTATTCAAGTTGAAAATAAGTTAATTAGATTATGTATTGACTTCTTTAACAGAACAGAGAGGCTACCAAATATCCCAGAAATAGATACTGTAGTACAAGCAGCTGTAAGTAATGTTGGCTATATTTCATCTGATGAAGAGACAGATAAAGAAACTTCAGGTTTATATAATATATCACCATTAAGTCATGTGACTACAAGTACAGTTGGGAGTAATGGTGACAGTTCGAGAAGCAGTACAAGGAGTTCAAGTTCATTTACTTCGCAATTCAGTCAAAAATTAGGTTTTGATAGGAAATCAATTATTGAACAAATTGATCGACAAAGTGTATTTGTGGACAACTCTGATTGGACTACTATATCAAATACTCATATTATATTAAATAATGGTACAATAAATACTAGACAAACTTTGTATTATGATAAAAGTGGTGGATCACCATATACAACAAGTAGTGTCACTTCCTCAAATAGTAACAAGAGTCTCAAGGATACAAATAATTATGAACATAACTTGAGTGGTGAGGGGTATGGAGGAACTACTGATAATAAAGTGTTGAACCTAGATTCAGCAATAAAATCTGATATGTGGTCATGGAATCCAGCACATTATGTACCATCTTGGTATACTGATAGTAGTAGTATTGGTATATCTTCACAAAAATTTCCCATTAAAGAAGAAAGTGAGACTAATATTTGGTGTTTTGAGAAAAATAGAACTAATAATTATCAAAGAACAACCTTATTAAATAACAGTGTTTGTATTAATGAACTATCCTATAGTACAAAATCTAATCTTACTCCCACCAATTTAGAAAAAAGTGATAATTTGTGGAATTTTATTGAGTGGCAAAGTACTGAAAATAAGAAAGCAAATAGTTACAATAATAGCAACATTAATGTTAATTCATGTTCGTCTATTTCTAATTGGACCCCATTTAACAATAGCAACAGTTTATATGATTTAACAACTAGTACCTACAAAACTAGTGATGAGACAAATCTTGAACCTTCCAAACTTTTGGATTTGTTTCAAGATTTAGGAGTTTAATACTGAATCTCATCCTATAAATTGTAGTTTATGAACTGCTACTTTCGTTAATAGGTTCTAAATAGAATAAGTTAAGTATGTAGAAATGTTTGCTGTATATTCAGATGATAAAAATGTGACTTTTCACCTAGTTAAAACTATCTTGTCTACTTTATATGATTAATTATTTCAAAATTAATTATATATCATTTGTATTTGAAAAGATTACTTTGATTATATTCACTATATTTTTATATTTACTATATTTCTCATAAAATATTATTTATAGGTTATTGGGTAAAATTTAGTATCTATATACTTTTATTTAAATATTATTTGAATCAGTTACCTTATTAGAAGAATCATCCAACTTATTTGGACGCTTTTTTAGTGCTGGGGTAAATATTGCATTGGAATTTGATGTTCCCTGTGACTTTGAATTATTAAGTACTTCTACTTTTTGATCCATAATCTCCTTATCTTCATTATTTCTTTTATATTTAGCTACTTCACTTTGTGATGTTTCAGAAGATATTATACATATCTTAGCTAATTTTAATGCTGCATTAGATAATTTAGATGTTGCAGCAGAAATATTACGTATGTCTACACTCGATAAAGATACAGACTGTGTATTATTGTTAGCTGGTGTTGATAATTGTGAAGGTTGAACCTGACTTATGTCAGATATAGTATTTTTAGAGATATTCTTTAAATCTTTTTCAAGTTTTGTAGTTTTATCACGTTCTTCCTTAAGTTTTTGATTTGTGCTCATATAAACTTTTCTTAATTGCTCCATTTGTTGTTTTATTGATTGTAATTCTTCCTGATGAGTATGTTCATTTTGTTTTTCAACGCTCAATTTTTCTAACTGTTGGGATTTTTCAGTAAGATTTGCTTGTAAAATCCTATTTGCTTCAGTAAGTTTATCTATATCATTCTTCAATATCTTAATTTCATTAGGATCAATGTTATCAAATGTTGCTAAGATCCTATTATATTGTTCTTCCCAAGATTTAGCTACAGTTGATTTCTCATTACATTCTAACTTTAAGTTTTCAACTTCAGCTTTTAGTTGGGTTATTTCACAGCGTAAAGGATCATATTGTCGAGTTTCTGCCTCTAGGTGTTTCTCTAATCCATTATATCTTTCAGTTAAATTCAGTAATTCTCTACGTAATCTATCATTTGTTTCTCTTAAAGTTACTAACTCACCTAATCTTGTTAAAGCTGTTTCATTAGCTTCAGCTTTACATGCAAATTCTGAAACGCGTTGAATTTCTTCTGTTAATCTATTTTGTAATACTTCATTTTCTTCTTTAAGAGATTTACGTTCAAATGTTAATTTTTGAATCTCAATTTTACATTCATTCAATTTAGTATCCATTTCTTCTAGATTTGTTGTTAAATCCCTAACTCTACGAGATAAAACTAATGAAACTGTTTTTGATGAAGATTTATTAAATTCAGATGTAACTAAATAAGATATTTGACTTAAATCTATATCATCTTTTTCATCTAAATTATTAGAAAAATTAATATTACCTATTAAGTCAAAATCATCTTCAATTTTTCTTAAATTTATCTGCTCTTCAGTATAATTCTCGTTACTTTCATATTTTTCCTTCTCACTTTTTATATTTCTTATTATATTTCTATAATCTATATTCTGATTCTTAAGTTTATCACATTGCTTTGCAGATGTTTCTAATTGTCTTCGAAATTGTTCAACTTCATTCTGTAATTCCATAATAAGTTCTGTATGTTCAGTTTCAGATTTCTTATATTTCTCTGTTAAATTTGCCATCTCTTCTTTCAAAGTAATTAATTGTTTATTTACATTCTGTAAACGTTCAACATCTACACTATGTGATCTTACAATATTTTGATATTGGCTCCTTAAATCAGTTTCAGTTTGTCTAAGTTGTTGTATTTCAGAACATAACCCTAAATTAGTATTTTCCAAAGATTCTAATTGTTTCCTTATCTTATCTTCACGTTTCATAATTTCCTCATCAACTGATGATACACGTGTTGTCATTACAGCTAAATCCTCACTTAATTGACTAATACGATTCTCATATTTATTAATTTCAACTAATTTAATGTTCTCTTCTTCCTTTAATAAATTTTTTATTTTCTCTAATTCCTTAGATAAATTTTCCTGGATCTTCCTAGATTCTTCTAATTCTACTATCTTATTCTCTAATTGCTTCTCTGTAGATTGTATTAGCTCCTTCCAATATGCTTGTAATTTACGACTTTCTTCTAATGATGCCTTCAAATTTTCCAATGAATTATCATCAATATCACTTGTTATTAAATTATTAGAAGATCCTATTGAATTTTTTAAAGATATCTTAGTAGTTACAGTTGTTAATTCTGGTGTAGATAATTGAGATATCTCCAAATTATTATTATCATCTTCAGATTCATGTATATTAGTAGGAGACTTTATATAATCTGTATTTAAATCTATATTAGATGTCTCTTCTTTTTTCCTTAAACGATCTTTTAAAGCTTTAATTGATACCTCTAATTCATTACAACGTTGAGATTGACTTCTTAATTTTTGTCTAAGATGTAAAGATTCTTCAAATTCTCTTTGTAAAATTTTATCCTGTGATTTCCTAAGTGTGTTTATTTCAATACATTTCCCTTCAAGCTCTGCTTGTAATTTTGAGATTACATCTCTCTGAAAAGCATTATCATGTCCTTTTTGTTTTATATGCATCTCTATCTCACCTTTAAGATCTAAAACACAAGAATTTAAATTACCTATAGTCTTTCTTAAATTTTCATTTTCACGTTCTATATCTGATAAATGTGCTTGCTTTGTTTTAAGAACTTCTTGAATATTTTCTAATTCCATATCTTTAGATAATTCTATTTTGCGAAAATCATTTATTTTCTTATATAAAACATCTCTTTCTTCAAATAATTCATCCATCTTCTTCTCTGTACGAGTTTTTAAATTTTCAAGATATTCACATTGAGCCTTTATACGAGAAAGTTCAGATCTATATTGAGATGAAGTCTCAATCTCAGAAGTTAATTTCTCACTTAAAGATTTACAAATTTCAGTAATATCAGTTAATTGTCTCATAGTATGTGATGAATTATTCAAACTAGATATATTCGAATTATTTAAGTTATCTGATTCTTTATTATTCATTTTCTCATCTATAATATTCTGATCTCTTTCTTCTCTTATACGTTCTTTTTCTTTTAAAGATGTTAATTCATTCTCTAATTTATTAATTAAAGTCTGATATTGAGATACAAGTTCATCACGTTCTTTATAAATTTCTTCTAATTTATTCGTACAATTAGACAATTCTACATTTAATTTACGAACTTGTATCTGACTCTCTAATTCATTACCATCAATTAATCTTGAAATTTGTAATTTTAATTGTATATTTTGTTCCATTACATCTTCATATATATTTTTAGATAAATTATTCTTATTAAAATCTATATTCTTACAATCTAATGAATTCTCTTCAATATATTCAGATATCTTTATATTTCTTAAATGTTCAAATTCAAACATTAAATTACTTAATTGTTCCGTTAATTCTCGACATCTATTTTCAAATATATCTCTTGTATTTGTCTCATGCTGCCATAATGATTTATATTCAGAAATATTATGTAATAATTCTCTATTATCTTGACTTAAAGAGTGTAATTGTTGTAATAAACAACTATTCTCAACTTGAAGATTCTCTAAATGTTTCCTCATTCCTTCAATTTCAGGTAAAGTAATTTTCATATTACTTTGACATTCTTTAAGTTCTTCTTGTAAAAATAAAATCTTATTTCTACTCTCCTCATAATTTCTTTGACATTCTTCAAGTTCAGTTAATAAATCTATTATCATCCTACGACCTTCACGTCCAGATTCCACATTTATATTATTAGATTCTTCTTGAATTCTATTTAAAGATTCTTCACCAAATAATTTACATAAAAATTCTACAGCTTCTGAATCAGATAATTTATATTTCTTCTCATTTCCATATTTCCTATTATTTAAATAATCTAAATTTGATATATTATTATTTATATTATCTATTTCAGTCATTTGTTGTTTTAATTTATTTAATTCAGATTCTAAAGTTTCTGTAGTATTTATACTTGTATCTAATAAATTCTTCATTTGACTTAATTGTTCATCTTTTAACTTTAATGATTCTTCTTTTATTTTTAGTTTACCCTCATAATGACCCTTTGAAAATTCAAATTCAGCTTTTATTCTACGTAATTCTTCATTTAAACGTGTATATTCAATCTCCAATTCTTCTTTATTTTTTTGAATTATAGATATTCTATATTCTAAATCTCTTTCTGAAATTTCTAATACACTCATTCGACGACTATTTTCTAATACTAAAGTATTCTTACTATCATGTAATTCTTTAATACGATTTTCTAAGGATGAAATTTCATTCTTTAATTTCTCATTTATATCTTTAAATGATGAACATTCAAGATTAACCATATTTAAATCATGCTGAGCTTTACTAGATATAATTTCTGATTCATAAACACGCTGTTGACAAGCTAAAATCTCTTGTTTACTTTCAACTAATGAATCTTGTAAACTACGTAAAGATAATTGAAGCCTTTCATTTTCAGTCCTCTCATGAGCTAATTGTTGTGTCAAAATACTAATTTCATTTTCCATATCTTTTTTAGAATTATAAATTGCAGATTTATTTAAATTCTCATTATAATTATCATTATCATTTGTATCCCCCGAAATTTCACAATAAACTTTTAACCCTTTAGCACAATCTAATTCACATCTTAATGTTCTTATTGTATCTTCTAAATGTGAAATTTTTTGTTTAGTATTATCTTCATTATCCCTATATTCTTTTAGTTTTAATTCATAATTCTTACATAATTCACTTAGATTTGTCCCAGAAAATTCTCCTAAAGTGCATTCTCCTTCATTAACCAAGAGCTCCTGTCCTTCTAACATGTTCTATTTTCATCTATGAAATTTCTGCACTTTGAGGCTATAAAAAAAAAAAAAATTATATTGTGCACTTAGATGATCCATCTTTTTGGAGCAAAACGGCGCGTATATTACAAAAAATTTAGAATTTATTATGAATTATGTAGGCTAAACTTTTTCTCTTTTTTTTTTTAATAAAATTGTTAAAATATAAAATAACTTTCTAAAAATATATACAATCTTAATTTTTTATTAATAATTTAAAAAAAGCTATTTATATATATTATTAAAACTATATTTTTATTATAATCCGTCCCATAATGACATGTATATAAGATCTCCCATTATATATTATTCTAAAAGTACTTATTTTATAGTATGTCTACTAATTTCAACAATTAAATTATCCTTTTTTAAAATTTTAACATTTAAAAAAATCTATTTAAAGAGTAAAGGGTATCTAAAGGTATCTAATATTTAAAACCAATATAAATAACTTAACAAATTATATTAAATAGATAAAAAATAATAAAATTTCTCATTGTTCTTTACGCTTATAATTAATTAAATAATCATTCTTTTCATCAATATAATTATTATCATATCTTATATAAAGTGAAATAGCATGAGAAAATATAAAAAATCCCCAAGTAATTGGTCCTATTTCTATATATAATATATAATATAAAACATCCAAATATTTTATATGTCCTAATCTGAATAATGTTGATATAAAAATAAGTATAGAACCAACTATTGGTGTATATCTTGAAGCTTTTGAAGCAATATTATTACTTAAATTACGTAAAATACATGATAAAAGTAATATAAATATAACCATTAATTCTATATAAATATATCTTTGAAATGAATCAATATTAATAATATAGCCATATGGATTAAATGTATTTGAATTTGATAATACATTCTTTTCTTCTAAAATAAAATATACCATTATATAATTTATTATTATATATATACTAAAACTAGTTATAAATCCTATACAGGATGATAAAATAATATTTCGTTTATTTGTTTTTTGAATATCCCATAAAATACAAAAACAAAGATACATAATTGATATTGATCGTATAATACAAGATATATATGGTAAAATATATAATATAATTAGAAATTTTTTATTAACATTTTGATTAATATATATTGATCCATATAATAAAGAAATTTCACTAATTGATTCACCTATTGAATATATAATAATTGATAGTTGAATATACTTCTTTAAGTATTCTATACATTGAAATTGACTATTTAAATTTGGAAAGAGTTGTTTTTCTATATTTTTTAATGTAATTTGATGAAGATCTTGATTATCCATTTGTAATGTCTCACATAATATTTCAACTTGAGTTTTTAAATTATTTGGCATATAAGATATCATCCAAACAATTCCTAAAAGTGGACCTATTCTAAAAAATATTAATAACCAATTAAATGATGTATTATTCCATCCCTTTTCATCTCTATTTTTAATTGTCATTAAATATATAGCTGAACCCATAAGTATATATAAACCAATTCTTTTTTCAAAAAGAATTTCTTTCATACGTAATTTTCTATATTCTATTTGTTTCTGTTCCATTGATACCATAGTTTATTATTTAGAAATAATTATTAAATTTATTAAAATAGTCTATAATATTTCACATGTTTTTGAAATAGACTAATCGAGTCTTGTATACCGCCAAAATATTAAAATAGGCGGGTTTTATTATTAATTTTCTGCATGGGACGTGTCCGTCCATCTTTAAAATATTGCAATATTTAATAATATATATGAAATATGAAGAATTTAACGTTAAATTTATTTTTATTTTTAAATAAAATAATAGATAAATATATATGTATATTATTTATTTTATTTTTATTTTATATAATTGGGGATGATTATTTCTATTGTTATTGTTCAAAAAATAATAAATTAATAGATTTTAATATAGACCCAATAATAAAAATAAATGAGAGAATTAAAAGAACTGTTATTTTAGACAGTAATACAAAGAATATATTTCCAATTATTAATGGGTGTTTACCTATTGGACCTAGTATTGTTATTACAAAACAAGATTTAACTATGAGTAATACAAATTACAATACTTTTTTATTAATGAGAAGAATACTTAAAAATTTATATAGAAGTTCATATGGAATAATTCTTGCTAGTAAATTTTCTAAAGTTGAAAATATTAGAATTTTTGCAATTGATACTTCAGGACAATTTAGACCAATAGATATAATTCAATCGAATAGTAAGAAAATTGATGGGTTAAATAAGAAATGGTTAAAAAAAAGAAAAATACCTACTTCAAAAGCCACATTAAAAGATTTAGGAATTGATCATAATTATTCTTCAATAAAAAAAGAAGAGAATTTAATTTCTGAGGGAAGTAATGGACTTTCTTTGAATATAAATGGAATGGATTTAATAAATAATGAAGAGAGAAAAAAACCAGTATCTTTAATTCAAATACGAACATTAAAAAATAATAAATTTAAGAAAATGTTAAATATACATATGATTACAATTCCATCAAGAATTAAAGAGGATTTGATTTTATGTAAATGTTCAATAAAACCAATTGATCATAAAAGACTTTTAGAATTAGCTCAAACACTACAATTTAGTATAATTAATGGAATAAATATTAATAATATTATTTGGTTTAATTTACCAAAGATGATTCGTTTATTATTATTAGATATAATGAGGAATTCAAGTATAATTCGTGCCATGAGTCCTTTATTTAAATTATATAATAATACAGAAGAATATTTTAATATAGCTAAATATTATTCAACTGAACAACAGAAGCAATATTATAAAAATTATTTTAGTGATATAAGGAATTCTTATAAAAATAAGTTATTAATTGAATTTTTGAGTGAAACAATAGGTCTTTTTGGGAATTTTTTTCAAGAATTAATTTCTAATGATAATATACAAGATATTTTAGAAGAAATTGAGATTTCTAGTATTGAAAAAAGTTTACTAATAAATAATAATATAGATACATATACATTTGATGATAAATATCAGGTTTTAAATTCTATTTTATTAGATTTGCCTGCTAATAATAATTGTATTTTATCTTCAATTGAGATTTTTAAAGAAGCCTCAGAAGCCTCATATAAAAGTTTTTTTTCATTATGTTAAGATATATTATGTTTGAAAGATTATTTAAGAGATAATATATATTATAATATTAATTACAAAAATGTTCTTTGGCGATTTTTTTTAATAGTTTGATTAGAATTTTCATAAATTTTGTTATTATTATATAGAGTGGGATTTTTATATTTTTCATTATAATTTAGTAAATTAGAATTTTTATAGGAATTTCTTTTAGATATATTATAATTTTCAATATTCTTATTGATATGATAATTATTAGAGGAATTATTTTGTTTATCATTATTAATTTCAAATAATTTGTTTGGGAGATATATTAACCATTTATAAAAATGATATACAACAATTTTAATATATTTATATATATATTGATTAATAATTTGAATATTATTATTACTATTAAGATAAGATGGAAATACTGGATATCCAAATATTCTTAATCTATATATACATACTTTATTAGTACCATAACTTGAATGAATAATAAATTTTGCCTTATTACATACTAGAAAATTTTTTACATTAAATAATTGTAATTTTTGACTTGGTTGAGGATATTTATAAATAAATGATCCTATATAATTTTGTTTTCTATAATTTTTTTCTTTAATTATATCATTTATACAATATACTGATATATTTCTTGGGACTGTTTGTCCATGATCATAATCTAATGGATATAATATATGATCAATACCTATCATAGTAATATTAATAGGAACTGATAATTTAATTATGATTTGAGAACCAGTTTTAATTGTGAGACATTCACCAATTGATTTATGATTTGAGGTTATTATAGTATTTGGGTTGATACAATATTTATGATTATTATATAAAATTTCATTATCCCTATCAGAATATTTATAAAATATATGATATTTTACTTTATCTATTGACCATTTTAATATATTTATAATATTTGGTACATAATAATAATTATTAAATTGATCTAAACAAGTTTTGTTTTTTTTAGGTTCAATTACATTACTACCTAATGAAACTTGAGCCCAATCAATCATTGATGTATCATCTAGGTCAAGCCTTTGTTGTATCATTTTTTGAATAATAACTTCAATATTTTGAAAATTTAACAAATTTTCATTTGATAAGTTTTTATATGTTGAAATTTCAGAATTATGAAAAACTTTATCTTCATTACGTTGAATCATTGACCATATCATTTCTCTTAAAGCTTGTTGTGTCTGATCTAAAATTTGAAGCTCATTATATATATTGTTAATATCTTTATCTATAATAATATTTTCATTTTTAATTTCTGATAATTTATTATTAATATATGTTATATTATCTAAAACTCTTTGGTCAAGTTGATATTTAGGTTTTTGTATATTTAATTTTGTATATTCCATTATCTGGTTATTTATATGTTGAATTCCTATTCTAATAGTATTATTTAACTGATTTAAGTCTGATTGAAGATTAAATATTTGATTTGTTAAGTTATTCATATTTTCATAGGTCCAATAATAATCAAAATCCTTTATATTTTTTCCATTAGGGGTAAAACCTATATATGATGATATCCAACTGAGTTTTTTATTTAGTCCAATAATATATTTTCTATTTATTTCACAACATTGATGTTTATGATCAGTATTTGTATTAGAATAAATTCTTTTAAGTTTTAGCTTTAGTGTTTGAATTTCATCATATAAGTATTCTATATTAAATAATTTAATATTATTTTGTTTAATCCAGTTATAATCAAAAAAAGTTCCCATAGTTATAATAAAAACGAATAATATAATATATATGAACATTTTATAATTATCTAATTGTCTAAAGAACTGACTCATTCTAGGTACTCTGATTCCAGTGGTTTGTTTGATTTTCGCAATTTTATTTTTGGAATTATTACACCTTTTATTATTATTATCTACATTTTTAAGAATATTTTCTACTTTTTTTCCATATAATTTGTTGCGATTACTTGTTGAGTTATAGTCTGTTTTTGAAGGTTCTGAAAGTACTGATATAGTAGATACATCTGAAAGCCCATCATCCTCTAAATTATATCTTTTATTAGCTAGTAATTTTTTAACTGCGGATCTTGTCCTCATACTACATATCTAAAAAATTTTGATTCTCCTTTTTTTAATTTTCTTTACATTTTTTAGTTGTCGCCTATTATTTGTAATTTGGAAATTTATATATCTAAAAAAAAGGTACTAGGTCTAACCCTTTATTGTGGAAAATTTCTTTAATTAATTAATTTAAGGTTAATATTTATAAATTAGAAGAAAACTAAAGGATATAATTATTACATGCATGCAACAAACAAGCGATAAAAGACAAAAAAAAAAAAAAATTAAAGGACAATTCTCAATAATATATGGAAAGAATGAAATTCTGTAAATTTGAATTGTGGAAAAAAAAATTTAAGGAATTGAAAGGGGAAATATTTATAAGATTTCCAATATTTTCGTCCTCGTGAAGTTTGCCATTTAGCTGACTAGTTAAAGTTAATTAAATTAAGGGTATTACAAAGAATTAAAAAAGAAAGCTTGAGATAATACTCTAAATATGAGAGATATCTAAGTTTTATAAAATTAAGATCAATTGAAGTAATTTTGGATCATTTCAAAAATTTGATCAATCTCACTAATGTGGATTTCAAATAGTAAAGTCTACTTCCCCCCCTCAAAGACAAGACATGCATGTTAGTGACATTTCACACTTTAATGGGCTAATTTACATTATATACAGACTGTGAGCATGTGTATATGCCTAGTGTATGTATATAGATACAATACGTCTGGACGGTGTACAATTATACCAAAATTAGTCCATTTGAGAAGGCGTTTATGTCGTTTGTAGGTGTATGTAGATGAGATTGCAAAATATTACTGAATTTTGGAAACATTAATAAAGATAAGCAAAGCTAGTTATCAAAAAAAAAAAAAAAAAAGGAAAGGGACTAATTTATCTTAAGGTTTAATATTTTTTTTTGGTACTGCTAGAAATGTTTAGTTTAAAATTTACAATATTCTTTGTAGCTTATATAAGCTATTATGTAAATGGGGAATTTTATTTTGCATCTTTGGCTAATTATGGGTGTAGTAGCAATCAAAGAAGAGTAGCTTCTATTTTGCATGATCAGGCAAACAAGACACCATTTTCACTCCTTGTTAGTCCTGGTGATAATTTTCCCAGTGGTGTTGATTTTGAACATTGCTTTGACAAAGTATATGAAAGTAAAGCTTTACAAATCCCTTTATTTGCAACAATGGGTCAGGCTGACTGGGATAATGGAAGTTCAGCTGAGCTGATTAAAGAAAATAATGAAATTTATGATAGTATTAAGGATATATATCCAAAGTTCACATTCCCAAATTATTACTATCATCATGTTGCTCATTATACAGACACTTCAAGTGTATTATCAAGAAGAGATGGAACAATTTTGTTTATATTTATTGATACATTTTTATTATCTAGTTCTTTCCCAGATCATAAAGTAACAGAAGAAGCTTTTCAGGTATTAAATGCAACTCTTCAATATGGAGATAAACACAATGACTTTACAATTGTTGTAGGCAACAAATATTTAGCTTCCTCTTTTTCTATTGATGCTATGCTAAGGAGAGTACAACAATTAATTGTTGATAATAATGTTGAGTTAGTTATTAGTGGGAATAACCGTGGTACATTTAATTCTACAATTGGTCAAACTACTTTTATTAATTGTGATTCATTATGCGCTTTCAAAGTAAATGGTGATATTCTGACTCCATATACTCTATATCACAATCGTCTACATGAAATGAAGCCAATAGTAACAAAACTTTCAATGAATGTCTTATCTTTTCAGGGAGTAGCAGGGGGTGAATTACCTTCTACTACTTTGATTGACTTGCCATTTAAGAAAGGAGCTAAGCATTTATCTAGAGATGCTTTCTTAAAGGTAGTTGGTACTATTGGTATTATGATCCTATTAGCTTGTCTTGGTTCCTTAGCTTTGAATCACAAGAGGTAATAAGAGCTTGATTATAGCATTAATGAGACTAGTAGAAAGGGAAAAATCTATTTGAACTTCTTAGCAGCATTATTAGAATACGAGATATTCAATTACTACATAAAGTCAGTCCTATATTATGAAACTTAAATAAAAAGATAATATCTTTTGTAGTTTCTATTATAAGTACGTTTGCAAGGTTTAGAACTAAGATATAGTGAATATGGAATTAAGGAGTAAATTTCATACTTGTAGAACTGGTTGATTAGTTTATTTTAAAATATATAATTATTCATATATCTGACAAGTATAAAGATTCGTATTTTATACTTGCTTCAGATTCTAATATGAATAGATAACTTTGAATAAATTTCAGATAGGACAGAACTTTAACATTTCTTCTTAAGAAGCAATTTTTAGCTGACAATATTTGAAGGTTTTATTGAATACCTTTCCTACTGAATAGTTAATAAGGGATATTGATTTTTCTTTTTTTCTTTCTCTTTTTTCCTTATTTCTTAAGTATACGTACCAGAGAGAGCAGGTTCAACATTATCTACATCTGATACTCCAACTTCATACATCACCCCATCTTGAGTTAAAGGTCTCCTTACAATGGGAGCAAATCTATATCCCCAAGTAATATTGCTGAGTTTCCAGCTTTTTCTAACTTCAATACTTTTAGATGTCCTATTATCAACAAAATGTAATAGTACCATAAGTTCCAATAGATGTCCCTTGTTTCGAATTTCCCCTAGTGTTAAATCTTTTAAAGGTGATGTGGGGTCATTTGAAATCATTGTAACAGTAATAGGTATTTCCATAAATTCTAATGGTACATCTAACTTATATGTTGTAACTTCAGCAATAGATAACCCTTGGTTACTATGAACCAATAAAAAAACCTTAAGTTTTGGAGATGTAAATGATTCATGAGAAATATTTATAAGTCTAAATGATAGTATAAATGGACAAGAATCATCTATACCCGTAGAAACTCTAATAGGAGTCGAATAATCTAAGGTATTGGTTATATTTGTATTTGTATGACAGAAAAATTCCTGAGGTGATTTCTCAAATCCAATGCCACAAAGTTCTTTTGAGAAACATATAGACCAACGTCTCGATGTTGCATCTGAAAATTTAGCAAAAAAAATACCAACAGTAAGTGAATTTAAGATGGAGCTACTTATGGCCATTACTGCAACAAAGTAATCAGTTACTATACACGTTGGAGATCGTGGAGATCCATAACCAACTGAAAACATGGTCTCAATAGCAAAAAAGAAGTACTCCAAGGCTCCAAGTTCATTACTCCCTATACAATTAAGGGTATCCCCCAGTGTAATTACATATAGACAACATGCAAATATTATTGCGAGAAATAAATGCATACAACAAATCAAAACAATTAAAGAATACCAGCTCATAGCTAACATGACATGAAATCTATCATGAAAGCAAAATAGCAAAAAGTGACTAATCCAATCCCACTGATGTAGTATATTTAAGTCACCATTCTCTAATACCAATTTTGGTGAGTTATCAATATTTATAGAGTAAGATATCGAGTCCTTAGGTGTAACATCAATCTCATTGCAATCACTTAAAATATATGACCTAGATTTTGAGTCAATAGGACTGTTAATTTCTGTGTACATTCAATACACATTAAATTTCCATAACTAAGAATCCTAAGTTGCAAGAGCTCGAATTTTCTATTTTACATGTTAATAATAAATATATTTAGCGCCAAAAAATGAGACAAAACGTGACTTAGTGTTCTGTAGTTAATAAATCTTTTGGTAAAAGCTGTTTTAAATTTATATACACTATAAGACAATAAAACCGCTTTTTTTTTTTTTCTTTCAGTTTAAGGAGGGGTACTCTTCTTCTTTTTCCTTTTATACTAGTAGAATTCACCTAAAGTGTATTTTTAAATAGGTTTATCCTTGTAATTTTAATATAATGGTATGTTAGTATTAAATGCTAATGTTACTTTTTTCTTCTATTGGATTTCGACAATATTCCGCCTATTTTTAGACTAAGGTCCCAAGTTCACAATCTGGCCAGGGTTCTACCGGACCAATTTTTAAAAAACAAGGTAGTCTGGCTCGATCGGCAACAATGAGGTGAGTAATTAACTTCTAATTATCTCTAATATCTTACACATAACTAATATTTGGGATTATCAGGCAACGTCGTGCTGCTGCTCCAAGCAAAGATAGTATTGCCCAAAATCTCATGATGTACTATATGGATGACACTCCTGGAATTAAGGTTGGTCCTATGACCGTATTAGTAATGACATTAGTGTACATGTCTATTGTAGTAATGTTACATATCTTGGGCAAATTTAAAGAAACTATTACTGGTTAAGATCTCTTTTGGGTGATATTCTGAATATCTAGATACTATTAGTTTAGGTTATTTACATGGCTTTCCAGTTTATCCTTATAGCTAATGATTTTTAGGATCTTTAGTACATTGAATTATCTGATCTAGTATTGATCTAAAAAGTTATAGCTCTATAGGTTTAATTATCTTAATTTAAATTTAATAATTTTAAGTGTTCACTATGGTTTATATTGGTTCTCATCAGGCTCATCTGGGTTTATTAGACGTCTAATCTTGTCCACATGTGGTTATAAAATTAAGAAGTTTAATATAATAATCTTTAATCTAACAGACAAATCTTGAGAGGAAGGAGTCTTTTGGATTTTCTTATTTAGTTTTATATATATCTCCTAAAATATATTATCGTAAGTTTCTTTATTTTAGGGTATATTTACTAGCCTTGTGTTGCCACTAGATCTCCCGCTCTAAGTATTAAAGCCATGCATTTTTACTTAGAATACATATATAGGATATAACTTAAGGAAATGGTTAGGTGCTCAGGTTTTACTGTAGATAAACTAAATAATCATTTTAAGGTATGTTGGAATAATTTTTTTTATCTTCTTTTTCTAAGCCTATAAATAACTATATCTTTATTTATTGAATGTCGTGTTGTAGCAAAGTATAAGGTCTAAGGCTGAGGAAATGACAGATAAACCAGGATATACTAAGAACATAGTGTCATTAAAGAAGTCTAATATAAAATCTGAAAGTATTCCAAAAGGTAAACAATGTAAAATGGCCAAGCGAGAATCTCTTAATGCGTTGAAAAAGATGAGGAAGGTCACAAAGGATGCATACTCAAATGAACAAAAATTTAAAAAAACTAGTACTAAAGCTGTAAAAAAGAATATTCAGAAAGTTGATATTTTAAAAAGTAGGAGATCTATAATTAATAGTAAAGCTATTGTCAATAACTCTAGAAATAATAAAGTAAGCAAAGGAAGAGTCTCAAAAAAGCAGATACCAATGAATCAACCAAAGAAAGAAGATACACCGAAGAATACTTCCATAGTAAAAGATTTTGAGAATATATCTGCAGATAAGGAACAAACTATGAACATATTGAATAAGGCAAGAAAGGAATATCTATCACAGGCTAGTTGTCAAGAGTCTAATATGAATAAAACTGATATGAAGAACTCTCACATAATTAGAAATGAGATAAAAGGAACTCCTACCCGTCAAATATCAAATGAAGAATCTAGAGGATCTGAATTATCTTATATGAGTGATACTACATTGAATATAATTAAAACTCCAGTTGTTTATGTATCTTCCGCTCTACGTAGGGTTGCAGGGATATTTAAGAATTAACTTTAAGCAGAATATTTAATAGTGGAGTAAAAGATGAAGGATATTGAATAGATGAGATTATTAGCTTTACTTTAGAAATATATTATTGCTAGATAAATATATTTTTATTATATTTTTGCTATAGTATATTGTGGTACTGATTCTATAATATTTGTTCAAGTATATTGACACATTATATTTTATTTGAAATGTATAAATATTAATATATCTGTATTATTTTTTGTTTATTTTGAACTTTAGAACTGTGCTATTTGAGTGAAGCTAGCTGAGTATATTTGAATGCAACTTCATAATAAATTAGAAAATTCACTAAATAAATATATATGGTTATACTAAATTTTATGAATATTATAACTGTAAATATTAGTATATTAATAATTTTGTTTCAAATTGCGTAATAATATTCTTTAGGTACTAATATATAAATCTTATAACTTTAAATATTTTTACTTAATCTAAATAAACTACATATTTAAGGATAGAATTATAGAATTTATTTTATTTTGGTAAATATATTTTAATATTTATATTTATATAAAGCAAAGATGATACTGTTTTCAGTATTTTTGCTATTTCATCAAATACTAAGCTTTATTTGGATATTATTGTAGGTTCTGTAATTTTTTACTTGTTGAAAGATAATCAGCTTATAATATGTCATATTTCATTGATAAATCTTTTATAATAGTAGATTATATTATGCATTATTATCTATAAATCTTTAAATATAGAGAACTTGTGCAACATAAATGTGCACTATTAACGATAATTTTAGATTAAGGCGCCGTCTCAATAGGCGTGGGCTAGTACCAGTACTTAAGCGGGTTAAATTTGTGAGGTAGGCATAATTCTAAAACACGAAATTTTACTGATAAGTGGAAACATTGGAAGATGATATCTGCTAATTCACAAAATCAAGCTATATTTGGTGAGAGACAACATGGGGTAGATGTTCGTAATAGTAACTTGGTGGCAGTAATGTCCATAGCAAATATATTAAAGTCATCTTTAGGACCTCAAGGTTTGGATAAGATGCTTGTTGACGATATTGGTGAAGTGGTTGTAACAAATGATGGTGCTACTATTTTGAGTCAGTTAGAGGTTAAGCATCCAGCTGCACAAATATTAGTTGACTTAAGTGCTTTGCAAGATAGTGAAGTTGGTGATGGAACTACAACAGTAGTTTTGTTAGCAGCAGAGTTACTTCGTAGAGGGACAGCTTTAGTAGCATCTGGATTTCATCCATCAAATGTAATATCAGGATATAAATTAGCTTTGCGAGAATGTGTTCGCTATATTTCAGATTCTCTAACTATTAAAGAAGGGATAAATAATGAATGCTGTTTAAATGTTGCTAAAACTGTTCTATCTTCGAAATTAGCTGGGGTAGATGCAGACTATTTTGCAAAGTTAGTAGTTGATGCAATAACAAATGTAAAAGTTTTAGATTCAATTACTGGTGCTCCAAAATATCCGGTAAATGCACTAAATATACTTAAAACTCATGGTAAAGGTGTTTGGGAGTCTTCATTAGTTGAAGGTTATGCTTTATCTCATACTAGTAGAGCATGCCAAGGAATGCCAATGAGTATTACAAATGTTAAGGTTGCTTGTCTAGATTTTCCATTAAAACAACATAGAATGCAGATGGGAGTTCGTGTAGAGATAGAAAATCCTCAGGAATTAGGACGTATTAGACTAGAAGAGAAGGAGATTGTACATAAACGTATAGAGAAGATATTAGCTACTGGATGTAATGTAGTTTTAACTTCTGGTGGCATAGATGACCAATATTTGAAATATTTTGTGTCTGCAGGCTGTATAGCTATTAGAAGAGTTGATAAGAAGGATCTGCGTAGAATTGCTAAAGCTACAGGGGCTACAATTTGTTTAACAATGGCCCAGTTGGATAATTTGGAGGAAAGTTTCGATCCAGCTTATTTGGGAGAATGTCAACAAGTGAGAGAAGAAAGGCTTGGGGATTGGGACTATATAATGTTTTTAGGATGCAAAACACATAGGGCAGCTTCCATAATCCTTCGTGGTGCCAATGAGGTCTTATTAGATGAACTTGAACGCTCCTTACATGATGCTTTATGCTCAGTATCAAAACTTTTGGAATCTAATGGATTAGTTGCAGGAGGTGGTGCTGTTGAAACAGCACTAAGTATTTACTTGGAAGATTTCGCTCGCACACTTGGTTCAAGAGAGCAGCTAGCAATAGCAGAATTTGCTGAAGCTCTACTAGTTATTCCAAAGACTTTGGCTATTAATGCAGCCAAAGATGCAACAGATCTGATTTCAAAGCTCAGGGCTGCTCATGCTACAGCACAGCTTGGAACTCGTGATCAATTTCAGATATACTCTATGACAAATGTGGATAAAATGATGCAAGAGATGAGATATCAATATTATGGTTTGGATTTAACTATGGGGATTATTAGAGATAGTATTCAAGCAGGAGTATTAGAACCTGCAGTCAGTAAGATAAAATCACTTCGTTTTGCAACAGAAGCTGCTATAACTTTACTTAGAATTGATGATCACATTAAAGTTAAACCTTTAGAAGTCCGAAATGAACCTGAATAATTTATTGTGGGTACATAACCAGATAAAAAATAATTTTGAGATGTTCTACATTTAATAATAGCTTCTAGGATCTTATAGTCATATTAGAGCTTATTATTGAAACTAAAAGTAATAGTGATTTTATTCTGAATATAAAGATCATCAAATTTAACTGTAACTTCCACTTTTTAGTTCTAAAAATTAGAATATATATAAAATTTAGATAGATTTCACTGAATTTAGCTAAGGTAATGGAAGTTATTTTCTGGTACTTATTACTACTTAAGGTTCCTATTTAGATTCAACACTAATTTGGAAGATTATAGAGGTAAATAAAACGTCTTTAAAAGATCTGTCATAAATGTTATAAATAAATTAGACACTCTTAAAAGGGCACTAAATAATTATCAAGTACTTCTATTAACACAAAAAAAGTTGTAATTATTAACTTAGTACATCTTAAAAAAAGGATTTTAGTCTAAATTTCAGATAGTTTTTAAAAGAGATTATAATGATTAACAATGGTTAAGCTTTTTAAGATTTAAGTCTGCAGATATTTCTTATAAATAATAAATAAAAAATGATAGTATTAATCTTTTAAATTAAATTATCCATCATAAAGACGATATATTTCTTATATTTCACATTTAAAAACAAGATAAAACTCTCAGGAATTAGTAATATATTTTCATTAGCCTACTACATAAGCATTGTATTTGTGAAATTCAGTTTCCTACTTGAAAATCCTAATTGCATATAAATAGGGCACAAGTTTCAGATTATAAATTATAGATTAAATTGCACTTTTTATTTATATTTGTATCTAAACACCAGAATTTACAACAAATAATGGAACTCCTCTTGGTAATACATCTTCAGAATCATCAACTAATTCCAATATTTTTGAACTTACAGCCTTATCTCTCATCTCTCTATATTTAGATATAAATTTCTTTTTCCCATTTCTCTTAATTAATAGTCTTATTTCTGAATATAAGTTAGAAAATGGATACAATGTCTCAAAATTATAAATAACAATAGACCATATAACCATAGTTGAACCTAAAATAAAAGTTATAGATAAGTTATAATCACCTATATACCATGACAATATACAACTTATAATTATACTGACAGAATTACCAAAACACTTCAGAATATTATCTGCATATTTTAATACAGCTGCAACAATAATCCCACCAATTGCCTGTAAACTTACAACAGTCCAGACTATATTATTGAAACCATAAAAGAATCCTAGTGACATCATTTTGCTTCCATCTGCCCCAAATAAGCATCCTAAGTAACCAAATAATACTCCATAAAGAGCTAATTGAATATTCCTTTCCCAAATACTCGTCTTGTTGTCTTTAAGTAATTTCTCTAGAAATACACCTGCAATACCACTAGTAAAACATGCTAGTATCACAGCTCCTAGTCCCATTACTCCAGATCCTGTTATTACCGCACTCCAGTTATTACTAAATAATTCTCCACCTTTTATTGGTTGAACAAATATTACACCAGCCGTAAGGAGGAATAAAGAGAACCACTGTATACCTAGAAGCTTCTTCTCCATAATAAGTACACACAAAACTGCCGTAACAAGAATTTTTAATTGATAAGTTACATGATATACTGCTCCAGATAAATTCGACAGTGCTATAAATAGTAGATTATTTTGAATTACATACAACAATCCAGGTACTCCCACCTTTAAATTACTAGTCCACGAATTAAATACATTGTTCTTTAAAGACTGAAGTAAGCCCTTTAGGCTCATTCCTTTTTCATACCATATAATAAGTAGTGATACAAATAACTTCATTAATTCAGAAATCACTACTGCGGAAGAATTAAAGTATAAAATTGGGTTATTATTTCCCTGGTGTCTCCTAGAAATTCTCATAAAAAAAATAACAGCAACTGTCTGAAATATAAGACAAACTAGGGCAACATATTTCATATAATCCATAGTGCTTATAATCTTGATTTTATATAAATTAAAGAATTTATAAACTCTATAAAGAACTAGAGTAAAAATATTAAAGATGTTAATGCGGGTTTTGGAACTTGTGATTATTTTTTGAAGATGTATTACTAAAAAATTAGCTATTAAAATAAGGCCGTGATACCGCCTGGATGAGACAAGAATATTGCATGACATTAAAGTATTTCTCTAGGAAGTACGGTAATACGTTTTTCTGAAGTATATAATAATACAGAAGAAGACTTTTTATTCATAAAAGTCCCATATGGTTTTTTTGAGCGAATACAAATAGATGGTAATGGTACTGTTCCTGCTTGAGTTGCAATACAAACCCATTCTAAAATTCTCTTTGAGTTAGGATGTAATACTATATCATCACATATAATACCGTTAACAAGTAGTGGTAGCCAAGAAGGAAGAGCTGGAAAATCCAAATTTGATATTGAATTATTATCCAAATATTTGAATGATAGATGAGGTGGGTATACCAATCCAAATCTGACTTCCTGTGAGATTGATGTCATATTCTTAATAATCGCTTTGTAATGAAAAGGTTTACCCACATTAGTAATTTGATCAGCAAATACTGAAAGTAACAATGGTTCTCTCTTATTAAATTTTGATATATCTATCAAGGAATCATTGAGTACTTTATTTAACTCAATATTTATTGGAAATGATTGAGCTTTAAAGTATAAGTCCATATCTGAGCTATTAGTATGAAATTGACTATTATATAAGGGATATTGAACATGATCCAAAGCAATTCTAAACATATTTTGAAATGGAAAGAGTATATCTTTTAAAAATTTCTGATCAAATAGCTGAATATTATTATATGATAATATATAAAGTATACTAATTGTCAACTTGACTGATTTAAATGAATTCGTTGGTTTATTCTCCATATTATCTTTAGAAAATACCAAGATAGTATTTTCTTCTTGAGATTCCAATTTACATGGGAAGTTGCATTGAATTGTTAAGTATTCATCGGGGGTATATATATTATTTATAAGAATATCCTCTGTTAAAAAGAAATTCCGAATTGAAATTGCCAGGAGTGGATTTTCAAATGTTTCATTAATATTTTGGACACAATCCCCTTCACTGTATACATAATTAGTTCCTCCCTGTAATGAATTTAATTTCGGAAACCAAGTTGATATTTCTACAACAGAACCCACTTCCCACCTTTTACTTACTGCAGTACTACAAAATATCTGATAACATTGAATATCATATAAATTAGAAGGAATTAAATTAATATTTACATTGAGTTCAAATTTCCCCGTTGTATTAAATAGCATAAAGAATGGTATTAGTAGAAATGAATCACATAATTTTGTAACCTCCGATTTGCCAATTACGTTATCCCCAATAATATCTGTTGAATTAAAGGTTTGTATAAGCTTCATATATGGTATAGAGTCTATAGTTGTACTTTCTGTTTCTAATAATGTAAAACAAGTATCAGTAAATTGATAAAATTCTTCAGCATGTATCTGATGCCATTGACTTACATTATCATCATTCTGTATCAAATGCTTTACACTTGTAAATCCTGAATCTTGTTTATTACTAAAAACTTCTCTATTTACAATTCCACTACCAATTTTTAGTGTACACAATTTTTGTTCAAAACTAGCCACTGAGTGATTTAAAGAATTATCTGATAAATTAGAGTTAGTCCCTTCTATAATATTCAACATTTGAATATTCCATTTATCTATTGGAAATCTAGGTGGCTCAATAAATCCTATTTGACAGAATTTCTGATATTTATCTCCATTTACCATATAGTTTGTATCTTTGTGTTTGATTATCCAAGTAATTGCAATGTCTGTATCATCCGTCATATTAGGTAAATCGAGTATCAAATATAAAGGACGAATTTCATTTTGTACTGAATCAAAGCATTCTAATTTATGTTCATTCTCATTACATTCTGTTAATAAGGTAGTAAAATTAGAAAATGGAGATAAAATGTAAGCCTTAATTTTATAATCACTGATAGGTAAAGTTGACTCGGTAATTCTTTCGTCTCTATATATGTGTCTTGTATTTAATTTGATTATAGTAGGTAGAGAATTTATTGGATAAGATAGTAGAGAATATAAATTCATATTTGGGATAGCTAGAAAGGGTATTGGATTTACTATATTATTGAGGTTATCAAGAAAACCACCAGGGACGACGGTCAAATTAGGTGTACTATATATAAGTGTTTTTCCAGCTTTCATCCAATTTTCAATACAGGATGTTGTAGATAGTGGAGGTGAAATAATACAAAAGCGTTGATGTACAGGAATCAATTCTCTATATTCACTATGTAGTTCTAGTTTCAGTATAGGTGAATTCAATGATTCTACATCATCTATTCCTCCTTTTTTGAAGTAATTCACATTATATAACCTTTTATTCATATTCATGCATGGTAGTACAAATTGGGCTATGTTAAGATCTGAATTACCATGAGAAGAATTCTTCATATTTGGCAAGAATATCTGCAGAAGTACTCCAAATATTTCAACCTTAGTGTAGTTACATCGAAATAATAATGAATTGTTTATCTCAGAAAAATTATTTATATTTCTATTAATACTTTTAAGATCTTTAAGGGAATTAATTTTCGAATAATCTTCACCTGTACAGTTAATAGTATTAGCTCGTCCTAAATTTGATGGTATTATACACTTCAAAGCTATAGTTATATTTTCTCTGAAATGAACTTGAAATTCATATAATATTGAGCTAGCATCTTGATACTTTAAGTCCCTATATTCAATCTGATATATATCAGAAGTAACCAATTCAAAAAGACCTAAATTTGTTATTAAGTAAATAATAACTTTACTCTTGTCACTCAATATTTGAGTTCTAATAAATGATGGTAAACAATAAATCTTTATATTAAATGAAGATATATTTGTCTCATTAATTCCATATTCAATTGTAGCGAGTGAACCTGACAAATATTGTGTCATTAATATTGAGTCTCCATAGTTTACAAAAATTGAATCAGTTCTAATTGTATTTGATCCCAATATAGATTCAGTATGATTATTATAGTTCGTTATTAGTTTATTAAGATCTCTACTATATTTATCATTAATTTTAGAATTTACTTCATCTTCAACTTCATTTTTAGTTAACATGCTCTTATTTACATTATTTCCTGGAGAATATTCGTTTGAAAAAGTTTGTAAAACAAAGACCCATTGCAGAAGTTCTTGTAAATCTTCCTTAATATGCTCATCTTCAGGATTACAATGCTCAATTTCCAGAGCTAAAATTAGATATGCTAAATATAGAGTAGCTTGGGTCTTGTTACTTCTTATATTATTTCCACTTTCACTATTTACTCCTTTCTTAGATGTCCAACTGCGTTTAGGGCGTAATACAGCTAAAAAACTTAATACTACAGATCTCATGTATTGATAATCTTCACTACTTAAGATATTTGCTTCATGTTTCTCAGATTCTGGAAAACTGAAGCTCAGTAAACCCATATTCTTTGGTGGATTTTTAAGGCATTTAGGGATTTGTTTCAACCGTGTCTTATCTTCATTAGAGTCTATACATAATATTTGTAAAGTAGTACAATGTAAAATTCGAGTACATACATGTAATAGCAAAATAAAAGTGGGTTTTGTCTTAATAATATTCCCACTAGATAGCTTAGATATTAAATTTAGCAAATTATGGGGTATAAACTCCCAAGTATTACTGCATTGATACCTGCAGATCTCATTCATATTGAATATTGGCAAGTCCATAAATACATGCCTATGTGTTAAAGCATGTAGTAAGGATTCATATATACTGAAGCATAACTCAATGTAATTTTCATTATAAAGATATTCGGCAAAAGAAAATGCTACTAAATGGAGGCATCTATCCATATAGAATTGATTCAAATTTGCAGGTTGTAAAGTTGAATTAATTCCATAGTTGGAAGCCCTATTAGTAGGGTTAGTTCCATTTTGAGTAACGTTTGCTTTAGATGGTATGTAAGATCTTAAAGTATTACTTAAAGGCAAAATATGACGATAAATAATAGCTGATAAATAAAATAGAGCAATAGTTCTACAGAACAAACTGGTAGATTTCATAAAGGAAATAATATTGCGTCTCCAAATTTCAGACATAGCCAGATATTCACATATTAAGTTTTTGTAATTGTTATTTGTATCCAATTCAGTTGGTATATCACATAGTTTACATAGTTTCCCAATGTAATCATTGAGATTGTTTAGAGTAAAAATCTTGTTTCCAGATAAATCTAGAAAAATTTCTGGAGTAGTCAATTCTTGGAAACATCCTAGTGACACTGGATTTAAAATTTGACCCCCAATTTCAGGTATAGTAAAGAAATCTCCACCAAATTCTCTATAAACACTTAACAAGGCACTTCTTGCATAATGGCAATGCTCAGCAGATCCCTTGTACAATTTCGCAATTATAATAAGTATATTTGTAGTGTTTGCCAAGTCAAATTCATTAGAAGGTAAATTGTTTTCCGTTGTGTTTAAGTTTTCAATATTCTTCATTGTGGGGACATTATTGTTAGGTACAACACCATTAGAAGTAGTAGTAGATATCTTCTGAGATGTAGTATTACCTGTTAAATTTTGAAAAGATTTAGCAATAGAAGATAAAAGGCGTCCTAAATTATATGTAGAGCTAAATACATCAAGATTTCTATCAGTAGCTTTCTGATTCTCAGTACTAGATAAATTTGCAATTGAAAATGGAATTATAGAATTTTCCAGGTAATCTGCAAAATTAAATTTAATGTTGGAAGGAGGTCTCTTCTTAACTAGATTGTATAGTAATATAACAGCCAATTTCTGTAATGTATAAGATAACCATAGTGAAGTTAGGAATCTCAAATTCTTGTGTGTTAAAGAAAATCGCCGAATTATATTGCAGTGTACTTTTAAATGATCCATTGCTCTCCTAACATCACCATTTATTACATAAATATGATAAAACCTCAAGCTAATGAGATTACAGAGACTTATATACTGAAAAGTTGAAAAATTTGATTCAGATAATATTGAGTCCCAAACAATCATGTATTGTTTGAGAGCCAAGCTATAATTCCTACAAAATTCATTCATTACAGCACTTTTTATGCAGTATCTAATCAACAGCAATCTAGAATGAAGTTGGTTAAAATTTGGTACTTGACTTCCGCCACTTATTAGCGAAGATCTTCCCATTCGAGGTGATACATTAGCTGAGACAGATGAAGATGTTGAATATCTTAAATTAGATGATACTGATGAACTCTTCTTCGTTAAATTGTGGATTGAAGCCTCTGATCCTATTGACAAAGCTGCAGTTTTAGCTTTTATGGCACATTTCCTCCATCTTCTTTCATTCTCATTGTAATAAGCTAGAGATGATTCATAGGCCATTTCTGCTAATTTTTCTATTCTTGAATGTAACTGTCTTTGGTGTCTTAGGCCACAAGTTACGAATATTGCCTGTAATTCTGGGAAATGATTTTTATGAAAGCATGATACACAAGATTGGGGATCTGGTATACCTATTGGTAAAACTACAAAAATTAAAACTGATGGAGGAGAGTGACGTTTCCGAAGAATAAATGATAGTGAATCTATAACACTTACTGCCTCCATTTCCAATTTCTTAATATTACTATTATCAGAACTTTTAGAGCTACTATCGCTCGGGTTTGGATAGTTTTGCCAGTTGAAGCATAATATATATAAAGCTGGTGTTTCATTCCGTACCTTATTCATCCAATTAGAGTGAATTACGTCAATTCCACGAGCATTATAGTTTACAGTATTTCCTGACAAAGTTATTGGAGAGTTTGATAAGGACTGGTAGCCACTAGATCGTTGAGAAGTCCTAGATGGAGTTGCTGAAGAAGATGAAGTATATGTCAAATCTGAATATGTCATAAGCTTAATCTGCATACAAGGTTCATTATATAAGAAGTCTTTTGGTTTATATGCTAAAATACTTGAATATATTTGTTCTTGTATCTCCTCGGGAGCTACTAGGGATATGAGTGGTTTTAGATATCCCAACCACTCTACTGCAAAGCCTTCCATTGGTCATCTCAAATGTCAAATAGTCCAACTTAATCAAATATTCACCCTCAAATTAGTATTGGGTCTTCAATGATCATTATCTTTCAAAGTGAAGCTTGGCAAGGGTAGTTATTCAACAATAAGAACCCCACGTTCACGCGCACGCGGTATACACATCTTATTTACTAAGTCAAGATCAGGACAAGAACAATGCAACTTAAATGTCAAATATGGATAATAAAAAAAGTGAAGACTTTAAATTTTATTTAATATTAATGAATATTAGTAAGAGACAAAATTTTGGGGCTCTATTGCGAAGTGCTTGTGGCTTTGGTGTATCTGAAGTACTTGCTGTAGGGAAAAGAAAACTTAGGACTTTTGGTAACAAGGGGACTCTACCTTATATTAGCTTAACATACTATGATACTCTAGAAGAAGTAGTAGAAATAGTTCATGCTGAAGAAATGGATATTGTGGGTATTGAGATTAATGAGAACTCTTTACCAGTTTACCCACATCCATTTAGACGCTCTACAGCATTTATACTTGGGAATGAGGGTACTGGTCTAAGCCAAAGACAAATAGATATATGCGATTATCTTGTCTATATTCCAATGTATGGTTCTGGTACTGCATCATTAAATGTAGCTATAGCAGGTTCTATTTTATTTCATCACTTTGCTTTGTGGGCCAAATTTGACGAGTCTCATCGTACTGGTCAGAAGTACACTTTAGGTGAATACTTAGATAAGAAATCTGGACAGTATATACATGGAAAATTGAGGCATTATCTAAATCCTTCACCATTTGGTAAGTTTTGATATTATATATTTTCAGTTACTTATAAGTTGTATAAAAGACAAACAGTCCACTATATTGTTCAAGTTAAATACATGAATATATATCACATAATTTATATTCATTGACTTATCTCTTATTTTGTTAGAAAGGGAAATAATGAAGAAAAAACAGATACAAAGGTATGTTTACGATTAGTCTTATATATAATAGATCTAAATTTTGATCAGATTTATAGATCACAAAGGAAATGTAACATGATTGATCTTGAACCAATTTCAATTGATCTCTTTCAGACCAAATTATAAGGGTATTTTTAAGAAATTAGATTTCATTATTCATGTAAATCCATAAGTTTCAACAATACCTTTTTTAGATGTTGACGAATACCTAGATCTTTACATGAAATGCATTCAATAAGCTGGGGATAAAGATCAGCAATATGTTGATTATATCTAGTTTCTTGGTTATGAGTTCTAATATTGGCTTGGTTAACTTTAAGATTTCGAAGTTTATTTAGAGTAACATGAACTTCATCAATTCGATGTTGCGGTAAAGGTCTTAGCCCATTTTGAATATCATCCAATGCAAAATTATGTAGTATTTTGCGTACTCGATTATATAGTATAGGTATGATATATACTGATGTGGGTTCAACCAAATTATATGTAGAGTCCTGACTATCTAAACTTTGGTAAATATCAAAAAGCTTTTCCAATATATATTTACTTACTATTGGATCTAGTACTGATTTGCTATTTTCATAGAAGTTATCCAAGTTAGTAACTAGTACTTTGTAGTATTTTACTGGTAATCTAAATCTCCTTTTCTGGGATTTCTTTAATTTACTTTGCACTGATAAAATACAATCAACTATTGTATTCACAAGAAATAAATCCAAAGGGTTTTGATTTTCACTCTTGTAAGAAGTTTCATACCTATTTACCAATAGTGTATTTAAGGTATCTACAATTACTGGCCAAATATCTTTTGTTAATATCTCAGTAAATTCTTCAATTAAATTAACATTACTTGAAAATATGACTTTATTAACTTGTTCTCTATTTATTATATTATTGTTATTTCCTTCAGATGAGACTTCGGTAGTTTCCTCTTTATCTAGTATCGTAGTTTCAATAATATCTACAGTTTCATCAAGGTATGCAAACAAAGATATCCAATCATGAATTATACTTAGTATAGTTTCTATTGTAGCAATCCACAGGCAGAATTTTCCAGTATGACTCGTTATACATGATAATTTAGAAAGTTTTTTTAAAATAAAAGGTAGTATAGAGAATTCTTGGATAATTAATCCATATCTTCCAAATAAAGTTTCTGCTTGGTTTTTTTTTAAATCCTCTGATTCTAGAGTTATTTTAAAGTTATAGATGCAAGCTAATATACTATTTCTATTGCTTCGAACTAGCAAGGCCATTATTTTACAAGCTAATCCAATTTTAGAAGAATCTAAGTATACAATATCTGGATTTAAAAATGATTCCATAATTTCAATGATTATACAAAAAAATATTTCTCTTATGTAGTTATTCTTGTTTTGAAGATTTGAATTAAACATATTTTTTTGAATTTGAATTGGCATAAATATGAGGAAAACGTTTAATACTTCCAGACCCATACTTTGTGGAGTTGATAAACATCTTATCCTTGATATAAGGCTGGAGGATAAGCTTTCATTAGAATTAGTTACAGATGGGACATACGTAGATTTTAATCCTTGAACTTTTTTTTTATTTTTCGAAGGCTGAATAGGCTTCTGATTATTTGGTATTTGTATACTATTTAAGTGTGTAAATTCCAAACCTTTCCACCATAGAATTTGATATTTGCTTGGGATATTTTTAAGTAAGTAAAGAACATTGGGAAGATCTTCTAAAGAGGTCTCACCATAATTGTCACTTGAAGTAAGAAAATCAAATAGTGAAGTGTATTGATAGATTATACCACAATAATTGTTAAGGTTTGAATCAGAAAAGATTATTAAAGATGTTGGTAACTGAGCAGGACCACGAGAGTAAAGATTAGATGAATTTGCAAGTAAATTAAAGTTAGGGGTATCTAGAAATCTCGATTGACCCCATATAGCTAAAGGTATATGTTTTATTCCCCAATAAATTGGTCCATAGTAATCATCGATAGGAGTATCACTTAAATCTTTAGACTCAAATAAAGTGAAATATTCAGCAGTAGAATCTAATGAACTTATTTGAGTAGAGTTATGTAATTCTTTATCACTTATAATATCAGTTGTAAAGGGAGTAGCAGTCGATAAGAACATAGGAGTTGCTGTCATAATTACAATTGTTAAATGTAGCAGTGTAATTATCTGGTTAAAGTCTCTTTTCGAAAAATTGTTGGTATTATCAAACATTACATAGGTCAAAATATCTATTACAGACTGAAGAAGAACCTCTGCAAACTTGTCAGATAAGCAATTTTTGCCTATTTCGCTTAGTGTTATACTTCTATTATCTTCAATATCTTTTTGGTATAATAGTATTTGATGGCTCTCATTTAATATTTTGATGCAGATTCCCCAATAAATAGAAAATCCAGTATCCCATAATTGGTCATTGTCAGAACCAGCATTTCTAGGAATAATGAGTAAAGTTTCACATAAAGTCTTAGCTGCCACAACTTGTATGTCTCTTCCAATGTTTGAAAACTTAGAACTAACAAGTATAGACTTTAATATAGAAAAAAGTGAGTTTATCCACTGTTTATATGTATTGAATGAAACAACCTTAACAACTTCCCTAATTACACGATAAGTTCCATCAATAGCAATTTCTAAGCTACTCTCCCAAAAAAGTGCATAATCATTCTCTTTTATCTCACTAGGGATATTTAAAATATTTGAACTAGTTGTAAGTGTTCCATCATATTCTTCATAAATCTCCATTAATACATGAGTAACAGTTCTAATCATAGCAAATTCAAGGAGTTGCCAGTTGAAATGTCTACAATGACTGATTAATGCGGAATATAAACTCCTTAGGGCACAGTTTCTAACTTCTTGTCTAGTATCTCTGCATAAACTTTTTAATTGAAGAATTAGATGTAACCAAATAGACTCTTCAGAAGCAGAACTTGATGACCAAATAGATGCTTCAAGATCTCTAGTTATTTTTACGCGAGATATGTTATATATGAAAATTTCATGTTTATTCTTACAGCATGAATATTCTATGAAATCTTCTACATTACAAGTTATAGAAGAATTTTTTGAGCTATTTATAATTTCATCTTGAGTATGTAATTCTTTTGAAGTACAATTACTATTACATTCTATATAATTTATATTATCCAATTTTCTGCTGCTTAGACAATTAGAGTCGCATTCATCTTCTAAAATTTGCTCATTATTTTCTTGAATTCCTATTTGTTTAGCAATTCCTTGAATACCTTCGAGATAAATATGGTTAGATTCATTTGAGGGTGTTTGTTTAAATAATCTACGCCTCCCTATGACATCTCCTAGTTTCCACAAAAGACTTACAGCTTGAAATGCTACTCCTTCATTTAAAATAGGAACTCTCCCATAGGCTGCTATTGATGATATTAAAAGATGCCATGCTGAAGTGATTATCAGATCTTGAGGATTATCTATTTCAGTTTCAAGGCAAAGAAACTCTAAAAGGGGATATAGAGAGTTTAATATTTCAAGTTCCTCTGTATGATTTAATCCAAGTTTTCCATTAGTTTTTTCACTTTTATTTTTAATAAATTCAAGATGTCCATCAATTACGCAAGTATCTTCAGTTATATTTAATGTTTCTAGTTTGATAGTTTGAATATAATCTTTAAAATCTAGCTCAATAGCAATTCCAGTAGTTGTGACAAGCAGTGTCCAAGCTGAAAGGTCCAATTTTGGAGTTGTTGCACATAAGATAGCATATAAAGATCTCAAAAACATGCAAGCATATTGAGGAAAGCTATTAAGAAAGTCAAAATAAGGAAGTAACAACAAAGATTGAACACTTGATATATCTGAATTTAATCTTAGAAATTCATTATATTGAACTTCTTGAGTATTTAATTTTTGATCATTATCTTCAGAAGTGGCATAGCGAGATATTGTATCAAAATCTTGCCTTAATCCATTTCTAGTTAAAGAGTCAATATCACTATTTACCACTTTATTTACACCTTTTCCTTCATTATTACAGTTTCCAAGCTGACCATTAACTTTTTTTCTGCAGTTTTCGTTAGTCTCATTCCCTAATGTATCAAATACAGTAATAATAACTGAAGACATAAAGCTTAAGATCATGTTGCAAATATTAAAGTATATACTTTCATTAGATGTAGTAGGGTTATAGTTTGCAGCATTTAAACTATGATCCCTTGAACTAGAATAGGTTTTTACATGTTCAAGAGACTTCAGAGATATACAGTCTTTATTTTGAGCAAATTCTAGAATTCTGAATAAAGTAGGAATTACATATTGATTCCAAATTGGAAGTAATCTCTCAGGATTACTTTTTAGGATTTGTCCCAATTTATGTAAAAAATAGCTACAGTGAGTAAAATCGAATTTTTCATTATCTATTATACTTTCCAATTGTTCACACAGTGCAATAACTAGCTTAGTAAGACAGCTAAGTGAAATACAGCTAAAAGATTCTGTAAAGAGTGTTTCATGAGCCATCTTCAATATAGTTGATTCTGCAGTCAATACTTTCATTTGGTTGGAGGACTCTGTCATCATTGGACCCAATCCAAAATCTAAAATATCATCTATCTCTTGCATATGTTTAAAGAGGTACCTCCATTCTTGGATATCAAAATATTCGCTATATTGATAAGCAAGTGATAGATTACATTTATATGCTGTTAATATTGCTTCATAAGAGGCCTTCTCAGTTGAAATATGCTCAGAAGGAATCTTGTTAATTTCATATTCTAGTAGATCTGTGAGTATATCTATAATTTTTGAAGATATCTCCTTTACATTTGAACAATTTACAACTGCGTATAACCCCATTATTGCTCTATATACATGCCAACGTAATAATTGAAAGTTTGTACAAAATTTAAATGATTTACATAGGATATCCCATGCTTGTTCTACCACAGAGTCAAAGTTCTCTTTTATGTCTAATTTGAAATAGTTAGAAATATTAGTCTTTAGATTAGTCAATACATTATCAAAATCATTTGAAAAATTATGCAGAATAATTCTAGAAATATTAAATAAACATGAAATAAGACTTATTTGTGAGTCAATAATTAAAATGGCAACTTCTATGAAGTTTAAAGAGTTCATAGTAACTGAAGATATTAACCAAGAATTTGATTGGGATATGTTTGAAGAAGCTGAATGATTTAAAATATTCTTAGATTTACTATGTTGATTTGATTCTGTAATTGGTGTTAACCCAGATGATGATTTGGGTGAAGAATTTGATATGTTGATAGAGGATGAAATATTTACCACTTTGCTTGTATGTGCACCTTTTGTATCTTGAAATTTAGTTATATTGTATATCCTATCATCTTCAATTACAATATCAATCAAACGAATTTTTTGCTGATCAAGGTTAGAGTTTGAACTTCCTGAAATTGAGCTACCACATACTATATTTGCATTACCAGGTTGAGGTATTAAAATATTTGGTAAAGATAGTCTCTGATTGAGGAATGTAGATACAGAGAGATTCAAAGAGCATTCAGATGAATGCAATAGATTTAATTTATTTGATACCGAAATTAAGAGATTTGTTAATACACGTAATATGTATTCAACAATATTTAAACCATTCCCAGAAAATTTAATATAATTTCTTGAACACTTCATAGTTTCACAATTTTTGAATTCCTTAATTGTATCTTCGTGCTCTTGTATTTTTGAAATTTCATTATCCACATCATAAGTTGTACAATTGCTTTTGCCTTGAAAGTCAATAGTACTTCTAGTCTCTTTCGGTATTTCTAATTTAAGTGAAGTATTCATTTCATCAAAATTATCATTTACTCTACATTGTCCAAGTCTTAGTACTGCTATTGGATCTTGAAAAATGTCACTGAACATTTCTAAAATACATTGAAGGGCCCAACTAGGAATATTTTTAAAATTTTGAATATCTATGGTATTTGATAGACATTCCAGACATTTAAAGATACAATCATCTACAAAAGGACCTTTAACCTGAAAGTTTAGTAACCGAATAAGAAGTCTCAAATATCTTGCAAATGTGACAAATTCGAGTAAATTTTGAGATAAAGATTTATCTAAAATTTTACATCTCTTAATGATGCACTTTGTAAGAGTTGGGAATAATACATTAGCCACTAAATTTGCAAAGTCATTATTATTAATTAAATGGGATGTTTTATGAACATCCAAAATATCATGCCAAATATCTAGGCACAAATCAGATGGTATTGTAACTCCTTTTAGTAAGGATAGTGGAGTAATTTCATTTAACTGAGCTTCATAAGTCTTATAAGAATTAGTATTAGTATTCAATTTTTGGTTTTTCTTATTAAAATTTGTCATTGAAAGTTTTGATAATCTAGAATTACTGTTTATTTCAGAATATTCTGCAAAAGTTGGATCAATCATTACAGCTAAATCTTTTAGTAACAGTAATGATACTATCGCCTGTTCAGAATTCTCAATTTTGGAGACTAGTTCATTATTGCAAAGATCTCTATTTTCCAAATCTGTATTGTTCAAATCACTTGTACTACTTGTCATTTCTAGCCTTCCTGATATTTCGCTATATCTTAAAAATTCTAGTGAAAAATTTACTAGTTGGCGAATACCAATATTAGACATTTGTTTAACTTGTGGATAATCTTTAATACAACATAAATTTGCTATTGTACTAATTAATAAAGATATAATAGATTCATTGTATTCTGTGACTCCTGGAGTTAAAAATAATAATGCAATTTGAATAACTTTTAATAAAATATGCTCTTTTTCATTATTCACACTAGAAGATAATCCTGATGATATATTTATTGGATTACTTACTAATTTAGATGAAGACGAATTTTGTGTACCTGAAATATATGTGGAAGAACGTGGTGCCGTTATTTTGAAATTTGATGTAAAACAAGCTGTCATGGAAACTTCATTTAAAACTGCTAAAATTGTTATAGCATGAGATGTATCAATAATACCTGGAACTAAGATCTTTTGTAAACAATTCATACCAAGAATAGCTAAAATTAATCCATCTGAATATTTAGTTGATGTTACAATAGCTTCTCTACATGCTGAACAAACATCTGTTGCAGGAAATCTGATACAGCTAATTTCATTATAAGGCATATTACGTATTAGATCGTGATAGTGACGAAAACTAAGTAAAGCTTTTTCACAGATCACCTTAATGTAGCCAAAGTTTGTATTTTTGCTAGCATTGCAAATTGCTCGAAGATCTTCTTCAATATTTGGACATATATTTCTGGATTTTCTTGTAAGCATTACAAAAAGCCTTGTTTAAGATATTTAAACATTATATAACATTAAATAGATATCTAATATGTAATTTAAATCCAAAAATTATCCTGTTACTCAAAACAAGTACTTTAGCGTAGAAGTTAAATATCACAAATTATAAGCGCCAAAATAGCACTAATATTAGTTTTACAAGACAGCCAATTATAGAACTAAGAAGAAATAACTGGAAATATTACTTTATTTAAGGTTCATATCACTTCTAGTAAGATTTACTTTGTTTTAAAACCTTTGTATTTATTATTCATATCACTTTTCTATCTTAAATATTGAGGATATCCTCATCTTATATAGTCTATACTAAATAGGAAGATTGCAAGACTCAAAAATTTCTAGAAAAAGATCTCTCTATTGAAATATAATATAAACTATAATATCCTTATATATTATTATTATAATATATATCTTAGTAGTAAGTAAGTAACTTTCTTTATAATAAGCAGTAAATTACTTATTTTAAAGAAATTGTTAGGTTCATACTATGAATCACAAAAGATTATCTTTGTTTGTATCATATAAATCATAATTTGGACCTACTGAATTATAAATCATAATTTTATTCTCAAGGTGTTGCAAATCTGAATCAGGAGGATGAAGACTAGGTGACATTCCCAATTTAATTTTCCAGTAAGCTAAATTATATTCATTGTTTCTTCCGTAAATAATAACCCGATCTATTTTTTCATTAGCTGATAGAGTATTCACAATGATGTTATTATTCAATGAAATATATAAGTATGAATGATTTACTTTAGAATACATATCTTTAATTTCTTTATATGTTTTTTTTGTAAACTTTAATGTCTGATATTGATAAAAAGCAAAAGTAAGTAAATCTGTCTGTTTCTTCGAATATATCCAATTATTACTTTTTGTTAAAAGGCAGTCTTCTGATGTATTGTTAGTACAACTTTTAAGATTAATAGACTTTTTTATTGCATACTTTATAGGAGGTTGTACAAAATATAAATCTCCAATAACCCAATTACCTTCATGAATAGAATTTGGCATTTCAAACAACTCATTTCCTATAGTTGTCTGAATTAAAATATGATCTTTATTAAAATTAATAGTTGCAAAAGGAGTTCCAGAAGAAAAAAGTGACATAGAAATAGGTAGAATATTCATAGGTGGAGCAATAAATCCAAAACGTAAAAATTGTTGATCGAGTTGTTGAACTAGATTTATATTCAATATAGGGCTTTTACAACTTTCATTGAAATTTACTAGGGAACATTCATATGGAATTATTCCAGTAAAATGTGATCTGTAATGCCAATGAGTTTGAAGTTCAGTATTACTACTATCTAATAGTCTAATTGATGATGGACATTTGGTAGAATTCGCCCTAAGAACTGATACTAAAGGTTGTAAATTTGAAGAAGAAATTAAATAATACATAGTTAAGGTCCAAGCAAAAGTCATATTGAAAATATCCCATAGATACCATCCTTTAGGATATGCCGAAGTATCAAATTGTTCTTCATTGTAGTTGGTTAGTCTAGCACAACAACTATTAAACTTAACACTTGCTAATGGTATATCTGAATTATCTTTAATTAAAAGAGTTGTTTCATTATTATTTAATAACATTTTTTTTGGGATTACAAATGAAATGGAAGCATTGTTGCATGTTCCTTCGGAAGGTAAGTTAAATATTGCTGAATTTGATGTATTATTTAAAATCTTTTTATGATTATTATCATCAATTCCATTTTTATCATTTCTACCTTTATTTCCAAAATAAATAGTTGAATTTGAGTTATATCCTGAACTTAGTGCTTTTTTTAGAGGGTTACGAGAGTCTGAACTTGGATTATTACCATTTACAGTAGAAGATGTTGTAACTAAATTAACAAAAATATGAATTTATTATATATCTAATATAAATTTTATATATAACTTACTCGGTGTAAAATTAGTTTTAATACCCCATAGTATATTTTCTGAAAGAGTTGTTTGAACTGAACTATATTTATAAGCACATTTTGCTGATATAAGTGCTACTGAGGGATCTGAACCCTATTAAAGATAATAAAATAAATTATATTGAATTTAAGTATTAAATATATAGATGTTTAAAATTACAAATATATATTTTAAATCACTTTTTATTAACTAAACTTACTGAAGTTAGTATAAATTCCTCATTGTAAATCCCAAATATCATCGAACATCCTCCAATTTTAGAATTATTATTATTTAGGGAAACATGATCAGAAACTAAGGAATAATAAATAAAACAAATTTGAAAATCACTTATATAAGAGTTAAATCTATTTATATTTTAAATTAACTAACCTATTTGTGAGCAAACAATATATACTTCCTTGCCATTATTTCCACATACTATAATAACACTATTACCATTAACATCTGATAGATAATAGGATAATGTAACAGGCATTTTTACATCTCCAATAGCTGAAATTGCTAGACCATTAGTAAAATATGTATATTTAGGAGGATAGTATGGTCCTAAATTGAAATTCATTGCCTCACAATAACCTCCTTCAACTGCATCAGTTTCATTTTTATACAAGTTACAATCAAGAACTATGGATTTATCATCAGATACTTTAGGACTACTATTAGAGGAACCCATTTTAGCATTAACTTAATATCTAAATATTTATTGTATTATTTATTATTGACTATACGTCTATAATATCAGTACATGTGACCTTAAATAAAGGAGACATGTGACATGGGATGTCTAACTTTATTAGTAACGCAATATATAATTTGTAGATTTACACCCAAAATAATGAAATCTATAATGTATAATATATTACAGTATTAAATATAAGGTTTGTATATTGTTAAGTATAATTTTATACTTCAAAAGTTACTTTACTATTTATTTAAAAAGTATTTGTCAAAGAGACATAACGCCTTTTTTTCATATAGTTTCAGATTAATATACATTTCTAGTTATTTATACACATTTCACCCGATCTTATCAAAGATAAATTTATTATAACTAATTAGATATTAATTATATAATTCCAAATCTCTACAATATTATAAAGATCAATTATTCTGATTTCTTATTATTTCTTCTAGTTGAATATTCCCCATTTAGTTTATATCTAATATTTTTTCTACCTAAAATATATTGATAATATATTATTTGGTATAGTGGAATTGTATTAAGTAATGCAGAAGTTATAGTTGTTAAGAGTAATATTTTATTACCTTTTGAATTACTAATTAATACTGTAAGAAATCTTGACCATGCCCCACCACATAGTAATAAAAAAGATATAAATGATAATTCTCCTGTATTACCTTCATAAAAGCATTTTAATATTTGTGGGACCATTGAGAGTATTATAAATATAACTGGTGTTAAAGATAAATATTTTAAGATAGTTAATGAGATCATATTATTATACAAAAGTATAATAAGTATAGATAATGATACAATATAAAAGGTATTCATTATATTTGAATGTTTATTTATCTTTTTTGTATCTTTTTCAGAAAGTAAGATACATAGAATGAGAATAATAATATTTTGAATACCAACAAAACAATTATCTATCCATAATAAATAAGGGATCTGAAAAACCCAGTTATAATAGGAATATATAATACAAGATATAGTAGCAATATATATACCAAATGTACTAATACCTGATATACTCCTTGATTTTATAATTTGAATTATTTGAGGTATTTTAACAATACTAGATCCAATAATAATAGCATAATTAAGATAATTTGATATAAATAAGTACATATCACTTTAAGCTAATTAATTAAACTTTCAATATAATCTCACTTTTTGGTCAGATATCTTTATTATATTATTTAGGTTAAATATAACCAAAAAAAAGAAGTTTAAACCGGTCTAAATATCGTTGATTATTAAGCTAGTAAATATTTCTAAATAAAGATATTTATAGGGCGCTACAGTGTGTGTAAATAGACACTTGGTACCTAATATGGCTATTAGTTTTTTTATTTTCTTATTTTTAAAAAGGATTAAAGATAAAAATAGCTTGAATTATATTAAATGAATATTATTATATATTTCATATAATATATAATCTATAAATTACATCATTATATCTCTTTTTCTGTATTGCATTAGTATATATTTAAATCATAATATTATCTGGGTGCTAAAAGTACTTTGCACACAAGGGGTGCATATATTGTAGAAAATAGTTTTTTTAGTGTAAATATATATAGGCAAGAACACTAAATACTAGGAGAATAATCTTATTATAAAATACCTATTATTGAAAATATGAAGTAATAAAAAAATAATTATTTATTATTATTTTAGAAGGTAATAATAATAGAGTCAGATTAAATTTAAGATAGAAAATAACGAAAATATAAGAAATGTCTAATCCTGGACAAAATCCAGTTCCAATTCCAGCTATACCAGTCGTTGCAATATCACAAACTTCACATTCAGATACTCCTCCAACAACCTCTGTTGTACAATTACCTCCAGTAAATGCAGGACTTGGAAATCCTCAAAAAGTACCTCCAATATCAACAAATCAAGTTCCTGTTACTACAAAGCCAGGTATAATTAATAATCCCGAACCACAGACAAATATTTTAGATATAAATGAGATTCATTTCCCAGCTACAAAACAGGTATTTTCTAGATCAAGTCCACATGAAGTTAAAGTAGCAATTATTATGACAATAATATGCTTAATAATTGTGATTGGTTTCACTATTAGGAAATATCGAAAATTAAGGCGAGCAGGAAAACAAGTACGTGAAGTAACAAATACAGTTTTCCCAGTACGTATAGTTAGTCTATATTTATATATCTTCCTATTATTTCCAATTGTTGTTTTTATGCAATTTTTGGCATGTATTGCACCATTAGGATATGGATCATATTCTATAATTCAATCTATATATGAATCTACTTCTTTTATATGGTTATGGGAATTATTTGTTGAGTATTTTGGGGGTTCCGAACAAATAGTTAGTGCTCTCAGACGAACAGGACCATATAATATATGGAAAGTTCCACCATTTATGATAAGTACAGGTAATGAGAACTATTTTAAACCAAATGTCCTTATTATTAGTTTTATTCTAACTTTACAGTATATGCCAGTAAATATATTAATTACTTTACTAAAATTTTTATTACCCATATATTCCAATTCATTTAATATCCCATTAATTATATCTCTTATGATAGCTTTTTATGGAATTATGCTTGTTTATTGGCCAAGTAGAGAAGCTCTACAACCTTATCAAGGAGGATGGAAACTTGGACTTTTATTAATAATTACTACACTCATAATTATAGTAGATATTGTAACAAAAGTTATACTTGGGAATTTTGGTCAACATTCTTTTCTATATATGTTTTATTGGAGAATAATGCTAACTTGTGGAGTAGGTACTATTGGAACTCTAGTAGCTGCAGGAGTAATAGATTCAAAAGAAATATATAAAATATATAATCTTCCAATACCAAGTAAAGATAAATCTGAAGAAAGTAAAGAAGAAACTAATAAAATACTTCCCAAATAAAGTAGAGGAATTATATTCAATTTTCAAAAAAGATTTTTATTTTATTTTATTATTATTATTACTATTACTATTTTTTTTATATGAATAAATGTATTAATATTAAATTAATAGATCTTAATATTTAAAATTTTATTATTAATCCATTCTACTCTTAAGTTTTTTTGTAATAAGTTGTGTTGGGGTTAATAAATAAATAGTACAACCCCAACCAGAAAGAGCATCTCTATCAAGACCTGCCAACATACATTGAGATATTGTCTCCATAAGTTGATCAGTATCCATATCTGGTTTATAAAAAGATTCGCATATACCAAATAATTGTCTATCAGCCGTCCCAGATATAGCAAAATCACTACATTTTGATAAACATCCAATAAGATCATAACCAGCTAAATATGGTTCATTATTTTTATCAAGACCTGCAACAATAGGCTCAACTAAATATGGACTAAAACGTTTACTATATAGAAGAGATGCTGTCATATGGCTTAAAGCTTTGGCATCTATTTCTCTTTCTTCACGTAATTTATAGAGATTTGTATGAAATTTTATAGTACTTGAGACGGTATGAATATCAGTCGCAAGACCAGAAAATCCAATAAGAGTTTTTGAACTTGGATTAATTACTTTATTGAAAGATGTAGATATTGTTGAAAATTGATTAAATCCCATTCTCATATCTGTTGCAATAGCAATACAATTTTTACCTTTCATAGCCATTACAGTACCTCCATTAAAAGTAAAATATGACTAGAAAAAAAAAAGAGAAAATATTTAATTTATAAAATATACAAGTTAATAATAAACAAAAAAATAAATTCGAAAAAGAAAATTATAAAGTTATAATGGACTTAGTTTCGAATTTCTAAGATACTTACCATTATGAAATATTGAAATTTTAAAGAATTCCTAGATATACAAGATATTAAACAAATTTATTAAAAATAAATACAAGCTTTCAACTTTAGTATTTATATAGTTAAATCTGGTATAATTTTAATAAATTTTAAAGTAATTTTTGTTCTAATAGGTAATTGTACCCCACAGAAAATCAGAGACATTTAGCGGTATATTATTCTTAAATATTAGCTAATCTATCTAGTGTTAAGGAGAGAAAGTAAGTTATCCAAATATATAAATTATTATCTAGTTATTATTAATTTAGTATATATAATTAAGAATAGAACTCTAATGGGGATAATTTACAAATATTAGATCATTAATGGAATCTAAGAATAGTGAAGATGCATACAATACAACGCGTGGGATATTGTCCCCTATTATATCAAATACAAATTCTTTAGAAAATTGGATAAATACTGAAGATACTTCTAAAAAATCTAAAAGAGATACAAATTATTATTTCAAATGTGCATTAGGAGGTATTATAAGTTGTGGAACTACTCATACAGCTATAGTACCTATTGATATTGCAAAATGTAGAATTCAAGTATATCCTGATAGGTATCGTGGTTTATTATCAAGTTTATCACTGATTATTAGAACAGAAGGTTTTCAAGCTTTAAAATTAGGTTGGTTTCCAACATTAATCGGTTATTCTACACAAGGTGCATTAAAATTTGGTTTATATGAATATTTTAAAGATTGTTATTCAAATATTGTTGGTGATAGAATAAGTTCTAAATATAGAGGCCTTTTGTGGCTTAGTGCATCTGCAAGTGCTGAATTTTTTGCTGACATTGCACTTTGTCCAATGGAAATGGTTAAAATTAAAGTACAGACTTCATCAAAAGATAATTGGCCAACTTCATTATATTCATCAACTAAAAATATGTGGAAATATAGATTAAATACAAAATTTCCTTATGGAAGTCTTGTACCATTATGGTCTAGGCAAATACCTTATACAATGGCAAAATTTTATTTTTTTGAAAGTATCGTTGAATATTTTTATAATAATATTTTAACTAAACCAAAAGATTCATATAGTAAGCAATCTCAATTAGGTGTTACATTTTTATCAGGATACCTTTCTGGGATTATATGTGCAGCTGTATCACATCCTGCTGATTCTATTGTATCACAATTAAGTAAAGTTAATCAAAATAACAAGAGTATAACTATGATTGCAAAAGAAATAGGTCTTAAGAATTTGTTTACAAAGGGTCTCGGTACAAGGATATTTATGATTGGTACTCTAACTGGTCTTCAATGGTGGATTTATGATTCTTTCAAGACCATGATGGGTCTTGAAACAACTGGTAGTAATAATAATACAAAAAGGAACACTTTAATTCATTATTATTAAGGGGTAATTTTATAAATATTTCAATAATTTAGAGATTTATTATTTCAATATTTACTTAGGTAATTTTTAAATAAATTCTTTATTATTTTAAATTATGTTAGATTCTAAAATTTAAAAGATTGTGTTTACAATATTTAATAATATAAATTTAGAGAATTATTTTACTGTATTTTATGAAATATCTTAAGAAGTTGATCCTTATTTTCTGCTTAATATAATATCCAATAATTATTATTAGAATAAAGTTGTCCTTTTTTTTAAATAACATTACTAGAATAATATAGAGTTATTTTAGATTTGAATATTTCAATTATAATTATATTCTTAAATTCTTAAACTAAAATAAGTCAGAGTATCTCCTTTTATTTAAAGTAATGAGGAATTTTTATTATATATTAATATTTATAAGTATAAGATTAATTAACCATAAGTTTATTTAAATTTTAAATATTAAGAAAGGTTTGGTATTATTAATTTTTAAAAATGACTAACAAGGAACAATAGATGTAATCTATGTTCTTTTGTAATAGAGCGGTAACTTTGGTACCACATTACATGCATGTATGCATGCACTTTATTTTGTTAAAATATAATTATTACAATTTTTAATTTATTTGATTTAAGTTTATAAATAAGTTTTAGAAGAGTATAGATATGGGAAAAAGAAGTGAAGATAATTTTTCAATAGATGAAGATGAATCTGAAACTTTTTCAGAAGAAGAAATAATAGTTAAAAAGAATGTTAGACCAGTTAGGAATACTAGGAAAAAAATCAAATATACTATAGATAATAATTACAGTGATAATTCAGAATATGAGGATTTTGAAGATATTTTAACTGAAAGAGATATTGATGATTTTGATCAAGATAATCTTTCAGATATTCAACCATCCAAAATAAAAAGTGGTAAAAAAGCAGTAGAAAGAAAACCTACAGCCCCTAAAAATCTATCAAAAAGAAATGTAGCTAATACAAGCATTGCTAGTACAGATATACAAAAAGCTATATATGATTATATGAAAATACAGAATCGTCCATATTCTATTCAAAATGTTGTAGATAATCTTCATAATATATATAGTAAGAAACAAGTTACTGAAGAAATGGAAAGGCTTGCAGTAGAAGGTAAATTTATATGTAAAGAATATGGCAAACAAAAAGTTTATTTAGTAAATCAAAGCGAATACCAAGAGCTGAATAAGGAGGAGATGGCAGAGTTAGATAAAGAAATTTCCAATTTAGAGGATATTAACAGACAATTAGAAATTAGGCTAAAAAGTTTAAAGCAAGAGACTAGAAATCTAAGTGCACCAATTCCTTTAGATGTACTGGATGATAAAATAAGTCAAATGGAATTAAAGGTAATATACTTATATTAGTTATATAGTATAAATTATATAACTTTTTTTTTATTTTAGAATTCTGAATTATTAAATGAGATTGGAAGTAAAGAGAAGTTGATTGGAGATAATACACAAAATATTTCTATTGATGAATTGCAAAAATTAAAGAGTGAATATCAATCATTACAGGTAATTTAATTAGTAAAAATAAAAATAATTATTAAAATATATTTAAACTGGATTTCTATACAATCTTAGGCACGTTGGAAAAAGTATAAAAATGCATGTAAACAAGCTATTGACATACTTTGTGAATCAATGGATCAAAAGGTAGAAATTATTGAAATTGTTTTTTTTATATATTTATCTAATATAATGATCTAATTTATATAAAAATATATTGATTTTTTTTCAGACTTCTGATTTGTTGGAGGAGATAGGTATTGAACTAGATCCATAAGAGTAGCTAAATTGACATAAATTACGCGCTTAAAGTATTCATTAATTTATCTAAGTGAATTTTTACAACATAAAATTAGGAAAGAATATAGTATTGGTAGATCAGAGTTTGGATGTGAATATAAATGAATAATAAGTATTCAAGTATTTGGTTAGATAAGAGATTTATTTTTTTTGGTTTTGAAGACAAGAAAGAATTAGAAATTCTACATAAAGTATATGTGATACCTAATGGTGGGAAGGTTATAGAATCTAAAGATATATATACAACAGAAGATAAAGATGTTGATTATGCAATTTGTAATTATGACTTGGGTTATAGAAGAAGAGTTCCAGAGATAAATTATCAAAAATTAAGGACTCCATTTTGGCTTTGGCTTTGTGTAAAGGATAAATGGAATTACTCATCACTATGGCACCCTTTTTTCAGACCAAATGGAAACTTTCATTTAAATCTATTAAATGGAATTCAAATAGAGTTTATAAGTTATTCTATTGCGAAGAATAGCCAGTTAAATGATGAATCTACACCAGAAAAAATAAGAGCAATGAATGATATCAGTATTTTAACTGCATTTACTTATACACAAATGGGTGCTTGTATTACAAATACCTATATAAGTTCATCTAATAATTTTTCTTGGAATAATTCAAATATTAAATTAAATTTAGTTATATTATGTGATGAAAAGATATTAGATGAAGATATAATGAGTAGATTAATGGCATATAAAGAGTCTGGATATCTAATACTAAATGTGAATTGGCTTTATGATTGCTATGAAGAAGGGGTAATTGTAGATTTAACATCTTATATATACTTATTTCCACATGAAAAGGATTCTAAAGATGATACTCAAACAAATATACAAGTACTAAATACGACTAAAGTCAGCATAAATTTCCAGATTGAACAAAATAAATATGAGATATTAGCATCTCATGAAGTTGGTATGAATTGGTCAACTGCCTTAAATGTATCAGGTATAAATAAGGTAAACATTGTACGTTTTAGTCAATATATACTTGATTACATCCTAGATTACAATTTTAATTATAATAACAAAAAGTTAGTTTTGTTATTTAATGATGAAGGTGAGGAAGTAGATTTTTGGTATGATTTGTCTAACTCTATTAAATCAACATCTAATGATTTACGTAAAATAAAAAGTAACATTATTCCTTTCTTTAAAAATTCTCTTATAATAATATTAGATGTTGCTAAATATATAAGTTTGGCAGGTGAGAATTCTTCATTTGAGAATTTAGGTAGAAAAGTTGGAGATACTTTACCAAAACATCTTGAAGATGCAATAAATCAAAAATTAGAAGATATGGACAGCTTATTTTCTTTATTAAATTCTCAATATTTCACAGATTTAGATAGTTTTGTAGAATATAAGATCGATGATAAAGGTGATTTCAATATTGAGAGGATGAATAAAGCTATAAAGAGATTTGACATATCTGAAAGAAGATGGTATCAATCTACATTAGGCGGGTGATACATGTAATATTCCGGTCTTGTTGCATGAAAATGGGGTTACCCCCCACACGTAATGTATTGCATGACTTGAGAACTATTATACAAGAGGTAAATCATTTTCATTTATTTTTTTTTTTATCTTAAATTATTTTTATTGATTAAATTTAGGTTCATAATGAACATTAACATTTTTAATGCTCTTTTTTCATTACTTCTAATTGGGAATGTTTGGTGTGCTGAAGAATTCAATAATCCACCTCCAAGATCTCTCGGTCATGGACATACACGTGTTGTTTCAACTCCTCAAGATCCAGTAATAGTGCAGCAACCAGTATATATTGAAAGACCAGTCTATTATCCTTATCCATATGATTATCAATACCCATACCCATACCCATACCCATACCCATACCCATACGCATATCCATATCTATACCCTTTTTCAAAAGTGGCAAATATCCCACCACCACCAGTATATCTAAGATATTTATCAGCTGTTAAAGATCCTAATAATGATGAATTAGTTGCTAATCCAGTAAATACTCAAAATGGTGAGAATGAAATCAAAAATTGGTATAATAATGGAATGGTTGTTGATGATCTACCAGGAAACCAAAACTATGTTGATGCTGGTAACTTTTTTATTCCAGGTTATAATTTACCTGATAATGGAACTGTTGCTTATGGATCACCTTTTGTACAAAGTAGCTCTTATAATAACGTTAATTTTGAAGCTTCTCAAAATATACAACCTAGAAATTTAATTCAGTTAGATTTGAATCAGAATAAATTTTTGAATAGAATGAGCAGTGCTCTGAGTAATGTTATTGATAGATTTGTTGGGAATTCTACTGGAATTGATGATCTTGAGAAAGAAGATGAAGAAGCAAACGGAACTAGCAAGAATAGAACAGCAAATCAAATTCTTAATGATGTCATTGGATCTATCGAAACAGTTGTTACAAATGTGGTTAAATCTTAGGTAATTCCAAATGAATTACTAAAAAAAAAAAACTTTGGACTATAATTTATTTGGCAAATATAAATTTTTTATACTTAATAGTATACTTGATAAAAATTACAGTTTATAAAATATTAATACTACTTTAGTTATATCAAGTGAGAAATAACACTTGTAAATAATGAGATAAGCTAAAGTAATATGGAATGATATTGTTAAAAATGTAAATTTGGAATAGTAAATTAAAGTAATTTCAAATATAGCTGTTTTGTTTAACGAAATAGAAATAAAATTCAACTTCTATAAGTATGACTTTGCAGAACATATATTAATTGAATGATTTGGATTAGAATTTCACAATATATCTTAAAAATATTACTTAATCATTTTCAGTAATACCTAAAAGTATGGAGTTTATGTAATTATATATAAATGGTTTATTTACTTTATCTTAAAAGATATCCTATTCTACGAGATATATTATTTGAATTTCAGATTTAATATTGATAAATACATTGTTGAACTACTTCAAATTTTATAACTCAGCAATAAATTTACTAAATAATGCATTATAACTAATGGAATACATCATTTCTTATTTAAAATATGTCAATCTTTAGATAACTTCGAAATTTCAATTATTTTCAGTGATAAATTTATTGAGAATCAATATTTTGGTAGTATTCTGTAATTTTTTCTTTTTAATATTAACTACCAAATATAATAAAATATACGGTACATATTAACTAATATGTGAGGAAATTTATTAAATTTATAAATGGAAGTAGTTGGAAAGCTAATTAATGTGAATCTAAATGAAAAATCTCACATTTTCAATATGAATAATATTGGAAAAGGCACTTTTTAGCTATATCATCAAGCGGTATCATTATTTACACAATTATACTTGAGTTAAACTTTGAACTCGACATTTACTGCAAATATATACTTTCTTATAAAAAGAAAGTCAGATAAATTCTTTGGTTTGGTTAATTAAGAGATTTTATATTTAGAAATTGACTTCATATATTTAGCTTATCTAAAATATACGTTTCTACTAATGGTTATTGAACAATTGGAATCTTTTTTTCCAAATATTAAAAAGAAAACATGGGATAAAACACCTTTATTTATAAAAAAGTATTTAATAACATACTGGAACAATAGGTATGAAAGTTATATATACAACTTGTGTGTAACTAGAAATAAATTATTTGAACAATATAACTCAAAAATTTTGGACAAGTTGAAACCTAGTAGACATTTACCAGTAACTGATTGGTATAGACAGAAATTAAGAGGAACATCTGTCATAGGATTTCCAGGATACTTTAGCCAAAGTAAAATAAGCAATTTAGATATTCAATACAATGATGAAATAGAAATATACTCAGGTAGTAATGGTACTAATAAATATTATTATTATGATCCTAAAAAGTGGATAAGTGGCTTAATTTTGGTCTTTATTATATATAATTATACTCATAGAAGACCAATAATTCTTTGTATAGACAGAATATCGAATAGTTCAAGCTAATAATATATGGGGTCTATAATACTTAGTGAATACCGTTCAAAGTTTTAATATATAATAGCACATTTTATTACATAGAAATGAGATATGATCTATATTATTTTTAATTAAGGAGAATTTAATCAAATGACACATTCAATGTTCCCATGTAATTATATTGTACTTCTTAATATTAATAGCAGTACTTTCTAAGGAACCTGAGATTTTGTAAAATCTTGTCTCTCAGCTTTTCCTCATACAGAGATATTATAATACTCAGGAACAGTCAATATATATTAAAAATTTTTATCCTTATTTTCCAGAATAAAAAGACATAGATTATGCTTTTTTTTTTTCTTTACTACATATAAGTGGCTTATGTTGAACAGGTACAATAAAAAGATAACTCTCAAGAAGACTACATTTTTTTTGATAATTTATATATATATTCTTTATAAACTAGAAAGGTAGTGATTATATCTAATAAAGTACCTTGTTGATGAGTTATCCAATAAGATCCAAATTACTACTTTAATAAATAATAGAATTTCGCTAAATCTTAAAAACTAGATACAAGGGGTTCTTAGTCAAATAGAAATATTGCTGTTTCTTAGAAATTACAACTTGGATTAAATATATCAGTTATATTACTAAATAAAGGTTAAATATATTGGGCTAGCTAGTGAGTTGTTCTAATTACTTATATCTTAGTTATAATCTTCTGAATGATCACATTATATATGCTTTTGCCTAATAGTGGTTGTAAAGTAATTTACAGTACTATTATTTGACCAGTTCTATGTACCTTGTGTAATTATGAATATAATGATTATGGGAATATGGAGTAAACAGAATATTTCACATTTTAGTAATATTTTATTAAAAGAAGCAGATCACATAACACTATATGCAATTTTCAACTCTAATTTGATGTTGTTTCTTTGTAGATAATGGCGGGTGATACTCCCCATTAGGGGGAGGTATAGATATTGTGAATGTAGCGCTATAATTAGGCGGCATTAACTTTAAATCATAAGAGCTACGGTTATTTATGATAGAACTCCTAATCAAGGTAATAATTTGATAAAGGAAGTTAAAGGACTTTTGGAAACAATTATTTATTTTATATCTGCAATTTTTAGACAAGATTTTGTGCAGAAATATAGATGGTGCTCTTAAAGGATTTTAATAAAGATGCTACTAGCCTTCTCCGTTCAAAGTATCCGACAGATAAGTTGTGGGAAATCAACCTAGCGAGTAAAAGTAAAAACCCAAGTTGTAATTTTGCTGCTTATCCACGTAATAATGGGATTGAAGGAAATTCTTCTTTAAAGTGGAAGATGGGAAAGGCACATATGGAAACAAAAATTAATACAAATGGAACGGCTTCATGGGAAACAAGATTAACACCTGTTGATGGTATAGATATTACAGCAAAGTATGAGAAACCACAGAACTACAATAATAATAATAATATAGTAGAATTGGAGGCTGAGTTAACTGGCAAATATGGTCATAGTAAATTTAGATTGTCACCCTTGCATAATTACTACAATCAATCTTTAAAAGACAAAGATAATGAGATGATTTCACTTTACAATACTCTTTCTACGAAATATTTTTTACCTTACCAATTACATTTTGGTATGGATATGTCTGGCAATTTAAAATCTTATAATTCATTAAAGTGTTCATTTGGTGCAGCATTGACGGGACCTTTTCATACAGGTCTTTCATCTAATAGTTCTGATGAATCAACAATTACAACTTCACTACAGACAACTTCTAATAGTAGCAGCAATTTATCTGGAATTACAGCTGGTATTCACCTGAACAATTTGAGTAATAAGAGCGAGCTTGGTGCTATGGTTACATACAATTTCCAAAATAGTACTAGTTCCAATACAACAAATGAGAATAATTCGAACCTTCCACTTCTTACACCTAAGGTACAACTTTTATTTGGTGGGAAGTGGACATTTGGCCATAACAATAATGATGATGACTCTAAATTCTTTTCTGGTACAACAGATGTCAAATTTCGAATATCAAATGATGCCAAAGTTGCATATTCGTTGACACATCGATTCCACAAAAACTTATCAGCTACATTTGGTGCTCAATTTGATACATATCGTATGAGTAATCCAGATTCTGTTAAATATGGAGTTATCCTTGATTTAACTGCGTAGTATTTTTGTATTGATTCATTTTGTACTTTAGGTTTTTCCTAATTATTTCTGCTAAATATTATAAAGAGATTTGAGTTTAAGCTACCATTATTTAAGCTATATTTATTATAAAGTGTATTAATTATCGTCACTCGTAGATGATATATCGTATAGGTTGGATATCTTACTATTCATGCTTGAATAATTGACCAATTGATAAGGCGATGATGGTATATAAGGATCTTTGGCAGTAATAACTGATTTGAGTGACGAAAAGTTTAAGTTTCTGTTATAGTCTTTGCTTTTATTTGTCATATCTTCCTTAATTTCTAATGGATGTGGATATAATTCATCTAAATTCAAATCACCTTCTGATTCTATATATTGACCATTTAGTGAACTGTGACTAATCTTCTCATAACCGAAATTATAGCCATAATCTTCATCATCTGATGTAGAAGAGAATAAAAACTTTCTGTTTTCATAATCTATTCTGTTGTTACTATTACTTGAGTATTCTAGCTCACTGAAAGAATCTGACTTATCTCGTGAATATCCTTGATTATTATTTAAGTAATTATGATGAACATCATCTCTAGCTTCATATTCATCAGAAGATCTATCTTCAGAGTTAGAATTAAATGAATAATGTGAATCCCTACTATATTTCTCCATGAAATTTCTTTTAAAATGATCTTTTTTACTATTAGATAATACACTTCTAGTAGATTCATAAAGACTACTCTTACCTTTAGTACTATTTCTATATCCCCATGTAGTATAAATTGAATTTCTTAAGGATAATAACTCAATTGTCTTCAATTTCCAAGAATAGAAGAGCTTATTTAGTATTGCACTGTTATGATTTGTCACAATGACATTATAAATTCTTCCAAATCTCTCATTTCTTGAGCGATAATAATGAACAAAAAATCTCCATAGTTTGAAGGAAGTATGTTTTAATTGGATACTTTTTAAATTAAGGAAGTTCTTTATTTTTTTTCGTGTTGTACTACTTTTCATTGCCAAGATTTTCCATGAAATAAAATGATTGTATAGATTAATAATTAAAACATGATTCTGATAGAAATCCGTGGAAATTCGTTCCAGTCTCATTATATTTTGTAACCTTCTCAGCCATATAATGAACCATTCACTCAATAATCTTATCTTATTCTTATTATAAAAGAATAAGACTTTCTTCTTAATTATTTGTTCCCTATGAGAATAGTCCCTCCATTGTAGAAACACAGATGATATACAACGAAAATTTCTAATCCACCTTATAGTACTACTTACTTTACCACACCATTCAGACCATACTTGATACAACGAATATGCCTTCATTAATTTAATACTATATTGTATGACATATATTATTTGGAAGTTCATTGCTCTTTCTAACAGTATCTTTTTCTTATATTTAATGTGGAACTTGATAGACCATAACAAATAACATTTCGTTTTAACCAAGTTATTATGTTTTTGATGAAATTTTCTAATGAGGAACTTATGTTTTACTTTATTATTGTAACACAAAATCCACATTTCAAAATATCTATGCAAAACTTTCAAATGTCTTTTACTTCTAAATACAAATTCACCTTTCCTTTGCATATATACTCTTTCTACATTAATTCTAAAATGATTCCATGCAGCATACAATATACTCCTGGTAATTTTTACTTTCATGCAGTTCATTGATTCAAATATCAGCTTGCGTTTTCTGCTATATTTGAGCATATACTCTAGTGTTTCAATGATAAAAATTTGACTTTGACGTGCTATTTTATCAAGTAATAAGATAATCCAGTTATATCTAGGTTGGCGAATGATTTCTAGTTGCTTTACAGAGCATCTACACTCCACTCTATAGCTACAAGAAATTACCTTTCCGTAACCTAAAAGGGTGGAGTTTTTTGAAAGGAACTTAGTTTCATCATCAGAGTTCATATTCAATCTATCTAATACAAATTCGCTAAATATATTAGTTTGTAATTTCCGATCAATTGGGATCTGTGAAGAGTAGTTACAATTTACCGTGTATTCTGGTACTGTAACATTAGACCCACTTTCTAATTGTATTTGTTCATTTTCTTCAAATTTATTTATATTTAATTCTTCTAAAGACATTCTATTTTGTTTATTGATCTGTTTTATTTCTGTTCCATATTCTAAAGTACCTCTCTTTTCTCTAGAAAAAGTATACCCATAAAATGTTACAATTAATAATTTATGAAAATACTCATGTAACTTGATTTTATTTAATAATTGAATCAATATAGTGCTTGAGTTAATATATCTATGTGGCAACCATATAGATCTCCAGAAAATTAAATATCTGTATAATATTGCCTTTATTCTATTATTATCGTAATTATTGTATATTTCGTTTAGTTTTTGGAGCTTCTTAAATAGTGAAATCCACAAAGTAAAGTATTTATTTAATATCAAAAAATTATTTTTAGATCTAACAACTAATTTTGAGTTATATAACTCATGCATTCTTAATGTTGCATTTTTCCAAAGTATTAATGAATGTCTTAATCTAAAAGTATTATTATTCTTTACGATACTTATCTCAATGTTTCTCAGTTTAATTAGGTATTTATACATGTAAATCCATCTCAAAAAATATCTAGTAATTGTTGTTTTTCTATTCTCTTCCTTTATTCTGCTTATTATAAGTTTCTCTCTTTTTATTGCGCAGTAATATAATACCCATGAGAAAAATGATTTTTTTAATAAATTAGTTACATTAATTTGAGTAGCTTTATTGAGTAAGTTACTATAATAGTACGCCTCCTTCCATATTACCCATACTCGTCTTTTTGCTGTAATCTTAGTTCTTTTCAGATAGTATGTTAATCTATATAATATTATACAGACATTAAAAATAGAATGCATTTGTCTCTTTTTAACTTTTTCAATTAATGGTTGGAGTTTAAGCATATTTCTTATTGTCATAAGCCTCCAATGTTTGAAATAATTACTCATTGGTTTGATTTTAGCTACTTTATTGTGAAATCCTATTATATCAATTTTTTGCCTATATACAGATCTCCAATTTGAGAAAAAGAGATTATATATCATTTTCTTATAATATACACCAAATTTTGCATATAAAACACTTAAATTTTGTTTTTTTTTCGTAATTTTAAACCACGATATCAAGTAGTAACCTAAATTCCTTTTATTCTTAAATATTTCATATGAGTGGCATTTCAAGTTATTGAGTGCTTGTTGCTTAAAAGGTATCTCAATTGATTTAATAAGTAAATATATATTTATAAATGGTTTAGAAAAGTTATACCATGATAAGAACATCTTTTTTATCCATTTTATTTGCATTCTCATTAAAAGTTGTTCTTCTTTGTAGTGTCTCTCGATCTTTATCTGTGATATTTCATGCCACATTTTAATGCTTTGATGAACTCTAGCCTTAATGAAATTATTATTTAATAGTACAGCTACTTCCATTGTAAACTTTATATCTTCTGCATTACTATATAATTGCTTAAAGCAAGTGTATAATATAAATTTAATATTTTTTCTTTTTAATTGCTCTTCTTTAGAATCTAACATAATTGACCAATTTTCTAATTTATTAAATGCAGACCTTTTATTTATGAAATCAATAATGTACTGTAGACGCTTAGTCCCAATTGTTACTGATGTCTTTAATCTAAGTCTACGGTACAAAGTTTTTAACCAGAAAGTCATATGTCTCCTTTTCAAGTTATATTGTTGATACGCAATGATCACTATATCTAATGTTAATGTATTTTGTGTCTCCATCCTCATAATTCGGATATATTGCAGTTCAAATATAAAAGAATTTAGATAATCAAATGCCATATTACGCAATAAACGGCTCTTATAGTAATTTTGAGTCTCATAAACATCTATTATGTAATAAAGATATCGTCTCATATGTATTCTAAGTATTTCCCTTGCATTATTTTTGTCCTGTATAGATTTTCTTAATTTCCCATACCATACTTGAATAATTTTTTTCATAAATAACATCATTCTCCTACTTTCTTTTTTTTGAATACTAACTATTGAATTGTATAAACGACTACTCCTTGCTGTGTATGAGTAAATCCAATAATAAAGATATCTTTTGCATAATTTTTTATTATAATATTGGTCAGACATCTCAATTTTCTTTTTTAATGTTCTAAGATAATTAAATAATTTATTCCATAATTTGTAGATTTGCACTAATTTACGTTTCTGTAAAAGTATAGAATATTCTTTAGATACCAAATCTAGTGATTGTTGGATTAAAAATTGATATCTTAACTCATTCCAAAATAAACGTAGCAAATATATCTTCATAATATTCAAAAAAGTGTCAATTTGTCGTTTCTGGGTTAATCGCCAAATTGCACGTGATTTCATCACTTTAAATACTATTGACAGAAAATTCATATTTCTCCTCCTATAAATTTGGGCCATCTTCTCCTTATCAATAGCTTTTTTCTTGTAACTTTTGAACCAAATATAATAATATCTTTTTAAATCTAATTTAATATGATTATTCTTAATAATTAAATACTTTGAATTTAAGGAATTCCTTGTATAATATAATGTATTCCAAATATAAAATGAATACTTCTTTATGTTATATATTCTCATATTTGAAACAATCTTTATTTTCTGTCTGATACAAAATAGTTTGTACCAAACTCTAAAATAGCAACGTATACATGAAAAAGTTGCAAATTGATTTAAATACTTGGGACTTGATATTTCATGTATATTTCTACGCCTTCTACTCAAAGAATTCCATGAAATTAAAATTATTTTGCAAAAAGTCTTATTATATTTTTTTTTCAAAAATAGTTCCTTTGACAATTTTATACTCGAATCTATGAACATTTCTAGTGTCCTATATATAGCAACAAAATTCTGCATCTGTTTTATTTTTAAACTCCTTTCAGTAATAGATCTCCAGTTGTAAAATAATGTATGTATCCAAATATTCGTACTCCATCTATCCTCAAGAATTTCACTCCTTCTTAAAATTACTGAGTGTTTGAATAATATTTTAAATGTATAGGTAATACGAGTTCTATATAAATAATCGAAAATTTCCCAAAAATGTGATTTCCTTAGTTTTGTTATCCATATCCATGCTTGAAAAAAAGTCTTTTTTAAGGTTATTGATTTTTTAGTTTGTAGACATTCTATAATCATATAATTTGTTAAATTCTTAAACCATACGAAATTCCATATTTTATAAACCAAACAGATTAAAGCTTTTTCGTGCTTTATTTTGATTAAACTATAGAAATGAACTAATTCCTTCTTTCTAGCAATAAATAATTTCCAGTTATACAAACATCTTCTCATAATAAGTTGCATGTATTTATTCTTATATTTAATTAATGTTTCATTATATTTCCTATAACTATCACACTTCTTTTTAAAATTAGATAGTGAATAAAATAATTTATATATTAATATTTTCTCTTTTAATTCTCTCTTTGAAATTCTTTTTGCTGTATAAAGTTTCAGCGAATCAAAACTCTTAACAAGTAGTAATCTTCTCGCTGAGAGTCCTGCAGCTATTATTAATGTCCTTTCACGACAGCTTTCATGAGTTAAAGCAACCCATGTATTAAAAAATTCATTTTTTAAATTTGTCTCATAAATCTTCTGCAGTAAATTAACTGAATTCTCCAAATATTTTTTTTTTCTACTCCAGCTTCTCCAGGCATCTAATAAATCTGCAAGTACCTTGTTAGTATGTTGTACTTGCCACTCTATTATCTTATATCGTTTATTCATTGAATACTGTACTATTGACCACCAACATTGAAAAATATGATCTATTTTATGTAACTCATATGATTTTAAAATAAGTAAAAGTTTTTCTTTCTTTTTTCTACGTTTTAAACAAAAACTTAATAAATTAATAAATAATCTTCCACAATAATACTTGTCTGCATTAATTAATTTTCCAATAATATTTTCTGTACGTAACCTCCATATATCAAAATATTTTCTAGTTATTCTGTCTTTTTCAAATATTACTACTATATTATGAATATAAGTTTCTTTCCTCCATTCTACCAAAACTTTCTTCTTAATTTTAGTTGCACTTCTTATTTTATATTCCCTTTCCAACCTATATATATTACGCTTTACCAAATAATGATCATAATACCAATATGAAAAGTACTGTTGTAACTTATTCTTCTCCAATTTCTGAACTATATACTCCTCTTTATTTCTATTAAGCTTTTCTTGAATTGCAGCACATAGCCAAAGCTTTAAAATATTAAGCAATATAGTATTCTTACGCCGATCCTTAATATACTCCTCAATAGCCAATTTTGTTTTTTTCTTTAGAATTAAGATGTACCACTCTCTAATGATCCTACTTACTGTTGTTGTAGCAAAGAAGCTGATCGCACGGCTATACAGTTCAACATCATTAGTATATAAATCATCTTCATCCATATCAACTCAAAAAAAGTACTTAATTTATATATAACTAGTTTGTTAACCTCATCAATATTGATTTCTTCTATAGAAATGGCTTTTTTATTCCCTTGTTCTTTTCTTTTATAATTTTGTATAATTTTGAGGATTAAGAAATGGAGCCCGCTATAAGAAATACTCAATTTTCTTTTTATATTAGCCTAGTATTTGTCTAAATAACATTACCCACAACAATTTCACCCACTTCAATCACTTAGCCATTAATAAAATAAAATAATTTACTCTTTAATTCATATCTTAGATTTTCTAGTGACTTGTCATCTTATTTGAATCAGTTATTATAAATTAGAGCAGTTGATGATACTTGTCATCTTTTAATATTTTCAACAAAACCCCTTATATATTTATATCAATATTATCCCAATATAGCTATTCTTGAATATATGCATAATATTGTAATAGTTATTGAAGCACTAGATTGTCATTTATAAGAAAAGAAAACAATTAAATTAGTTTGTCCTACTAATTATTTATAGATATTTATTGTAGAGAAATTTCTTTATCATTTTCTCAATATTCAATGATATAAATATTTTTATATAGCGCATGCATACATACATGCACTACATAATAAACATTCGGCCACATACTATGTAACATTTTTTTCAATCTACTGCATCACTTTCTATCCCTTTTTATTTTCATTTTATTTAAAAAAAATAAAAAATAAAAAAATAAAAAAATAAAAAAATAAATTGACCTTTAGAATAAAGTGTAAATAAATAACAACTTGTTACTTGACTAATTATAAGTAAAAGTAATCAGTTACCTTAATATTTCGAAAGATTTAAATAAATATATATACATAGAAGAATCTTGCAATTAGTTTCAATAAACAGAACTAGAAAGAAATATAGATAACTTTTCTTTCCTATTAAATAAGTGTTCAGAAAAAAAAGGTAAATGGGGAACATAATTTGCAAGTCTCAGAAGATAAATTATTTTTAACTTAATAGTTTCCATTTAAAAGAAAATTACTAAAAAGTGCTAATGCCAAGCTATATATGCTCTATATAAGTTAATTGATGATTAACAAATTATCTACCCTTGAAATACTTAATAAATACATATTGGCGCTCATAATGTGAGACACCAGGAATAGACCGTCGTGACGTTTTATTTTATTACAGTGCAACCTAGTTATCTAAGCTATATAATATTACTATATTTATAAAGACGCATCTAGTATCCAGTGAAATTTGAGGAGGGTAATAATGTAACTACGTCAAGTGACATCTCTTCAGGTGTCAATTCTTCATTCTGTATAAGCTTTATTGCATTTAATAATATTTTTGCTAATTTTACAATAAAAATAGAATGTCAGGAGAAGGTCCAGCCGTTGGTATTGACTTGGGAACAACATATTCTTGTGTTGCCGTATGGAAGCATGATGCTGTAGAAATTATTCCAAATGATCAGGGTAATAGAACAACCCCATCTTATGTTGCATTTACTGATTCTGAACGTTTAATTGGTGATGCAGCTAAGAATCAAGTTGCTCGTAACCCAGAAAATACTGTATTCGATGCTAAACGTTTAATTGGTAGGAAATTTGATGATCAAGCCGTTCAAAGTGACATGACACATTGGCCATTCAAGGTTGCTCGTGGCCCTAAAGATAAACCAATTATTAAAATTACCTACTTAGGTGAGACAAAGGAATTCCATGCTGAAGAAATTTCAGCTATGGTCTTACAAAAGATGAAGGAGATTTCTGAAGCTTACCTTGGTAAGACAGTTAAGAATGCTGTAGTTACAGTTCCTGCCTATTTCAATGATTCACAACGTCAAGCTACAAAGGATGCTGGTGCAATTGCTGGTTTGAATGTCATGCGTATTATTAATGAACCTACAGCTGCTGCTATAGCTTATGGTCTTGATAAGAAAGGTACTGGTGAAAGAAATGTGTTGATTTTCGATTTAGGCGGTGGTACATTTGATGTATCATTACTTACTATTGAAGATGGTATCTTTGAAGTAAAGGCAACAGCTGGTGATACACATCTTGGTGGTGAGGACTTTGATAATAGATTAGTTGAATTCTGTGTCCAAGATTTTAAGCGTAAGAATCGTGGTCTTGATTTAACTACTAATGCCCGTGCTTTGAGAAGATTAAGAACCCAGTGTGAACGTGCAAAGAGAACACTTTCTTCATCTACTCAAGCAACAATTGAATTGGATTCTTTGTTCGAAGGTATTGATTACTTTGTATCAATAAGTCGTGCAAGATTTGAGGAACTTTGTTCTGATTATTTCCGTGGCACATTAGCTCCAGTAGAGAAAGTATTAAAAGATTCTGGAATGGATAAGAGATCAGTACATGATGTTGTATTAGTAGGTGGTTCAACCCGTATTCCAAAGGTACAACAATTAATTCAAGAATTCTTTAATGGTAAGGAACCATGCAAGGCAATTAATCCAGATGAAGCTGTTGCTTATGGTGCTGCAGTTCAAGCAGCAATCTTAAATGGTGAACAGTCATCAGTAGTACAAGATTTATTGTTATTGGATGTTGCTCCACTATCTTTAGGTTTGGAAACAGCAGGTGGTGTTATGACAAAACTTATTGAACGTAATACTACTATTCCAGCAAAGAAAACTCAAGTATTCACAACATATGCTGATAACCAGAGTGGTGTACTTATTCAAGTATTTGAAGGTGAACGTGCAATGACAAAAGATAATCACTTACTAGGTAAATTCCATTTAGATAGTATTCCACCAGCTCCACGTGGTGTACCACAAATTGAAGTGACTTTTGATATTGATGCAAATGGCATTTTAAATGTATCAGCAGTTGACAAGAGTACCGGTAAGAGCAGCAAGATTACCATTACTAATGATAAAGGTCGTTTATCAAAGGAAGATATTGAACGTATGGTTAATGATGCTGAGAAATATAAAAATGAGGATGAACAGAATCGTGAGAAGATTGAGGCTAAGAATTCTTTAGAGAATTATTTGTACAATATGAGGAATACTATTCAAGAGACTAAAGTAAAAGAAAAGTTGTCTCCAAGTGAACTAGAACAAGCAGAGTCTAAAATTAAGGAGGTACTTGATTGGTTAGAGCGTAATCAAACTGCAGAGAAGGATGAATTTGAACACCAACAGAAGGAAATTGAAGCTTTAATGAATCCATTAATGATGAAGATTTATGCTGCTGATGGTGCTGCAGGTGGTATGCCAGGAGGTATGCCAGGAGGTATGCCAGGTGGTATGCCAGGTGGTATGCCAGGTGGTATGCCAGGTGGTATGCCAGGAGGTATGCCAGGTGGTATGCCAGGAGGTATGCCAGGTGGTATGCCAGGAGGTATGCCAGGAGGTATGCCAGGTGGTCCAACTGTTGAAGAAGTTGACTAAATGCTACTTATTGAATATCTATTAAGGTATAGAGGATTTCCTTTGCAATATGAAGGACTTTTTTTTTCTCAATTTGCCAATTATCAACAACCTTATTACTAGAGAATAAAAATTCAATAGTTAATATTAGTTAGAAGTAGTAACTATTTTAATATCAATAAAAATAGCATCTAATTAAACGGCTTAATAATTAAAAGCTCTAATCTAAGAACTGTTCTAATAATAGGAAATTATGCTCTATAGTATTTAATTTTTATGGAAAGGCAAAGTTTATGACCATAAGTCAGCTCTTATTTAAACTGATTTATAGTACATATTATACAGTTTTTGGGAGTGTAGAATTTGGACTAATTGGGTAATTGAGATATTTCTGTTAATTCTAACACATTATTAGCAAAAATATCTTGATGTTTCCCCTAATTTTTCTTTATTTTATATTATAAATATTAATATTGGAATAAATACTCAAGGCTAAGATCTTTAATAAGAGCACTTTTTAGATGAATTTTAAAAGTAATACATTAATATTTATTTAGTGAAGTAATAAGTTTTGTTTTTCCTCAGTAGTTATCTTTTTTTTTTACCAATTAATCAATATTACCAAATTTGTCCATTTATGATCCTTTATAGAAAGTAACTCAATAGTATAATAAATAAATCTATAACCTTAAAATTATAGTCAAATTAATAAAAAAAGTAGTTATTATGGGTTCTTAGAGTATACACTTATTCTATTTTCCTTGAGTTTTAAGCCAAAAATACTGTAGTAATAGTTGTATTCTAGGTTTTGGTATATAAGACTAATTTATACTGGTTATTCAGATAGATCAACTTCATATCCACTTAACAATTTAGTAATAAAATCTCTATATTTATAATGAAGTAATTCCCATATATATTAACAATCTATTATGTTAATATCTGGAAAAATCATATTAGTTTCTAATGACTATAAGTAGTAAGGAAATTTTGTGCATACTTTCAAAGATTTTGTAAAATTGGTCAATATAGACGATTATCTCACAAAATAGTATATCAAATCTAATAGCTATGTAGTTTATAAAATTATTGATAAATTTTATCATATACTGGAATTTTAATATTATTTAAAATATATGATCCCGGTAAATAATACAGCAAATAGATGTGAGGATAAAATTACAAGCTCACAAATTTTGAAATTTTATTCATTATAAAGTTAATGAGATATAAAAAATTATCGATCAAATATTTATTTTTTAGCCTTTCACTTATTATTTTATTTTCAGAAGGGTTTATCTCAAATTCAACAGGTATTGATAAAAAATTCTATAAAGACTTCATACAGAAATATTCTGGTTATAATCCACAAGTAGAAGATATTGCATCCAAGGAGCTTGAACGCTTTAATAGTCACACATATGCCGATAATGCAGGAGCAGGTTTATATCAAAAATCTCAGATAACTGAAATCCACGATGATTTGATAAGGAATGCATATGGAAATGCTCATAGTAGAAATCCTTCAGCTAAGTTAACAGACAAAAGGTTAAATGAAGCAAGAGATCTTATTTATAAGTTTTTTAATATAGATAAATCCATATATTCAATTATATTTACAGGTGGAGCAACTGGTGGATTAAAATTAGTTGGAGAGAATTTCCCTTGGACTTTGGAGAGTAAGTATTTTTATCTTCGTATAAATCACAACTCTGTATTGGGAATTAGAGAATATGCTACTAATAATGGTGTAAATTTTAGTGCATTATCATATGATGAGGTTGAAAAAATTCTTAAAAAACAAAAGGAGACTAAAGGTAATAAGCGTTTACAAAACTCTTGTAATGACAATATGTGTGAAAATCTCGACTATATAAATAGACAATCTATGAAAAGTAAATTTCATAAAACACACTGTTTATTTGCATTTCCTGCAAAAGATAATTTTGTTGGTCAAAAATATCCACTAGTCTGGATTAAAGATATTCAAAAATATGGATTATCGGATGATTGTGTGTGGAAAGTATTACTAGATGCTGCAGCTTTTGCACCAACTGAACCATTAGATATAACTGAATATCCAGCAGATTTTGTAGTAATATCATTTTATAAGATGTTTGGTTATCCAACTGGTTTAGGAATTTTGATTATAAGGAATGACGATGCACAATTATTTAACAAAGTTTATTTTGGAGGTGGAGCTGTTGTAATGGCTTCTTGTGACAGTAGATGGTGCAAAATGAAAGAAACTCCCAGTATGAAGTTTGAAGATGGAACTGTCCCATTTTTAAATATAGCTTCACTAAAACATGGCTTTAAGAGACTTGAATATTTTGGTATGAAAAATATTTCTAATCATATAGCTGCGCTTTCAATGTATGTATATGAGGAATTATCTTCGCTAACACACTTTTCTGGAAAGCCTGTTGTTATATTTTATGGAAGAAAAGATTTACCACCAAATGGTGGTATTGTTAATTTCAATATACTGCGACCAGATGGCAGTGTTGTAAATTTTGGTCAAGTTGAACACATGGCATCTGAAAACCATATCCATTTACGTACAGGTTGCTTTTGTAATCCAGGAGGATGTCAAGATTTCTTAAACTTGAGTTTAGAAGAAATGCAAGTTGCTAGCGAGATACGTGACTCATGTTCTGATCCAGGACAACTTAATAATAAACCATTAGGATCTGTTAGAGTTAGTTTTGGATATTTGTCTACATATAAAGATGCCAAAAATGTGGTGAATTTCATTAAAAAATACTTTGTGCTATGATATTAATTTTATTTAATTATAATTAATATATGGAACTCGCTGACAATTATTTATGAAATACAAATATTGATTCCAATAGATCAATTTATAGTATTATATTATTTCATTAATATTTAGAGTTGAGGAATTGCAATGGTAAATAATATTTTTAAAATATGTATTTTTATTTGGAATATTTAAAAATTATACAAATAAAACTTTGGAGACTAATTGATTTTTTGATTTTGTTTAACAAAAGTTGTAATAGAACATAATTGACGTTTTTCCTTTACCCATTCAAAGTAATTACACTTTAGTAAGTCTGATTTCGAACATGTCCAAAATGATCGATTTTTATTAATACCATTTTTAGATACATACTTTTTAATACATCTCATTCCATGTTTGCAATTAGGTATATCCTTATCTTGATTATCCAATATGAGTTTTTTAGAAGTTCGGTCTTTTTCTAAAACAGGCCTTTGTAGATCATTAGGTTTTTCTTTTACAAAAAAATTGGATAACAAACTTTGTTTTAGTATACAACTTGGTAGATATTTTGAGCACAAAGAGGGTGGAGTATTTGGATTTATATTTTGTAAATTACCTGACATTATAAGTACAATTGGACAATGATCAGAACCACAAACATTATCTATAATTTCACATCCCTTTACTCTATTTATTAAATTTCTTGAAACAAGAAAAAGGTCAATTCTACTACCTCGGTTATTAATTCTTGAGCATTTAGTCTGATCCCAACATGTATACTTATTTATTTTACCTGGATAAAAAAGACGATATGCGTCTATCAAATTAAAGTCTCTAAGCAGTAATTTCATATCAGTGCGAATCTGATTATAAAATAATGAGTAAGAAGATGATATATCCATTAAGTCTTCTAATTCTTTAAAATGACCTACTCGGTCTTTCTTACAAGTATTGTATTCATAATATGAATCTATATCATCAAGTGTTACATTCATATCTCCTACTAATATTACATCTCTCTTATTTTTAGTAGTAATAACATCTAGCATTAACCTTAGATACTGATTAAATGCTAATCTGTATGATGCTCTAGTCAAGCTGGCTAAATTATCAGTATTTTCAAAGTTATCAGCTAGAACTTTTCTAACTAAAGGTAGATATAAGTTAACTAATAAGAAATCTACATGATCTGTTATTATACATCTTCCCTCTATATCCATATCACTAAGAGAGTAGTCAAATTTTCGATAATTCTTTGGTTCCTTCAATATTTCTTCATAATTGAATTCTTTTATTTCATCACTATATATCTCACTATCCTCTATCTTAAAAATTTTATCCTCTTTTTCTATCCAAGAAAAACCACTTGTAGCTTCTCTAGGAGTGGCTTCATCTTTACGGCAGAATGTTGCAACTCCACTGTAACGTTTATAATTTGTTGGTAAGGAATAAAAAGCATGATGTCTATTTGGGCACCCAGTACAATAATTTATATCTTCTTCACTATTCATTTTACACTCTTGTATACAAACAATGCTTGGTCTTGGTAGTTCTACACCATTCCAAGGTACTTCTGAGCTGTAGATTTCATCCAAAAAACTTGATATCTCATTTTCCTTATATCCTTTCCTTATCAAACAAGGTATAAACCCATTCACATTAAAAGATACTATAGAGAATGTCATTACAAGTTCTTAATATAAGAGTGTTACATTAATTCTCACTAGATCTTTTAACTAAGAATATTTAAGTATATATTTAAAGTATAATAATATTCACTATCACCTGTTATGAGAAATGTTAAAAATATATTTATTATAAAATATCAAACTTTGTTTCAGAACTAACTAAACAATACGTTATCTCGATGCATGGTGTATTAATACTGGAGGTAATATTTATCTCACGTCTTTTTATGGTGGTAAGTGCGGTATCGACAATTTAAACATATGATGAAAGGGTGCAACAGAAATATTGTTCAGTCTTCTTACAAGAGAAAAGATATACTTTATAATCCATATATCGACTAAAAAGTACATACCTAGAAATATTATTAAGACTTCATATATATATATATATATATATACATATATATTTAAAATGACTTAACTTAATGAATACTATGATCAGAGATCTCGGTGGACAAAGTAACTTCATCCCTTATTTTTAAGATTAGGTCAGAAGTAGCAAACAAATAAATTGTCACATCACTTCATGTATTCATTAATATAATAAAAAATAAATCTTATGTCAATAATAAGAATTGCAAATACCCCCTTCAATAAGAAGATTTATAAAGATTTTATAAATAGCTCATTAGTACATAAAGATAAAAGGGAATTAATTGCCATTCTCTTTATGTTTTAACTTCTTATTCTTCTTAGACTCCTTTTTCCTCTTCTTATTATTTAAATCATCTATATCTTCAGATAATTCAACAACTACTTGCTGATTTTCGCTCTTTCTCTTTTTATTCTTTTTCTCAACCCTTCTAACTATATCAATATATTCAGATACTGCCTGTCTCATTACATCAATATTTCTAGGCGGTGATATCCCCTCTGAGAAATATTTTAGTTTATCTTCAACTTGCTGTCTCAGTTTTTCTCCAAATATATTACTTGTCAAGGTTGAAAAGTTATCAATTCTAGCTGCAATTGAACATTTATTTGCTAAATACCGTGACACTCTCCCTTTATTTTTTTGAGCTGCCTTACCTATAAAACTTGATTGAAACAACAAACCATATTTTGGAGTATTTCCCTTTGTCTTTAAAGCTCTAAAAAGAGCCTTTTCAGCCCCCAATATTTGAATTGTTGAAGCCGGACACTTAGCTAAATTGACTAAGCTACCAGCATGAGCAATAAGTCTTGCAGCCAATATATTTCCTAGTAAGCTCTGTAAATTAGGTGCTACATTATTTAAGCGATTGGATAAGTAGTTAGTCAGGTGAGTTCTTTGCTTATACAAAGCCAGTAATTGTTTAGCAAATTCGATAATAGTTGCCATGTCTTCTTCTGTAATGTCCTGCCCCATACTAACTGATATTGCTGAGAATACTTCATCTTCTAAATTTGAATCATTTATTATTTGCGACAGTTTCTTCCTGTTCTCTTCATTATCATCAAATTTGTCCTTATTACCTATAGTTAAAACTGCTTCTGAATACTTCAAGTTATCAGTTAATATTTTTCCCAATTCTGGAAAGTGCCATGAATACCACTCTCTACACCTCATTGAAAATAGATTAATATCTTTGTCCAGGCGATCAATAAGTGCAATTGATTGTACTATTGGCTTATCTTGTTTGTTTGGATCAAACTGCAACTTGCTCCTACTAAAACTATGACCTAAACCAACTTGAAATTTGTGTAGATCACCTATAGAAGAACCTATAGTCTTAACTAAGCGAGTAAAGTGAATACGAATCCCACGCAATAATTCATGAATATTCTTATCAAGTATAACAGGATAACCTTCATCAGATAAAGACTTTCCCAAAGAGACATCACCAATACCTAAATTATATTTCTTAGCTCTTTTCGGTAAATTCTGTACAAGGAAAGTCCTCAGGTGATCTGAAATAGTTCCATTCTGGATAGCTTGAATATTTTCCAAAGCTACTTCAGCCGTTTGGAATGGATAAAATGCTGTGAAGTGAACAACTTGACCAAATCTCATTGGATCATTACAAGCTTCAATAACTGCCTCAGATACTTGGGCAATTTGTTCCCATTCTTCTACTGATGTTAGCAGATATCCAGCAGCACTTTCAAATAGAACATACAACTTCCTGTTCTCAATAGACATAAAGACAACTATGCCCTCTCCTCCCAAAGTTGACTACTATATACTCTCCTACTTCCTCTGAATATTATTTATTATATAATTAATAAAGTGAGATTTAAGATATCCTATTAGTGACAACGACAGGAGACAAGAACTGTTACCAATATTGCCAATAACTAGCCCGCCTCAATCTCCTTGAATAGCACCGTAAGCGGTATATATATATATATTGTATATACTCCTATCAGATATCTAAATATCTGTAAATTCCATTTTTACTCCAAACAACAGGGAAAGTTACCTACATGTTCCCTCTATTGTTACTTCACTTTAATTACAATATGTACACAAAGTATAGAGTACAATAAATCTGTGAATAATTACCACCATATCTAGTCAGTCTCTTCACTTATTAAAGTTACAGGAAAAATCAATTATAAATGTTAGTATTAGATTGTTTACTCATAAATACTAAGCATTTCTGCCAAATCTTTCTGAGTAGACAAGATATCTGGATGTAATGTCTTTACTATTTGATTATTAGCTAAGATAAGTACTTTTGTACAATGACGTAACGATTCCACATTATGTGCGACAAGAAATATATTACAATGCTTAAAGTACACTGATAGAAGCTCATTAATATTGCAAGATATTTTTTCATCAACTGAGAAACTGGGAGGTTCATCCACTAAAATCATTCTATAATTTTTAGAATTAATAATGAGACGAACAATAGATAAACATCGCAATTCTGAAGCAGAAAATAGATCTTCAGTAATAATCGTATCCAGATGTTTACTATTGGGTAGATTTTTAACAAGGATATCAAGTGAGCATTTACTGAGTGCACTCCATATTTGAGAGTCAGTATACTCCGAAAAAGGATCAATAAAATCTCTTAAGGTCCAATCCTTTAGTAGAATTGGACTTTGAGGAAGTACACCTATAAATTTTCTTCTTTCAGTTAGTGACAAACATGAAGTTGGAATATTATCTAAAAGTATCTGTCCATTTATATATTCAATAAGACCTAATAATGCCAGAATTAATGTAGACTTACCACTCCCAGTTCGTCCTACTATACCAATATATTCACCTGGTTTGACATTAATGTTTATATTTGTTAATATCAAATTATATAAATTCTCCTTATTTAAATACCCAACTTCTAAGTTATTTATTATTACTCCTGTACGAGGTAATTCACTTTTATCACTTGCTATGGGATAGTGAAAGTTTATTAGTTTTTCTGAATCAGGGATATCAGCTCTAATATTCATTTTATTTCCAACAGAATAACTAGTAGCTGTAATTAGTTTATATATCTTTTCAGAGCTGCACATATCTCTCTCCATAAATGCAAACCTATAAGTAACAATACTTAAGGTATCAGAAAGATGAACTGAATATAAGAGAGCAAGATACTTCCAATGATGATCGTTGGAAGTAAGCATTACAGTAAAAGTTAGTGGAAGAGTATAAAGCTGTAATCTAATAGCAGCCCACTGACTAGCAATATGTTGGAGAAATCTCCTACGCTGTAACAGTTCCAATTGCTCTAGAAATTGCGAAAACATAAATTTCTGAGTATTGAAGGAATTAATAATTCTTATACCATTTATTCCCTGAGAAAATAATGAACATAATGGTGACAATGCTTCCAAAGATGCTTTTTGGGACATTATATAAGTATTAATATACTTAGAACATACAAACTTGTAGGTAACAAGGATAATAAGTATTACTATTGGAATAGCATACGTATTAGCATAGCAAAGAAGAAGAAATTGAATCACGAAGTCAATAGATGGAACAAAAACTGAAGCAATACGTTTAATAGGGCACTCGTCAAATACGAGCAAATCTGTACTAAATCTGTTTATAATAAATCCAACTGAAATTAAATCATAGAATGAAAAGGGTGAAAACAAGGTCTTTCTAAGCATTGCTTCATGTGCTATATCGGCTGCTCTTACTCCACCTAAACCCTCACCTAGAAATAAGATGATACTTAAGACACTTTGTATCATAACCAATGCTAAATATTCCAAAATAAATAGCTTATTATTCCTCATAGTACTGGAGCTCAAAAATATATCTGAGAGACGGTCTAGAATTGATCTACCAATGCATGATAGTAACAGTAGAAAACACCATGAAGAACCTATTAAACTGAAGTACCATTTATAATTAGAATTAAATATAGTTGAACATAATGAAAATTTCTCACTTGTTAAGGTCAAATCATCTTTATGCTTTAGACTATATACAGAACCATGAGAACTCTTAGATTGTATATTATTTCTTTTTTTAGTAACTAAAAAGTTGTCTCGAACTTGATTCTCAGTGTCATCTTCAGGTTGTATAGCTTCTAATAAATCGGGAAAATGTTGAACCTTATTGGATAGTTCTATCATATAATTTTGACCATAATCAAGATTACTTTTCAATTTCTCTGAAAATAAAACTGAACCACATGGAGTTAGATAGAGTACCATTAAGTTAGCCCATGTTTCATTGTAGGCTCTAGAAAAAAAATTGAGAGTAGATAAATCAATAGTTAGCAAAACCTTAGTATCATATTTCTTAAAAAATCCACTAGGACCAAAAAGTTTTTGAAAGATCTTAAAACCTACACTTGGGTCCAAATTCAAAAATATATCATCAAATAAATAAAATTGAGCCTCATTTCCTGAGTATAAACATCTAGCCAGTGAAATTCTGGTCCGTTGACCTCCACTAAGAGAAGTTCCTCCTTCATCCACAACTCTCAAATCACCTTCTTTCCAGTTTTCAAAATCATATTGTAATTCACAACATTCTATTATAGAGTTATAAACTGGCTTATTCCATAATCTTCCAAATATTATTGCAGATCTAACAGTCCCTCCTGAAATCCATGAGTTTTGGTTAGCATAGGCATAGCAACTATCTGGAGACTTCAGATTTAAAATTTCCATTAAAAAATATGTCTTTCCACATCCTGGAGGCCCTGTTATTATTACAAAATTATTTTCCAAAAATAATCCTTTTAGAAATTCAAGAGTTTCCATATGGCAACTTCTAGTAACGTCAGAGTTATCAGATTCTTTCTGATCCAATGTATATATAATATTTAGATTATTTCTATCACAGATATTCTGTGTATCTTGTATCTCAGTAGGATATAACATCAGAAAATATTTAAACCTTAAAAGTGATATTAACCCTTCAACAAAACTTACTGGGATACCCCGTAAGGGAGTGGATAGAGAATGGAGAATATGAATTGAGGATAATGCTGACGAAAGACTGAGTTTATCCCCATTATATAAATAAAAAAATAAGAAGACAATCAATTGAGTAATCTTTTGAATATTATATTCAAGAAAACTCCCGAATTGGATTCTAAGTAGGCGTTTCCTATTAAATTTTGTTTCATTCTTTCTAACTCGCATTAATCTTTTATAAATAAAATCTTCTAATCCCATTATCCTAATTAACCTCAAAAGTCCTAGAACTTCATGACATATTGATAGGCGATAATCTCTATATTCCATAAAAGGACCCTTATAAAGAGTGCCCAGAATTTGATACCCAAAACTCAGAATTAAAATAAAAATAAATGTAATTATACCTGGAATAGTAGCTACAAAACCTACTTGATAAGACAGTAATATCCAAGTAAGCAACAAATTCACTGGAAGCAAACAGAGATCTAACAAGGAGTTAACAAACATTTGAATTGATGCAATATCTCCAATAATTAGATTGAATATATCGGGCCGTCCAATTAAAGATTCTAAAGATCTTGTGCATGATATTAAATCACGTGGATCTTTCTTTCTATTTAAATCTTTATCATAACTATTGTGTGAATATGCATCTTCAGATATGAATTTTAATCCTTTCTTATATGATAAAATTCTGTAATATGCTACACCAGTTATACCTGATTCAACTCGCAAAGATATCCTTGCAAGGTAAAATCTTGCATGAGCATCAATAAAAGCACGTAATGCATATGATAGTAAGAGTAAATAGTACGTACTCCACTGCTCATTTTTATCAACAACTAATCCAAAGAAATATGAAGATGCGCAACAAGATAATAAAAACATAAATTTGAGGCCAGCCAAATTAATCAGTGACATACCATATACATGGATAATAGGAAGCCAAAATCCACCTTTACGTAGTGAGAATGAATCCCTAAGTCTATGCACCCATATTACTGAACTATCACTTTTGCATAGTAGTGGATAGTGAGAGAATTTACGAGCTCCTGCTAAATATTCATCCCAATTCGAAAGCCATAGTAACTTCAAATATCCTAACATCCTAAACTATCAGACCCAACTCATTTCCCAAGTAAAAAGGTCGAGTTCATAAAATGAACTGCTGCCTCTTCTTTTAAATCTCCTTTAATCTTATTTCTATAATTAACAACTTTTGGAGGGATTGGGATTTCTAATTCCCTATTCTAAGTGGAAATCCGGTACCCCACGAAAGAAAATTCCCGCTTTAAGATTTTTAGCCATTGAAAAATATCCCAATTATAGAAAAAGAAATATAAACTAATGTAAATATTAAAAAAAAGTATGTATAAATTATATACTATATACTTTCTAGGTAAGTCTCTAAAAAAAGTGACCTGTCATACTCATGAAGAAATACATATATTTAAATTCGCAGCTTATTGTGCTATTTTAAAATAAACTGGTATTAGTGATTTTTTAGTAGGCTAGCTAAGTCACTTTGTCTAATTATTCCAGTTGAATTAATAACTGTCTTAATCGTACCTCCCCCAAGTACCCAGATCTTGTTGCACTTTTGTAAAGATGCAGCATGATGAGCTACTACAAAAACTGTGCAATGAGGGAAGTAGGTTCTTAATAGTTCATGAACTGGGATGTAACATGCTTTCCCACAAATCTGCTCATCACTTATATCTGGAGGAGGTTCATCAACCAATATCATTCTGTAGTCTCTAGCATTTACGACTAGACGAGCTAGAGATAAGTATCTAAGCTGAGAGTCTGATAAGTACTTAGCAACTAAGTCTGTAATATTACTTCTAGCATTTGCAATACAATGATTTTGCTCTTCATACTCGGTTTGTAGTTCTTGGACACCAACCTCGTGAATTGCATTTATGTCTATGTCAGGAACTAGAATTGTATCAAGCATCTTCTCACCTGGCAAAGACCTTATAGTACTAGATAATCCACATATTCTTAGTGCCTCCCAAAGATCTTCTGAAGATCTTTGTCTTTCAGGATCTAAAAAGTCTCTTACAGTCCAGCCTTTAAGTAGTAAGGGAACTTGTGGTAATACTCCAACCAATTTTCTTTTTGTGGAAGATGGTAACTGGTTAATTGGTATACCATCCAAATAAATATTACCTTTTGTTGTTGGTACCAGACCTAGTAGAGCCATAATAAATGTTGACTTTCCACTACCTGTCCTTCCAACAATACCTATATGATCATTTGGACCTGCAATTTGATTAATATTTCGTAGTGTAGCTGCAAAGTACATTGAATCCACAGATTTTGTCTTCTTTCCATCTATATTTAAATGGTAATTATCTGGTTTTTCAATAGGACGTCTATATCTTACTTCTAGATCAGATATTACAATCCCTGAGCGTTCATCTGGTATTACAGAGTTCCCAAAAAGAATATGAGGTTGATTTACTTCATCATCTTTTAATTGTCTAATATACTCATATACGCGTTCTACAGAACACATATCCTTTTCTAAGCTCATCAACCTGAATATAATGTCATTGATACTCTCCGCAAATGTAATAGAGTACGTTAAAGGCATAATCAAGGTTTCTCTTGAAGTAGGAAAAAATAAGTCAAATATTGGCACTACAAGTGATAATGGTGCTGAAATAAATTGAAGCCTAATTCCTGCCCACTGGCATGCTGCATGCTGCAATAGACGAGCTCTTTGAAGTTTGTTAACAAATTCCAGACATTTATCTAAGTAAAGCTGTTCAACTCTGTAAGCACGTATTATTGAAGCTCCACTAAGTGACTCTGAAAATGTACTACATAAAGGAGACTGGGCTAGTAATGCACATCGCTGAGCATCTCTATATGTTGCAATAAATGAACGTGCTATAAACTTGACGGTTAAAAAAACGATTAAAAATTCAAATAATATAGTTTGCGGAACCTTAAAGGCTACAAATATGAAATTAAATAAAAATGAAAGAACTGGGAATATAACTGCTGTAATTCTCCTGATAATGCAATTGTCTATAGCCAACATATCTGAACTAAATCTATTAAGTATCCGGCCTATAGAGTTGACATCATAGAACCAAAATGGAGCTAATACAACTTTACTTAAAAAAGCTTCATGTGATTTCATAGCTGCATTAATCCCCGCTAGAGCTTCTCCAATAAAAATTAAGAAGCTAATTAAACTTTCAATGAGAAGAGATACTGTTAGCTGAATACATAAATTATATGTAGACTGTGCAGATCTTGATATTTCTATATTAGCAGATTTATTTACCAAAGTTAGTTCCAACATTCTATCTATTGCAACCTTCAATATACATCCTACCAGAAAAATAATTACCCATGGAATTCCAAGTAGACCCAAATACCAACGATAGGATTTCCCACTAACTCTACCTTTACAGTTTTCACTTGGTAGCTTTGTATTGGCTTCATTATCAAATTTCTGTTTATCGCTATGTTCAGACTTTGTGACTACAAATGAACTAGTAATACTTTTTGGAGTATTCAAAGATTTTTGCTCTTCATTAGTAGAACTAGGTGCCGTTCCAGAAAATGAAGCAGATCTTATAATTGGCACAGGATACTTGGTTTCTTCCACTTCTATATCTTCTACAGCTATTAATTGATCTCTGCAATATTTATCTTGAATATATTCATCATAACTTCCAGTCCAGTGAATTCTACCATCGTTCATCACAATCACAGTAAACATCAGTTGTTTTGTATATGGTATTGTTGAGTTATTCAAATTAGTATTATTATCTGTACTCAACTCATTTCTATTGTATCCATCAAGCCTCATTTGAGTCATGTAATGATGCAAGCTGTCAATACTTATTGATACAATAGTTGCCATATTTACAAGTAGTCCATTTTTCCCAAAAAGTCTTCTGAATATGTGACTTCCAACTCTAGGATCTATACTGACAAATATATCATCAAACAAGTATAACACAGATTCCCATGCTTTTATTATATATGGGTCTAATGATTCATCACTTCTTAAGTTTTTTGATGCCTCTAAGGGGAGGGAGTATAAAGCTCTAGCTAGTGATATTCTTGCCCTCTGACCTCCACTTAAAGAAAAACCTCCTTCATCTACAGTACGTAGATCACCATCTTGCCAAGATTCAAAATCTTTATTTAACTGACAACAATTAACAACTAAAGAATACTTCTGTTCATCCCACTCTCTACCAAATACAATAATTGATCTTATGCTTCCACTAGGAATCCAAGGTAATTGGGAAGCATAAGCAATAGCACTATTTGCAGTTCTTGGCTGAACAAATACCTCAGCTGAAATTGGATATATTTCATCTAATACAGCCTTTATTAAAGAGGATTTTCCACATCCTGGCTCTCCTACTAAAAATACACATTCCCCTAATTTTACACTAAAGTTGATATCTAATAATGTTGCTTTATTAATATTTGTAACATATCGACAGTTAACACTACTATCCCAAGAAAATATCCCATTTCTAACAGATACAATAGTATTAGATTGGTAAATCAAGGATTCCTCAGAACTTCTCATTAAACTTGAACAACTGTCTGAAAGGTATCTATTACATTTGCAGCCTTCTGAAGGGATCAAATTCTGATACTCATAATCCTCATTACATTCTTGATTCTTGGAAGTATTGGTAGTTTCCAAATTTTTAGATTTCTTTACTGGATGAGTTTTTATAAAAGTTGCATATCTTTGCAATGAAATAGTACCCTCAATAATGTTAGTTGGTAAAGCCCTTATTCCAGAAGACAATTGCATTAGAACTTGTAGAGCTGTAGCTCCAGTTGATATAGAATAGGAACTCTTGTATAATTCCGGATATTTTACAATATAATAAAGAAATGTAACGAATAATACATATTGAGAGTAGCTCTTTAAATGATAATCAAAAAAACTGGCGATTCTACTAAATATAAACCTTTTTTTATTCCAAAACATCTCTTGTATTCTCGACTTTGTAATTCTCTTTATTACTACATCTTCCAGTCCTGCAGTTCTAATTGAACGTATATCACTAAGTACTTCATGGCATCTATCAATTCTTTCATCTCTTTTACTCATAAACGGTTCCTTATTTAGTGCTCCAATTATCTCAAAGAGGAAGCTTAAAAATAAAACTATTGAAAATGTTAAAATTGCTGGAAATGCAGAAGATGCTCCAAGTAATGTTGTTAATGTACACCATGCTAGGAACAAGCGAATAGGTAATAGAATTAAATCAACAAGACAGCTTAGAAAGTGTTCTATTGCTAAAGCGTCTCCTACAATTAAATTAAATACATTAGATGATTGATTAGCTGCATTGCTGCTATTAAATTTAACTTCTCTCTGTCTTAGCAATAATGACTTTCTACATGACATGGGGTTATCACCTCCTTTCACCATATATGTTGCTGTCAAGGGAATTTCTGTATATATATCTTTATGACGAATAACTCTGTCTAAAGCTATCAATATCAATGAACCTTCAATTTTTATGCAAAATCTTGCAATTAAAAATCTAGAATGACAATCAATGAGAGACTTCACTAAGATTGATATAAAGATATACAATACTGAAGATAAGGTACCTCTCTTTGTTGAAGAAAAAGAGAATAAAGAGATCCCAAAGAGTGAAAACAACCCTGCAATATCAAACAAAAGTCTTAAAGAGAGAGTAGCAAGGAAGGGTTTCCAGAGTGACCAAAATAATGCAGCATAAATACAGAATCCATGTCTCTTGTACATTGAGTAATACTCCTCATAATCAAATGCATCTGATATTCGCTTTACCCAATATTGTAAGTTATCAGATTTAAATAAAACTGGCAGATCATCCAAAGATTTTATTGAGGAGTTATATGTCGGGAGAATATATGGTGAAATGAAAGAGAAGAACAATAAATCCCATACATCCCTTAGACCTTGCATTTTATGCATATACCCCTATATATAGGAGTTTATACTTACTTCTGTATTTACTGAATGCAATTCTATCAGCTACAAGTTTAATAACCAGTCAACTCTGGGTATTTAGTTTAAGTATCTGACCGCTAACATTGAACTCTTTAATGGCGGTACACGGGGTTCTGATATTACAACCAAATTAAGTAGAGATTTTAGGATTTAAACTTGCAGATACAATTATAATCAGGGTTTCAAAAGCCTATAGAATATTCCTCTACTTGTTAAAAATAAGCAGGAGTTATTTTTACTATATTTATCTTCATCATTATACTTTTACTACATAAAATCCCATAAATTAGAATAGACTAAGTATAGAACTATTATTTTCCACTTTCAGTAAAAATAAATTGTATTTATTTAGCTATCTATAATAGGAGACAAATATTATACTGTAACTTTAGCTATATAATTGTTATATATAAGGAAAAAGGTGCAGTCGTTTCAAGAGCCTTTGAAACCAATGTTATATATGAAAAAGAGAAAAACTGGTATTTGGTTACAATTATTTTGGGGTTCTAAAAATTTTCCAAAATTAAGGATTTAAAGTTCAAATTATACAATGAACAAAATTATAATGTAAAATTTAAAAATATGTAAATATCTTTTAACTAAATTGGAGTAAGGATGTAACCATTTCCTACAATAATATTAGAACTACTATAATTTATCCCATACTTCTAAATAATTGTCTTTCTTTTTAGGAATAACTTCTAAACTCTTTTTTTTAAAAAGCCAAATGATATTGCAAGAGTCTAATACTTTAGGGTTGTGAGTAATAATTAAAACTGAACAATGTTTAAAACACTGAATAATCAACGATTCAATTCCAACTGAGATTTGAATATTAGAATTTACAGTAAAATTGACAGTTAAGGGAGGCTCATCAATTAAAATCACTTTATATTTATGACAATTAAGAAGGATTCTAATAAAAGACAAATACTTGATCTGGGATGATGAGAATTGATATTCTTCTTTTGTAACTCTAGATCTATTGATACAATCACTTTCAAGGACAATTACTGTATCTAATCCATGAGTTAAATTTCCAATAAGTACATCAAGTTGACAAATATTCAAAGCTGTCCATATAGAGGAGTCAGGATATTCTTCAAAAGGATCAAGTAGTGATCTAATTGTTGTTCCTTTAAAAATAACACTTGTTTGTGGAAGAATCCCAATATTCTTAGAATTTCTCTTTTGTAATAATTTGCCATCTAAATATATATGCCCTTGAATAAATGGTGCTACCCCCATTATTGCATTGAACAAAGTTGATTTCCCAGATCCAGTTCTCCCTATTATTCCTACTATATTACCTGGATATACTGTCAAATTCCTTGTAATTCTCAATATAGGTAAATCACTCAACAAAGAAGTGCAATTATCCTGATCTAATTCATAATTTTCACTTTTTTTTGTATAAAAAACGGTTATATTATTAATAAAAAGTCCCTTATTTGGAACATCTCTAAATTTATCATTTATCTCTAGTAGAGGTTCTATTTCAGGATATTTGTAATAATAATTTGGAATTTGTCCTTGTTCTGAACTATTACTAGCTAGTTTCTTAAGAAATTTTCTTGTATTTTGTTTAGTACATATATAATTGTATATTCTTTCAACAGAGCACATCTCCTTTTCCATTTGGACGAATTTATACATGAAAGCTGATATAGATTCTGCTATAGTCATCGAGTACATTATACATAAAAGAACAAGTCCAGATTTCGATCCCAAGGTATCTGTATCTTCTTGAATTATTAAATATCCTATAAGTACCAGATAAATCTTAATAATAAGGAGTAAAGAAATATTTAACAATATTCCAAATGGAGTCAAGAAGATATTTAACCAGAAACCAGCCCACTGGGAAGCTCCCAATTGAATTAAATGTAATTTAGCAAGATCATACATACATTTAGTTGCCTTACTCATGAGATAGTTTTCCTTGAATAACATCGAAATTGTTATAGACCCAGCTTGAGTGTTAGAGAAATATCCACATAATGTTGAAGACGTAGATAATACAAATCTCTGATATTCCCTATAAGAAACAATAAATTTTAAGCAAATTGGAGTTAAAACATAATATATCCATATAAATGCAATTAATAAAAAATATGGAAATTTGTAAATAATTATAGATAGTTTTGTACAAATTTCTAAGCCTGGTAATAGTACTGTAATTATCGATTTAATAATACAAGTATCCACAACTAATAAATCACCACCTAAACGACTTAAAGTATTAGATAATGGAAACAACTCTGTTGGACCTTCAAAAGCACTTTTCAAAAGTTTTAAATGAATTTTATGAGCAATATATAGACCTCCAAAAGCTTCCATAATATATAAAAGACCACTTACTATTAAACCTACTATAGAAACTATTGTATATGTAAATAAGTGAGTTTCTAATAATATAGGATTTTGTGGATATTGAGAAAGGAGATAATCACTAAATTTAGTAATTGCAGATTTTAAAATTGCTAATAAAAAAATAATAATAGTAAATATATATCCAATATTGTTCAAATACCATTTGTAAGATGATCTAGAAACATAGCCTTTTGTTGAAACTTTATCAACCATACTTGAGATACTTCTAGATTTAATTTCTAAATTATTGCATGTATTTAAATTTAAATTTTCTGGAACGCAAGAGTTAGTAGAATTTTCAAGTATGCCAGTATCTGACTGACTAATTAAATCAGTGGAATATTTATCTTCTAATTTTATAGAATAATTCTTTATAATTTTATTATTCAGATTAAATATTGTCTCTATATTATAAATTTTATGAAATTCCCTATTTTCAAGTTTATAAAATATATATTCACTATTGTTTTTATCAGAATTCAGATTATTATCTATATCTTTATTCAATGTAACATTTAACCCTTCTAAAATATTTTTAAATGAGTTACTTAAAATTTCTGGATCAAGAGTAGTGATCACCGTAGAATTTTTTAACAACCCATTAGTCCCAAACAAATTTTCAAAAATATCTCTAGATATAATAGGGTCTAAGCTGGAAAAAATATCATCTAATATGAACAAAAGAGGGGCAGAAAATTTTAGACTACTTAATTCTTCAGAGCCTGAATAGTCTTTTAATTCCCCTTTATTATTTTCCCAAATTTCAATACAGTCAAGAAAAGAATATAAAACTCTTGCTAAACAAATTCTAGCCTTCTGTCCACCACTTAAAGTACTTCCTCCTTCATCAATTACCTTCATATCTCCATCAGCCCATTGATTAAAGTCAGTAGAAAGTTTGCAACATTCAATGACTCTGAAATACTGTCTAGCATTATAAGGTACTCCAAATATAATAATTGAACGAATTGTTCCACTAGGTATCCAAGGATTTTGAGATACATATCCAATAGGTAACTTGTATTTTAGATGATATACAAAAATATTTCCAGTTAAAGTGACCCTACAAGTATTTAGAACAGCATGAATAAAAGTTGTCTTACCTGATCCAGAGTCTCCTAAAATAAAAACTTTGTTACCTTTATAGATTTTGAGATTAATATTATTAATTATTGGGGGAAAGTTTTCTACAGAATCCCGAAAAAGAGATACATTCTGCACATTAACCAATATTTCATTAATATGTGAATATGGAAGTGAGTTAAATATAGAATATATTGAGCGAGATTCAAAACTTAATGTATTTGAAAGTGAATCATATTTATTACCTTTATTCTGACTATTATCTGTCTTATTGAGAAATGATTGGAATCTCTTCATTGAAATGAACCCATCAATTAATAAAGATAAAATACCACGAATTGAAATCATTGAATATAAAATTTGCAAAATTGCTATTCCCTTAGGTGAAAAGCTTTTTAAAGACAAATTGGAATTATTTGAAGTTGGAATTATTTTATAAACATAATTTAAAAATAGAACTAGTTGAGTTACACTTTCTGTATGATAATCTAAAAAACTTCCTATCTGAGAAATTACAACCCTTAAACCATTGTAAAAAGCTTCTCTTCTCCTAAGTTCCAATATTTTATTATATTCTATCTTATTCAAATCCAACAATTGTACAAAACTAACTTGTCTTAAAACTTCATGTGATCTTTCTAACCTACGATCTCTATATTTCATAAATGGAGCCTTCATTAATACACCAAGTATTTGAAAAATAAAACTAAATATAAACATAAGTAAAAATGTAAAAATAGCAGTTGTTGCTGCAGATCCAACTTGTTGTTTCAATAGTATCCAAGTAAACAATACTCTTATTGGAAGTACAAAAATATCTAATAAAGAAGTCAAAAAATTTGGACAACTTGCACAATCTGCTAATATAATATTTAATGTATTTAAATTCTTATCTTTTGGTAATATACAGTTCGAATTATTAGATCTTATTATTGTATCATTTCCCATTATGTTAAGAATACGATGATAAGCTAGTTTAATTAAAGATGATTCAATTATAATTCCTAGATTAGCACTATAATAACGACTTTGTGATTCTGTAATTAGCTTTAATATATATGCAAATATAGCATAACATCCTAACTTAATAGATTTCATTGATCCACTCACTCTAAAATATTCACTTAATAAAAAAGAAACTATAGAAGATATCAATAAATTTAGAATCTTAAGAAATATAACTAATATAATAGTATTCTTGTTTGCTAATAATAATTGAATCCAAATAGATCTTTTAGATTTATTGATATTCATAAATAGTTTATTACTGGCTCTTTCAATTTCTTCTTCAAACCACTCCAAACCATTCATACTAGGTAAAGTTTTTTTTGATATTAAGTTACTTTCATCGAGATATGACTTTACCCAATTAAAAGTTAGGAAAGATTTATAATTAGATATACACTCATTAATTCTAGTCAATATTGTTAATCTTGATATCTTCATTAAGTTAAATTGGAATTTAACAAACAATTATATCTATTCCAAACCCCTTATATTTCTAATATATTCAAAGTATGTTAATTTTTCTTTTTATCTTCTATTTAATGACTTTTAACAACTTTTTCCCTACTGCATAGGCGCTAAATAATATTGTAGCACAAATTCTTGCTGATACCCGGTATTAAATAGTAACTATTAACTATTACGCGCTTAATCCATGCAAATAGATTTTGTATGGAAATATAAATAAATTAATAAAAAGATGATAATTATGAATATGTTAAGTTATTGACAATAAAACTTAATTTAAGGATTACTAACGTCACTCTTATTTTTTAGTAATCACATTAGAAACTTTTTATATCTAGAATATCTAATTATTTCCAAAAAATTAATGACCTAAGTCTAAAGATTGTCCTAATAAAATATTAATATCTAATAATAAGACATAAAGAAAAAAAATTTTTTATATTCCAATATTACTTTATAAAAAGACTATGACATACATAATAGTCTTTATTAATATTTATATTTAATGAGTAATAAAGTGTAAATAATATAGGATATAGATGAAATTAGGGTTCTCTAGAAAAAAAAAAGTATTTATATATAGCTCTCAGTTTTGATAATTCCTTAAAAGTTTAAATTTAACATTTGATATAACTTGAATTTATTTATATCTTTTATATTTAGGTATCATATTTTATTATTACTTTACATAGAGTTTCAAATAAAATAAAAGGAATACATTGATAATATTGTATATGAAGATATTGAAATGAATTAATTTAAGTATATTAATCATATATTCAACAAAAAGATAATAGATAGGATATAATGTAATATAAAGAATATTTAAGTAATTGGTAATTAGCTTGTAAATCTTGAGTAGATAATAATAATAGTAATAAAAGAAAATAACTTTGTATTCTAATATTAATTCTTTATTATGTTTGTCTTTCCACTATTTACTTCTAGTTCTGCATTACTACATAATTGCATTATTTCATCTTGAGTAAAATTTGAGTTTAAGCTTGTTTCATGAAGTATCTTTCCATGACCTATAACCCAAACTTTATTGCAATTTTGTAAAGAAGCAGCATGATGAGCTACAACAAATACAGTACAATGAGGAAAATATTTACGTAATAATTGATGAATAGGTACATAATTTGCAGTATCATCATTAACATCAGGTGGAGGTTCATCAACAAGTATAAGTCGATAATTTTTAGCAGAAATAAGTAAACGAGCTAATGATAAATAACGTAGTTGAGAGTCTGATAAAGATCTCCCATCATCTGCATTAATATCATTTCCTATAGGTATAGAATTATATTGATTATTAGAATTACTAGTATCAGGGACAATAACTGCATCTAGCATCTTGTTACCAGGAAGAGAACTAATCAAACTTGAGAGACCACATATATTAATAGCATTCCATAAGTCATCATTAGAATGTTTTGAATCTGGATCTAGAAAATTTCTTACTGTCCATCCTTTTAGAATAAGAGGTACTTGTGGTAATACTCCAATAATCTTACGTTTTACTTCAGGTAATATTTGATTAATAGGTACACCATCTAATAAAATTTGACCCTTTGTAATTGGAACAAGTCCTAGAATAGATTGTAAAAATGTTGATTTACCACTACCTGTTCTTCCAATTACCCCAATATGCTCATTTGGCCCAGTTAAAGCTGACATATTATCTAATGATGGAGGGAAATACATATCATCTATATTATCTGTGGGCTTACTATTTGGTCGACGATATCTAACTTGAAGATTTTTAATTTTTACTCCTTTACATTTATTTATATCATTATTTAATTTTGAATTTGTTAAATCTAAGTTATTATCAACCTTACAAATTGTCTGATCATAAGATAATTCCAATGTTAATGTTTCATCATATTGATGTAACCTCTCAGCAGATATCATCTCTTTCTCCATATTAACATATGAAGTTATAACCATACCTATATTAGATGCAATAGATTCGGAATAATACAATGCTATACCTGTAACACCAGCTCCAATAATTCCAGATTGACTATTTTGAGTATTTATATTACTTGTTTCAAGTATTTTACAAAAAAATTTGAAACCAGTAGATACAAGTAATGTTTGAAGAACTTTAGATGTTAGGACAGTAAGAGGAAATGTTAAAAGTTGAGTTCTTAAAGAAGACCACTCTTTAGAACATAATTGCATAAATTTAGCCCTTTGTACTAAATCTATAATCTCATTTCCTTGCATCATATAATGGCTTTGTGCTCTAAAAGATCTTATAATAGGTCCCCCACTCATTGCTTCAGAAAATACACCACAAAGAGGAGAATATAGAACTAAACACATTCTCTGAATCTCTCTAGAAGATCTAGAAAAGTATCTAGCTACAGCTAAATATATTCCAAAACTTATCAAAGGAAATAAAATAATAGAAAGAGGAGCCACATATAAAACAATGCAACATTGAAACATAACATTCATTCCACCTACAAGTACTGCAGCTATTTTCATAGCTGGTACATTATCCATCATTAATTGATCTGCACTAAATCTACTAATGACTCTACTTACTGGATTAGAATCAAAAAAGTATAATGGTGCACTGAGTACCTTAACCAAAATATCATTATGTATACTTGTTGCAGCCTTAAGACCACAGAATGCTTCTCCAATAAATACCATAGCACTTACAAGTAATTGAATAAATACTAGAAAAGTATAATTAAATGCAAATTTCTTTGCTTCTGATATAGATAATAAAACATCATTTGAAGGAGATCTAGATGTATAAATTCCCATATAATAATCAGTACCTTTATCAAACATTGTTTTAGCAAAACATAGGAATAATAAACCAAATGTCCAGTTCCATTGTAATTTTGAAAAATACCAAAAATAAGTTTTTTTAGAAACTATACCCATAAAACGTCCCTCTCTTTCCATAACTTTCCTTAAAGTTTCAGTTTTTGTACTAGTACTTATTGGATATGGTAATGTAATACTATTTATATTATCATCATCTTCTATATTATCATCTTCATCTACAATATCATCTATATTTTGATTTGATAAATAATCAGAATCTTTCTGATTACACCATTCTGAAATATAACGTTGATAACAACCATAAAAAGTAATCATACCATCATCTAAAACAAGAATGTTTGGTTTAAAGGATAGAGATGTTTTTCTCATTGACTTCATTAGAAATGAAAGATTAGAAAAATCAATAGATAATATCGTACCAACTCTTCTTAATAATCCATCTGATCCAAATAATTTTCTAAATATAATCTGACTAACACCAGGATCTAAACTAATAAATATATCATCCAAAAGATATAATATAGATTCTTCATCATTTAAATAATTCATATCAATAGATTTATAAATATTTATTGTTGATTTCTTTATTAAAGGTGATCCTATATTTGTATTTATATTATAATTATTCATATTAATATTATTAATTGTAGAATATTTATTAAATTCATTATATTGAGAATTATTTATTTTTTTATCTATATCTAATCCATTATTAGATATAAAATTATTAGTATCATTTCTTGAATATTGTAATTTATTTATATCAGATGAAGATAATTTATATAATTGATCTATATTAGAAGATTTTACATCTGATTCCAAATTTAATCTAGTTGAATTTGAAATACTTTCAGATTCTATATTTATAATATTTTGAAATTTACCATCTAAATTATTTAATATATCTTCATCAAATTTATCTATATTATTTGTACCTAAATTCTCTCCTATATCTCCAAATAAAATATCTGGTAAAGAATATAATGCCCTAGCAAGACATATCCTTGCCCTTTGTCCTCCACTAAGTGAAAAACCACCTTCATCAACAACTCTAGAATCACCATCTTGCCAAGTTGAAAAATCCTTATTTAATTGACAACAATCTACTATAATATCATATTTACGTTGATTAAGTTTCCTACCAAATATTATAGTATTCTTTATACTTCCATTTGGTATCCAAGGGATCTGAGAAGCGTATGCAATAGGTTTCCTAGCTTCACGGGGTTGAACAAAAGCTGTACCATTCTCTTTAACAATTTCATCTAAAATTGCATTCATAAGTGATGTCTTTCCACTACCAGGAGAACCAACAACTATAATTGTCTCTCCTAAAGTTAAAGATAAATTTATATTTCTTAATTTAAATCTATTATCATATAATGAATTTGAAACTATTAATCCACAATTAGATTTTATTAAACCATTTGTATTTATATTCTTAATATTAGAATTATTTATCTTTAAATTAGATTTCATTTCATTCAAATTATCATTCTTATCTCTAATTCTATTTGAATTCCTATTACGAATATCTTTACACCATGTATAACATGCATCTCTCATTAATATAATCTGAACCTTTGGATAAATTATATTATCCTTAATATTTGTATTATCTCCACTCTCAATATTATTATATTCTTTATATTTCTCATTTATTAATAATGGATATTCTACATTACCTTCATCATCTAATATATCATTATTCTTATCTAAATTATTATATATATTATATTTCAAATATCCAAGATATTCACTTCCTTTAGATTTATTATTTCTAGAATTAATATTATTCTTATCAATCTCTATACTTTCCCATTTATCTCTATCATATATATTTTGTAATATTCTTGAATATTTATATCTTATATTATCTATATTAGATAAATTAAGTTCTTTACTCTTTGGAGGATCTGAATGTCTTAAATCTAATGGTCTAGATCTTATAAATGATTCAAATCTATAGAAAGAAATAATAGCTTCAATAGTTGCAAATGAATACATAGAAAGATTTCTACAAGGACCTAATAATGAAAATAAAACTTTTAAAGTTGTTACACCAACAGATGCTGGTATAACTAAGGGTATATTATCTTTATAAGCCATATTAATACCATAATATACTGCCATTAAAAATAATACTAATTGAGCTACACTAGACATTTGATATCCAATCCAACTCCCAATTAATGATAATGTTGTACGTATCTTATTTGCTCTAGTCTCCATATTTCTATATAACATAACTCTTTCATTAGCTATTTCTTGTAAACCCATCATTTGAAGGGTACGAACTTCACTCAATACTTCATGACAACGATCAATACGTTTATCCCTAGCATTCATAAAAGGAGCTTTATAAGAAGAAGCTATTATTTGACATGAAAATGAAATTATTAATAATATTATTAATGTTGCCATACCACATGCAGTTGTTGTAGTACCTAATATATCTTTAAGTACAAAAAAAGCAACAATTAATCTAAATGGAAATACAAGACATTCTATAGTATTTATTAAAAATCCTTCAACTGCTAAAGCATCAACAACAATCAAATTAAATATATTAGAAGATGCAACAGCTTCTTTATCTTGAATTTTCCTAGCTTCAGCATGTCTAAGTATCATTGATTTTCTTGCTGATTTACCAATATCTGCTGAATCACTGGAAGTTATTGCAAGAGCTTTCCAATGTACTACTCTACGAAATGTCATTGAAATTAAAGCTCCTTGAATTCTTAAACTAACTCTACCACACCAATAACTATATTGACTCTCAACAAATATCTTTAAAAGAGTTAATATAATAAATAAAATAGCCATTTTATTACACCATGATGTTTTAATTTCATGTTCTTCTATAGTTATATTGCCTGTATTTGGTTCTATACTTGCTACAAAACTTCTTAATGCTAAAGTAGCCAAGGTTTGTAAAATATCATAAAATACCTTTAATAATGTTACTAATAAACCTTGTAACCAAAATACTTTTATTAGAGGTCTTGCAATTCTTAATTTTCTTGCTCTTAATTTACTTCTTTTTTCTTCATCATTTACAGCATCCTCTAATCTACTAGTCCAATCAACTATATTATCTTTATTTGGTAGATGTAGTAAATCATCTGTATTTATACATCCATCTAGAAACTTCCACATCCATGGTGTAATCCAAGTAAAAAGTAATTTACTCCATATATTTCTACCTCCAGCTTGTTTAATTTTACCATATTTTTTATTAATAATATTCTTATTTGATGAACTAATTCTATTATTTATATTAGAATTAGGATCTTTTTTATCTCTTATTTCACCTTTCTTTGATATATTATTATTAATCTTATCCATCCGTACTATTTACTATATTATTAAAACTTTTTAACTTATATCAATTATTATAAATAAATATTAACTTATTATATTCTTATTGAAAAAGAAAAATTACCAAATTAATTCATCGTATTACTCTTTCAAGATATTAACACTTTGTCTACAATTCTTGTACTTTTTTTTTTTTTTTATAAGTATAAACACCTTTAATCACACTTATTCCTATTCTTATTCTTATTAATCATATATATATTATTATAAATATTAAATATAAATATTGTCTAACTGTCTTATTATAAAACTTGAATATCAAGAATTCTCCAAATTACTTTGTCTACTTAATAATTAGCGCCTCTACTATACCCATTAAAAAATAGACATTTATAACCGGGAAATAAGGCGGGTTTAATCTCTGCTTAATTTTAGGTATATTATTAGGCGGATTAAACTTTGATAGATTCTTACCTCTAAATATTAATACAAGAAATTTTTATTTATAACTTTTTTTAAAAAAAAAAAAATAAATTATAAACATAAAAATATATTTGTAGATATTTTTATTTGTAATTTTTTTTTTATAAAAGGCAAAGGGAATCACTTGTAGATTGTAGATCTATAATTGTAGAGTTTGTATTTACATTCTCTTTAGAATTATCAGATAAGAAGTTTTTTGGTGATAAATCTGATAAATTTATCCACTTATCTTCTATTTGAGAATTTGAATCTTCTATTTGGGAATTTGAATCTTCTATTTGAGAATTTGAGTCTTCTATTTCTATATTATCCTTAATATTATCATTAATATCTGATATAATATTTAAATTGTTATCTGGAATTAAAGTATTACTATTATCATATTTTTCTATATTTTCACTAATCACTTTTATTTTATTATTACTTGAATTTATATTGTGAATTTCAACTATATCTGTATAATATTTTTTATGATCTAATATTAGTAAAGAAGTATCTGAAATTTCTTGTTCAAATTTTGTTATAGAATTTATTTTTGATATTTGATGTATAGTATTATCTAATTTATCCAGTTTAAGACGAAATCTAACTGATTCTATATCTTCATAATTACTTAAATTATCCTCAGATATATCATTATAATAATATGATATATTAGATTGATCAAAAGCTTCATATTCAAATATATTTGGTGGTTCTTTACTAAAGTGAACTTTTTTTTTATTTATATTATTTACCATATTACTTTTTTGTATAAATCTAAGTTTATGATAATAAGGAGATATAGAAATATTTTGATTTTGAAATTGACTTTTGTTATTTATATTACAATAATTTTTATCAGTCATAATTTTTATTATTAATAATTCTTATTCTTATATTATTAATATTAAGATAACATTATATACCTCATATTTCCAATAATATTTTATTTATAACAAATCTATTTATTACTCGAATACTTGTTAAAATAAAACTCTAGAAGATATATAGAATCTAGAATATCTTTTTAAATTATTAATATATATTAATAGATAAATACCCTGAAAGTAATAATATAATACCATATATTTTTACTTTTAATTACTAATAATATACTAAAGATAATATTATAATCTTTAATTAAAAGAAAAGAAAAAAAAAAACAAAAAGAAAAAACAAAAAAAAAAAAGAGAAAAAAAAAAAATAGGTTACTCTTTATTATATAGAATTCGTTAATAACTTTGGTTTAATCATAATTGATAAATATTGTTTCTGTATCTTAGGATTATTAAATTTATGATTATTTCTTATTAATTTCTTAAAATAATTCATCTAAAGTGAATAAAATATTTAATATTATTTATTATTATTATTATTATTATTAATAATAAAAGTTAATTAAATATGAACTTACCTGATATTTATCTACAAGAGTAAATGTATATCCAACTTTACCAGCTCTAGCTGTTCTACCAATCCTATGTATATATACTTTCCAATTGATAGGAACATCATAATTAATAACTATATCAATATCTGAAATATCAATACCACGAGATAATATATCTGAACAAACAAGTATATTATATTTATTTTTAGAAAATTCTTTTATTAAACGATTCCTTTCTTTCTGCATTAAATAACTAGAAAATTCTTCTATTTTTATATTCAATAATGGAGCAGTATTCATCATATCCATATTATAATCTAATTCTTTTAAATTTTTATATTCCATATTATTATCTTCAAAATAATTTTCATCTTTATCTTTATAATTATTTAAATATAAAATATCTTCTTTATTAATATTATTAAATTGATATTGAAGATATTTTGTTAAATTATGTGCTGTATCTTTTGTAGAACAAAATACAATAATCTTTAATAAAATATCTTTATTATTATTAATAATATTAGTTTTATTTATATATTGTAAAATATTTTTATTACTAAAATATAATTCATATAATAAAGATAATAATATTAAATATTTATCTTCATTTTCTCCTATTTTAATATATTTTTGAATTATTTTAGATGGTATTTTAGATTCACCATGAGTTGAATTTATAAAATAAATAGGTCTAACTAATTGTAATTCATTAAGTTTATAATGAATATTTGCCATTGTTGCAGATAATAATATTAATAATGGTTTTTTAATTCCCATTCCAAGTTCACCATTATTTGTATTTATATATATTTGTTTATTTATACAATTAATAATATCTAACCAATCATTATATGATTGAGATAATAAACGATCAATTTCATCTATAATTATAAAACGTATATATTGAAATATTTTTGGTATTTGATTATTATTTAAATTTTCTAGAGAACAAAGATGATAATAATGTTCATAAAGTCTTCCTGGTGTACAAATAATAATATCTGGTATTATATGATTTAATTGCTGTAATTCTATTGAGAATGATGATTGACCTGTCAATGTCATTAAACGAATAGGATATGGTCCTTTATATTTATTAGAAAATATTATAAAGGTATTTTTTATTTGATTTGCTAATTCTCTAGTTGGTACTAATATTAAAGATGATAAATGTTGAAATGACTTTGATTGAAGATAATTAATTATAGGTATTACATAACATAAAGTTTTACCTTCTCCAGTGGGAACCGATATACATATATCACTTGAATATAAGCTATTTCTATCCTTATTAATTCCTTTTAATATATATGGTATTACTTTATATTGAATAGGGAAGAATTTTTTAAATCCATTTATTGATTTAATTCCTTTCTTAATATTTTTATGTAAGATCTTTAATATATCTTTATCTTTATGATCATTATTATTATTTTCTTTTTCGTCAGTTAAATGTTCAACAATTTTCCATCTAATATAAATAATTTATATAAATTAAAAATAAGAGATAAAATAAAGTAAAGTAAAGAAAAAGAAAAAAAGATAGGATTTTACCTTTTAGTCCAGTTAGGTATACTAGTTACCATATTATTATATTTATTTATTATTAGAAATAATTTCAAATATTTACTATATTAAAATAGTAAAGTAATTAGCGCTAAAATAAAATGACTATATTTAAGCGGTAAAAAAAGTTTTAAAATAGACAAATTTATTTTTAAAATTAATTTGTCATAGAGATTATTAAAATATATTAGTACCCTTATTATATAAAGCTATTAATAATTAGCGGATAATTTTTTTATTTTTACTGGAGACATAAATTGATTAGAATAATTTAGACTATCTTTATAAGGTATAAGGTATTAAAAAAAAAAGAAAGAAAAACAAAGGAATTACAACATATTTACCTGAATTTTAAAGAAGATTTTATAGACATATTGGAAGTGATCCGAGAATAGATGGCTAAGTCAAAGAATCATACAAATCATAATCAGGTATGTCTTTTTATTATTCTTATTAATATTTTTTATGAATTGTAAAATAAATATTAATATTACTTATATTTTTAGAATTGTAAAGCTCATAGAAATGGAATTCGTAAACCTAGAACTTTTAGAAAACTTGCAACATATGGTATGAACCCTAAATTTTTAAGGAATCAGAGATATTGCAGAAAAGCAGCTATGGAAAAGGCTGCAGCTTTAGCAATTGAAGCTAAAAAAGCAATCTTTAATTAGATTTTTGAGATCTAATATTTAGTACATTAAGAAAGAAAAAGAAGAGAAAGGAAAGAAAAGAGAGGAAAGAGAGAGAGAAAAGAAAAAAAAAAAAAAACTTAATTAGGTTTTTTAGTACTAGATAATTTCTTCTTTAAGACATATTAATAATTCCTTTAAAACTCTATACTTTTTTTCCAGTCAACATTATAATTAATACTATAAAGGAAGATATATAAAATGACCTTTGTTACATTTTATTAGAAAAAAGAGGAAGAGATATTTAGTATCTAAAATTAATATCTTGATTAATTTTAAAAAATAAAAAATAAGTCAAAAGTTACTCTAATATAAATTGATAGATCTTATTAAAAAATTAAGCTCCTATCAGCTATATAATTCAATTAATCAAAAAGTGAAAAACCTAAGTCAGCTTCTTCTTCTTCTTCTTCTTCTTTAACTGGGGCAACAGCTGTATTAGGATCAGTAGAAGCAGTTGTACCTGATGTATTAGTTACATTACTACTTGCCGATACAGTTTGTAATTTATTTAAACCAGAAGCAATTACTTCATGAGGTAAATGACCTTGCATATTTTTTATTAATACATTTATTATCTCTTCATCACATTCAATACCAACTGAGCTTAAAACTGAACTAATATCTTTTAATGATGGAGACTCATTACCAGCAGTTACACATAATAAATATGCAGCAACGTATTTCATAGACATCTTAATAAATCAGAAATAGAAGAAAAAAAAGAGATAATAATTAAGAAGTAATAATAATATTCTTGCCTAAATATAAAATAAATTTTGAAATTGCGCTTATTGTCTGTCTTTACCAATAATAATAATATTTCTTATTGTCTAGAAATTAATATTAGTAATATACATTAATAAGTTGTCTATATAATTATTTATAATATTATTAAATTAGATATTAAGTTTAGAGACAAAGACTTAATTATATTATTTAATACTTATACTTTATACTTAATACTTATTAAGAGACGAGACAAAAAATATTATAGCACCTATAAACAAAAATAATATTGGCGCTAATAAGTACTAACGTAATAAAATTTATTTGAATAACTGTTAAGTCTTATTATTAAGAAAAAGAAGTAAAGAAAGTTGAATATCTTATATAATATTATTAAGAAATATAAATAATATATTATTACTTTAATATTCTAGTATTAGATCTCTTATTTTTTCCCCCAGGTATTATCCTTAAATAATATTATTACTTTAAATATTTGAAAGTACATAATTTTTAAATTTTTAATATATGATTATACTTATTTAGTAATATATTCGTTATTTTATATTTATCTCTATCTCTACTAATAATAAAATATTAGTTCTATAGGACCTTATTAGTTGAAATAAAAAAAGAAGAAGAAATAAAGTAAAAATGATAGATAGGAGTGAGGGTGCAAAAATTGGCTACCAATATCTATTTAATAAGTATTAAGGATGAGGTTGAGGTTGCGGCATTATTTAAATTTTATTTGATTAAATTTATTCAATATAAAAAAAATGGTAAGTTTATTATTATATTACTTTAAAATGAATCTTTATTATTTATATTTATAGGCTCAATCACGTTTAACATCATTGAAATCTAATATATATGAAAAGAAGATTGAAAGGCGTGGAATTCCAAATAAGAAGAAGAAATCATATCCTGTAGGGCCTTTTGTTCTTGGTCTTTTTGTATTTGTTGTAATTGGTTCTGCTATAATACAAATTATTGTAAGTGCAACAACAAAACATCTTGACTAAGGGATCTTATCTTTTAAATAATATTTAGTTTAAATAATTATTATTTATTAAATTCAATTATATTTTTAAATTATTCATTGAAATTATTAAAAAAAAAATTAATATTGAGCTTTATATAATATCTATATCTATTAGGAATTATTAATTAATTACTTCAATATTATAATTCTATCAATTCTTATTATTTTATTATTAGTTATATCTAGCTCAAAAAATTCGATATTTGTATTTTTAAAATATTTATAATTGAAATCTTTGGAATATATGGATCTAAAGATTTAAATGGATGAATGCATACAAATTTATTTGTTGAATCTAATCCAATTGAAGTACTGTTTAATAAATATACTTTACATACACAATGAATTAATTTTCGAAATAATTTATTACAATTTTGTATTACCATTATTTTACAATATTTATTTCTTGTAACATAATTCTTTAATAAAAAATACTCATTACAATCATTTTTATCTTCTAAAGTTATATTACAAAGTTGAGAATTATTTATATTAAAATAATGAATGGATTCATTTTCTCCTTTATATAATCCATTAATATATTCAATAAGATGATTTTCTAAGCTTGAAATAAAAAATTGAATATATATTTGATCAAGTAATTTGAATGTACTCTCAAAAGTACGATAAAGAAATCCATGTATTAAATCCTTATATTTTTCATTTAATATACTTTTTTTTGTATATATATTTTTAGAATTATTATCTGTTAATTGAAATATATCTTTTTCATATAATTGATAATTATTATCATTTAATAATATTATTTCATCAATCGATTTATGTAATTTAAATGCTATAGGATCAAGATATATCTGTTTATTTTTATTTAATGAATCTAGATAAGTATAAGTATATTTATATGTATTACATTTCATTTGAATATCTTCTCCACATTTTAAATATAATTCATAAAGATCAGTATTTGAACGTAATTTTATCCAAGTACTTGAATAAATAGTGCGATTATAATCATGGAAAGAAGAACCACTAAATATTAAATTAGCTTCCTCTTCATTATCATATTCATCAACATATAATGAATTACCTTTATGTAATAATAATTGATTATTAAGCCAACGACGATATTTCCTATTACCTAACATTATATAATATTAAATTTAATAAAGTTGGTAATTATATATTCACTAGATATTTCATCAATTAAGTAAGGAAGAAGAATAAAAAAAAAAGGAAAAAAAAAACATGTCGATATTTAATTTCTAGTATAAATATTTATTTTTACATGCAACACCCGCCTAAAGAGAAAAAAAAGTCAATAAATATTATCTCTCAACTTTTTTTTTCAACTAATAAATAAATAAGGATTTTTTTTATATAAAGAAAATTTTACGATTAACCTGTAAATCTGGTCTCCATATATATTCAAAATTCCCTTGTTTAGTATTAAAAGTACCTTCCTGTAACCACATTAATTTTAATGTAAATCTTGGACCTATTTCTTGTAAACCTGTACTAGTTACTTTATTATCTTTCTGTTTAAATATATATCTATAATGTCTAAAAAATATAAAATCCCTCTGATTATGAAAAGTAATAACTCTTCTACCATTAAAATCTGGATTAAATGGAAATAAAGATGCTAATTGCCTTCCTATTCTATATCCCATCCTTGTATCAAAATTATTTAATATAATCTCTGGATTATGTGTAGTTGATACTGCAGTACCTTTCATATCTTGAGCTAATTTAAGAGATCTCATTCTAAAATAACTAGTTGGTCCATTTGGTAAATGACATATATATAAACCCCAAGGTTGTTTTTTTACTGGATGTTCTATAAATATTAAAAGATCTGTATATGTATTATCTTTATTACTATTTATTTCCTTAATTATTGACTTTATTTTAAAGTTATATCGTTTATAAAAATCACAATTTGGTATTATTGCAACAAATTCTTTTAAAAAATTATACATATGTTTACTTGGTTTTCTACAAGTAGTAATTAATAAATGAGGAGATCTTTTCTTTAAAAAATAATCTGAAAATTCATCATTTTCCATTTCTTTATATAATTCTTGATCATTTATTGCATCTTTTAAATATGTTTCATCAATTTCACGGGTATTTTCAATAGTTCTTGGTATACCTTTTTCAATAATTTCACCATTCATTTCCTTTTTATGATTCTCCCTTCTTCTAGAACTTTTAGCCAATTTCTTCTCTATAATTCTTTGTTTTTTAATATTTAAGCGTCTGACTTTATTTTTAATATCATTTATATTGTCGTATTGTTGATTATTTATTATACCTTTTGTTTTAGTTTTAAATCCTTTCTTATAATTAATATTTCTATTATCTTCAATATCTTCTATTTTACTATAACCATCCATTATAGTATTTAACAAATATAAATAAGTAGAATTAAGTTAAATAAATTTTTATTTTATTATTGAATATTGTCTACCTGCCCCTATTTTAAATAATACATCTTTACTACATTTTAGCGCCACAACTACTTTTAATTATTATATAATAATTAAGTAACAAGATTTAACAAGAATATACTATATACTATATAATAATTAACAATAATTATAGTGATAGAATATAATAGAGATGTACCATTATATAAAGGAGGAAAAAAAAGGAAAATAAAAATACTTAGAAAAAAAAGAAGAGAAAAAAAAGAAAAAAAGTAATAATACATGTATCTACCGCTAAATAGTAAATAATACACTTTCAGGCGGTAAATATTTAATCTAAGACGTGACTAGTCTCAGTTAATATTATTAATAAATGAGATATCTACTCTTTATTTAGTAATGATAAATATTGTAATATATTAAATAGTAAATTTATTTTGAGACAGAATAAATAATAAGGCGGAATTTAAATTATATATATATATATATATTTACATACACTTTTTTCTTATAAAGGTTACTAAAGAAAACTATAATTTCATAGAATTAAGAAGATTTTAAGATTTTAATGAGTAACTTTACAATTCGTATTAGAAAATTTTTAAATAATCCATTATTGGCTCGTAGACAATTTGTAGTAGATGTTATTCATCCAGGTATTGGAGGTATTAGTAAAGCAGATCTTAAAGAAAAATTAGCCAAATTGTACAAAGTAAGTGATGCAAATTGTATTGTTTTATTTGGTTTTAAGACAGCTTTTGGTGGTGGACATTCATCTGGTTTTGGTTTAATATACAATAATATTAGTGCACTAAGAAAATTTGAACATAAATATCGTCAAATCCGTATGGGTATTTTGGAAAAGAAGACTCCTACAGGACGTAAGGGTCGTAAAGAGACTAAAAATAGAAGGAAGAAAGTAAGAGGTACTGCCAAAGCTAAAGTATCTGGTTCTAAAAAATAAAGTAATGATTAAAAAGAGAATTTAATATATGCAATTAAAAGTATAATAAGATTATTACTCTTATTTTATTTAAAGCATAATATTTAATGATGTCTTATTAAAGATAAGAAAATATTTATTTAAATTATAGAGTATAAGTTTAAGATAATAGGAATTATTGTATTAATTAAGTCTCTTACTTAAAATCTATAGATTTCAATAATAACATTAGATTTATATTTTCTTTATGGATTTGTTCTAATTCTCTTAATAGAGGATCTAATTTTGATGTAGCAAATTCTATTTGTTGATTTTTTCTATTAATATTAATATCTTGAATTGACTTACTAAGATATTTATCATAGATTTGTAGAGATTTGTGATCATTTTTAAGTATATCTAGATATTTTATCCATAAATCTTCACCATATTCTTTTAATAATTCAAGATTATCATAATATATTTTCAAATGTTCATAAGTATTCCCTATTTTACTTAAACCTTGATTATATAACTTTTTAATGGATATTTGATCCTGTATATTATTATTATCACATAGTATATTATCAATAAAGTACTTATCATTAAAATAATTAGATTGTAGATTCTTTTCAGTAGAGTATCGGATTATTTTTGATTGAATAGATCCTTTTGTATGAGAAAAATTATTTAAATTTCCCAATTCATTGATTTCTTGTTCTATTAGATATTTTGCACTTTTTAATTCATCTTCTGTAATTTTATCTAAATAACATAAAACATCAAAATCCTGATTCATTTCATTTTTAGATTATTTTTATAATATTTAAAAAAAAGAGAGAAAGAAGAAAAAAAAATGAAATATTATACATGTAGCGCCATTTTTACCGCCTTTTATATTTAAAATTTCATTAGTACTTGAAAGTCTAATGAGAAAAAGAGAGTTAGTTTCAACCCTTTATAAGATTTATATAAATCTCAATATAATAAAATATAAATAATTAGTTAGGGGGGTTGTTGTAACTGTGTGGATATTAAGATATTTTGTTTATTCACACAAAATTAGAAATGTTGGATGATAATCGCAAATTAGGTTTGGGTTTTTGTGGACTTGGGATATTTTTAATTACTTTGGGTGTACTATTATTATTTGATAGAGCCTTATTAACATTGGGAAATTTAACATTTGTTGCAGGACTTTCAGTAGTCCTTGGATTAAGTAAATTAACTAGATTCTTCTTTAAGTCTGACAAACTCAAAGGTACTTTTTTTTATTTTGGTGGTTTAGCAGTTATTATTTTGAAAAGTACAATAATAGGATTCATATTACAGATGTTAGGGTTATTTTATTTATTTAATAGTTTTCTCCCAAATATTGTTTCATATATTAAACTCTCCCCTGTAAGTTTTATTTTGGATCTTCCAGGGATTAAACAGATTGCAGAGTGGATCTATGATCAGAGAAGGCTTCCATTATAATGCTAAAAATTAGTATAAATTAGGATATATTTTCTTAGTCTCCGTTTACTAAGTAACTTTTTTTTCTTTTTTAAATAAAAAATTACGTTTTTATTGGACATTTATCTCTAATGTAATTTTTCTATTTAATTTAAATATTGATACTATGATATTAACCTACGATAAAGATTTAGAAAATCTAATAACACTTCTTTTTTTTTTTTTAACAATATTTAAATAGATATTTTACTTAATTAATGAAATCATATTATTTTCAACCTTGAATAAATTACATCTTTCAGCAATGAATGCTCCTAATTTCTTCGTTACTCCTTCAGGTTTCTTAATTTTATTTCCAATCATTGCTAAGTTTGTACGTCCATTTTTCTTTAAGAATTCAATAATAGAATTTTCATAAGCTTGATCTGCTTTATTCTGAGTTGAATCAGGTTTAACCTTCTTTTTTACTGGTTCCTGAACTTCAGACTTTTTTGTCTTCTGAGAAGTACTAGATTGTTTGTTAGTATTTTTAATAGGTACAGGAGGTTCTTCCTTTTCGCTATCACCATCTTCATCATCTTCATCATCTTCATTATTATCTTCATCTTCATCATTATCTTCATCATCCATTAAATTTTCAAGATCAAGTTCATCTGCTTCATCACTATCAATCTCCTCATCTTCACCAAGATCTTCTTCTGTAGAATCTTCACTATGTTGAATCTTTCTTTTTAAATTACGATTTGAACCATCCTTAACTTCCTCCTCTTCTTCATCAGAAACTCCAATCATAGCATCTTCATCATCAAATTCATCTTCTTCGTGCATATCTGGTTCATAAAAACCTGAAATATGAACTTCATTTTTACCAATGACAGATAATTCAATATCAGAACCTGTAGAAAGAAATAGATCTAAACTAGCATGTTCTATAGTCCCCTTTTGTAAAGAACATATAGTAATAGCTTTGTTATTTTCAATAGCCTGTACATATACACGTCCATTATCCTTAGGTTCTGATAAACAAGCTTGTGATAAATGTAGAATTTCTCCCTGTGTAGGGTCAAGCTTAACTTTTTGAGATGGCTTAATAATTAGTCCACAAAACATCCTTAATAAAACTGTAATTTAATAAAAATAAATTATTTTTAAAAAAAATCCTATAAAAGTGGCAGATAATGACTATCCAATGCAGAGAGATGAGAGACACATGACGGCGCCTGAAAGGTGTCTCGATACCTGTGATAAAAAGTTAGTTGCATGTTAAATTATTTAAATACATAAGACAAGATATTTTTTTATATCTTTAGTCAAACAAGTAATAATTACACATATCCTATATATTCATTACAATACATTAGAAGAAAAACCTAAGATCTAGTCACTTTTTTTTTTTTCTTAATTTTTACTTAGATAATATATTATGATCTAGATGTTTTAGATAAAACAAGAGCACCGACATGACTTATAGAACGTCTAATTTCAACTTCACTATTGTTTGGTGAGTCATCTAATAATGCCAATAATCCAGAAGGAACAAATCTTAATTCCCTTAAATCATTTTTAGTAAGTACATCTAACAATGTTTTTGGTTTTTCACCAGTAAAAGCTATTTTATAACAATGTCTAAATAGTGGAAAGTGCTTCTCTACATCAATATTTCCTTCAAGCATAAGTACTTCTAAAGTTTCATTAATTTCTCTTAAGGTTGATAAACCAGCTAAATGTTGACCACCTGTCACTTCTTGTTCAATTTCACTCCAACTCTTTGTACCATTATTTAAAGTGAATGCTTTGCCTCCTCTAACATTACGACCACCAAGACAGGTTGTTACAAGATCTGCAATGCCACAAGATTCAAAAAATACTCTAGTCATAATATTACTTCTAACATTGAAAAAAACACTTCCATACAAAATCATCTCTAATACTCCTAATCTCATTACAGCTGAGACAGTATTTGTTCCACATCCTAACCCTTGTATCATACCTACTAATAATGCAATAATATTTTTTAGACCACCAAAAAGTTCAGTGCTTATTATATCTGGAACACAATCTATTTTAAACCAAGGAGTATCAAATAAATATTGCCATATATAAGCATCATCATAATCTGAACATGCTAAAGTAGCTTCACCAAATTCTCTTGCAGCTAAACCAGTTGCTACATTTGCACCAGAAAGTACACAACAATCAACTCCAATTTCTTCATTTATAACTTTACTAATTAAATGTGGATGTCCATCTTCAACTAAAAATCCTTTAGTTAAAGATACTGCCTTTACTGCCTTCGAAAAGTTTATTCCTAATCCTTTGATTTGCCGTGCTACAGAACGAATATATTGACTTGGTATAACAAATATCATTAAATTACAATTATCACAAGCTTCTCTCAAATCAGTAGTAGCTACAATATTCTCAGGCATATTATAGCCTGGTAAATACTTTGAATTTATATGATCCCTATTAATTACCTTAGAGAGCATTTCACCAGACTCTAATTCTTCATCGACTAACCACAACTTAACTTCATTATCAAATATCAATGTTCGCTGAGTATTATAACCCACAACACAGCTTATAGCAGAACCAAAACTACCAGCCCCAAATATGGTGACTTTTAGTGAATTACACCTCAAATGTTGCCTTAGACACATTTTCAGTAAAAATGATAATGATAAATAATGCAAGACTTCAATATGCAACTTTAGAAGACAAATATTATCATTTAAATCCCCCCGCTAATAACGCATCCTAATCCAATGTAAATGTCCCTAAATTACAAAAATATAAAATTAAAATAAATATTTAATATATATGTATATATATTCATGAGTACTTTAAAAATCTTATTTTAATTTTATAATTAGATTATTACTAGTTATTTAAGAGAAATATAAGAGATATATAGAAATATATCCCCTAAATATTTAGAATAAATTATATTAGTAATAAATCATTAGTGGTTATAACCATGTATATATATATATATGGCTATTTAAAAGTAATATATACCAAAAAAAAAGAAGAGAAAATTCCCGATTTTCTATTATTACTAATGAGGGAATTTGACCCCTAATAGGCGGCATGTTACACTTTGGGTATCAACTTAATTAAGCGGTAAAATGTGTCAAAAAAGTAATAAAGTTAATTTTAAGAAAAATAAAAATAAAAAAGAAATTATTATAGATTATACTGCCTAATTAAGAAGTAATAATAGTCTTTTCACCTTAAATATTATTTTTAGTTATTCCAATTTTATTATTTATTGGGAAATTTTTCATATATATGGATGCAACTATTAGGCCTAGTAGAACAACCCCAACTAGCGGAAGCTCTATACTCACAACTATAGATAATAGAAGAAAGAAAAGTGTAACAATAACCAAACCAATAGTTCTTGGTACATATGCTTTTATGCTCTCAATTGCAGAGCAGAAGAAACGAGGTGATAATGCTACACACTCATGGACTTGCTTCTTACGTTCTCCACAAAATGAGGATATATCATATTATGTTAAGAAAGTTGTCTTTTCTTTACATCCAAGCTTTATCAACCCAAATAGAACAGTGGAAAAATCTCCTTTTGAGGTTACAGAATATGGATGGGGTGAATTTGACATTGTTGCAAAGATATATTTTGTAGACCCAATAGAGAAACCTGTAGAAATAAAACATTTTCTAAGATTATATCCTCCAGGTACAACAGATGTAAGAAATATAAAATTTCCAAGTGATCCAAATTCCTGTGATTGTGTAACATCGGAAACATATGATGAATTTATATTTCATGAACCTACTGAACGCTTTTATGAAAAGTTATTAGCAGGTCCTTTACAACCTTTTCCTGAGCATAGACTACAACCATATTTTCATAAACCAGATAAATCTGCATTTGAAAAAGCATTATCAAGTGCTCATGCTGCTATACAAAATGAATTAGCAACATTAAGAGCTGAAATAGTACAAACAGTATTAGATTTACAGACAACACGTGAAAATTACTACAATTTACGACCACATGAAGCAATTAATCAATTTCCGCAAGCTTTTGAACAATCTAAACAAGGTATATCAAGTCCAGTTGACAAAATGAAGTATGGAAATAATATTCAGAAAAATCGTGAGCATATATCAGGTCACCAATCTATTAATTTGTATGATCAATCCCCTAAATCTCAGTATATGGAGAATATATCACAACAAATACAACAATCTCATCAACAAATTGATCAATTACAAAATAGACAACATACAAGTATTGTAGATAATAGTATGAATTTACAAGGACAAAATATTCCTCAAAACTTAAATCAAGGTCATCACCTAACTCAATCTCAGCCTTTAAACCAAAGCAAACAGCAAATTAATAATTATCAACAGTATAGAGTTTCATCTCAAATCCCTATTTCTGATATTACTAAATCAGAAATTGGATCTCAACATGACATGCATATTTCAAATATTCAGACACAATCTGTTGCACCACCTATTCAATATTCGAATACATCAATTCAGCCTAAATTGGAGACATCTACTTATCATAATCAATAGTACTAGGTATATACTGAATATATATGTTGCTTTTTTTTTTTTAATAATATTTAAGGGATTTTAGAAATTATTTTATAGAATTTTAAATATATTATTAATTAGCAGTATTAAAACGCCGTATTGGCGCTAAAGGGTGTCACGTATATTTAAGGAGATGGTTTTTAGCTAGCTAAGATCTGCAATAACTTGATTATGTACACTTTGGAGTCTAAATTAATTAATGATACGTTTTAAAATATTTGAAACAAAGAATTGTTTGCCTTTTTTTCTAAGATGCAAACTGGGGAAGAATGGAAATGTTGTCATAATGGATCTATCTCTACTTCTTTCTATTATAAAGTTCATACATTTACAGGTGCTATAGAGATTTCATTGGTATTAAAAGATAATAAAACAAAAGCTGACCATTTGAATCAAGATGTACGATATCCTAGATTAGTTATTATTAGGCCAAGTAATATATTCACGTGTGAAAATATAACATCAATAACTTTGGATCATTTAATACACAACCAATTTAAGGACTCTGATGATCTATGCAATGATCAACTAAGAAAGTTTTGTGAAAATTGTATTTTTGAAATAAAGAATGAGGAAGATATGCCATTACTCATGAATTTAAGAAAACTTTATGGTCCTCCAGAATTTTTAGATGCAGATACTGTTATTGGGAATTCTAATATACATATAGTAGAAAATGATGAAAGTGGATACCCTATTATTAATTGGGAAGGTTCTAATGCAAATATAGTTAGGACTAATTTGAAACATTCAACTGATAACTTTCCCAATATTGGAGATATACCAAAAGAAGATATATTACGAGATGAAGTTATGGATATTTCAACATATTCTGTTGCTATAGTTCAGGCTCTATCTATAGTAGGAATTCTAACAGTTTTAGATGAACCTTTTCTTTTATTAATTACAGAATGTCAACCTTCATGTATTATCTATCAAAATGAATCTTATAAGTGTATTAATAAAGTAACAAAATCACTAGCAGTACCTTTAATTTCGCAAATGAATACAAAGTTATGTGATAAGATGAAATTTGATGATATAGGGAAAATTCATTTGAATACAACAGATCCTAATTTAAATATAAATACTTTAAATAATTCTGATTTTAAATATAATAAATTAGAGTCTAGTCCAATACAAAGTCAAGATTCTAAACCTGTGTTATTAGGGACACAATCATTTACTCTTGACTCAAATGAATGGGTACAGCGAGTATCACAAACTCTACAGAAAATGTCACCAAGGAGGAGTAAAAAAGAGGCTTTGACATCTTTATGGTCTCCTCTTGGGGAGACAGGAGCTCAATGGTTAAGTAATTCATTCTCAAATGTTTCATCAGGTATTTTTGATTCAGTAGCTACAGCATTTATATCTAAAGATTCAGTACTAAATAATGGGATATCTGGAAATTCAACTACAAATCAAATAAATAAGAATCCCAATGATTCTGAAGATTCACCTATGGAATCTGCTACTGATAGATCAGAACCTGCTAGCATAGAAGATATTTTATCCGAAAGACAATCTTGTATTGAACGTCTTGTAAATGGAGTTACTAGATTATTGTCATCTGGGGGATTTTATTTTAGTTTTGATATGGATTTAACTAGAAGTTTACAACAAAAATTTCAGGATAAATGGATCGATAAGGTTGAACGTGTAGATTTAAATCCAGATAAGGCTAATAATAAGGATTTCTATAATTTGATATATAATAATGCTTCTAATGCAAATATATTATCAGGTGATAGTCGTTTTATATGGAATAAGAATATATCTATACCTTTACTGCATGCGAATATTGATCCTCGTTGGGTTACACCTTTAGTACAAGGTTACTTTGGAAATCAAGCTGTAATTTTATCATCAACTGGTCCTGGTCTTGTAAGGACAGGATCTGATATTTTAAACTGGAAATGTAATACAGATAATTGGGGAGAATATAATCTTTTTAATAAGAAATCTAATAGTGATATTGAAGGTGTAGCAACTCCTGAGTTTACTAGACTATCCAATTATACTTATAACTCATCATCAACTCCAAAAGTAACTACACAATCCAAAAAAAAACTGGAGTCAAGTAAATTTGAGGAGTTTAGATATTCAAAATTAGATAGAGAATATTTAAAAAATCACTATATATACTGTAATCAATGTCACAAAGATTATTTAGATGGTTTAACTCGTTTTGATTTAGTAATAATGTCTAGGAGATCTTGGGAAAAGGGAGGAACTAGATTTAATGCTAGAGGAGTTGACGATAATGGGAATGTTGCAAATTTTGTTGAGACAGAACTTCAGATTTGTATTAATACATCAGATGAGTGGACTTCATTTCTTCAAATCCGTGGATCTGTACCTGTATTTTGGGAGCAATCAGGAGTTGCTTCTGCAAATTTAATATCTGTAGATGATAATTTGTCTAATTTAGCATTTTATAAACATCAAAAACAATTATGTGATCATTATGGACAAATTTTATATGTTAATCTCCTTGGTTCAGCTATTCATGAAAAAGCTTTAACTGAAGCTCTTATTGCACAAATTGATACCTATAATAAAAATCTTGATAGTTATATTTCTCAATTAACCTATGATGAATCTACAAGAACTGGATTTACTTGCATATGTGGAAAACAAGCTATGGATATTGAAGATAAAGAAAAATTAGCTTCCAAACTAGAATATAATATAAAAAAAGATAATAAAAAAGACAATCAAGATACATTTTCAAAAGTTTATGATGATAATAATTTACATATGAATATAGTATATGATATTAGAGAAATGTACTCTTGTCACTGTTTTTGTACTTGCTTTGCTCTTCCTATACTTTATAGTAGTTATGATTATCATCAAAAAGTCAAAAATCTTGGTTTTGAAGATGCTTTACAAGAATATATATCAATACTTGCTCAAGAATATAGTAATAATATTGGATATTTTCATGGTTGCTTTAAAACTAGAATAAATAATTTACAATTTCCCGATTCTAATTTAGAAGATACAGATGGAGAACAGAATATTTATACAAATGAACCAATGGTGGATCCTGTTATTTTAAATCTTCAACAGGGGGTTATAAGAACTAATTGTTTGGATTGTTTGGATAGAACTAATGCTGTACAGTGGTATATAGCTTGGACATGGTTAGTCGATTGGTTGTTAAACTTAGCAAATTGTGATTCTTATAATAGTTCAAGAGACTCTTTTCAGGATAATTTATCTAGTATATATACAAAACGGGGGAAATTAAATAAGACATCTCAATCAGATTACCATAATTTACAATATACAGATGTAAATATTAAGGACGATAATTCTGATATGTATAAATCAACTGATATCTTTGATAATCAAAGGTGTAGCAATACAAGTTCACAAGTTCATGAACCTTTAATTGAAGGTCAAATATCATACTCTGGCTGGGTTTCTTCTAATAACAATAATTTTTTTCATTTAAAACAAAATCCTCAAATTAATCAATGTAGTGATATGGATTTAAGTTTTGAAATCAGGAATCGATATAAAAAATTAGGATTAAAACACTTAAAAAATTTAAATTCTAGTATGACCAGCAATTGTCAGTTTATGTCTCCTTTGAGTTTATGTAATCCAATTATTCCTTCCCGTTTATCGCATTTAAATAAAACTAATAATCAGACAACTTCCAATTTATTACCATATAGAAGATTCTCAAGTAATACCTCTGGTAACTTGAAGAACTATGAAAAATCGTTACATATTACTGATGATGACGAACAATCTTCCTATAATATTTCTGAACAAAATAAGCATACTTATAATATTTTATCATTGAAAAGGTGTCTTAATAATGGGATGGCAATTGTTACTTTAAAAGATGCTTTCAGCTATTTATGGGCTGAAAATGGTGATGCTATTAGTGAAATCTATGCAGGAGCTGGAAGTGTTTTTAGTGGTGTAATAAAAAATAGGAAAGTTTCCTTATCTACTAATTTTGATCATGCCCTAAAATCTCTTAGACGTCTTTACCATAATACATTTGAAGACTCATCAAGACAACAGTATATTGACTGTCTATTATCTAAACACCCTGCTAGTCCTTATGTTAACCAAAGATACAGAACAAACTTTTGTAGTGCTAATTGCAAAATCTCAAAAATACCTTGTGAACAATCAAAATTCCCTAAGCTTACAGTTTGGGTTGGAACTTGGAACTTAGCTGGTCAGCAACTTCAAGAACCTTTAGATAAATTAATTAACTCAGATTTCCCAAAGAATACAAGTATTGCATGTTTTTGTTTGCAAGAAATGGTAGAATTAAATAGCGTGAGGATAATGTTTAGTCAAGGAGATAAAAATAGAGAAGCAACTTGGGAATATTGTGCGTTGAATTCTTTAGGAAGCCAAGAATATGTAAAAGTTCAAAGTGTAAGCTTAGTTGGATTATTTTGTATAGTATTCGTAAGACGTTCTCTACTGAATTTCATAAGTAGTGTCAATATTGCATCTTTAAAACTTGGACTTATGGGTAATGTTGGAAATAAAGGAGCTGTTTGTATTCGAATGAATATCAAGGGTTATGGTAATATTGCTTTTGCCAATGTACATTTATCCTCAGGTGAACAAAATAAGGAAGATCGAACTTTCCAACTCAGGAATATTATGAATTCACCAATATTTATTAATAATGATTTTGGAACGTTTGAAGATCAATTTAAACAATTTACTGGATCGTGTTTATCAGATCATGATGTTGTAATAATGGCAGGTGATTTCAATTTTAGAATTCAACTCTCTAGATCTCAGGTTATGAAATTAATTCAAGAAAATAATTTACAACAATTAGCATCATATGATGAATTTATCATAGAACAAGCTAATCGTATTGGTTCCGCTACTTCATTTTCAGAAGGTGAACTTGTTTTTTATCCTACCTATAAATTTGTTAGGGGTGAAGATTCATATGATTCAACTAGGACTCCTGCTTGGTGTGATAGAGTATTATTTTATACTAAATATAATAAAAACATAGTCAGATTATATAAACAAGATGAATTACTTGTATCTCTTGATGAACAACAAATAGATCCTAAAGTTAGACATATACAAGAAGATCCTTCAATTATGTCACCAAAACCTAAAATACAGGTTATCAAGTACTCATCTAACTCAAGGTACTATGGAAGCGATCATAAACCTGTCGTAGCTATCCTATCTATACAGTTTGAATAGTTCTCCACAATAAAAACATTTACTCTGAAAAAAAATTATTCTCTTGATGTTTGGAATAATTTGCTTATTCTACAGAGTATGATTCGACAAAATAGAATATTCATTCCCTACTATTACATGGAATCTAAAAATAACGAAATAGCGAGACAGCCCGCCTGTGTTTATAACCTTTTTTTTCTAATTGAGAAAATTGACACTTTATAAATATATTAGTACTCATTTTTCAAATCCTTATTAATATTGCAATTTCAGTAATATCCTTAATTATTTAATGAAAAACTGATAAGATGCCAGCCACTGTACGTGGTAGTCACCTTCCACCCTCGAATAGGTAAGGTTTTTTTTTTTTATAGTTAGGTATAAAACTAACCTATTAACCAATGAAATTATGTAGAGTAAAAGTATCTAGTTCTCTTAAAACTACTGATATCTGGGTAAGTTTTCTTTATAAATGAAGCCTTTATATCATACTTAAGTATTGGGAAGTTAACAGATTATTTTATTTTATAGAAGAAAAGTGTTGGTAATAATCCTTGTAGTTCTAAAAATGAGGTGAAACGGAACATATTTGATGCTCATAAGGTTGATAAAGGGATGAATACTATTGCTAAATTAACAGGATCTAGTTTTGATACTATTCCGGGGGCATGTAATAATTGTGGTCAAATAGGACATCTTTCTTACCAGTGTCGTAACAACTACACTTTAAAACGAGTATTAGAGCAATCTAAAAATTCTCGATGTACTTCAGATGTAAAATCAGGCAAACTAGGTGTAAATCATCGAAATAATAAGAATATTAAACATTCTACTGAGAAGTGTCAAAAATTAAAGAAATATGACACAAATATACAAGACTTTAAGGTAAATTTAAACATTGGAATTCATATATATAGTTGTTATTGATTTTTTTTTGTGTAATTGGGGTTGTAGAATAATAATAAAGAGAAATGTGATAAAAAGATCTTAAAAGGCTACAATAATAATAGCTGCTTAAAGTGAGTATTTCAAATAACTTAAAAATAGAAATATAAAGTATTTAGATATTAATTATTTATATAAACAACAAGTATTGCCCTATTATTTACAATTTTTATTTGTGAATCTTCCCAATTTCTTTCCAAGGGCTGTAGATTTCTAGCCTTTTGGGTGCACCTTACATGCACCGCCAAAGCCTTTTTGGATTCTTAAGCTTAATCCTAAACTCCCAGACATTATTTCACTAAATAAGAAAGGAATTTGAGTGTATAAAATATAATTAGATATTATAATGAATTTAAGTATTTGGAATCCATTAGCTTTAGACACGTTTAATTCAAGGCTTACATATTTCCCAATAAAATCTAGTACACTATTAGAGATCTTGAATCATGAAGTAACAGATGATGACGATATAACTACAACTACAGTTGAAGAATATAAGTCACTTATACAATATTCCTGTTTATTGGAATACTGCCCTGAAGGGATATATATTGTTCCAGAATTTGATAATATGTATTGCTGGCAAGGAGGAATATTTGTAAGAGCAGGACTTTATAAAGAATCTTTTTATAGATTTAAAATAGATATATCCTGTAATAAAGACAAAAGAAATTTAATATATTTTTTGAATCCACCATATCATCCTTTGATAAATAGTGAAACGGGGCTTTTATATATTCCAAAAGACTGGGAAGAACAGATTAATGATGATGTATTATCTTTAGTATTCTTTTTAAAAAATATTTTTTATTTACCAGATTTAATCACTTATAAAATCGAGGATAATGATATTGGAAATAAAGAAGCATCTGAAGCTATAAATAATAATGCTAAGGAGGCTTATGAAAGAATTAAAAAGTCTGTTGAATCATCTATATATCAATCATCTAAATTCTTTGAGAAAGAAAAATCTCCTTTTAAAATAGAAGATAAAAATGAAGGAGATAAAATAGTTCTAGATATTATAGACAATATTAAAAAGTGTTGTCAATCTTCTACAAATTTACAAGCCCAGAAGGACATCTTTAATGAATGGCTAACATCATTTATTACTCAAACATAGAAAATATCCACTTTAGTTATTTAATTCAGAGGCATATCTTTAATATACTTAAAATTACTTAAAATTACACTTATATTGTGAGAGTTGGAAAGATGTGTGTATATATAAAGTTGAAAAAAAAAAAAAAAAAAATCTTATATCTTTACAATCAATAGTAAGCTAACCTAACTATGTCATAATATGAGCTTATGAGAGTTTGCCAACACTAGATAGATGAATGACTGTCGCAGGAATAGACAAGTCTACAGATAGGACTTTAGACAATATCAATTCTGCAACATTACTTCCATTGTTCTTAAAGTCATTCTTAACAGCCTCTATAGCAGCTGCTGTTGATTTCTCCAAACTCTGATCAATATCATCATCAATTGAAAAATTACTATTGAATTCAAGATTAAATTGTGCTTCTTCTTTCTCACGGAAGGCTATAAGTTCTTCTTCTGCGGAGATTTGAGCTTCCTTTAACTTACGGATTCTATTCTCCTTTGCACGACGTACAACCTCTTCAGCATCAGCCTCTGCCTTAACTAATTGCTGAATAAGTACAGACGAATTTGCTGGACTCTTTGCAGTTGAAGCCATATTAACACTTTAATGGTTAAATTATAAGGAAAATTAAAATCTTTACCGATTAGTAGTATAGACATTAAATATAAAAAGCATTACTTCCCGCTTACTTTTTTTATGCGGTAAAATCAGGACTTTGATTCTTATATAAATTGGGGTTTTACTATTTATAAAGTCTTTTAAGAACTTTTATCAGAAATTAGCTTCTGAAATTCTCCTGATTATCAAGTGATTTTATGCCAGATAGGAGGGCTTGTGATTTTAAAGATAATATAGAGAAGACCTCTAAAGAAATAGAATTCCTTAATATACAAGAAAGTGGATCTAAGCTCATAGAAAGTCTATCATTTATAAAAACTGGAGTACAAGAAGAGCTAAAAAGTAAACTAGATAATACGGTACCTCCATGGAAAAGATGTAAAGTACCTTTTAAAAGTGATATTATTAAAAGGGCTCAAGAATTTCTACAAGCAAGTGATTCAAATAATAAAACTTTAAATCAATATAATGACATTTGCAATGATAAATTATATGATAATATTGGTGATCAACAACATGTAATTATGGATGTACATCTTGGAGTGTTTAATGTAGATGGTAATGTCCTTGATGAACCTCAACTATTAGATAAAGGTATTGTAACAGTTTCATTAGATAATATAAATACTTCGGATATTAGCGAATATAAGGAAGATATGGGGATAATAATAGAAAGTGAATTAGATACAGGGTATCCACCAAATAAGAGTAAACATATATCTTTAGTAGAAGTTGTTTCTGAAAGTGGAGAATCTGTAAATTATTAGTATAGCCAGGTTTACAGGTAGTAACTTATTTAAGGAAAATACTTTATATATTAATTTATACCTTTTCTTATTCTTTGGTTTTTTGTAGATTTATTACTGAGATTATAAATAATTATTACTATATTTATTATTAAATATATCCATAAGTTTTTTAAGAATTAGATCTAGTCTATGAATTAAGTGAATAATAATATTTCGAATAGATATTTAATCTATTATAAAGTGAGTATATGATGATTTATTTGTACACCTTAATCTACTTTATAACTAGATTGTAGACGACAATTTTAGCGGTATAGCTTAAGCTTGAATCTTTTATTGTATTCCTAGGAAATTATATAAGAGAAAATGAAGGCTTTACAGTTGACCATAAATTTCAATAGTAATACATGGAGTCCATCTATGGATGACTTAGCTGGTGATAATTGTCTTGAAAAAATAAAATACTTTCCATTTGCTCCATCTATAAAAGTAGATAAACTTGGTTCAGTATGTGATTTCTCATATACAAGTTATTCTAGGGCCCGTGAAGCAAAAGTAATGCAAGTTGAGAATCATGACTTCCATTTAGTTGATTCTCGTCCATTCCCAAAAACAAAGATTCGTTATATTCAACGAAGGTTTCAAAAAGAAACAACTCAAGCATATCAACAAAAGCAACAACAACAAGAGAAAGCAGAACTACTTGGTAGGCAGGGTAAACGTGGAGGTAAATTAAGACAAGGAGGACAGAATTATCAATATTCACGTAGTAGATTTGTATCACGTATGCGTACACTTACAGAATGGTCTATAGAACCACTATCTTCTTGGACATCTATAGCAGAAATACCATTGACAAGTTTACCAAAGCAATCACTAGATATAAGCCGTTTGAATGTAGAGGATATAGCTTGGTATGGTACTCTAAGATGCTACAATAAATCTATTGATAGAATATCACCAAAATTACCTGTACCACTACGTGACTTTGGTGGTGCTGAATTTTTGCAACCAACAACATCTGATGATGATGTACTCCGTGAAGCACTACTAATACCTGAGAAAAGTGTTGATGTTGCAATTACTGATCAGATACTAGCATGTTTAGTTGCAGCTACACAATCTAAGTATTCATGGCATATTTTGGTTACTCATATTGATGGTAAACTTATCTTCGATAAACAAGATGGCTCAATTATTGATTTAGTTACTGTTAATGAAACATCTGCAGAACCTCCATTACCAGATAATATCAATAAAAATAATCGTCCTCATTTATTAGGAATGGAAGCTTTAAAGGCTAATCAGAATTTTACACAAAATATTTTATTGGAAGGTGATGGTGGAATTATACAGAAATATGATCCTTCTCCATTTACTGAAAGTTGTGCTAATTTTACAGAATCTAAATCTTATAGATATCGTATATTTTCTTTGCCACCAAGAACTGGGGCAGCTTCTACTGAAATTGCTCAGAGAGTTGTTCGTGTAGCAATCCGTACAGAAGTAGATGCAAAATTACAAAATACTACAGATGAGAATGGATTAATATTTGCAAGAGCACTAAGTGAATACGATATGAAAACAATAAAAACATGGAATACTCAGCTTGAAACCCAAAAGGGTGCATTATTAGCTACAGAAATTAGAAATAACGCTTGCCAGCTAACAAAGTGGGCTACTCAGGCTTTGCTATCAAGTTGTGATACTCTAAAACTTGGTTATATAGTGAGACGTTCAGCAAATGATAGAGAAAATCATGTGATTATGAGTGTCCAGTCATACAAAACAAGAGAACTCAGTGCTCAAATGGGACTTAAGGAAGAGAATGCATGGGGTATCACAAGGGCTCTTATAGATCTCCTTGCAGAACAACCTGAAGGTCAATATGTCATACTGCGTACTCCAGTTAAACATGTCCTTAGAATATATAAATTACCAGAGGAGGAAAGCAGTGAGCAGATGGGAGAAAATACATATAATCATAAGCATGATAATTCAAATGCTAAGTAGTTTATTTTAATTACTGAGGAGAATTTAACTAGGATATCTTTTAGTTAGAATAAGTCAGTAATATTGTATATCAAGAAGACTTCCCATACTGTTTCTCTTAAGAAAAAACAGAGAAAAGTTGGAATATTTATACCTTATTGTTGAATAATAGTCATAACCTTCCTTATCTTTGCAATTATTTACTCTCAATTTATTTTTATAATACATAAGTTCAAACAGTAGATGATGTCTTGTCCACTGCGTCTCTGGCGGTTGTTTGTGGAGCCTGTCTCTTGATCTGCATCAAATAAATATACTACAATTGCTCGTAGTAGTGAATAGTTGGTCAGCCAAGTAAACAACATAAGTTTAGGTTGGATTGCTTCCTGCTTAGAAACTTATACTGTTAACCAATAAATAATATTGGTTTGATATAGCAGATAATTCGATATTTTCTATTTATTTTCATTTTGTTTTTGGAACTAGGACTGCAATATGGGTGCATATAAGTACCTTGAAGAGCTTTATAAAAGAAAACAGTCTGATATATTAAGATTTCTTATGCGTGTTAGAGCTTGGGAATATCGACAACTCCCAAGTGTAACAAGGTGTACACGTCCAACACGTCCAGATAAAGCAAGAAGATTAGGATACAAGGCTAAGCAAGGATATGTTATATATCGTGTAAGAGTACGTAGAGGTGATCGTAAGAAACGTGTAGCTAAGGGTATAGTTTATGGTAAACCAAAAAATCAGGGTATATGTAAAATGAAGAGTACCCGAAATTTAAGAGCTTTAGCAGAAGAGAAAGTTGGGAAGTCAATATGTGGAGGTCTTAGAGTATTAAACTCTTACTTCGTTGCTCAGGATGCTACATTTAAATTCTTTGAGGTCATCTTAGTTGATCCATCACACAATGCAATCCGTAATAATGCAAGGATTAATTACATTTGCAATCCAGTACATAAACAAAGGCAACAGAGAGGACTTACAGCTGCTGGTAGAAAGAGCCGTGGCTTATTAGTTAAGGGTGGTAAGGCAGCTAGATTAAGACCATCAAGAAGAGCTGTCTATCGTCGTAGACAATTCATACAGTTACGTAGATATCGTTAAAAGATTTCCAGTTATTGACTATAATAACTACTCTCTTATTTCCTAGATTGTATTATTTATAGTTTATGCTTAATTCTTACTAGGCACATTGTAATCAAACTTTTAATTATTCCGCTCAGAAAAGAAAAAAAGAAATACTTTTACTAAGTTTAAATGACACTATATTTTACACAAAGTTCATTGGAGTTTAATTATAAATTGAAAAGAGAATTAAGGGGATTTTGTACTATATCTTTATTTGTTAAAAAAGCATTTGTTATAATAGATTGTTGATTGTCAGGTTTATCTTTTGAAGATGCTATACTAAAATTTTTTCTTGCTGTGATTAATTCAAATTTGTTAACTATATCTTTCCTATTTTGAGTGGCACTAGTTAATGCTCTTGTTTTTGTAGATATTAACTTCTCTTTATCTTCTCTTAGACATTTTGACCATTGGGAAGCACTCTCCATAAATAAAAGGTCTTTTCCTAAATTTTTATCTATACATTGTTTGAAAGATGTTACAAATCTTCCCTTTCTACCATGCGGTGAAATCTCTTTTATTTTATGTGTATCTAAAGAGTTAATAGATATTGAGTTATTTTCAGAATATATATCATTTAAATCTAGAGCCTTGCATATACGACAAAGTCTTTCATAATATCTTTCATATAATATATCAAGTTGTAATTCTGTTACTATTAAATCTGGCTCTAATTTCTCTTCATTTAAATTTTTTATCTCCTTTATATTACTTTCATTTTCCTTCTCTATTCTATTTTGGTTATTAATTGTAACTTTATTTTTGTATGGTATAGATATTTCCTTTTTTACTTTTAATGGAGAATATGAATAAGAACGTCTCTGTTTAATCATCTTTTTTTTTTTTATATCTTCTAAGGTGCATGAAGGTGGTGATACACTTCTACATAACTTCCAAAATTCTGTTTTACTTGTTCTTAATTTATCTAGATAATTTCTATATTCTTGAGATGCATCTTGACGATTTTTAGATATTCTCTGAGCCATCTTATTCAAATGGGATTTTGGAGATAATTTATATTTTCCTATATTATCATCATTATCCTATTTATTAATTGCATAACAAGTTACAAATACATGTTTTCTTAATATATAAAAATATTTATTTACTTACTTTCCAACTAGGTTTTATTTCAAAGGTCAAATCTTTACAACAAATTTTATGCCCATATCCACTTTTATTACTATATATATCTTTACAATTATTCTTATCTAAATGCATTTCTTACATAAGTTTAATAAATTTATTAAAAGAAAAAAAAATAAAGAAAAATAAAAAAAAAAAAAGGCGCTTAATTTTATCCACTAATATATTACATGCATGTATAACGTTTTATATAATATTTTATCTAAGAATTCCAATATACTAAATATTTCTATCTTTACAACAAAAAGTATCTAATATAAGTGTATCTATATAAAATTTAAATTTGTAAACTATTTTATGTTAATAATAGCAAGAATTTTGTATATTTAGCTCTATAGTCTATAAATAAATAAATATTCAACTTTTATAATATAAATGATCTATAATACTAGATTCAAATGTAACTTTAGAAAAATTGTCTCCATATTGTACATTATAAATCTTTAAGATTTTGATACTTAGTAATCTATTAGTAAAACCTAATAATATCTTTTATAATAATATCTTCTTGTTACTATCATTAATACTATAGATTGAATAATCCCATCAATTATTACAAGATATTTTAATTAAGTATATATGATTACATAAATCAAATAATTTTTTTTCCTATCATTTGTCTATATTTAGTGTGGGAATCCATTGTATTAAATATTAGCTGAAATAGTATTTCTAATAATTATTCATATATATTAGAGTACTATTAAAATTATTTTTAATAGATTATAACAATGAACAATTTATATCTTATAAAATAAATTTGTTTTGTTTATTTTAAACTTATATGTTTCATATATAAACTAAAAATAACTTATTTATTATTACTTGTAGGGCTAAACACTAAAATAGTAGCATTGTTAATTTCTAAGATATTAATATTATAAAGAGTTCCAAAAATCTGATATTCCTATTGATAACTTTATTAAGTTATCAAGTTAAATATATTAAAGTTAATATTTATCTCATTTAATTTTATAATAAGTAGTATAAATTCACAGTAATAATTGGAATTCTGATATATCAAACTTTATACTAATAAGAACATTATATATATTATATTATGAAGTTTATAGTACAAATCCACTAAAAAGATTGAAAAAGTTCATATAACCTATATACTAGTACTTTATAAATTTCTTAATTTCAAATAGTAAGAAAGAAATAAATAAAAATTAGATTGTTTAATTATTAAGGTTGTCAAATTAAGTGCCTCAGGATTTTTTAAAAAAACTGGAAGTTACTATATAAAATATAAAATATACAATAAGAATATTTCATTATAAAAAAGGAAGGATGAAAAAGTTAATACAATACTAAATATTTCAGTATAATTATAAATTAGGCAGCTAGCAATATATACTTAAATTCCTAAAACGCATTCCTATAGACAACGTGAAATGGGCGCGCATATATGATACTTAGAACTCGCATATAGTCTAAAATATTAGCTTTTGTTAAATTCAGTAAATTTTAATTTCCAAATTGACAGCTTCTATTAAATGTGATGGATATTGATATTACTGAAGCTAATATTAATAGTAAGAATGATGAGATAAATGTTCATTTAGATGGGATAAATATACCCAAAGTGAAGTTGGATAATCCTATAGATATTGAATATAAAAGTGAGGATTTGAATAAGGAATATTGGTTTTATACTGATAATAATACTTTTACTTTGATTGTAGATGAGAGTATTGCTAGAAATAAGATGGATCTTCAAAAGTGTCATATTTTTTGTATTCCAAGTGCACCTGAATTTTGCATCTATTATAGGGTAAATAATAAATTACCGAATATGGAAGATGGGAATCATCTTATTGTAGGAATATCATTAAAAACTGGGAGATATACTAGTGAACTATGTTATAAGGATATAAAGGATATTCTACTAAAGAAATTGGAATATTGGGAGAGTAAATTTAAAACTAGAATGATTGATTATAATAAATATGAAGAAAAAAATGTGGAGAGAGATAATCCTAGAAATCAAGGTAAATTGACATTATTAAGATTACTAGAATCATTAAGCTCTGATCAATTAACAACTGCAAACCAACGCAAAGAGATAAGAGAAGCTGTAAATTCCTATTTATTTGGCGAAATTAGCTATAATGATTTTTTTAGTTTAATAGCTGATATAATAGGAGAGAAGATTTTATATTCAATTATTTTATATATGAATTCGACAATTTCTAATACTCCTAATCCAAACTATTCTGCTATACTGGATTCTTATGGTTTACAAACTAAATTAAATATATACAATAATATAGATCCTAATCATTTTGATATATTTATAGAAGATAATGCTCGATTATATCCTGTTTTTTTACATCCAAATAATTTTACCTGTTTAGGACATTCTAAAGTTCATTGTGGTGATTACTTATTAATATTTGGTGGCATAACTTCAAAATTTTGCTTAGGAGATTCATATCCAAAATTATCTGAATTTAATGAAATAATAACTTTAAATTTGGCTAAAAATAAGTTTACTAAAATAACAACAAATGGTTTAATTCCAAAATGTAGGATGTATCACTCTAGTAACCTAATATATACTCTTAAAGGTCCTATGGTACTTGTATATGGTGGTTTACACTATAAAGAAGATAGTAATTGGGAATTTTTAGATGATATTGAGTGTCTTGATATTGAATCAAAATCTTGGATTTATTTAGGAGATATTAAAAATAATAGTGTAGGAAAACGAATTTTACATACAGGTTTAGTTTATCCTGCATTTTCAGATATACCTCAAAATAAAAGTGTATATTCAAAATTTTTAGTAATTTTTGGAGGTCTTACGAAGGATCAAGATAGTCAAAATATCAATCCTAGAAATGATTTATGGTGTTATTCTATTGAAAATAAATCCTGGCATAGTATAACGGTTATAAGTGCTCCAAATAAGATAAATATTGAAATTCCAAGTCCTCGATTTGGTCATAGTTGTGCTTGGGTAGATGATAATACTTTTTATATATATGGAGGTGAAGGTAAAGATAAAGATACTTGTAGTACAAAAGATGATGTTGGAATTATATTTAATGATATTTGGTCATTTACATTCGTATCTAGTATTGATGATATTGATAATTGCAATATAAAAGGATACTGGGAATTGATTAAAAGTGAGAATAATAGTAATCAAGTAAATTCATCACTCCACACATCTATTATGCTAGGCATCTATTCAAACAACCCTAGTTATGAAACATCAAATTTAATTGGAACTTTAGATTCAGAAAATTTAGAGAATTATCGTGAGAAAATTTTAATTTCATTTGGAGGGATTAGTAAGCCGTTGATTTCAAAATATCCTTTAAATTTGAATTTTCCAAATAAAAGACTTATTACTTGTTATAATGAATTATTTGAGGAAGATTCAAAAAATTCATATGTAGGTTTAAATTTTAAAATATTCTTTTTAAATTCAAATAAATGGTTATTTACTAATTTTACAATAAATTCTCCATCACCATCAGTTTCTGACATTATTAATAGTGATAATAATAATATTGATTATTTAATAAAAGTTCCAAAAATTTCAAATCATATTTCTGGAATTTGCTGTTTTTTTAATTATCCTTCTTTAAATAGAAATATTTCAATACCTTGTATTTTATATCATGGTGGATCCTTTATAAAATCAAATCAACTTCAGGGTCAATCTTTTATTTTATCTCTATTTGGTTATGAACCATTTGGTTTAAAAAATAATGAAGAATCTAATATAAATATTAATGATTTTATTGAGAAAGATAATAATGAACAAATTTTAAATTCAAACAAAATGTTGAAAAAATATCTGAGACCTAATATTAGAAATACAATAAATATTCAGACTTCTTTTTTATCATCATTATCATCCTATCAAAGTTGGATATTTGGAGCTATAGCCCATTTATTTGATAACTCATTATCTACTTTTGTAAAAAGTAATAAGATAGAACTAGCCTTTTATACATTTAATTCAGATAATAATCTAACTAAATACCCTATTTCTATTTTAAGTGCCCAAAATTCAATAGAAGGAATTATTCAAATATTAAAAAATAAGGATAATATGAAATTTATATTATCTGTAACTGATAATGGAGTAGGTTTGAACTATTCTACAATGATAAAACTTTTCCAATTTGGAACAAGTCATAATATCTCATCTCTTGATTTTACAAATTCAAATATGATTGACCACTTATCTCCAAGATGTGATCAATCTAATCAAATTAACAATAATTCTAAATATGGTACTGGTTTTAAAATGGCACTTTCTAGATTGGCACCGACTTGTTTAATTATTACACGTACAAAAAATCTCTTGGGAGTTGGTTTATACTCTAAAAGTCTTTTTGAATTAAATGAAAATTCAATACCTTATATACCAGTATGTTTTTGGAATTCTCAGACATATGAACCTTTTATACCCAAAAATTCTACATTAACAGAGCACCAAGATAATCAAAATATGATTCTCAAGTTTTCACCCTTTAATCAACCTGCCAATATTGTTGAACAATTTAATGTCTTAGCCGGTACTGGTACGAGATTTCTATTTGTAGATTTAAACATACTTAATCAGTACCCAAATTTTGAATTAATTAGGCCTTTTTCATATATTAATAGGGAATTAAATAATCAATTTTCTCAAGAAAGCAATTTAGATATAGATAATTCTCTTGAAGATCAATTAAATCCTTTATTCCCATTATGGAATGATGATAAGGATTCTATAGATTTTAATTTATATACTTATTTATATTGGCTTAACCTAAATTGTACGCAGAGTATATATTGTCAGGGTAAATTACTCGTACCAAGTATTCAATATGGCCAAACTATGTTTAATGGAATATATGATTTCCTTAAGAAACACTTATTTTTGTGTGTAGAAATATCTTCAATACTTGTACCAGAAAAATTAAATGATGGTGCCTTTGCTCTAATTGGTAAATTATGTAATAATAATAATAATAATAATGATGTAGGAATAAAAGAAGCTGGAGTTCTGTTATATTATAAAGGTCGATTAATTAGACGTTTAGAAGGACACTTTCCCTGTATACATTATATTAACCAAGAAAGCGCACAACAAAATTCACATAAAAAAGTAACTAACTTGTCGCTTGTAACAGCACTAATTAATGTACCAGAATGGCTTATACCATCTGCAAATAAACAGGAATTTGTCCATGAAGGATCAGCTTTATTTAAAATTTTTCAAACAAGTACTTTTGAATTAGTGGAGGAATATTTACAGCACTGTGAACAACCTAATAAACTGCACTCATGGAGTTTAGAAAGGAATAGAGTTTCACATGATAACCCAATTAAAATATCTAAGGCATCTCATTAAGTTAATATTAATGTAGTTTTTTTTTTTTAAATAAATAGCAATTACTGCTATTTCGATACCCTTATAGATATTCCTCTACATTACGCATATTGCCCGCTCAACAGTAGCTCTATTAATAATTAAGTAAATTTGAAATTACTCTAAAGTTATAAACTAGTTGATATTATGTCTTAGTACCTTTCTGTGTAAAATATTGATCTTAATACGATGCGAAACAAGGTAAGGAGAGGTTCTGAGTTACTTGTAAACTCTGAAAATCCCTTTATTGGGCATATTATCCCTAAAAATGAGAGGATATATGGGAAGATAATGTTTAATATATTTGGGATTGCATCGCTATTTACATGGAATGTATATTTAAGCTGTTGTGGGATTTTAAATAGGGATTTGTTCCCTAATATGGGATTTATGCAGTATATACAAACAAGTTATATGACTTCTGTACTAGTAGGAAACTTAACTATGGTAATGGGTTTAACTCACTTATTTGATCCTCATAGATGTACAGTAATGCTAAATTGTATGGGAGCAATCCAATCTACAATTGTAGCTATCTCTATTTGGCTTTTATTTGGATCTTTTTCAGGGTGTCTTATAAACATAGTAGTAACAGCTCTTGTAGCATTCAGCTGTGCTATTTTAATTCCTGAAACATTTACATTAGCCTCTATAATGCCTGAAAATTTCTGTTTAGATGTTTCATTCGGGCAAGGATTAAGTGGAGTAATAACCTTTGCTTTAACTTTTATATTAGATATGTTGTTGCCAAGTACAATATTAGGTAGAAGAATTTTGGTAACTACTTTATTTATTATGAGTACAATCATCTCTTTAACTGCTGCTGGACTTGCTCAAACATTAACAAAACTTCCATGGTGTTACTCAGTAATTGCAGAGATGCGTAGAAGTTCAATTTACTCATTAGAGTCCTCATTACCTAGAACATCAAGAATTTCGTATGCAGAGTCAGTTATGTCTGTACCTATATCTATAGAATCAGAGTATAATGTTGAGTATAGTACATTTAAAGTATCTACACTAATATGGCAACAACTTTACAATATTTTTATGACATTTTTAGTTACTTTGACTGTATTTCCAACTATTTGTACACAATGGGAAGCTTTTAATATTCCAGAGCGATATTCTAACCTCTTTACCATTTTACTTGTTGGGATTTTTCATTTAGGAGATATACTTGGGCGTTATTTACCTAGATTTGGTATATTTATCCCTCCTTCATTTCTATGGGTACTCACAACTGCAAGGTTAGCATTTATACCATTATATGCTCATTTAAAAACTGCTCCTGCAACTAATATTATTGGATCAATTTGGTTTAAATTTCTTACTCAATTTTTATTAGCTTTAACTAATGGATGTTGTGCTTATTTAGCATTTATATATGGTCCTGATGCAGTATATCAGCGTCAAAATAAGGAGAAAGCTTCATTTTTACTTGCAATATATAATGTGGCTGGTATGACTGCTGGTAGTTGGTTGATGAATTTACTTATTTGGATAGGTTTCTTTCAGTTAAATTAAAATTGGATTAAGAAGAAAAAAAATAATTTATGTTTATAGTTCTATATTACTATGAAGTTGTAGAAATAATATTTTCGCAAAAGTAGATCTTAATAATTTCAATATAAATTCATTTAATCTAATTTACTATTTAAGTCTTGGATAACCTAGAACTTTTTCAAAACGATCCCAAAAGTTACTTTCCCATCCTATTAAGCATTGATCTGAACAACCTGGATTACCAAATTTATCTAAGGAGGGAATTGATGTTTGTTTTAAGACTATTTCTGTGCAGTCTGTCTCTCCAATAATATCTAAGAATTCAATCGTAACTTTAGAGTATACATCTGGTTTCCAAGAGTTGCACCTCCACTTCTGGACAATTTTCCTTGAAGGTTCTAAATATTCAATTTCTCCCTCTACATAATTATTATATAGACTAAATTTACCTCCAATACTTGCATCCTAAAATTAATATGGTAATATAAAAAATTATTAATAGTATGATTTATAGTCAACGTACCATTTTACAAGGACTACCTAAGGCTAGTCTTGTAAGTTCCCTTTCATCTAACATGGATTGATATAATATAGATGGAGGTACCCTAAAATATGCTTTGCTACTAATTGTTGTCATTTATAAAAATTGTATAATACTTTCAAGTATATTGTAATTGACTAATATAGTAAAACTGTTCTCCTAATTAGTCGGAGACGCGGCGCCCATTGTGATATCTTGATAACTGTCAGAAACTGATTGTTTGATATATAGAAAATGACTGAATTGGATCATTTTAAAAAAAGGAAGACTCGAATAGAAGATTCTATTAACACTGAAGAGGGACAAAATATAAATGTACAATTTATTGATCCTGATGGAAATAAGACTGGAAGTGAATTTGACTTGGATCTAGCTACTACAACTAAAGATCTTCAAATTTTACTAAATCAGGTTTTACAAAATGAAGATGAGACTTTATATAGCTTTTGTCTAAACGATTCAAATATAGAAGTTTCAGGATCTTTAATTGAAGCTTTCTCTAAACTTGAGAATGTTTCAACTGAGTCTGTTTTACGTATTGTATATCATCCTATGGCACCTTTTAGAGTTTTACCTGCTACACGTTGTACAACATCATTTCAAGGTCATAATGGTGCTGTTTTATGCTGTGCCTTTAGTCCTGATAGTAAATTATTAGCTACAGGATCAGGGGATTCAACAGTCAGATTTTGGGATTTACTAACAGAAACCCCTGAATTTACCTGTAAAGGACATTCTAACTGGGTTTTGACAGTGTCTTGGTCTCCTGATGGTTCATATTTAGCATCAGCTGGTATGGATAATTTAATATTTATTTGGGACCCATTTACTGGTAAACAATCTTGTCCTATTCTAAAAGGTCATACTAAAGCAGTTGTAGCATTAGCATGGCAACCTCTTCATCTTGTTGAAACTTCTAAAGAAATACAGGGAAATGGGTCATTTATACCATATTCAAAGTTGGTTAGTGCATCAAAAGATACTACTCTAAAAATTTGGAATATTATAAATGGCACTATAATACATACTCTAACATCTCACCTTCAAATGGTGACTCAGATAAAGTGGTCAGGATTTGAATCTGGTTTTATTTATAGTTCTTCAAGGGACACTATAATAAAGATTTGGAAACCTGAAACAGGACAACTTTTAAGGGACCTTAAAGGGCATGGACATTGGGTTAATACCTTAGCTTTAAATACAGATTATGTTACTAGAGCTTCATGTTATTATCCTATGACTAAAGAAGGAGTTAGGACTGATTTTAGATGTATTGATGAAAAGATTCTTATGGCTAGAAAGATATATAATTCTCTTAAACAAAATTGTAAATCTGAACGTTTATTATCGGGATCTGATGATAATACACTTTTTTTATGGGATCCAATGGGTGAAAATGGACGTAAACCTATACAAAGACTTGTTGGACATCAGAAACTTGTCAATCATGTTGTATTTTCTCCAGATGGAAGATTTATTGCATCTGCTTCTTTTGATAAAAGTATCCGTCTTTGGGATGGCTATTCTGGGAAATTCATTGCGGTATTGAGAGGTCATGTAGGACCAGTATACATGGTATGTTGGTCTGTTGATAGTAGACTTCTTGCATCTGCATCAGGTGATAGTACTGTAAAAGTTTGGCAAATTTCTAAATATAAACTTAAAGAGGATCTACCGGGACATGCAGATGAAGTTTATGCTATAGATTGGTCTATAGATGGATCAAGACTTTGCTCAGGATCAAAGGATAGACTAGTCAAAATCTGGAGACATTAAGAGAATATTATTCTTTTTATTATTATTCTTAAATACTTGTATATATTAGATTAGCATGTATTGAATTATGTTTCAGTATAATATATATCCTTACATTATTTGTATCTTTTATTTCTGAGATAACAATATATCTTCTATGTAGTATACTTGCATTAATTAGTTTCTAATCAATTATTTGTACTTGTATTCTCTCCATTCACTTTTTGAGTTATATTATATAATAAAACTCTATAAGGGTTAGCGTGATAAACTAATCGCGCTATTGTTATCTATAATCTTTGACATAATGAGCTTTGTTATAACTTTTGATACCTACATAAACTTTTAACACTTCAAATAGATCCCTTCAATTCCTAAATATCCCAATCAAATAATTATGAGTGAAATATCAGATACAAGTGATTCAAATGAAAATAACTTTAGCCGTCGTAGTATATTAAGACGTCAAAAACAGGAGTTGAAAAATTTTAAACTTGAATGGAAAAATGCATTAAAAAATAGCAAGGGTAAAGGATCTAAACGTGAAATAGATAATCAATTTAAGAAAAAAGAGCAGAATATATTAGAATTACATAAAAAAGAGCTATCTATGCAAAGTAACAATATTCAAGATAATAATATATCTATAAATATAGAAAACCAGAGAGTTGATGAATTAATATCTTCTATTAATGAATTAAAACCATTTTATATAAAAGAGAGACCGATTATATTACGTAGTTATCAAAGAAAACAAAAAAAAAGAATGGCCCAAGCTGAAAAAGATCAAAGAATGTATGAAGAGTGTATCTTAACAGGTAAGTTTAATTTATATTTAAATTCATGTAAAATTCTTTTATTTACTCAAAAATTGTATTATTAATTTATTTTAGTTAATAAACGTGATAAAACAGAAATGGAAGATATAATTGAAAAACTCAAAAAATTTAACTTGTCTCTATATACAATCAAAGCTGATGGTAATTGCCTGTTTGGGTAAGTTTATCGAAATAATATCTTGTAATATAACAAATATATAAATTTATTTAAATACTCTTAGAGCAATTAAACATCAACTGGAAATTAAAGGAATTGGGAATTATTCAATTAAACAACTTAGAAATATAGCAGCCAATTATATACAAGAAAATAGGCAAGATATTGAACCATTTATTTTATCTGCTATAGAAGGAAGTACTGTGACATTTGAAGAGTATTGTAATTGTTTAAGAAATACGAATGAATGGGGTGGAGAAGTTGAATTAGTAGCATTATCAAAATCTCTCAAAGTGCCAATTGTTGTTATTTGTGGACTATCTTATAGAAATGAATACTATGGTTTAGAATTTGAAAATCACTCAAGTTCACTTTATATTGTATACCATCTCTATTTATATGCAACAGGACCACATTATAACTCTACTATTGAGAATTATTAATAAAGTACTCTAAGGAAATATCTATAATTTTTAACTTTAATCATTAGTAATAATTTAATATATTTCAATTAATTGTTTATTATTTTAAGGAAATTATTTATAATATTTTTAATTTCTCAATATATATTCTTCTGGTTTTACTCCTACACAAAAATATATGACCATCAAAATTGGTTATTTAAATAATTCAATTATTTTTGCAACATTTCAAATTGAAATAGTCTTTATAATTAGCTAATAATTTTAGGACTTATATTTTATTGGAGATTCAACAATCATACTTATAAATTCAAGTCATGGATTGGAACTATTTAAACTTGAATAATCAAAAGGAGATCAATCTTCAGTTGAATTACATGTAGATCCACTTTGACTATGACTTATTTGAGATAATATTTAACCTAAATATTACCGGTGAAATACTTAGATTATTGTCTGGAAAACTAATTGAAAGAGATAATGTTCTTAAATGAATTTCCTGTAAGGATTTACACAATATATCTGCTACTTCAACAAAGGTTAGATTATTTACTGATGGTATTAGTGAATTGTGAGCCATGTACTCCTGTAAGAATATAAAAGTTTCAGTTCCAAAGAATCCCAGATCTTCTAAACTACCTAGGTAATATTGTACATCTTTATATGAAAGTTAATATTTTAGCAAAGAAAGGTCCATACCATATCCCATTTCATATTTTTTTGTTGATAAATAGCCAGAATGGATTAATCCGAAGCTATGGTCTGTAAATATTTTAATAATTATTATGGAGCTTCTACAGAAAAGTCTAAAAAGTAAGTAAAGACAAAATTGTGTTCCTAAGAGCCATATTATATTATAAGATACTTTATATTCTCCTTAATTTTAAGAAGTTTCAAGAAATATTAGACTTATGTGACTTTACACGAGTACATCATAGCGGGACCTAACTGACCTAAAAATGGCTAATTGGAAAAAAAGTAGAAATACTGAAAAATAGAGAATATAAAATAAGCTTTTTTTGATCAAGACCAAAAATAATTTAAACATAAGTGTCACTACTTAAGGTATTATTATAATATATATAGTTTTATGGGAAAAAAAGAAAACTTAAATATATTGCAAAATATTATAAATGATACCGATACCGTTGAAAGCGGGCAAACTACATTTAAGATTTGAGACAAATGGCGTGTAAAAGTTATTGAGTTCTAGATTTCTCTAGATTACAGTTTAGGAGATGCTAAGATTGGAAGATGTATTAAATACTTGGAAGTATTTGAGTTTTAACTGGGTCAATTGTTTCTTAGTACATTATAAGTGCGAATTCTCTGATACAGATACTTGTGATCTTCCAACCTTACTTAAATATGATGAACCCTTAGGATGGATCAAGAAAATGAGCTTAGGCTTTAGACAATATGAGGAAGATATGCATGAGGGTAAGTATAGCCCTTTTAATTTTGAGAAAGCTATACTTAAGGTATTTGGATGGGATATAACTTTATGCATATTACTAAAATTAGCCTCTATTATTTCATCTCTTTATTCTTCAGTATATTTGAGTAAACTTCTCAAGTCAGGCTACTCTCAAGATGCAGTAAATTATGGAATAATCTTGACTGTGGTTTTGGTTGTAAAGATCTTTCTTGATGTTCATTCAAAGTTTTTGATAGGTAGGCTAAGTTTAAGAATTGGTGCTACTGTAATGGGTATATCGTTTGAAAGAATATTATATGGTTCTGAAAATTCAACTAAATCCGCTGATTCAAAACCACAAATTTTTAATTTAATATTAGGAGATATTGATACAATTGAACCTTTTATTACATCAATAACTGATATTATTTTAGCTCCAATCCGTATACTTGGTTCATGGTATATTTTAAGATCTCAAGTTGGCTTTGCTGCTACTCCATCTGTGGTTACTTTTATATTTATGATGGTCTTAAGTTTTATGTTTCAGGTTCTTGGCACTTTGCAAAAGCGACCTTTTATGTATAGTCGTGATCTGAGGATAAAAAAGTGTCATGAATACTTTTCTAATATAATGACAATGCGTATGCTATTTTGGGAGGATATAATTTATAAAAAAATAATGAGTTTAAGGAAGAATGAAGTGAAAGCTAATATGAGACGTCTTGTTCTTTTATCAACTGGTATTTTTTTGGATTATAACACTCATAGTCTTGCTCAGTATGTTTTATTTTGTTGTTATTTTTATATGTATATGGTGAAGAGTAGTTATGAGATGGATTTTTCTATGACAGTAGCTCTTACTACACTCTATGTATTATATTCATTAACAAACCCTGCAAGAAATTTAATTTCAAATTTTTTAGATGGTATGGTGTCATATAATAGGTATAAAGCTTTTATTTGTAGCTATTCTCTAGATATTAATAAGAATACCGAATTATCTACATATCGAAACACAAACAAGAAATTAGCAGGGTATTATTTTAAATATATATCTGAAGAAGATCCTATAATAAGGATTTCAAGATCTGATCTAATATTTGATCAATCTAGTCTGATGAATTGTGAAGGATACCAAAGTATTCCTCAACAAGAAAATCAATTTGTTCTGAGAATTAGAGATTTAGAAATTAAGTCTGGAGAATGTTTAATAGTAACTGGTAAATCTGGATCTGGTAAGTCATCTTTCTTAAGAAGTATACTTGGAAAGATGTCCCTTATTAGTGGGAGTGATTTTGAATATTCTTCTCTTTTAAGAGATAGTCCAGTTGCATACTGCTCACAATATATTTGGTTACCAAGAGGAACTGTACGATCAGCTATTTTATTTGGTAGACTTTTTGATGAAGCTAAGTATAAAGCTGTAATTGAATGTTGTCAACTAGTAGATGATTTTAATAATTGGGAAAAAGGGGACTTGAGGATTATAGATGAGTCTGGTTATACTTTAAGTGGGGGACAAAGATCCAGAATTTGTCTTGCTAGAGCTTTGTATTCATTATCTACATCTGAATACCAATCTAATACTAAATCAAAAGTAAAACTATTTATATTGGATGATGTATTTGTAAATATAGATCCTCAAACAAGTCATGCAATATTTAAGAATATGTTTGATACTAGTGGTCTGCTATGTAATGTTTGTTGTATAATTTCATGTGATTTTAATACATTAGAATCTATATATCCACTAAGAAATCGACATTTTATTCCTGGCCTTTCACTAAAGATTGCAACTGTAAATGATGGTCTTATAGTATCATCAAGTAATCTATATTCCTATACTTTTCCTAATAAAGAAGTTAATGAGTCAAGTATATCTACAAGTAAATATTTAGATAAACAGTTTACTGGTATATCTTATGTTTCACAGGAGACTTCTAATACTAATAAAATAATTAACAATAAGATAATTAAACGAGATACAATGAACGAACACAGTATTGTAGGTAGAATATCAAGACATACATATTCGTATTATATTAAGTTAATTGGTGTAAGATCCTTTATATTATTTGTTTTTGCCTGTATATTGAAGTCTATTATTGACAAATTTAATGATCTATATATAGGCTGTTTTTCATCAATAAATAATTTGTCCTCTGAATCACAAAGTAAACTTTGGATATTGAGAAATTTTACTTTTGAAAATTATATTTGTCTATATTCAGTCATCTTATTTTTAAAACTTTCAATTGGATTTTCTATATTTATATCTGAAGCCTTCTTGGGAATTCGTGCTTCTGAATCTACTCATGATAAACTTCTCTATAAGCTTATAAATGTACCTTTTTCATTTTACAATTCTAATCCTTTAGGGAAGATTATTAATCGTTTTAATGTTGATATTCTTAACCTTGATAATGGAATAATCCATAAGATAGCAGGAGTTATATTAAACTTCTTAAATCCTATAATTCAAATGGCAATTCTAACATTCTTAAATCCTCGATTGTCACCTCTTATAATTGCTTATTTCTGCTTCATAGCTCATAAGTATGGAAAACCTTTATTTGATACTTTTAGAACTAGCCAAAGAATTATGTTAGTAACATCTTCTTTTATTTGTGGATTATTTTCTGAGATCCAGTCTGGTAAAACTATAATAAGCTGTTTCTGTGCTCAATCATACTATACTGATAAATTCTTGAGAAAATTAGAAATTTATTTAAAGACTCAATATCTCAAGTTATCTATATATCAACGTACATCTTTCAGACTTCAAATATATACTGCACCATTAGCTGTTATTATATCTTCTATTTCAGTAGTTTATACACTTTGTAGTGAGGATTTAACTGAAATGGTTGATATAAGTAGTGATATGAAGAGAGGTTATCCCCTTCTTTATTTTCTTTTGATAGCTGAAATATTAAATCGTGCTATTGGTCAAGCTTCAATTTTAGAGAAAGATATGTGCTCAGTAGAGAGAATTCAAGAATATAATGAAATGATATTAGAACATAATAACTTCAGACCCTCAAACTCTTTTTATCAAATGCCGAAAGTTAGGACTGGAGTAGTAGTTGAGAATTTGCAAGTTGATTACTGCCCATTTGGAAATACAAGTGATTCCTTCTTGCAAACTTTTACTGTTTTTAGAAATCTTAACTTAAAAGCTAAACCTTTTGAACATGTTGGTATTATTGGACGTACTGGATGTGGTAAATCAACTTTCCTTTCCACTTTAATTGGTATTTTACCAATTTCAAAAGGTCGTATTTTATTAGATGGTTGTGATATATTGACTATTCCAAATCATATTAAACGAGAAGTTATTGGTGTATTACCACAATCTCCACTTAAGTTAAATGGTTGGACAGTTAGGCAATTTTTAGATCCTCTGAATTGGTATAATGACCAAAGTATCTGGCAAGCTCTCCATATATGTGGTTTATCAGAAGTTATCCAAAACTTTCCAGGGGGTAAAAGTATAGATTCAATCATTATATGTGATGAGGGGCATAAATGCTACTTATCAGATACACAGATACGTTACCTTTCAATTGTTAGATTGATCTTACAAAGACATAAGTACAGACTGCTTATTATTGATGAACCTCCCTCAATTGGTGATAATAAAACAGAATATGGATATCCTGATCATAAATCAAAGTCTCTCATTCCTATTTACGATCTAATCAATCTATATTTTAGGCACTGCAACGTATTTATAATAGCACATCGCCTATTATATCTACAAAGGTGTGATCGTATTGTTGGACTTTCCGATATATGCCTCGAATAATATTTAACTCACTAAAAATAATAATAAAATATCGGACTTATATAGATCTTAAAATTAGTACAATTGGCGCACATTGTATTTCTATCTTAAGATTCCATATGAGATTGAGATGATATAGAAATATTTAGGAAATCTCATTTTATCGTAATCAATATAAGTTCAGTATATAACTAAATATATATATTATAGTTTGATTAATTAACTTCTAATTACATAGTATTACTGGGTAAATATTTTCTAGATCTCAACCCTATTTCAAAATGTTTAGTAAAGAGCAGATAGAAGATATAAGATGTGATAAAGAATTAGCACAATTTGATGTTAAATCCAAAAAACAAGATATAGAGAGTAAAGTAAAAGTTGTACCACTTAAGGTATCCAAACTTTGGATTCAAATGGGAATAGGTTTTGTGACTATTGTTAAAGCAACAATAGGAACTGGTATATTATTTGCACCCCATGTTATAGTAAAGTCAGGATACGGAATTAGTTTGTGGTTATTAGTTTTCTATTGGTTATTAAATGTTATTTGTACATATTTATTATTTAGGTGTGCAGATATAGTTAATGATACATATCCAATTATAGCCTCTTCAGCATTTGGTATATTAGGTAGGATAGTTGCTGACATATCAATGATTATGACTGAAATATCTTTTTGTGCAGTCACTGTTACATTTGTAACTAAAACAATTCAAGATGTAATTGCAGGGATTCATAATTGTTTACCAGCATATATAAATTATGGAACCGAACTAATTACATTCTTACAATTAATTATTTATATACCTTTAGTATGCTTTGGAAGACTGCAATCTTTGGGACCAGCAACATTTGTAGCAAATATTGCATTATTGATTGGTTTCGTTATTGTGTTTGTATATGCAGTGATATCACTAGTTAGTCATATTCAAAGTGGTCTACTATATTATATACCAACATATACAAACCCAGAAAGTATTGCTAATTTTACGGGAATTGCCGCATTTCTTTGGGTATCAGGTCCTGTTGCACTATCATATTATGTATCTTTAATAGATATCCATGCAAAGAATATATTTGTTTGGATATATTTAGGTTCAGTTTCATTTTCATTTTTATGTACATTATTATTTGTATTTGTAACGGCATATGCATATGGTGAAAACTCACTTTCAACGATCATTTTAAATTTACCTGTTACACCAGTTGCAATAGCTGGACAATTGTTGTATGTGACTTCAGTAATATTGTCATTTCCTTTGATGCTATTTCCAGTAAAAGAAATAGTAACAGAGTACATTAATTTGATTGTCCGAAGAATATACAGATCAAAAATAGTTGAGTTTACTTTTCCTGAAGAACAAGTAAGTGCTAATCCTAGTTTATTTAATGTGAACTCTATAGTATCAACTTCAATTCCTGTTTCTTTGGTTTCTGTTAATACAGACATGTTTAAACCAAAATCTGAGGTCATGTTAAGATGGCCTAGTGGATCTTTATGTATATCAATTAAACAAAATAAATGGCTAGATATTTTAATCAGAATATCTCCTTCACTAGTAATGATACTTGTTAGTATACTTTGTTGTGTATTGGGATATGTACTGATTGATTCTCTTGGAAATTTTGTAAATCTTGTTGGAGGAATATTTTGTGTGCCAATAAGTATTATATTACCAGCTATATTTCATTTAGCCCTATATAGAAGACTTACAAATATTTTGATTATATTAATGGATATTTTTATTATTATTATTGGGCTTTTAACTTCAGCTGTTGTTATTTGGTATTCAATAACAAATTGGAGTACTTCTTCTGAAAATTTATGTGATATTAAAAAGTTTTCATAAGGGAATATTTGAAATACCCTATTTTTATTATTTCGTATCATTTATTTTTAATTTACTTAATATATTCCATTTATATATTTTTGAAATTATTATCTATCATACTTATATAATTTATTAATTAAATATATCTTATATTCAGAATATCTTTATATAATGAGACAAAGATTGATCATATCTCACTACCTGACTTTAGATTGGGATATCTCTTACGCTGAACAAATCAATGATTTCTAGCCAAATTTTATCCAATTAATGTATTTTACTAATCATCAGACAAAAAAAAAGATATTTCACTTTTTAGTATTATAGAATTCTGATTGATTTTAACTTTATATAGGCTGGAAATATAATTCAGAACTGAATGAAATGTTCTTATTTTTAAATACTTATAATTCCAAGTTATAATCCTTAGAATTACTTATTTAGTGTGCTGATTTGTTCATTTTATTAAGTATATTATTTCTCTTTAAATTAATAAATACTAGAAAGTGAATTTAACTAGGGAGAATTCTTCACATTTCTTGTCAATGATTTCTGATTATTAATTTGTAAATGGAGTATTAACTACTTTTATTTTACTGTAATACTTAATCATTGTTGTAAACCTTTTATTGGTTATACTTTATTTCACTCCTTTTTTCCTTACTTTTTATCTTTATTTTCTTTTTCTTAAATATCTGGGTGGAGAATGTGGATTACATGAGGTTGTATGCATTTGAATGTCAGAGTATTGGTGCGGTGACATTACCCCACATAAATTAATAATAACCCCTCTAGAAATATAAATTTAATAGATATTTTGAATATTAACCAAATTCATCTTTATTATTATATATCTAATGAATAACACAAAATTAGAATTAGTTTCAGAGGATTCCGAAGACTTGAAACTTCAAAAACCAGTAATTATAATAGTAGCAGCGTCTACAAAAGAAAAAGGTATTGGGAAGGGAAATAATCTTCCATGGTCCATAAAGGAAGACTTAAAGTTTTTCCGTGAAATTACTTGTAGTACAATTGAACAGAGTCAAGATGATAAGGAAAATACTAAGATAGAAAAAGTTAATGCAATAATTTTAGGACGTAAAACATGGGATTCAATGAAAAGAATACCCCTAAAAAATCGTAAAGTAATTGTTTTATCAAGGACATTACAAAGATGTGATAATAAAAATGATTCGGGTGTATCTATTGTAAAATCATTAGATGAAGCAATTAATTTATGTAATAATGATATATCAATTCACAAGATCGTAATATGTGGTGGGGAATCTATATATCGTGAATGTATTGAAAAAAATATTGTTGAAACAATCTATTTAACAAGAGTATCTACTTCAAAAAAAGAATTTGATACATATTTTCCAAATATTCCAGAGAGTTTCGTGCCAATTTTAATGTCTCAAACATTCTGTTGTAATGATATTTCATATGATTTTATGATATATGAGAACGAAATTCTTAAACCAATAAAAAGAAATATAAGAAACACATCATGTGAATCTGAAGTAATTATACCTTTTGAAAATGTTCTAGATAAGATATTTGGAGAAAGAAAAATTAGTTTAAGGAATAAAGTCCCAAAAGATGACATTATTTCATATCCTTCTATAATAATTCGAGATCATCCTGAATTTCAATATTTGGATATGTTATCGAATGTATTACAAAATGGACACTATAGAGAAAATAGAACTGGTATTAATACATATTCAATATTTGGAGCATCAATGCGATTCGATTTACGTGAATCATTTCCCTTATTAACTACTAAAAATGTGGCATTGAGAATAATTTTTGAGGAATTAATGTGGTTTATAAAAGGTGATACAAATGGTAATCACTTGTTAGATAAAAAAGTATTTATTTGGGCTGGTAATGGATCAAAAGAGTATTTGAATAAAGTTGGTTTAGGCTATCGAGAAGAGAATGACTTGGGTCCAATATATGGTTTTCAATGGAGACATTTTAATGCAGAATATAAAACAATGCATGATAATTATAATGGGCAAGGAGTAGATCAATTAGCAAATTTAATTGAATCACTTAAGAAAAATCCTTATGATAGAAGGCATATCTTATCTGCATGGAATCCATCTGCAGTGAAATATATGGCATTACCACCTTGTCATATATTATCTCAATTTTATGTTGATAATAATAATAGATTAAGTTGCTCATTATATCAGAGAAGTTGTGACTTAGGTTTAGGATGTCCATTTAATATTGCATCTTATTCATTATTATGTGTTATGATTGCTCATATATGTGGATATGAACCTGGAGAATTTATACATTTTATTGGTGATGTTCATATTTATGAAAATCATGTTGAGCAATTAAAACAGCAAATAAAACGTCTACCTAGACCATTTCCACAATTAAGATTGAAACGTAAAGTAGATAAAGTGGAAGATTTTATATGGGAAGATATTGAAATCATTGGTTATTATCCTCATCCAACCATTAGAATGGAAATGGCAGTCTAAATAAGGTATGCTTTTGTAAAAGCTATCCTAATTGTATTACTTAATTATTGTTTATAATATTATATAATTGATATTTTTAAATTTTCTTGATGTTGTATTAATATTAGTCTATTTGTTTCAAATCCTAAGTAGCATCCTACTAAAAGAATAACTATTTAACAAAAAAAAGCTACAAATCAAATAAGATACCATTAATATAGTGATTATATTAACTATAATGTCAATAAGTCTTTAAATTAATTTCATAGTTACTTAATAATATATCATTATATTGTCTGCAGTTACTTGTAAAAAGTGTTCTAATTCAAATTCCACTTATTTCAGTATTTAAATATATATATAGTTTTATATACAGGAAATTATTATATTTGAATAATAAAACTTACAGTATATTTTATTACTACAGATAATATAATTAATATAATATTAAGATTACAATTATAAAATTTATATATTCTCTATTTTAATTTAAAACTAATTTTTTCTTTATATTTACTGTTATTATAATTCATTTCTATATTAATATATGCAAAAATTTTTGTTTATTATCGAAATATATGTATCATAATTTATACTGTTTCTCTGACCTATATATATTTTATTTTTTATTAATAAAAATCTCGATTAATTAAAATACTTTATATATATATATTATCAGATATGTTGTAAATGAATAAAAAAAAAAGTGAATATTACTGATTTCCCACTTAATTTTATATTTTTTTTTATCACGATAATACTGTGACATAAAAATATTTAGATCTAATAATAAACACGGCTCATATAATTTAGTATGGAATAAGTAACTCAAATATTATTTAACTTATTTAACTTATATATATATTATAGAAAAGGGAATATTTTAATATTGTATTAATATAATAAAAAAAAACTTTTTTTTACTAAAAAGTTAAAAATATTAGTTTTAAATGGTATGTAAATATATTTGTTTATTTATATATTTTATTATAATTTTTGATATTTATTACTCTTCTGGAGAAAGTCTGGCTGAACAACGTGAAACTGTGTTAGATTGGATTCGTTTTATTATAAATGTGGACAATTCAATTAATTTATTTTCGAGAGACATGGTCGCTGTTGATCCTGAAGAAGAAAGTGATAAGGAAGTAATAGATAAAATGTTAGAATGTGTTAATGAAATATATAGTCATTTTGATTATTTTAAAGCAACTTTTCAGAATTTTGGATTTAATTTGAGTATAAACACAATGTATAAGGATCAAATGTCCGTAACTCAATATAAAGATACAATTAGTAATATTAGAGATGGAAAAGATAATGGTTATATACATAAAGAAGATTGTTTGAATAGGTTGAAAAATATAAGGGCTGAAGTGACTCATATACAAATGTTCATAAATGATAACAGATATAGGCCAATCAAAAGAATACTTCAATATTTTATTATATTTCTAGAGTGCAATTATATTTTAGTTAAAAATTTATCTGAGAAAATAGAAGAAGCAATTAAAGCAAGAAATAGTTTAGATGTAAAATCCAAGTTAATAAGTAAAGGTACACAGAGTTCTGATAAAAGTAGAAGGGTAAGATCAAATATGAGCAAAGAGGAATATAAGAAAAACCAAGAAGAAGTTAATAAACTAATGTCTCAATTTAATTTGGCTGAAGGTGAAATGCATAGTGATGGTTCAGTAAGAAGAAAAAAAGGTAAGAAAGAAAAGAAAAAAGAAAAGAGAAAAGAAAAGAAAAAAGAAAAGAAAAAAGATAACCAAAGGAATAGTGATCATGATAATAGTGAAGAAGACGAATCGGATTATTTATATACTGAAAATAAGACTAGTAACATAGCTATTCATAGTAAAGATAATAAAGAAAGCGGTGTTCATAGTTATAGTGAACTTGGTGCAACAGGTTTTGATCCAAGTTATAATAAAAGAGGTGGTGATCATACTGATAGTGAACTTGGTGCAACAGGTTTTGATCCAAGTTATAATAAAAGAAGTGGTGATCATACTGATAGTGAACTTGGTGCAACAGGTTTTGATCCAAGTTATAATAAAAGAGGTGGTGATCATACTGATAGTGAACTTGGTGCAACAGGTTTTGATCCAAGTTATAATAAAAGAAGTGGTGATCATACTGATAGTGAACTTGGTGCAACAGGTTTTGATCCAAGTTATAATAAAAGAGGTGGTGATCATACTGATAGTGAACTTGGTGCAACAGGTTTTGATCCAAGTTATAATAAAAGAAGTGGTGATCATACTGATAGTGAACTTGGTGCAACAGGTTTTGATCCAAGTTATAATAAAAGAGGTGGTGATCATACTGATAGTGAACTTGGTGCAACAGGTTTTGATCCAAGTTATAATAAAAGAGGTGGTGATCATACTGATAGTGAACTTGGTGCAACAGGTTTTGATCCAAGTTATAGAAGAAGTATTCAAAGTTCTGTTACTACAGCTCCGCAACAAGATGTCAATTTACTATTTAATAAACAGAAATTAGAAGTAGAAAAAAGAAAAAGAAGAGAAGAAAGAAATACCATTATTTATGAAAAAAAAATGGAAATAAAAAAATATGAAGAACTTATTGTGATTTTAGAAGAAGAAATTGAAGAGATTATTGTTAAGAAATTAGCAGAAATCGAACGATGTAAAAAGTACATTATGTCTTTAAAAAAAGAAATTAAAACAATTAAACTTGAATTTTTTGATTTATATGGAATAGGTGATGATATTGATTTGTACAGAGGTGAAGATGACTCTACGGAAGAGAGTGATAAAGAAGAAAAGAGTATAAAATATGTGTATCCAGCTGTTTATGTATAAATCCAATAAAGTTAATATTAGGATTAATAGCAATAATATTACCAAATTGAAATAACTAATATAAAGAATGATATTTTATTATATATAGTAAAAATACTTTCGGGTTATATTTTTGAAACTTTGATTATATATACAAAATTAAATATAATTTAAATAATTTTAAAATATGTAGATAATAAAAATGAATTTTATGTTTAGTTTTATTTTATTAATGGTAATATATATATGCTTCACTAAATTTAACAGTAATTATTTTTTTTTATGAGAGATTTTCTATTGTGAAAAGTTTTTCTTTAGTTATTCGTATTCATTGATTATAAAGGGCTAATACTTTGAAATACTGTTCATACAGGACAAATTAAAAAGCAATTTTATGAAAATTAGTTATTAAATATAGAAGTTTATTATAATAAATGTAGCTTTTTTCATTAAAGTTTAATATTTATATTTGCAGGATAAATGCATCTTTTATAAAAAATCCGAAAATGAATATTTAAAAAAGTATCCATAAAAGTAAATATATAGAGTTAATCTTAATCTACAGTTTTATTTCATTTAAAGGTAAGAAAAAATTTTATATATTAATTATATTGGGTTTCAAAAAAACTTTCACTTTAATATTTCTTTATAAATAAAATTATATATGATTCAATTTACAATAATATATAGATATTTGTTAAATAATAATAGATATTAGAGTAAAAAACTTATTATTATTAGCCTCAATATTTTATTTTTTATATATCAACTATCTACTACAAGGAAAATATAAATTACTAATGACTAATCCTTGTAACTTAAAAGAACTCAAAAGTAATATAGTTGAGTTTAAAATTATTTTTATTGAATGCACTAATTTTTACTTAGTTTGTAATCCTATTAAAAATATTCTAATTAATATATAAAATCTTCTTTCAACACAATAAACTAAAAATTAAAAAAAAAAAAAGTGGTTAAGTACACTTGAATTGGATTTAGCTAGCGTAAATTAAAGAATACCTATTAGTAATCTCAAAAAGTATGTAAACTATTATTTAGTTAATAAAAAAAGTTTATTTTAAAATAATTTTGAATATTAATAAATATCTAAAATCTTTAGAAAAGTCTCATACTTAAAAATATTTAAAATACTTGATATAGAAGAGAAATTTGAAAAATAATAATTTGTAAGTAATTCATTGATATACTTAATTTTAAAATTACATATCAAATGCGAAACAGAAAAATTGATCCTATATAATAAATAGATCATAAAAAAATAAAATAAAATAAAAATAAAAAAATTTATATTATTGTCACTAATTTATATTAATATGCATTCTGGAAAGTCATATAGATACGGATAGTAAAATCATATAAAATCATATAAAATCATTTACTGGGTCTTTAAAAACTATTGTTTTTGCTGTAATTAATTAACTAGTTTCAATAAAATCTAAGAATAAAGGTAATTTAAGATTTGATTAAAGTTGATATAAATAATTTCACATTTCAGATAAATTTACCACATTACAATGATATATCTTCGTATTTTAATCAATAGTAATTTAGATTGTTATTAAAAAGATTGAAGTTAATTATTTAAATAAATAAAGATTTTAACAACTCTAATTCATTGATAATATCATTCTTAAAAGGTTCTTAAATGTACATGTCAAATTATTTATGAATTTATTGTCTTGTTAGTACTACAAATATTAATTTATAATTTACATAAGCAAAAATAATAATTTAAATAAAATAAAACAACTTGATATTTTTACACAAATTAATAATGTGTTTCTTTTGGATCTACTTATTTTAGTATTTATAGTCTAAATAGGATAATATTTGGAATTTCCCATGAAGCTATAAAAAATGATAATATTTTGGATTCAGTAATTAATTAATTTATTTCATTAGTAAAGATTTATTAAAGCTTATAGAATAAATTATTAATATTAAAATTAAGTTTGGTTATACAAAATCTTCGAAAATAATAATCTTTTTTTCTTAATTCTAATACCAACAAGATTCAAACTATTATATTATATATAATTATATAAGTTTATTTATATTTATTTGAGATATTTTATCTTTAATTGTAAAGGTATTATTATTGTAAGTTAAAACAATTTTGTTAATATTAAGAATCTTTTTTATAAGATTATTTTATCAAGTTCAAATATCAAACTATTTAGTATACTTAATTAATTTCTTTTTTTTAACAGAAATATAAGTATAGGGAATAAAAAAATATATTTGAGTAATAGAATCAACATAAAGATTCACAAATATAACATATTTTGTAATTTAGGGTTAAGTCTAAAAGCTCAAATAGCAAATATTAAGTCATATATAAAACTTCAGGAGTAGATAATAGTCATTTAAATTATCAATAAAACTATGTATTATCTTAGTTTAAAATAATTTTTATATTTAAGCTATTTTAATGTGTTTACATAATTAATTATACATCTGAAAATATGAAATAATTGGAAAATGTTGATATAAAATCGAACTTTTATTAATTTAAACAATAAGAATCATTATTTAAAAAGAATATCTATTTTAACTATTAATAATATTAGGGAAGAATATTTTAGTATTTAAAATTTTGCATTAGGTAATGTGAAGCCTATATTAACTTAGTATTTGAATTATTTTTTTTATTAAGACTAAGTTTTTTCTAATAAAAATAACAATAAATGTATTCATGTAGCTAATAATATATAGTAACTTTTGAAATTTTTGAAAAAATATTGAACTTTAATTTTTATTTTATCTTTTTCAAATATAAACTATATTTTTATTATATTAAAAGTATTAAATTAAATCTTTACTAATAAATTTTTTTTTTTTTTTTATAATTTTCAGTTAAAATTAGAATTATACAAAATTGTTTGTAATAAAGAAATGGTGATTGTATTATCTATCTTACATAACCCCAAAAATGATCTAGTTAATAAATGATTAAATTCCTTATTTTGTTTATATAAAGTCACATATGTTAAGATATTATATAATTAACTTTTATATTTTAATTCTAATTAGTTTTTATTATATAAAAAAATATTTATATATTTATTTTAGGTTCTAAATTCATTTATTGAACTCATAACACAAATATACTCAATTTTAAAGCTGGTATAGATAATATCGGGAATTCTAACAAAATTAATGGTAACAAATATAGTAATTTACCTCCACCTCAATATAATAATAGAAATTGATAATTAATTATTATTGAATATAAAATCCTTTAACACTTTTCTTTTTTAGATTTAAAAAAAAGTAAATATATAATATATATTTAAGTATATTAAATACCAATATAAAAAAATTTAAGACTAATTGATATTTTGTTACATTAATTAAAAAAAAATAAAAACTATTTAAATAATTTCTATTTATAACATAATAGAAAGAAGTATTTATATTTATTTTATAGCTATAAATATATTCAAATAATATTTAATTTGCTATTAGAATGTATGTATTTCAATTAAGTAAATATTCGTTTTTATTTCAATATAAAATAAGGTTATAAATTAATTTGTTAGGTGTAAATCTTTATATAAATATATTTTTAATATTATAAAATTTTAGTAAACTTTATTTTATTTAGATAAATGATATTATAATCAATATCATAGTAATTATAGTTATTTTAAAAGTAAATTGGTATTTTTATATATTAATATTTACACAAGTCTTCCTCTTCTTTAAAAAAGTGTATACATTAATTAAAATTTGTTCATATTTCCAATATATTGAATATTAATTTATAAGTTCTTTTTATTCTAAAAGACTATATATAAATAAACATAGTATATCTTATCTAATTGTTTTGATTTTATAAATAAATCAATGTTATTAATAATCTTATTAATTTAATAATATTTAAGATAAAATTTAAATACTAAATAATGACAACAGTTAATATATTCTAAAATTATAATAAATTATTATTGGTAATATTTTCGTGAATTCTTTTTTAAATGATCTAGTCTAGTTTTATTATTAAAGATATATTAAATAATTATATAATTATAATTCTCGAATATTCTATTAAATACTTTTTTACTAATTTATTAGTTTAAAATAATTAAATCAAAGATTTACTTTTTTATTGTATCATTCTCATAAATATTTTATTTATGTATTATTGTTTATATATAAAAATAGTATAAAAAAAATTTAAATTAATATAATTTATTGAATATTTTGAATGCTATATTTACTTTTATCAGTATTAAATTAAATTAACTGTAAAAAAGTAGTATTGTTGAACAGGTTTTATAACAAATAGTGAATAAAAACAATAAAATATATAAAGATTATATAATTTTAAATCAATTCAAGTTTTAAAGAATAATAATTAAAAAGAAACTCACCATATTGTGATATTAAATTTATAAATGATATATATTCTCAAATAGAAATAAAATTGAAATAATAGTGACTTTTGAACAGTTATAAATATAATTTATTTTATGAATAACATTGATAACCATTTATAAAATCTCTTAAAATAACTTTTATTATATATTTTCATGTGAATATTTCTATATCATTGTTAATATAAGGCAACACTATCAAAATTATGATAAGAGAGCTGATCATAATCACAGTTCTCAGTAATGTAAGTGGCAAATAGTGAATATCTGTGACAGAATCCTCAAACAATGAAAATATAAATGTTCAAAACAATAATGTTAATATATGATACATAAAAATAAAAGTCGACAGTTTCAGAAAGTTAGAAAATGGGTATAATACATTAATTAGTAATATGTAAAATCAAAGCATCAACACTTCTCTACAAATCAAATAAGTTCACAATATACCAAACAAAAATGAGATAGAACACAAACAGTTGTGAGTGACCAATCAGCTATTCAGGAAATGAAAGACTAAGATTTACTTTGTAGTTGCAATCTCCACAGCTCGACTTCAATGCACTTTGGACTCCATTTATAATGTTTTGAGTCTTTGAGAATGTATTTAATCTATCTTTG